TAATATATATATATATATATATATATATATTTGTATTAATTAATTATTAATAATAATGGGAAACTTCGATGATGATGTACCTGTTTCAACAGGTTACTCACCAAAACAACAACAACAAAATCAACAACAACCATATCTACCTCCACAACAGCCATACTATCCACAGTATCAAGCACCAGTACCATCATATCAACAGCAGCAACAGCCAATCTACTCGAACCAACCATATCAACAACCATACTACTCTGCTCAACCACAGCCACAACAACAATACAATGCTCATGCACCACTATTAAAGAAGGGAGATAACATAAATGATATCGATCAGATTGATATCCATGGCAACCAACACGAGCCCATCGAGGGCCAGTACGTCTACGAGGACAACTGCCAAAAGTTCCCAGAGGCACCCAAGTACCAGGACGTGCTCTACACCATCCTTTTCGTTCTGCACCTCGTTGGTCTGGGCGTCATCTTTGGTGTGACCTTCACCGAGTCGTCGAGGGAGAGCTTCGTGTCCAACTTCTACGGCGTCAGATATGAGCGTGTGCTCATTGTCATTGGCGTCAGCTCAATCGTCTCGCTCATCTACGTCATGGGCTGGTTGCGCATCGCCGCCAAGCACGCCAAGGGTTTGATCAACTTCACCTTCCTCTTCAACCTTGCCCTGTGCGTCGTCACCACCGTCTTTGCCTTCATCTACAACCAAATCCTCCTTGGAGTCCTCTTCCTCATCTCGACCATCCTCACCTTCTTCTGGTACCTCGTCTTTAGAAAGAGAATCGACTTCTCTGCAGCTCTCCTCACCTCTACCATTGAGCTCTTGCAAAGTATGTAGAATTAGTTTTATATGGTTGATCACAATCATGATCAAATAAGGAAATACTAACAATCAAAATATTTCCTTATTTGGAAACCAATCAATCATCATACATATAGGATTCCCAAGTGCCTTCAAGCTTGGATACATTTCATTGTTTGTCAACATTGTCTGGTTGTTCATTTGGTCAGCAATCTACTTCCGTATCTACTACGTGTTTGATCAGAACACCTTCTACGGCCTCTCGGTCTACATGGTGTTCTCATTCTACTGGGTGGCCAACGTGATGAAGAATGTCGTGCACACCACCATCAGTGGTTTGTTCGCTTCATGGTACTTCCTCGAGGGCACCGACGTCGGCATGCCCGAGAACCCAACACTCAAGTCGTTCAAGCGCACGATGACCACATCGTTCGGCTCAATCTGCTTTGGTTCATTGCTCGTCGCCATCATCACCACTCTTCGCTACCTGGCCCAACAGTTGATGAACTCGGACAACAACTTTGTCAAGTTCATTGGCTGCCTCATCAACTGCTTCCTGGCCATCTTCCAGAGCATCATTGAGTTCTTCAACATCTACGCCTACACCCAGGTGGCTATCTATGGCAAGTCATACTGCGAGGCCGCCAAGGACACCTTCCAGCTGTTCAAGCATCGTTGTGCCGACATCATCATCAACGACGACTTTATCAGCACTGCTCTCTCCATGTCAGTGTTCTTTGGCGCCATCGTTGGTGGCATCATCGGAGGCATCGTCTCATACTGTGTCTATGGCACATCTGTCGATGGTCTGTTCACCTTCTTCACCACTTTGACCTTTGTCCTCATCGCCTTGGAGGTCGTCTACTCTGGTGTTGTCTCGACCATCGTCTGTTTCTTGATGGAGCCAAAGATCCTGAAGGCTTCCAAGCCAGAGATCTACCAACTCTACACTTCCACCTACAAGAAGATCGTTCTCTAAACGATACTTCGGCTCCTCATTGCCATCCCTCCTCCCCTCCCCATCCACATTGTATGTTCAACACCATCACCTCCACAATCACCGTCACCATCACAGTCACAATCACCATCAGTTCAAGGAGACACACCCTCCAATCGACTACCACCTATCTACCTACCTACCTCCATACCTATCTTGGCTCCAAATCAATAAAGCAGACAAGTCATTTCCTTATTCTAACTGCTCAATCCTTAATAGTATATCATTACCATTATAAGTAATCACTTCCATTAATGTCCATCACTTCCATTTATGTACATCATTTCCATTTAAGGAGTGATTGACCATTCCCAGCTCATGGTAATTGTAGGTTGAGCGGACAAGTATAAATAGGACAGCTGGAGCATACTCATTGACATCATTCAAACAAGTTAACTTACTTCCAATACATTGACTATCTACTTACCTATATCATCAATCAATCAATCTATTATACCATGACTCTCATTGGTAGGTACACAACAAACTCATTCCATTATTCATTTAGTCTCTAACATTCATTCACTTCTCCTCCACATTATAGCCAACTTGAAGAACATCGCCAATCCAATGGTTGCCATCCAACGATCATCTTCTGTACTGTCCACCACTGGTACTTCATCGAACGAGTCCGACTACAGTGTCGCCTGTTGCTGCAGAAGAAGAAGAAGAGTCCGTATCAACATCAACATCTTTGGAGGTGACAGTGGATGCGGAGACTTTGATGGATGTGATGGACTCGATGACTAGGCCTGGGAGAGGATGTGGTCCATGTTTGATCATCATCAACATCCTGTGGACACTGACTGACACTGGTAATAAATATCACAAGTGATTACTTGTCATCCATGTTTCCACCACACTTGATTTCGATCGATCACCTCTCTGATCAAACTCACACTTTGCAGATCATCGCGACAAACATTCACTTCACTTCATCACACTACACAAATACAATCTAATACTCATTATAACAATGAATAGCAGCGGCGGCAGCAATAGTACAACAACAACAAGTAGTATCACTACTGTAGGCAGTGGCAAAGACGACCTTGAAGAGCGATACCTCACTTCACCGCCTCATCCCATACCAAGCCGATTCGAGAAGTTGGTCATATCATGGGCACAGGACGAACATTATATAACACATGCTACATTCAGAAAGTCGCTGGCAGGTGAGACATCATACATTGGCCTGCTCACCAGCTATCGCTTCTACAAGGTCGACCCCGACACCAACCGCATGACATGGTCGATCAACATTGTCGATATGCACTCGGTCGAAGGGGATGAAGCAGTCGATCCCAAGATACTCAAGATAGTCTATCACCTCAGGCCTACGTCTGGCGATGGCAACAGCAATAATGAGCCATCACCGCCCGACTCGCCGCATCTTGGCTCTTCTTCACATCAAACATCGGGCATGCAACGTCTAAGTATGGTGACAGCCTCAATCAAGCGTGCAACAGGCTCACACAGTACAGATGACAGCTTTGTTGGCGAGAAGAGTTTGGTGGCCGAGTCAGAGGATGCTCGTGATCAATGGCTGATTGCCCTAAGACAACTGATGCGCAACACCTTCCAAAAGCTGTTTGAGTCATCATTCATCCCCGCGCCTGCAGTCTACCAACTACACCTCTATGTATATAAGACAAACAGGAAGGGAAAGAATCAAGTATGTTTACATTGAATGATTGATCATTCAATCAAAGGATGTGACCGCAACTGACCCACCACTAACCTTCAATCAATCAATCAACCAACAGATAAGATGTATATTAGTATCGACAGAGAGAGTGTATAATATAAGCGTGAAGCAATCATTAGAGTTGGGCAAGCCAAAGGTATGTTATGTAGTCATGGGCGAGGTGATGTTGACACCATGGATGACTGACTGGATGTATTTAAGTGGTCCTTCTCAATTGGTTCACTCAAAGGTCTCCAGGTGTTCAAGAACCCGACCAACTTGTTACTGATCAATATAGACAGTTCCAAAGAGAGTGGCAAGATCAAGGAGACACAACAGTTTGTCATGAGGGATACCAACGAGAGGAACTTGCTGTAAGTTTGTTTTGTTTGATTCCAAATTGTTCCATGTTTCGGACTTAGACTGACCATCCATCACATCATCCTGTTAACATGTGACCTGCCTGAACCATGACTGACCGACTGACATTGCACAGTGCCAATGAACTAAAGAGACTGTACACAAAGATTACAAAGGGAACATTGTCAAAGGAGGAGAAGGATGAACATAGCAGTGCGAGCAAGAAGGGTACATCCAAGTCAAAGTAACCTATGTCACGTCAATGACATAAATATAACCATCCACAAGGCATCAAATTCCATTCATCACAACTTTGCGCAACAAGTAATAGCTCTGCATCTCTGATCAGTGTACACTGGAGTCAGTGAGTGAAGGTCATTCATTCATTCATTCATTAGTTTGGTTGTTTGGTTTGATGGATGGCCTCAACTAAACGAAACTGAGGCCTCACCTTACATGGTCAAGTTTTGTTTCCAACATCATCATCGTTTATCTCAACGTCCATTGGTCATTATTGGTCAAACAAACCCATCCCATTCCACACAACACACAATCATTCAATCAACATATCACACACACATACTTTACTTCACACACACCTCAATTGTGGTAATAATCACCTGATCAATCAAAAAGTGGTGATAAAAATAACACACTGTTTTAGCGAGTGATCACTTTTCAGATCCGCGAGCACCACACCACACTGGATCAGGTTTAAGCTGGCTGATCGTTGGTACAATCTGACGGCCAATCCAAACCGTTGGCATTGATCTGAGAGCTAACCTTCCAACCCTTTTATTCCCATCCCTACCCTGCTGTAGCTCTCATGATGGGGTGTTGTTCATTGACATCGATACATACACACACGAGAGAGAATAATAGAGAGAGCGATTACTATCACTCTTAACATGTGACAATGTAGCTACCCCACACCCCTAGAGAGGGGGCCGGATGTCTTCCGCAAGTTGACCCATTCAATCAATATTGAATGGCTTCTCTCGCTTGTACATCGATCAGTCAGACAGTAAGGCACACACTCCAACGGACGCCGATGGCATCAAACGACAAGGTTAAAGGTGGTGGTGTTGTGGTCGTCCATCCTTTCTTCCTTCCCTTCCTTGATGTGATGTATGCCTAACAAGCGGGTGTGCAATGCTGTGTTCCTAACTCCAAGGCCTCGCTCATATTAAACCCTTACTTACTCACTTAACTCATTCAAACTCCTACACACCTTCCTTCCCTTCAAACAAAGTAAATAAGTGATTGTATTGATCCACACTGGTTGGCGACCTTGGTTGATTGCTTGATTGATTGATTGCTCCTCATTCACACTCACTATCACACACTTAATCAATCACACCCCCATTGCGCGCCCTCCTCTTGTCCAACACTCACTCCCGCTTCCAAGGACACTCCACTAACTCATTCAATCACCCTCCCCTCACCTCATTCATTAATAACATAACTATCTATATCTTCCTACAACTAAATATACCAACAACAATACTCTATTATTACTACATTCCTTTGTTGCTACTCTTAGATCAACTCAACTCAATCAATCAATCAAAAAGTTTGAGCTGCCCATTCAATCTGCGAGTGCGACTTGACAGACAGACAGACAGCCACAGCCACAGCATCAGCAACAGCCACAGCCACAGCCTCATCCACAGCCTCATCCACGATGACTACGATAAACTCAAACAAATTATTACAACAGGGCATTAGCAAAGATGGAAAGACGGTGCGAATTGAGAATACAAAGATTAAGCAGGTCAATTGTCCAGCATTCTTGCGAGCCATCCAACCATTGAGTTTCGTCTCGGCGGTGATTGTAAAGAATTGTAGACTAAAGACTCTGCCACCAGACATTGGCGAACTGGTCCAACTGCGTCGTTTGGTTCTCGAGGACAACAAATTGACAGAGACTCCAAGCTTTGAGCGACTAGAGTCACTCGAGGAGTTGGTACTGGCAGGAAATGATATCAACGTATTTCATCCATCCATCGCCAAGCTGTCACAGCTGCGCATGTTGGACTTCTCCAGCAACTCGCTCAGCTCAATACCCGTGCGAATGACGGCGATGGAGCGCCTGCGCGAAATCTACCTCGACCACAATCAGTTCAGCAACTTCCCCTCACACATGTGCGACCTGGACGCGCTCACCAGCCTGTCCTTTGCTGACAACCAGATTCGATCAATGTCCGACGCGATTGGACGTCTGCGCAGTCTGACCAAGCTGGTGATGGCCGGCAACCTGCTCGAGGTGCTCCCCGCCGAGATCTCCAACCTGGTCAATCTCACCTATCTCGACGTCTCGAGTAACTTCCTCTCAGCCCTGCCCGATACTATTGGCGCATTGACGCGTCTCCAGTACCTATACCTACAACACAACAAGCTGGCGGCCCTGCCCGACCAGCTGGCCGGATGCACTGCACTCCTGGTCCTGCGCATCAATGACAACGCACTTAGCTACATACCCGCTACCATCGGCCAACTCACACAACTGACAGAGATACACGCGCATGAGAACAAACTCATGACGCTGCCCCAGGAGATCGAGGGATGTCTCGCGCTGAAGAAGTTGACACTCGAATACAATAGACTGGCGATGCTACCACAGCGACTGGACCAACTGAACTCGCTCAACTTCATCACGCTCCACGATAACTCTCTGACTGAGCTGCCCAGCTTCCTGCACGTCGACTTCCTACAGCATGTCGTGCGTCTTACACTCCACAACAACATATCGTTCGACCAGCTAGTCGCAGAGATGCAGGGCAGCAACCCGTTGCCGCCCACTCACAACGCCATCCACGTGCTGCAGCAACACTACAACAACAGTGTCCTGGCCGAGTCGTCCTCATCAATATTCACAGTCAAGGAGAAGAGTCAAAGCAACAGCAATGGCAATGGCAATAGCACAGGCCTTAGCCACTCTGGATCTTTCACATTCAGCTCTTCCCCTTTGAAGGGATTCTTTAGCTCGCCCACCAAGAGACGCGACTCGATACATCAGCGACCTAAGGGCCTGGGCACCAGCACCAACATCTCGATATTGGAGGAGGAGGGCGACACAGAAGGATCGGACACCAACTCCAATCACTCCGGTTCCGGATTCCTCAAGAGAAACTCGATATCACCGCGCAACAGTATAGATCTCGGCGTAGTTAGCTCGCCCGATGTGTTGTCCGCGTCTACACTGCTGCCACCCTCACCTTCACAACTATCCACATCGCCATCACTCAGCTCCAGTAGCTCCAGCACATTCTCTCAGCAACTTTATAAGCCTCGCGACTCTATCTCATCGATGGCCTCGCTCTCTTTGCACAATCCAGCGCCGTCTTCCAGTAGCACGGGAGGCAGTGGCACGCCACCACTTCCAACGATGAGCATCACGCGATCCCCATCTACCCTGCTCAACATCCTGTCGAACCGACGTCGATCGATATCCAACAACGCGCCAACTTCACCACCACCCTCGCCACAGTACCGCCACTACCAATCACTGTTTGAATCACTGATCGATGATCTAGACTATTCACGCAAGCGTAAAGAAGACATGCTCAACATACCAAACGATGACAAATGGTCATTCCTTCAAAAGTTGAAGCCAGACTGTACTTCATGTCTGATCAGTGTATGTACCATCAATCGCCCACCGATCAATCGATCGATCACCCACTCACTCAATCACATCAATATAGAATGGAGTATATGTTAATTCCCAGATAGCCAGTTCGACCTCTGACCTAAAGTCATTGCTGTCCTCACCTCCCAAGGTTAACCAGTCAGCCACAGGCTCATTCCTTGGCTCTCCACGATCATTCTCTTCCAACTTGTAAGTTCTAGCGCACACCTGGTGTCCAAGTTGTCCAACTCATGTGAACTAACATACCCCAACGAACATAGTGTCAAACTACCCAAGAGTCCAAGAGGATATGCCAAGGTCATGTCAACACATCAGTTGAATACTCTAGAGGATATTAAGCGTATTGGACAGAGCTTGTCTGAGAAGTCTGTCACTTGGGTGGTCAACTTTGCAGAGAGTGGAGGTATTGTTGCCATTCTCACCTTTATCTCTGCCATCATGTCCAAGGACAGTAGGACAGAAGATGACTACGCCGCGCTGACCGAGTGTTTATATTGTCTAAAGGTGTTGGTCGAGGTATGTACATACACCATCCCCAAGGTCATCCAAGACACTAACCATCACTCGTTCATTCAATCAATCAGTTGGAGATGCAATCAATATTGTTGACAGACGCTACCGACACGATATTCCCTTTGGTATTGATGCCGAACTTGCCGGTGAAGAGGAATGCGTTCGAGGTGTTGGACTTGTTGTGCAAGACATTCTACATTGGCTCATCCATAACATTGGAGTCAATCAAGAACTTTGCAAAGAGGAAGAACCTCTCGATGCAACAGGCCTACGACTACATAGTCTCACCTCTGAGTGGCGAGTATACTGCCGATCTCAAGGTCAACTGCATGTCACTGGTCAATCACTTTATCAAGAATTGCCGTAAGGTCCAAGAGCGTGTGGAGATGCGTAACCTGTTCGTTGCGTGCGATATACTCAAGATTATCAAAGAGGTTCGCATTGATGGCGAGGGCATTGCCACGTCGTCCTGGAAGGCACTCGAGACCGAGATGGCCCTGTTCGAGTCTTCAATGGTCGATGATGAGAACTCCCTATCCATGCTCACTCCGCGTCTATCTGGCATCGAGCTGTCTGACAGTGGCGGCGAGGAGAATGTCATTGCCACAGGCGTTGGCAACTCAGACGCCCGTCTTACAGTCCTCATCGCCTGCACATCAGAGGAGGGATCAATCACGGGTCCAGTGCGAGAGGTCCTGGTGCCGATATCAAAGAAGACACAGGTGTCAGATGTGATCAGGACTATCACCAGCTCCAACTCCAACCTGAAAGACTTTGGAGAGTGGGGATTGTTCATGCGAGACATTGACAAGGCCACTCAAGAGGGCAGATTCCTCAAGGATGAGGAGTATCTTGCTGATCACCAAGCGTTGAACGACGGTGCCAATCAATTCCGCGAGTACTCACTCAAGATGGTGCCGTGGAGGGTACGTGTCTGTCTGGATCGCATCAAGGAGATGGGATTGGTTTGCCCGCAGACGTCCTCCGCCAACAAAGGAATGATCATTGTTGAGGAACCAATGGACCCGACAATGACCTGCGCAGTACTTGTTGGTCGCCTGATCAGGAAGTACCTACCCAAAGCGAATGAGCAGTACAGCTTGGAGTCTGATGACTTTGGACTATACCTCGACAGCTTTGGTTTTGGCACTGGCGGACAGGCAGGTTACTGGCTCGAGCCATTGGAGAAGCTGCACGTCAACAAGGAGATATTCAAGGACCCCAAGTGCTCAGTCACGCTCCGTCTGCGTCTAAAGCTTGTCAAACTCAAGTTCGCCGACGACACATTTGAACAGGTGCGTCTGGACCTCACCGCGCCCACCCAAGACGTGTTCAAGGAGATCGCGCAGAAGATTGTTGATCCAGTCAATGGCATCAACTTGTCACACTATGGAATCTTTGTGGATCGACTGGGCGAGGTTGTGACGCATTCGGACAAGCAGCGCAAGACAGAGTGGATAGAGCCAGGACGCCCGCTGTACCACTACAAGATAAGTGATCGTGTGTGTCTACGCTTTGCCGTGCGACCCACTCCCATTACACTCATGATGGACTCGTCCTTGCTTAGCCCAGCCACAGAGAAGCAGCAGCAACAGCCCCCAGAGATCGAGCCATTGACGATCAGCTCCAGCGCGGCTACACCCCACAACATGGATGCTGTTGCCAGTCTGATGATGCCAACCGCCAAGCCTATTGAGCTGAAATCGATCACTGTCCAGATCCCTCTGCACCTTCCACTGCACGCCTCGCTTGATACTGATGAAAACTGGCTACAGAGCAAGGTGGAGCAGGCCAAGTGTCTCTTCCACATAGACTCGTTTGACGGACCCGTCATCAATCAGTACCAGCCACTCAATAGCCAGTACTTCACCACGGCCAACAAAATCTACGTCGAGCTGGCTGAGGAGTCTGACCAATCCGTTCCAGACTATATGCATCACAACGCCACCAACATCTGGGAGGAGGTAAACGACCGAACGACCATCTTCTTTGATGTCAACCCAGTCACCACCAAGCTGACCAACATCATTCGTGGCGCTACACTCAACAAGCTCGTGGAGATCTCGACCAACAACATCGATGTGGACCGCGATACAATGAATGTGTTGTTGCTCACATACATGTCTTTCACAACGTCTGACACTCTGCTGGAGAAGTTGATTGAGCGCTACAATGTGCCAGATCATATCGAGAAGAAGAACAAGAATGTCATCCAGTTGCACGTGATTGTATTCATTAAGAACTGGCTGGAACAGCAGTCGCCGCAGGCTGCCAGTGGAGGTGGCCTCGAGGAGCGATTCCTGGAGCGCATCAATCAGTTTATCGACAGACTCTCGGGCGATGGCTACGCCAACATGGTGCCACCACTGCGCAAGTTAGTCGAGTCTGGCATCAAGAAGAAGCGAGCCTATGCCATGCCGGAGGTGTCGCGCAGCCTTAACAACTCCAGCAAGTTGCCTTCACTCCAGCTCTCTTTCTTGGAGGACGAGCTGTTTGTGGCGCAGCAGTTGACACTTCGCGAGTTTGACATATTCAAGCGCATCCAGCCTGTGGAGTTCCTCAATCAAGCGTGGAACAAGGCCAAGCTGCAGTACAAGGCTGCCAACTTGCTAAAGATGATCGATCACTTCAACAAGACATCGGTGGCCATCTCCACTTCGATCCTGTCGCAGCCCAAGATCAAGGCGCGTGTCAAGTTGATCTGCCACTACATCAACATTGCCTTGCACTTGCGCAAGCTGAACAACTTCCATCTGCTCACGGCCTTCCTGGCCGGTATCCACAACTCGTCCGTACTTCGTCTGCGTCTATCATGGAGCAAAGTGCCCAAGAAGCTGAGGCAACAACTCGAGGAGCTGGAAGAGGTCATGTCCATGGAGGCATCATTCAAGACATACAGGACATTGATCAAGGAGCTAATACCTCCATGTATTCCATATTTGTAAGTACTAACCTGACAACAACATTGATTGATTGATTGATTGATGATCTAACCATCATATCCACGCAACTACAGAGGTGTATATTTAAAGGATCTGACATTTATAGAGGATGGCAACAGCGATAGTGTTGACGGCCTGATCAATTGGGCAAAGAAGAAGCTCATCTATACGATTATATCAATCATACAAGGCTGCCAGGACATCAACTATGATTTTGGACCGAGTTCACCATCGACGGCCCAACGGGCCGAGTTGGTGCTGGCATCATTCGATTCGCTGCCAATGGCCAACGACGAGGTGCTGTACCAAATGTCACAGCAGCTGGAGCCCAAGCAGAATGGTGTCCAATAAACTTTGCTTTGAAGAACTAGTGAGCTAGTCATTCATCCAACTCTCCCCTATGTAGCTGTGATCGTCGATGATGACGTTGATGTTGTCTCCATTGTTGTGTCGTCCTCGTCTTCATCCTCATCATTGTCACCTTGTTTGTTGAGGTCTGGATCAACGCGCTTCCTCTTGTTTGGTACAGGGGCTAGGTAGGTATCGAGTTAGCTACGTCCATATCAATATCAACAATAACAACTACATCATACCCTTCTTGTTCTCTTGGAAGTAGAACTTCTGGAGGACGTGTATCGCTTGCTCCCTGAGCACACCAGACACACAGTTGTAGGGATGACCATACTCAAAGTTGTCGACACTGTGTATAGTGAGGATAGAGCCATTGCCACCAAACTTATCATTGTAGCAACCAAAGTACACAGTTCCAATATGTGCCAGTTGTAGTACTGCAGCACACATTATGCAAGGCTCCACAGTGACGTATAGTTGACACTCGCTCAACAACTTCTCATTGTTGTACTGCTCACAAAGATGATGCTGTTGTCCACCAGGTAAGAATATTGAGTCTATTGCTTCAACCTCTGCATGTCTCGTTGCCTGTCATCATGTTAGGTTCGTGTCGTTGTAGATACCTTCAGCGATATCCTACATACATTCTTCTTGATATTGGTCTTGTTTGATCCCTGTGCAATTACAACATCGTTGTGAACTATTACACAGCCTACAGGTACTTCTCCTTCATCTAAAGCTTTCTTTGCCTATGTACGTACATGTATGAGTAAAGGTTACGACTCCGAAACATCATCAATCACTCTAACTCACCTCGTTCAAAGCTAACTTCATAAACTTTGAATGTTTATCAGTATCACCATATGGCGTACCAGCCATCTCCTTGATATCCTTTGAGAAGTACTTAGTCTTTGTATCCATAGCTTCGCTTCGTCTAACTAATAAATTATAATTGCATTGTTTGAGGAGAATGTCCAAAACAAGTCCACTTGAATGCATGAAGTACCAGTTCATTCTTTTGGTAGTCATACCCATAGATAGGTATACTAACCTAATATAGTAATGATAGAGTGAGCTCACCACCTACCTACTTTGGTAATTCGTTCATCAGGAGTTAGGTCTGTATGAAGCATTGAGATAAGCTCAACATTAATTATCATTAATCATTACACTCAATCAATCTATCAATAATATATACATACTAAACAATTATGTTAATTAGACAAACAATAGTTCTAGTTGTGCTGCTCCTCGTACTGTTGACCAACAGTGTATCAAGTAACAAACCTGTAGTCATCAATGATTGCTACCAATGTGATGAGAATGATAGACCTTTGGCAATATGTGAATCCACTGACGGAACCAAACAATGTACAAGATTCCTAGGTGATACATGTTTGAGAGTATTCTTACCTTGCAATGGAATGTTCACTGGTCAATGGTCGTTCTACCAGTTTCTAAACAAAACACATTACAACATAGTCAACTTCCGGACTTACTCCGAATGTATGGATGGAGTCAATGGTACCGTACAAGCATCACTAGCTTGCAACACATGTGTATTAGGTAGACATACTTCATGTGAACTATCATCCTCCACATCACTATTCCAGGCAGCCGATCTATCCTGGATGATAGTATTGGTTGTGGCGTCATTAGTAGTCCTTTGAATTGGGATACCCAAGAGTTATTGATTGATTCACTAGTTAATAATAGAGATATTAAAAGAAAAGTGAAAGATATTTTGATCAACCTTTAAAAAGATTGGCCCCAAAAAGATCACAAAAGCCCCAATGGTAAAGCAGATATTTATTTCAACGTCTTCCAACTTTTGATTGGTCTTCCTTGATTCATTAGTTTAAAATTATACATCATAATCATCACAAATAGATTTCCTTATCTCAATACCTAACTTAAATTATCTTTATCTTTTTAAACAAATAATAACCAATGTCTGCTACAGAGGAGAATCTTTTCTTGCATCCAAACTTCCATTTGCATGGATGGATGTGGAGCCACCAGACTGCGAGACGTTTAGCTTACTTGATAGATAACAAGTTGAAGAGTTGGCAACCAAAAACTAAAGAGGATGTCAAGTCAATTCAAAAGGTGATTCAGTATTATGGAAAATTCATTCATAATCATCATCATCACGAGGATGAACAGGCTTGGCCATTCTTAATGGAATGTGAACCAGAGGTCAAAATACATCTAGATCTAGCCGAGACACAACACAAACAATATGATGATCTATGGGATCAAATATCTATTGACCTCAAAGCCCTTGATAACTTTGATGCTGCCAACCCCGAGTCCACAACCGAGTCAATCAAACAACTATCAACCAAGTTCAAGGAGTTAAAAGACAATGTAGATAATCATTTTGTTGATGAAGAGCGGACCTTACTTCCATACGTGGTCAAGATACCAAAGGACAAACAATTGAAGTTGGCAAAGATAATTGAGGTATGTATGATCTTGGTACCCAAGTTAACTTTGTACTAATTAAGCTTGTTATATTAGGATTTGTCAAAGAAGGAAGACATTGCCAACTTTAGTATCTGTGCCATGATGGACACTTCCAAGCACGATCAATTAGTTGCCAAGTCATTCGACAAGACTGTTCCATGGGTTGCAAGGACTATGCTGTCCTTCTTTGTCGCCAAGAAGGAATATGGTTGGTTCCTCAAGGCCGTTGATGCGATCAGTGTCCCACAATCATAGAGCAATAAACACAATAATGTAAACTTGGTAGGTAGATGGATTGGATTGTAGTTGGAGAGTTTATGGGAGGGGGAGAAGAGGAGGGACAGGGTCCTCACAACCAGGCGCGCCAGGTACTCGGAGGGGAAAAAAGACGGTATGGTTGATACTTGATATATGACAGGGGAGGGTAAGAGATATAGAGTGTTCTCCAGATGGCACTGACCAAATTGATGATCGGTAAGAGTATTCCCATCAACTGGGGCAGAATCACGCGTCGGGTTGGTAGATCATTGAATGATTGAATAGTTCTTGCTGCCTCTACCCATCGTGATGGCTGACTGATTGCTTCCTCACTGCTGCCGATGGTTGATTGATTGATTGATCACTGCCAGTGGTGGTTGGTTTCCAAGGATTACGACTATGATATGGGAGGGGGAGAGCCCATGGTGCTCAGTGGAAGATGGAAAAGTTTGGCTGGAAATCTACTACTACTCCTACGTCCGATGTGAATGTTGAATTTGTTCGATTGGCTGATGCTGGTGATTGTCCATCGCCAGTCTTGTTGGCCTTGTTTGAGCGTCCACGCTTCTTTGGAGTGTCACCGTCGGTGCCAGTGCTATCAGCCTCCTCATCATCCTCGACCTCAGCCTCTGAGGGGTCCTTTGGCTTCTTGGGACGGCCACGCTTCTTGCCCTCGGCACCTGGTGACTGTGAGGCCTGCAGCTGTGCACGGACTGGGTTTCCATCCTTGTCCAGCTTGGGTGGACGACCGCGTGGTCTCTTTGGCAAGTTGGGGTCTTTTGGTGCTGGTGGAGGGTTCTTTCTGGGACGACCACGTGCCCTCTTCTCGGGAGTGGGCATTGGTGATAACATTGGCGATATGGTGAGGCCTGTAGTGGTGGTAGTGGTGGCGCCCAATGGGCCCAGTAATGTCGTGGAGCCTGGTCCAAGCAAAGTGGTGGCGCCGGATCCCATCATCGTTGTGGTTCCTGGTAGTGTATATTGTGAAGCTGCGGATGGAGGCACTGGTGGCGATGTGGCTGTTATTGCAGAGATTGATGAAAGTGTAGTGGTTGTATTTGGGTTTGGTGTAGTTGGTTGGGAGTGTAACAGTGGACTGACATTATTAGTCAGTGATATCTGTGATGGCATTGGCAGATGTGCCACTGGTGTAATCGATGCTGTTGTCGATGCAACCATTGGTAGTGAAGCCGGGGCGGACCTAAACAGAGAGTACAAGTAGTGTTTGTAAATGTCAGTTAGTTAAATTTTTGATTGTTCATGATGACTGTCATTCTTACGTTATAGTTGGTGATGAGATTGTAGGTGTTGTTGGGTTCGACATTGTTGTCGGTGTCTTGTGAGTGTCGTTCATTGTTTGTCAACTTTGAGCTCTACTCCTATATATTGTTTGTTGGTTTTGATTGTGTTAAAGATGTAGTCTATATTGATTGAATGAATTTTTGATTGATTGAAGCATTAGTATATATATCAAGACCATTGGTAGTCAATCAATATTGATTGGTGATGTCATTGTCATTGTCTTTGTTGTTGTTCACAAAGGTTGGGTGAAGATTGAAAACTTTCAACAACACACAACACACACTCACTCGAGAGACTTTAGATAAAGTCGATGAGCAATGTGAGGGTGAGTGTGTGTGCGAGGAGTGTGTATTTACCTTTTGCGGACATAAAGATCTTGCAAAGAGTGTCGGGCGCACGAACAATCAATCTACGCACGCATACACTTTTATATAATATCAATTTACTTTATTGTTATATATATTATAATAGTATATATATTATCTCTAATAATAATAAATAATAATAAAATAGAAATAATAGAAAATAACACAATAATAAAAATAAATAAAATAAATGGGTGTGAGGGAGGTGTACTTGAGCCTGTGAGTGAGGGAGTGAGCGTGCACGAGAAGTGAGAGATAGTTGTGTTTGTGTTACGCCTCACTCTTACACATTCACACACATATACACACACTTCGAGCACGCTCACCCACCCCAACCCCAAACATTCATCATCCAAAACTTACTAACAACACCCCAAATAATAATTAAAATTAAATCGTTTATTTGAATGTGAACAGATTCAAAATACTTAACGGAACGACAGTTGAAAGATTTGAATTTTGCTCCGTTTTGAAGTTCTTATCCCGACTTGTTGATCATGGCACTGTGATTGTTGTTTGGCAGTTTGGGTGAGTTGACATTGTCAACATCAAATGAAGAAGATAATGATTGACAAATGAATGATGACTAAGCTCTGGTAACATTGGATGGAGTCGATAATGATGTATGATTGATGACCTGACTGGCGACAATGTTGGGCTGAATGTCGAGACAATGACACATCCATCACATCACCAAGATTTTCCAAGTTTCCCTCATCTCCATGACCATGTGACTTTTGAAGATCTTTAGATTCATTTGAAGAATGCATTCAAAGAGATAATATGGATGACAATACTCTAGCCAATAATAGAGAACAGGACACTGTTGTTCAGAGTTCACCATTCGCAACCAACACCACGATTATCTTGAACATTTTACAACATCTACATGATGTGTTCTTCGATGACTTGGAAATGGTGTGCAAGAAATGGATGGATGTTATGAACAACGATCAGCTGTATAGAGTGATGTCATATCAGAGATGGCCTCTGTTGAGTTTGTATCCCGCCAACTGGGATCCATCAACTGCTGTCCGTGTGAAAATACCCAAGGAGATCAAGGCCAAAGCAGTAAAGGCTGTCAAGAAATCTGGTACTGGACCAGAGGAGAAGCCAAAGGTGGAGCAGAAACAATCAAAGGAGGAAGACATCGAACTAGACACGTCACCAACATGGAGTAACTTCTTTTTTGATCGTGTCGAGAGGGAGGAAACTATGATGTTTATACCTCGATGTATGGCCGCAAGCACTCGTCCAAAGGCGAACGTGGCCGAATTATTGGAACTCGCCAACGAGATCAGGGACAAGGCAACACTTGGAGTGTTCGATTTGGATAAGATCGATGAGGTCTCATCAAACAACCAATACCTCAAATGCATGCTCCAGTCTGTAACCTACACTGACACCAGAATATTGATCAAACACTTCTATGATGGCTGTGATGATGGAATGGGTCAGAAAGAAGAGTATCACATCCAAGGATCATTCATCAATGTTCATGGCAAGATCATCGAGTTCAAGTTCTTTGCAATTGGTGTCGTGCAAGGTGGTCACAGCGATGGCTACTACCACAACGAGAACAGTCGTCTTGTTGTTGGAGAGTACAAACACATGATAAAGAATTATGTCGAAAAGATCGGCATGTTGAAGGCGACATTGTTCAAGATCATCAATGATGTCGACCATTCAGACAAGGCACAACAAGACAATGCACGACTCTCAGATGCGGACATCAAGCAGTTCTTCAAGATGATCCTGCCATCCACCTTCTGGGAGAGTCCTTACTTCAACTTGAATGATGATTGGGATACCCAGGATCATGACGATGATGATGAACAGATGAACGATAGCGATGAAGAGTGAAGCATTCTGATAAACTGATGGAACTTCAAAGAGAATGAATAAATTTAAATTCATGATAAACCTTATGTTGAATGAGATCTCTGCGATACAGTATCCCCGCTCTTGTTGTGTGTTTGATCAATCACTCCTTGGACAATTGGTACGTTCTTGTCAAAAGCAGAGACTTGATTGTGTGTAAGCTCACCTAAGAGTGTTTTTGTTTTCTCTGGATCTCACAAACACGTACCAATTCAAAGTTGTCGTGATTTGACGTCAAACAGATATTTGATATGCCCGATACCAACACATTGGTGTGCATTGGAACTCAACATGGATACCTGTCTTAGGATTGGTCGCACAGGTGATGGTTCACATCGCGATGTGATGTGATGCAATGGTGTCTTTACACTTACGTAAAGAGTAAATCAATCATTCATTCATTCATTCATACATAAGTATATATTTATAACAATGAGACAACTATTTATTATAGCATTGGTGGCTATATTCTTGGCTGCGGCAGTGTCCTCTACCAACAGCATGTGGACAAAGACCACTCGCGCACAATCAGACCACACACTTCAGTTCCGTGTAGCACTCCGTCAACACAACCTAGACATTCTCGAGTCTACACTCCTCGATGTATCCAACCCATCATCAATCAACTATGGTATGAATGAACGAATGATCGAATGAATGTGTTTGAATGGAACCATTCCTGACCTCACTCCAACCCCCCACACCCTAATCAGGCAAACATTGGACGATTGATCAGATCTTGGACTTGATCGCACCTTCATCATCAGAGTCTAATCAGGTGGTCGAATACCTTGAGATGAATGGCGCATTTGATGTGGAGAACAAGCGTGATCACATCATTGCCACGGCCAATGTTGAGGATATCGAGCGTATGTTCAATGTGCAGATGTTCAACYTTCAAGCACAACACAAAGAAGAGCCAGAGAATCATCCGCTCTTCATCCGGTCGCTATAACATCCCTGCCCAGATCTCAGAGTTTATCGACATGGTGTCGGGAATCGCTGAGCTCCCCCACACCACCAAGCGCAGTGCACCCCGCTCCCTCGAGGTCGATGCCGTCGGCGACGCCGACCCTGGAATCGTCATCCCAATGACCATCCAGAACATCTACGGCATCCCCACTGGCTACAACAACAACGCCAACACATCAATCTGTCTGGCCGAGTTCCAGGACGACGCTTCCTACAGGAAGAACGACCTCGCCACATTCGCCACCCAGACCGCCACGCCAATGATCAACGTCGATCACATTGTCGGACCATATGCGCCAATGAACCCCGACCTCGAGGCCACCTTGGATGTTCAATACGGTGGTGCCGTCGCAGAGACCGCCTCAGTCTGGTTCTGGACGGTCGAGGGATGGATGTACGAGTTCGCCACCGACCTGTTTGCCACCACACCCGCGCCCTACGTCGTCTCCATGTCATGGGGCTGGCCCGAGAACCTCCAGTGCACTGGCGGCGTCGGCAACTGCATTGACAATGAGTCTGCCGCTCAATACGTCGGCAAGGTCAATGTCGAGTTCATGAAGATCGGTTTGCGCGGCATCTCACTGCTCGCCTCCTCGGGCGACCAAGGTGCTCCAGGCGATGGCAACTCGTATTGCACCAAGAAGACCGAACCAATGTCCTCTATCTTCCCAGGCGCCTCCCCCTACGTCACCTCGGTCGGCGCCACCATGTTGGCCGCCGTCCCCAATCAGAAGGCCGACGTGTCGGACTCGCAGCCACCCGTCTGTGGCATGGCTCCATGTGCAGTCTCCACCAATGAGGTGGCATGCAGCTGGCCCGACGCACTGATCACCTCTGGCGGTGGTTTCTCTGTCTACTCACCAATGCCCTACTGGCAGGCGACCCAGGTCAATGCCTACTTGAACTCTGGCATCGCGTTGCCACCATCAAACACCTTTAACGCGACCAACCGTGCCTTCCCAGACGTTGCCGCACTCGGCCACAACTTTGCCATCTATGCCAAGGGACAGATGTTGCAGGTGGACGGCACATCATGCTCGTCGCCCGTGTTTGGTGGCGTGATTGCTCTGCTCAACTCATACCGTCTCAACAACAACAAGCCAACACTGGGCTTCCTCAACCCACTGCTCTACTCTGCACCAACCAGCTGTTTCACCGACATCACCGTTGGAAACAACTCATGCACCGAGCAATGTTGCTCGCCTTATGGATACATGGCTGCTCCAGGTTGGGATCCAGTCACCGGACTTGGATCACCAAACTTCAAGAACCTCCTGGCCTACGTCCAGACTCTCCAATAAACTCGAATAGAGTTCCAATGTTCCAATGGGTTGTGGGTGAGGGCAAGGGTTCGGGCGAGGGTCAGGGGTTTGTTTGAGGTAAGTCATTTTCCAGGAAGGAAACCACAGTCCAGGCCAAACAAAAGTATCAGGTTATAATGTTTAATACACATATTTGATATTCATTTGAATTGATTCATTCAAAGAGATAAAATGGATGACAATAATCTAGCCAATAGAGTACAACAGAGTTCACAATTCGCAACCAACTCTACGATCATCTTGTACATTTTACAACATCTACATGATTTCGAGACAATCGATGCCCTGGATAAGGTGTGCAAGAGATGGAGGGATGTTACGAACAACGACTTGCTGTATAGAAAGATGTCATATCAGAGATGGCCTCTGTTGTTGAGTTTGTATCCCGCCAACTGGGATCCATCAACAGCTGACCGTGTGAAAATACCCGCCAAGAAATCTTGTACTGGACAAGAGAGGCCGAAGGTGGAACAGAATCGATCAAAGGAGGAAGGCGCCCAAGACACGCCAACAACATGGCACAAATTCTTTTTTGATCGGGTCGAGAGGGAGTACTCTATGTTAGTTCCTCGATTGATGGCCGCATACACTCAACCAAAGGCGAATGTGGCCAAATTATTGGAACTCGCCAACGAGATCAGGGACAAGGCAACACTTGGCGTGTTCGATTTGGAGAAGATCAATGAGGTCTCTTCAGACAACGAGTACCTCAAATGCATGCTCCAGTCTGTAACCTACACTGACACCAGAATGAAGATCAAACACTTCTATGGTGGCTGTGATGATGGAATGGGTCAGAAAGAAGAGTATCACATCCAAGGATCATTCATCAATGTTCATGGCAAGATCATCGAGTTCAAGTTCTTTGCTATTGGTGTTGTGGAAGGTGGTCACAGCGATCACTACTACCACAACCACGACAGTCGTCTTGTTGTTGGAGAGTACAAACACATGTTACAGAAGCACGTATATGACGAGAGTGAGATCAGCGAGTTGAAGGCGGCATTGTTCAAGATCATCAATGATGTCGACCATTCAGACAAGGCACAACAATACAATGCACGACTCTCAGATGCGGATATCAAGCAGTTCTTCAAGATGATCCTGCCATCCACCTTCTGGAAGAGTCCATACTTCAGCTTGGATTACGATTGGGATGGTTACAACGTCCACCATAATGATGATGATGAATCGATGAACGATAGCGATAACTGATGGAACTTCAAAGAGGATGAATAAATATATATTCATGATAAAACTTATGTTGAATGCGATATCCTCGCTCTTGTTGTGTTTGGAAACAACTAATGCACCGAGTTCGCCGATACCTAGCTGCATTAGGTTAGGATACAGTCCCGGACTTGGATCACCAAACTTCAAGAACCTCCTGGCCTACGTCCAGTCTCCCCAATAAACTCTCATTGAGTTCCAAAGTGGCGTGTGAGGGTTGTGGGTTAGGGCAAGGGTTAGGGCGAGGGCAAAGGTTGGGTGGGGGTACCAGCAAAACCCTGGTGCACCATTGAATATACTCACAAGATTGATATTATCAATCAAATAGATCAATCAATAACTCCTGGAATCATCCCAGCACTCACTCACTCACCCACTCATTCAATCAATCAATCAAGGTTAAGATCAAGATCAAGATCAAACAAGATATATGGATACTTTGCCAGATGTTGTGATCAGATTGATATTCATAATGTTGGACGACGATGAAGTGGATATCATGTGCTTGGGTATGAGTTGTGTCAGGTTGTTCAAGGTGCTGAAAGGTATGCCTCAGTTCTCACTGGAGAAGAAGGAACTCAGTTGGATCAGTGATGCACGTGATCGTTGGCTCAGATCAACCACACAGTTCGAAGCGGGTCAGACTCATACAGCTGATGACAAGTTGTTGAGAGTAGTTGATGGCAACAGTGGTAGTGGCAGTGGCATACCATCACTCACACTTCCACCAAACATCACAAGACTACGCTTTGTGACACATTTCAACACATCACTACTGCCCGGTCTGCTACCAGACTCCATCACATCGCTGACCTTTGGTGGAGATTACAACAAAGTGATCAGACCGCACACCCTGCCCAACACACTCATCAAGATATTCTTTGGTTCCAACTTCAATGTGATGATCATACCTGGTTCATTACCAGACACCCTGCGCACAATATCCTTTGGCTTCGACTACAACCAAGCATTCAAGCAAGGCTCACTCCCATCTGGACTCACATCACTGACCTTTGGATTCAACTTCAATCAAACAGTATGTGACGACCAAGTCGTCTACCTCCCAAGCTCACTCACATCATTGCACTTTGGTGCATGTTTCAATCAACATCTGACAAGGCTGCCACAGTCACTCATATCACTTGGACTGGACGGAGGCTTCTCCAGTCGTGTCACACTCCCGCCAAAGGTGGCGAGACTCAACGTGGCCTTCCTCTTCCAACTCAAACTTTTGCTCAAGACTGCAACATCAGAGCTCAAAGATGTTTGTGTCTCATACTTTCCAAGGAATTACAAAGAGATAGAGGCACCATTGAAGATACCATTGAGCATCAAGTTGAGTACAGTTACAAGCATCGTCAGACCGAATGAACCAATAGCCAGACTGTCTGAAAGACACAATATTCATAGAGTGGTCAATGAGTATTACAAGTCAATGATACATGCAATACCGAGTTATGAAGCGACATTTAGAATAATGCATCCTTATCAACCGGAACTAGTATGTGCATCATTTAGGAGACTGGATAGAAACACTACACTATACATATACAAGGAGGCGTACAACCTTCATGACGCGTTCAAACGTATAGGCGCACCACAATCACCATCCATTTGTAAACTATACCTAACCACCTCATCACAACCAGCACCAAACAAGGTGTCATCTGCCAAGAAGATCATCAATAAACTCTTTGGAAAGAATGTTGATTGATTGAATTATTAGAACTATTGATCCAATTATTTATTAATAAGGTTGGTTGATATTAAATATTAATATATTAATTTAATTTCATATTTAGGAATAAAATCAAAGTTATCAACTTTTGCAAACTCTACATTAACCAATACTAAAATACATATATCTGATCATTAGTACAAAGGAGAGAATGGCTTAGGTTGAAGGTGGTTACAATGAGGCAGTCGAGACACTCCAAGAACAACTAAACAAGATTAAAGGTTGGTCAAAAAAGATAGATCTACTCAATCAGGTATACATGTATAATACAACATCATAGCACTTGTCCACTTACTTACTCCTTATAAATCAAAGATAGGAGATCTACCAGAAGATGGAATTATACTTGATGATCGGATATCTTTCCGGAAGTTCTGGGAGCGGAGAAAAGAGGATGGCCAATCATCTGAGCAATGCGCACGTCTGTTCTATCTAGATTGCAAAGTGTTCATATTCGAAGTCCCTTCACTTGTTAAAGAATTAGCCGACAGTAGGATGATAAAACTCATACATGGACCAATCGACAGAGCAGGACATGATCACTTTGACTACCCTGCTTCAACTTCTATGATTGTCGACAATAATCAATCACTCCAACCGGACATGACTCTTCGCTCACTACATCGGCCACTCGACCTCAACTCACCCTCTATTGATGGACAAGGCAACCCATACCCTCCTCTAGTTGTCCTGACAGGTAGTGCACCACCTCACCAACAAACTGCTTCTACCATCAGCAATCAACTAGAGACACCAGGAGTAACATGGAGAGGACTTGGACATGGAGCAGACCAAGTTTGTGATGCTGCAGGCCTCGCTTTATACAGGGTCTCCATCCCAGTTGCTGAACTCAATGATGGTGCGACCATTGATGCTGTTGTAAATGGGACAAGATATGAGCCACCAGCAAACTTGTTGGTGTTGAACAACACTCAGGGTGCGATTATCAACAACGGGTTCATTAATGTAGATCTACATTCGATACAGCAAGTAGTGCATTCATGTCTTAAGTCCTTCCAGTAGAGTATGAACACAAACAAACATTCTCTGGTCTATACTCGACGAATCCAACCGATCTTAACTCAACTATGGCATGAAAGATTGAAAGAACCAATAAATGAATGTGTGCAAGTGGAACCATTCCTGCCTCAGGAAGGTTTGTGTGATGGCAAGGGTTGGGAATTTGGTAAGGGTCTAAATGATAACATAATATGAACTCACATCACATATTTGTTTCATTTCCAAAATCAATCAAATACATAATCAATCATACTCAACTTCCTGGAATCATCCCTCCGCTCACTCACTCACTCAATCAATCAATCAACATTACAGGATTAAGATCAAGATCAAGATCAAACAAGATATAAATGGATACTTTGCCAGATGTTGTGATCAGGTTGATATTCATTATGTTGGACGACGATGAAGTGGATATCATGTGCCTGGGTATGAGTTGTGTCAGATTGTTCAAGGTCTTGAATGCTATGCCACAGTTCTCACTGGAGAAGAAGGAACTCAGTTGGATCAGTGATGCATTTGATCGTTGGTTCAGATCAACTACACAGTTCGAAGAGAGTCAGACTCATTCAGCTAATGACAACTTGTTGAGAGTAGTTGATGGCATCCCATCAGTCGCACTTCCACCAAACATCACAAGACTACGATTCGTAACACATTTCAACACATCACTACCACCTGGCCTACTTCCAGACTCCATCACCTCGCTAACCTTTGGTGAAGACTACAACCAAGTGATCAGACCTCATGCTTTGCCCAGCTCACTCATCAACATATTCTTTGGTTTCAACTTCAATGTGATGATCATACCTGGTTCATTGCCAGACACACTACGCACACTAGTCTTTGGCTTCGACTACAACCAAGCATTCGAGCAAGGCTCACTTCCATCTGGACTCACATCACTGACTTTTGGATTCAACTTCAATCAATCAGTGTGTGACAACGAGGTCGTCTACCTCCCAAGCTCACTCACATCCTTGGACTTTGGTGCATGTTTCAATCAACCTCTGACAAGGCTGCCACGGTCACTCATATCGCTCGGGCTTGACGCATGCTTCTCCAGTCGTGTCACACTCCCGCCAAAGGTGTCGAGACTCAGCGTGGCCTTCCTCTTCCAGCTCAAACCTTTGCTCAAGACTGCAACATCACATCTCAAAGATGTATATATCACTGACTTGTCAAGGGGTAACAATGAGACCCTATGTTTGAAGATACCATCGAGTATCAAGTTGAGTACAGTGACAAGCATCATCAGACCTCACGAAACACTTTACACTATGTCTCCAAGTTACAATATTCATAGAGTGATCAATGAGTATTACAAGTCAGCGATACGTTCATTACAATTCAATGATCACGTGACATTTAGAATGATGCATTCTCATCAATCGAATCAAGTATGTGCATCAATTAGGAGACTGGATAGGAATACCATTTTATATATTTATAAGAAAATGTTCAACCTAATTGATTCGTCCAAACGTATTGGCGTGCCACAACCATCCATTTGTAAACTATTCCTAATCACATCATCTTATCCAACAACAACAACAACATCAAACAAGAATGTCAATACATCTCCGGCTCGAAAGATCATTAATAAACTGTTTGGTAAGAATGTTGATTGATTGATCATACAGGATATTTATTGATTAATGGTCACCAAAAAATTCTGGAAAGTAGCAACCATTTTCCAGGGCCAGAGAAGCAAAGTTGACACGTTGGTGCTCAGTGTAGGGTATGAGTATACGTTGATAATGACTTGGATACTTTGTGGCAAGGTTCTCTTTGTTGAACAACTTGATGAATTCTCTGAACAACGTTGGAATAAACAATTGTTTGAGTTTTGAGTCTGGGATGATCTGATGTGGAAATCTAATGAATGGATGCTTGATGACATGTACAACTTGATCACTTTGTTGTTGATTATGATGATGTAAATACTCTATTATGGCAAGATATAAATGGATGTTGACTTGGTCGCTGGGCACCTCGCTCAACTTCTGGTTCAACAGTTTAGGGTTCATCAAAGTGTGATGATCAATGAATAGAAGTAAGGTTGAAGCTTCCACCTCACATTGTCCATGACATCTCTTCGTTGTCCATATGATTCTTTGTACATCTCCATTGTCTATATGGCCACTTTGTAAGAGGTATTGTAGAATTCCAATTTGTTTGTTGGCAACTGGAGTATGATTGAAATGTTGCCAGATTGTCCAATGGTTGATCCATGGGCAGATAGTCAACAGACACTTTGGCGCCAGGTTCTAGGACCCAACCCATCTCGTCCAGGATGTATATAAACACCTCCATCATACCCTTCTTCAGAACATCATTGAGTATATCCTCCACATCTGATGTTCGATTGGGGTACTTTTGATGATGACGATCATCCATACGGTCGATGGTCTGTTTGAAGTTGTTGTGGAAATGTCTGAGAAAATGAAGGTTACCTGTGGACGCAGCCTGGCCAATGAGTTTGATCGCGGCTGACTTTGAGGACATGTTTGGTGTGTACTTGAGACGTTTGATTATCTCATCATTGTTGGCATATTGAGCGATGAACTTCTCATCTGGACACACTTTAAACTTATCCATCTTTGAGTATAATAAGTTCATTCGCCTATGTTTGAGTGCTAGGTTGGACATCTTGATCATTAGTGTACCGTTCCCAACGATGATGGAGTATCTCTTGATCAGATCCACCAATATTTTGATCGAGTTGGATTGATTAGTCGGTTGGAATAAAAAGTCATGAGCATCGAACATCCTGTCATTGAATATGTGAATAAACTGATTATTATCCAGGAAGTATGTATCCAACACCTTTTTGTAAAGTTCATAGTCCCTGTGATGCTGTAGTGTTGACAATATAATGTTCTGGAGCAATGTGATKGGGCATATCAACACTTGGTATAATTCCAATCACAGGTTGATTATGTCCTTGGTCATCATCATTGTATTGTTGAATTCACAGCATGTATTGGTTGTCACTAAAAATGACAACAGCTTGTTCATTAGATCCTTATTTGTTGATGTTGAGGAATATTCCTACCAACCTTGTCCTCAAGTGATCAATCAAATATCCAACTACATAAGTATTCTGTTTATCCATTGCCATCTTAAATAGATCACCAATGTGTACGAGTCTAATAGATTGGAGAGAGGTGAGTGAGTTATCATATATGATTGAGTGATTGGAATCATTCCAGTGAGATGATCAAATGATTGATTGAGTGATTGAGTGAGTAGAATCATTCCCATGGTAGCGTGATGAGTGATAGAATGATACATACAGATTGGTTTTATAACCTAGCATTCTGGTTATCGAACTATCAAGCAAATCACTGCCAACAACATTGTTGATATATAGTTGCTGAAATAATAAGATGAACCTGGTATGATGTCCAATTTGTAGACATAATCATAGACTTGTAATCTGATTGCCACGTATACTATTATGATCCAACAATAGATTTAACTGTCTAGCATGATCAAATACACTTGGTACTATAACCTTGTTGTTCAACAACACTATCTTCACAAGATTGTTCATCCCCTTTGTTGTTGTTGTTGTTGTTATTGTTTAAACAGTCGACTGACTGTTTGATTGAATTAATAGTGATAAAGATAGATTGATAGATATTTATATTTGTTAGATTGTTTAGTTATTTTGATCGATCGATTGATTGTGTCAGTGGGTGTGGGTGTTTTGATCAGCTGATCAATCTTAAGTTATTTTTGCAGACGACAAAACAGTATGCCCTCACTACACAATTCGATCATTCAATCACACATACTAGTAATAACTTATTGTACATATAATTTTATAATAATAGACAATGATAAGAATAATAATAAGAATAAGATAAGAATATGGACACTAAACTGCCTGATATGATCATCAGAGAGATATATCTTTTGTTGGAGAATGATGAAATGAATATATTATGTTTGGGCCTAAGTTGCAAACGATTGTTTAGGGTACTGAATGAGATGCCTCAGTTCACTCTACACAAGTCCCGACTCAAATGGACCAGTGATGAACAGGATCAATGGCTGATGACCTGTCCCCAGTACATCGCCTGTCAAACTCAATCACTCTACGCACAAGATGGCACACTACAGCTGCACAAGGTCACGTCACTCCAGCTCGACTCGGAGTTTGTCATCACGCCGGGCTCACTGCCCGACACCATCACATCATTGACACTGGATAGCAACTACAACAGCGTGATACATCCGCTGTCGTTGCCTCTATTCCTCACCAAGTTAAACAGGGGCTTCTACTTCAACAAGCCCATCGTACCGGCCTCGCTGCCCGACTCACTCCTGGAGCTAACGTTTGGCTTCATGTACAATCAACCGATCTCGCCCTACGTCCTCCCTCGCGCGCTCCTCTCTCTGACGTTTGGCTTCGAGTTCAATCATCCCATTCACATGGCTGGAGTACTTCCACCATCACTCACATCACTCAAGGTTGGTGAATGCTTCACCAATGCGCTACTGGCACTGCCGCAGACTCTGGTATCATTGGAGGTGGACAACATGACGCAGAAGGCAGTGCTGCCACCATCGATCAAGATACTCAAGGTGTCATTCCTCGATCAACTCTACACAATGCTCAAGTCAGTCACTGGACCAAGCATGCTGGAGCATGTCCGACTACATTACATACCTTTGAGCAATAGCTCGATCGAGAAGATATCACCGTCGATTAGGATTAGGATGCTGGTGGTCAGACAGGTCAGCTACCCAACCAAGTCACTCTCATATCTCGACATTGCACTGGAGCAGTTGGCATTTGTAATGCGAGCGGTACCATGTGCCGAGACCTACGGTCTGGTGCACCTATATCTACCTGATCAACTACGAGTGATTGCTCGTAGATTGGACAGTTGTACATCTTTATACATATTCAAGGAGCCTTATATATTTGATGAGGCTATCAAACATATTGGAGAGATTCATTCATCAGACTGTCGTGTATTATTTGTTACAACAAAACAACATCATCCATCAATCAAGAAGAGGATGAGTATAATAGTAGACAAGTTATTAACATTTGGAAAGAGACATTAGAATCCTCCATCATCAACATCATATCATGTAAATAGGAACATCAGATTTTAACAACATTGGAGTCATCGAACCAATCAATCAATCAATCAATAACTCCAATCAATCAAACACTTAATCAATTCAATCATTGATTCAATGGCGAACACAAGTACATACTTCTTCTTTGTATATTTATAATAAATACAATAATATTTATCTATCTCTAGTATCTCTTTACTCAAGGATGAAAGTGGGAACATGCGGGGAAAGACAAAAGATGTCTTTGGGGGTGACATAACATGAGTTCACTCGAGTCAAGAGTGCGACTTGTTCCAAAGTGTTTCGATTAAATTATTGAGAATCATCTTATCTTTGATACTTAAGGTTGTTAGTTTACAATTCTTTTATATAATCATGATCTTATCTTGTTGTTTATACCATTAATATTTACAACAACATTATCTTATCTTTAACTTAAATAAGATAAATAATATAAACAAACGAATCATCATCCCATAAATAGGCTTGAATACCATCATCTGATAGAGTTGTGGGTGTTCAACAAACTAAACTTGTTTTTTTTATAAGTCGTGTTGTGTTCACTGACCAATCATTCATTCATTCATTCAATCATTCATTCATAGATACACAAAGATATATATAAATTAAACAATGAGTGAACCAAAGACAGAAGCAATGCTTAGTGAAGAGGAGAGAAAGAAGGAAGAGAAGAAGAAGGCCAAGGAGGCTGAGAAGGAGGCCAAGAAAGCAAAGTTGCTTGAGAAGGAGGCAAAGATGGTAGGGATTACAACAAACTGAGATGTTCAATCAATGATATGAATGATCATGTGACTAATACAACATATACTATATAGAAACTGCTCAAGGAGAAGGAACTTGAAAACAAGAAGAAGAAGGAGGCAAAGGAGCAGGAGGAGAAGGAGAAGGCAGATCAAGAGGCTCGCAAGCTCAAGGAGTATGCTGACAGAGCATCACAGACACCAGCTGGTGAGAAGAAGGGTATGTTACTCATTATAACTATATTTGATTGATTCAATCTTGTTGACCATCGATCATTCATTCAATCAATCAATCAATCAATCAAACAATAGATGTCTCTGGAGAGTTGTATCCATCTTATCATCCACCCGCTGTCGAGTCAGCTTGGTATGAATGGTGGCAGAAGAATGAGTTCTTCTCACCAGACAAGCAGCAGGAGATTCAACCTCACTGCCAGAAGGACAAGAAGTTCACAATGGTCATCCCTCCACCAAACGTCACTGGCTCCCTGCATTTGGGTCACGCCCTCACCATGTCCATCCAGGACACCATCACACGTTACAGACGTATGAAGGGTGAGATCGCCCTCTGGGTCCCAGGCACTGATCACGCCGGTATCGCCACACAAGTCGTCGTCGAGAAGAAGCTGGCTCGTGAGCGCAACATCACCCGTCACGACCTCGGTCGTGAGGCCTTCATCAACGAGGTCTGGACCTGGAAGAATGAGTACGGCAATCGTATCACCAGCCAACTGCGCAGAATGGGTTCATCCCTTGATTGGAAGCGTGAGGCTTTCACAATGGACGAGGTATGTTTGTTCGCGATCATGTGACACTCTCGATCAATCAATCACTCACACTCACTCAATCAATCAACCAATCAAATAGACCAGGTCAAAGGCTGTCAATCATGCCTTCATTACAATGTTCAAGGATGGTTTGATCTTCAGATCAACAAGATTGGTCAACTGGTCATGCACTTTGAAGACCGCTATCTCTGATATTGAGGTCGACTTTAAGGATCTGGAGAAGCACACCAAGCTCCCGGTCCCAGGTCACAAGGGTCTGTATGACTTTGGTGTCCTGTTCGAGTTTGCCTACCCCGTCGAGGATAGCAACGAGCAACTGATCGTTGCCACCACCCGTATCGAGACTATGTTGGCTGATGTCGCCGTTGCCGTCCACCCCGACGACCAGCGCTACAAGCACCTGCATGGAAAGTTCGTCACTCATCCATTCCTCAACCGCAAGCTGCCAATCATCACCGACAGCATCTTGGTCGACATGGCCTTTGGCACTGGTGTCGTCAAGATAACCCCAGCCCACGACCAGAACGATTACGAGACTGGTCAGCGCCACAAGCTGCCCATGATCAACATGTTCACCGATGAGGGTCTGATCAACGAGAACGGAGGCCAGTTCCAGGGCATGAAGCGTTTCGACGCCAGAAACGCCGTCGTTGAGGCACTCAAGGAGAAGGGACTCTACAAGGGAATGAAGGACAACAAGATGCGTCTGGGTATCTGCTCGCGTTCAAAGGACATCCTCGAGCCAATGATCAAGCCACAGTGGTACGTCAACTGCAAGGATATGGCCGACAACGCCTGCAAGGCCGTCAGAGATGGCGAGCTGAAGATCATCCCCAACCAGCACGAGGTCACTTGGTTCAGGTGGCTCGAGGGCATCAAGGACTGGTGCATCTCCAGACAGCTCTGGTGGGGCCACCGTATCCCAGCCTACTTGGTCAAGATCAAGGGCGTCGCCGCCGATCCATACTCCACCTCCCAGTGGGTCGCCGCTGAGAACAGCGAGGCTGCCATGCTGGCCGCCATGGAGAAGTTCAAGGCACCAAGAGAGGACATTGAGCTCGAGCACGACCCAGACGTCTTGGACACCTGGTTCAGCTCGGGACTGTTCCCATTCTCCACTCTGGGATGGCCAGAGAAGACCAAGGACATGGAGAACCACTATCCAACCAGCCTCTTGGAGACCGGTCTGGACATCTTGTTCTTCTGGGTTGCCAGAATGGTCATGATGGGCAAGCAATTGACTGGTCAGCTTCCATTCAAGGAGATCTACCTGCACGCCATGGTCAGAGACTCACACGGCAGGAAGATGTCCAAGTCGCTCGGTAACGTCATCGATCCACTTGAGGTCATCAGCGGTATCACCCTTGACCAGTTGGTCGAGAACCTGAAGAAGGGCAACCTGGACCCAGTCGAGCTGGACAGGGCCACCCTTGGTCTGAAGCAGGACTACCCCGAGGGTATCACCGAGTGTGGAACCGACGCTATGAGATTCGCACTCTGCGCCTACACCTCGCAGGGTCGTGACATCAATCTGGACATCCTCAGAGTCGTCGGATATCGTCACTTCTGTAACAAGGTTTGGAACGCCACCAGATTCGCTCTGATGAAGCTGGGCGACTACCGTCCCAGCGAGTTCAACGCCCAGGAGCTGACCAAGAACACCAACGCCGTCAACACCTGGATCCTCAACGCCGCCACCCGCGCCTTTAAGCTGTGTGAGGAGGGATTCAAGTCCTACGACTTTGCTCAGGCCACCACAGCCATCTACAACTTCTGGCTGCATGACCTGTGCGACTTCTACTTGGAGACCACCAAGCCCATCTTCTCCGAAGAGGACGGACCCATCAAGCAAAAGACGTGCGAGACCCTGTACACTTGCATTGAGCTTGGTCTGCGTATGCTCCATCCATTCATGCCATTCATCACTGAGGAGCTGTATCAGGCCATCCCCAGACGTCCAAGCGACTCGATCCCAACGATCATGCTTACCTCCTACCCACAGGACATCCCTGAGTGGAACAACGCCACGATTGAGGAGGAGCTGAAGCAGTGCCAGGACATCATCAGAGCCATCCGTTCCCTGCGTACCAAGTACAACGTTGCCCCCAACAAGAAGGTCGCCACCTACATCCACGCCAAGACCGATGAGCTGAAGAACCTGTATGCCGCCCACTCTGCCCTGATCAAGGTCCTCGCCTACGCCAGCAGCGTTGATGTTGCTCTCTCCTCGGAGGGACGTCAAGGCTGTGTCATTGACACCTACAACGAGAACGTCTCTTTGTTGTTGGATCTCTCCGACTCGCTCGACTTTGCCGCCGAGGTCCAGAGGATGGAGGCCAAGAAGTCTCAGCTCGAGGCTGCCAAGGAGGCTCTGTTGAAGAAGATCAACATCCCAACCTATGACAAGGTTCCACAAAAGATCAAGGAGGACAATGACGCCAAGCTCAAGGCACTTGAGGAGGAAATCAAGTCTCTCTGTAATACCATCGACAGCTTCTCAAAGATGGCCCTCAAGCCATAAATAAACAATCAGTTTGATTGATGGACACAAGACAGGACTACCACTACTTTACCATGCTCTTAAGAACAAGTTGTTTGTTTTATGTCTACACGTTGTTGTTGATGTTGAAGTGGGCAGTTCGCCAGTACTATCCTTAGAGGTTGGCATGAGTCTTGAAGTAGTTGATGAGACCGTTGGTAGACGAGTCGTGTGATGAGACTGTGCCCTTGCCATGCAGCTCGGGCAGGATGCTCTTGGCCAACTGCTTACCCAACTCGACACCCCATTGGTCAAAGCTGTTGATGTTCCAGATGATGCCCTGGACAAAGATCTTGTGCTCGTAAAGGGCGAGCAGTGCACCGAGTGAGTGTGGAGTCAGAGTCTGCAACATGATGGAGTTGGTAGGTCTGTTGCCCAAGAACACCTTGTGTGGGAGCAAGTTCTCTAGACGCTCGCCACTCAATCCCTCCTTGGTCAGCTCGGCTCTGGCCTCATCCAAGCTCTTACCCTTCATCAAGGCCTCGGTCTGAGCAAAGAAGTTGGACAACAGAATCCTGTGGTGCTCACCAAGAGCATTGTGGCTGTCAACCGATGCGATAAAGTCGCAAGGAATGATCTTGGTGCCCTGATGGATGAGCTGGTAGAAGGCATGTTGGCCATTGGTTCCTGGCTCACCCCAGATGACTGGGCCGGTCGACACATCCACTGGGTGTCCGGCACGATCGACTCCCTTGCCATTGCTCTCCATGTCTCCCTGCTGGAAGTAGGCGGCGAACCTCGACAAGTACTGGTCATATGGGAGGATGGCCACTGATTGTGCGCCAAAGAAGTTGTTGTACCACACGCCAAGCAGTGCCTGGATCAATGGAAGATTCTCCTCCAATGGGGCGGTCTGGAAGTGACGGTCCATGGCGTAGGCTCCAGCCAACAACTGCTCAAACGCGTCCATTCCTATGTAGAGTGCGATCGAGAGACCGATGGCGCTCCAGAGTGAGTATCTTCCTCCAACCCAGTCCCAGAACTCAAACATGTTCTCCAAGAGGATGCCAAACTTGGACACCTCCTTATCGTTGGTGGACAGGGCGACAAAGTGCTGTCCGATGGCGTGCTGCTGGTCAGTACCGGCTGGGAGACGGTCGATGAACCACTTCTTGGCCGAGAGGGCGTTGGTGATGGTCTCCTGCGTGGTGAATGTCTTGGAGGCAACGATGAAGAGTGTGGTAGCTGGGTCGAGGTAGCGAGTGGTCTCGAAGAGGTGAGTGCCATCAATGTTGGAGACAAAGTGCACGCGGATCTCCTTGTCGTTGGCGTATGGCTTGAGAGCAGCACACACCATGACGGGGCCGAGGTCCGAGCCTCCGATACCAATGTTGACGATATCGGTGATCTTCTTTGAGCTGTAGCCACACCACTTGCCACTGCGGACACGATCAACGAATGATCTCATCTTGGCCAGCACGGATCTGACGCCTGGCATGACGTCCTCGCCATCGACCTTGATCTGAGCCTTTGGGTCGCGGTTACGCAGGGCAGTGTGCAAGACGGCACGGTTCTCAGTGATGTTGATCTTGTCGCCGGCAAACATGCGGTCGCGCCACTGCTCCACGTTGGCATGGCGGGCGAGGGCAAACAGCAACTTCATCGTGTCCTCATTGATTCTGTTCTTTGAGTAGTCAAACAATATGTTTCCGACCTCCTCACTAACCTTTGTTGTCTTATGGAAGCGATCGAATCTCTTTGCATCCTTTGAGAACTCCTCTCTCATATTAATATTCTTTCCAACCTTCTCATAATGCTCCTCAAGCTGTTTCCATTGTTGACTGTTTCTAACTGACATTGTTATTTATGTTTTGTTTTGTTTGTTTGGTTGATTGACAAGATATATATAATATGTACTTGAAGAGAGAATGAATGAATGAGTGAATGAGTGAATGAGTGATTGGTGTGAAGTGATGTGTTGTTGGGACAAAGTTGTAATAAGGGGTGTGGTGATGATGGGTTGAACATCAACTCTATTCATTCGATGTGATGAAGGTGTCGTGGGGGTGCTGTTTTGGTATCGGGTCCAGGGTTGTGTTCAAGTCCATTGAGTTCGTTCTCGGGAAATCATCAATCTCGAGTAGTGTTCTGGATCATTACTCTAGTAATTGGAACCCATACATACTCTGAGTAGTACTACACAAAGTTATAAATATATAATATCTGATGATGGGTCGAAGTCCTCCGTCCACTCACTCTGATCCCCATGTATGTTATAAAGACGCGCATGCTACAAGGAAGTTTATTGCTTCTCCTTGGTGGACCACTTCTCAGTCATGTTGTCGGTGTTGATTCCAACCATGGCCTCACCGAGGTTCTCGCTGACTGTTTGATTATAATTAGAATTAGAATGATTGAATAGTGTTAGTATGATTCTGAAGAATGTGTCGAATGAATGAACGATTGAATGAATGAATGAAACTACATACTCTCAGCCAACTTGGCAGCATCCTTGAAATGGGTAACAGCCTGGACGATGGCCTTGGCTCTCTGGGCTGGGTTGCCACTCTTGAAGATACCGGAACCGACAAAGACTCCGTCCATACCGAGCTGCATCATGAGAGCAGCGTCGGCTGGGGTGGCAACACCACCGGCGGCAAAGTTGACGACTGGCAGTCTGCCGAGCTTCTTGCACTCGAGGACGAGGTCCAATGGTGCCTGGATCTCCTTGGCGTAGGAGAACAGCTCGTCGTCGTCCATGGTGGTCAGCTTCTTGATCTCACGGTTGACAGAGCGGGCGTGACGGACGGCCTCGACAACGTTGCCAGTGCCGGCCTCTCCCTTGGTTCTGATGAAGGCAGCTCCCTCGGCAATGCGACGGAGGGCCTCGCCGAGGTTGCGGCAGCCACAGACAAAGGGCACGTTGAACTTGTGCTTGTTGATGTGATTCTCCTCGTCGGCGATGGTCAACACCTCGGACTCATCAATGTAGTCGACTCCGATGGCCTCGATGATCTGGGCCTCAACAAAGTGTCCGATTCTGACCTTGGCCATCACTGGGATGGTGACGGCATCCATAATACCCTTAATCATGGATGGGTCACTCATACGAGCGACACCTCCGAAATGTCTAATATCAGCTGGAATCTTCTCCAATGCCATAACTAATGTTTGATTAAGTTATGTCGATGTTAAGTCGATGTTGAGTTGAGTTGAGTAAGTATGATTGAATGAATGATTGAATGATTGAATGAATGAATGAATGATAGGGTGATACATTACCGGCAACAGCACCAGCCTCCTCGGCGATTCTTGCTTGCTCCGGTGTGACGACGTCCATGATGACACCACCCTTGAGCATCTGAGCAAGAGCTTGCTTGGTCTTAATGGTTGCCACTTTGACAACTGGTGTAGTGGTAGTAGTAGTAGTAGTCTCAACGTTAGAGTCCATTGTATATTATATATGTTATCTATATATTGTTATAATAAAGTATATAACTCTAAAGTTAGGTTGACGTGTCAATCAATGTCAATGTTAGTAGGTGACTTTGAAATTGAATGCGAAATGGAATGCACTTAATAAGGTTGATGTTACTCACTTTATGTGTGTGTGTGTGTGTGTGTGTGTGTGTGTGTGTGATTGCGTGTTGCTTGTTACAATGAGAATGAATGGAACAATGATACAATCAAAGGATAGATTCACAAGAGAAAGAGGGATGATACATCAGATAACAACCAATACTCACAGCAGGGTAGGCTAGCTGCAGGAGCCCGACTCGTTTACACATTTAATTTAATTTTTATTATGTGGTGTTGGATAAAGTGTGAGTAAGAGTGTGAGTTCCATCCATTCGATCGACAAAGTCCCTGGTACTTCTCATGCATTCGCCCCCTTTGCACAAGAACGACGGGATTGAGTTAACTCATGCCCGAAACCCCACAAAAGTGTGTGTTTCTTCCTTTTCAAGCCGGTCGTTGGATCTGAATGTGAAGACACACAGATACACTCGACGAGTCCGTTACGCCACTTCCATGTAATCATGAGATCATGTTATGATGAATGAATGATTGCATGAATGAATGATTGATAGTTGTAATAACAAATAATATATACTTATACAAATACAAATACAAAGAATACAAAGATGACACCAAAGATAAGGATTGGAGTACTGGCATTGCAAGGTGGATTCATTGAGCATGTTAATATGACTAGATCAGTGGCTGATGATATAGAGTGCGTTGAATTGCGTTCAACTAAACAGATTAGAGAGTTCAATCCACATGGTTTGATATTACCTGGTGGTGAGTCTACTGCCATGGCCATCATCGCTGCTCAAGACCCAGAGTTATTCGCATTGATCAGAGACCTAGTCCATGACAAGGGTGTCTCAATCTGGGGCACATGTGCTGGATGTATCATGCTGAGCGACAACGTCGAGAGACAGAAGCAAGGAGGGTATGTTCGCGATCACATATGTTGTCGCTCACTCATTCACTCACTCACTCTCACTCACTCTCGCTCACTCATTCATTCAATCAATCACATCATATCAAGTCAAACATTGATTGGAGGCATGGACTTGAACATTAGCAGAAACTACTTTGGAAGACAGATCAACAGCTTTGAGACGACTCTGCAGTTGAAGTTGGACGGCGCAAACAATGTGGACTTTGAGGGAGTGTTCATTAGAGCACCAGCAATACTCAAGGTCAACAATCCAGATATTGAGGTGTTGGGCGAGTTTAGACATCAGAAGAAGGACAACACATCAGAGACTATCATCACTGCTGTCAAATACAAGAATATGATTGCCACAGTCTTCCATCCAGAGCTCACCAAAGACAACCGATTCCATCAATACTTTGTTGGTGTCGTTAGACAGAATGCTGCCAAGTTAATAAACTAGGATGCTCTCAAACAGATATAGGATGGCCATGCATGGAATGGATTATGTGTCACTTGGATAACAAACTCGATGGATTGGAATTATTGGATTATCACAGCATTATTGATCACATGACTGATACTGATCATGTGATCGATTAACATACGTTCCATTGATGTTGGATGACATAGATGTGAGTGACCGGATGTGTTATATCAACAACCATAATGATGCGTCTACTAGATGGACTGTAATTATTTGTTGATAGATAATATTAATGAATCTGATCATGACTGACAAACATAATAAAAATGACCAATAATGATGAAGATGGTATTAGTTGAGCGAGTTGGTAATAATTGACGAAGGATCGATTATGTCCATTGATACAAGTACATGTTGATGGAAAGTGACATGGACACATGATCAGCGTGGTCGTTGATGGAGTATGAGGATGTGTGTCGTCGATGTGTGAACGATTGATTGAATAAATGTACAATAAATAGGGTTTAATGAATGAGTAATGATGGCGGTGTCGGCATCGGCATCGTCAGTCATTGTGGACCTTTTGAAGTTGATTGTTGACACAAGCAACAGAGGTAGCTTGATGGCGTTCCAGCTACTGGTAATGCGTTTATTCAGAAACAGCAAGGGTACCATCTTGGATCTGCTGCTGGATCTCTCTTGGGCTCTTTCCGTTGACCTTGCAACCGATGGAGTTGGCAGTGCCGAGGATCTCAAGGACGGTGCCCTTGAAGTCGATGGACATGGACTTTGGTCTCATGGTCTTGGCGATCTTGACGATCTCCTCGAAGGGAACATTGCCGTGATGCTTGATGTTCTTCTCCTTCTTTCTGTCTCTGGGTGGCTCCTTGAGGGCCTTGATGACCAGGGCAGAGGCGGTTGGGAGGACCTCAGCGACGGCAACACGGTTCTGGATGGTCAGCTTGACCTGGACCTTCATACCCTTCCATGGCAGAGTAGCCTTGGCGATATCATCACCAACCTTCTTTGGGGAGATACCGAGGGGACCCATCTTTGGGGCAAGGGTGGACATAGCACCAGTCTCACCTCCAGCAACACGGAGGAAAACTATTCATTATTTAATTGATTGATTGATTGATTGATGGATTGGATTAGTATATTGATCAATTGATGGGATTAATCAATCAAATAATCCAATAATCACTGGAACAATAATAATAATAATATTATTATTGAACCATTCCAATGATTGATTGATTGCACTTGAATGATTGAATGGATGTAAGGATGTAATTACCTTCGACTTTCTCTGATGGATCGATCTTGGGAGGCATTGTTGGGTATGTGTATGTACTCGAGGGATGACTTTAGTGGACAAAGGAGTAAGAAAATGAATGAGTTGTCGCCTTTTTGTTCTTCGTGCTCATCCTCCACAGCACATCCTCTCTCTCTTCACCTCGCACACTCTCTCACGTCTTCTTTTCGAAAATAAATAAATTTAAATTAAAAAAAAATGACATGAACGATCATTATTAACTGAGTACTTTATGTAAATGTTTTGTAAATCCTTTGTAAATGAATGAACGGGTGATGGACTTTGTTTTTTTTCTTTCGCTGGTCGTCCTCTCGCTCTCTCGCACAAGGATGTCGCTGGCGGAGACTGCCTGCCGTCCAAGAGGAGGAAGACACGCCAACCAACATAACCGAGTGTGAGGATGAAGATGAAGACCAATAATGAATGAATGGATGACTCAAGAAGATAAGAACAAAGAAGAAGACATCATCCATCACCCTCGCTGAGTTTATAAAATGATGGGAAAAGAATAACAACATGAATGAATGATCAAGTAGTGCTCAAATGGTGTGCACGCCATCAATACACTTCATCATACTATCTATTTCTCTATCTCTCTTTTTGTTCTTCCGCTCGTGAATCGTTAGCATACTTGTTACCTCTTTCTTCGTTCAAACATTCTCTCCAAACTTGATTGTTATGTTATGATGTTGTTGATAGTTGTATTAACAAATAGTGTTCATTCGGGTGGTAAGTTATTACACACTTCTTAGCTGATGATTACTTTAAGATCTACAGCCCACCGGTCTTCATGAACAACCATTGTTTATAATAATACAACAAACAAACAACAAACAATAACAATAACAACAATAATAAGTATTGGTGATTTGGAGATAGTGAATGATTGATTGATTGATTTAGAGGTATGTAGAGTATGAAATGATTAATAAGACAGAAGAAGTAAGTAGAGATAAATATAATATATGCGTATGTGTGTTTGTTTGATTTGAATGAATGAGCTGGTTGTGAGTGATTCGAATGGATAGTCCAAAAAAAAAAGAGAGGATGAAAAAAATTAAATAATGCAATTGCGAACCTCCGATAAATCCATATCACCAATTCGCAACACTCCAAGACAAGGATAGTTGATAATACATGTAGATATATATAGTTATACATAATTATATAGAAAGCAATACATTCATACATATAAATAGATAGATATATATAAGATGGAAAGAGATAATCATGAACATGAACATGAACATGATCATGAAGATGACCATGAAGATGATGACTCAAATCTCTCTGAATATATTGAAGTAGATGAGAACTATCTCATTGCAGATGAAGATGAGGATTTGATGTACAATGATGACGATGACGATGACGACCAGGATGATGAAGAAGATGAAGACGATGATGAAGATGATGACCAAGGACAAAATATACCATTGGACCCAAATGATCAGGAGTTCATTAGACAGTTGGTTAACAACCCTCAACAATGGGTAGGGTCCCTTTTCGATCGTTTGGGAGAGAGCTTAAGCTCATTGGTCAGACCACCCGCAGCACCATTGGACGACGAGATGGATGACTATGTTCCAGAGACATCCGAGCAGGCCAACACAATACGTAGACTCAAGCAGATCAAGGCATTCGACCTCTTTGCCACGCCAACTACAACATTGGACGATCACAACACAACAGAGCTATTCAATCATCTTAAAGTCATATCATTGTCCAGCTTTGACCGACCATTCACCAAGTTTGTCCAAGACACAACACTCTATCTCACATCAGGTCATGTAAGTTCAATCATATTCATTCATTCATTCAATCATTCGCTCATTCAATCATTCAATCAAACTATCAATGTAGTTGGGCAAGAACAGATATGAGGAGATCAAGAATAATCAGAAGGTACCTGTTTGTGGAAAGGTATTCATCACATCAGAATGGGCCTTCCAATGCAAGCAATGCCAGGAGGACGAGACGAGTATACAGTGCGAGAAGTGTTTCAGGAGCAGCAACCATGAAGGCCATGATGTGTTGCGTGTGCGCGTTGGAGGCGGAGGCTGCTGTGACTGCGGTGACAAGGACTCGTGGAAAGCCACCGGTTTCTGCACTGAGCATCGCGACATTGTACAATCGGACGAGGAGGCACTTGCCCCCTTGATACAATTTGGACCTGGACACATTGCCAAGAGCGAGCGACTACTTGGCATCCTACTCGATCTCATCCTACTCGTCCTCGACAAGAAGATCGACAACGACCTCTTTGGCAACAACAAACTCTACTTCCATTACAGCAACGGCAAGAGGGATACCTTTGATGTTGTAAGTTACCCTCGGGAGGGTCACGCGAGACCTTTGGCGACGCGAGAATCACTCACTCACTCATTCCCAATCACATGATTAGTTGATGCCCGATGAGATGTATGGCGTGCTGATCCACAACGACTCAACTAACACATTCGAGGGAGTGTCTGGCGCATTGAAGTTTGCTTCCAACATTCCAGATATCACTGTTGCGATGTGTGGCGAGTATGCACATTACGTACATATGAATGAACAGTGCGTGGTCTTTGTCGGCACCAAAGAGCAGTGCAACGTATTCGTCAGCAAAATGGCAGAGAAGATCACATTGAAGTGCACACTATCCAAGCGCTTCAAATTGTTCCCATTCTCCAACCTGGACATCCTGCTCAAGATGTTTGCCCATCTCTCTCAGCTCAATTGCTTCAAGCGCATCTTTTGCAACCTTCTCACTCGTCCCACTGGCTCCTTCCACCACAATGATGGTCGCACTCTCGACCCACGCGCCAGCCGTCTAGCACGATTCTTTGTCTCCTTCCAGGTGAGTACCTTTACCTGCAGTCAGTCGCATGGCGCTGAGCTAACATTCCAACGTTCATCAATCAAACAATGTAGACATTGCCCAGGACAAAGCAGGGCGTGCTCAAGGACTGGCTGTTCTCTTTGACATTCGACAGATCGTTCAAGGTGGACTTCTCAGTGTGCTATGGACTCATGTATCCAAACATCATTGAGAACTTTGTCAATGACATATTCGATTATGAATACTCCCTACTCTCACTGTCCATCCAGATCTTCACCATCCCATTCCTGGCCACATCCCTTGCCGAACATCATGGACAACTTGACATCTTCTTCAACTACATACGCGATGCAGTACCCAAGTATGCCGTCAAGGATAACTTGACACCCCTAACGTACGTTGTCCATTGACATTACCACCACAATCAATCACTCACTCTCTTATTCGATCAATCAGGTTCACGAGTGTGTTGGACAGGAAGTACAACTTTGAGAGATTCAAGCTTACACTCTCTGACCTCCAATACCTCATCTCGGTCAAGCCTATCTTCAAGAACATGATGTTGAATGATCCAAGAAAGATCACACCACTCCTGCAGTTATTGGCATTGTTCCATCTCTCCCATCCCAACGTTCGTTCGACTGAAGAGTACAAAGAGTCAAAGTAAGTCAATCATTGATGATCAATTAATCACCGCCACTAACATCCACTCTCACTCACTATAGCACATGGACAGTATTCTTTGTGGACACTATATTCTTGATCAAGATATTCACATCGATACTCAAGTCATTGATACCACATGGAGTGGTTGGTGAGGATGATGTCGTGGCGTTGACAAAGACAGTCGATATGTTGTGCTACACAGCATCACAGATGCCAAGACGATGCGATGGCATATCGATCAACCTGCCCGTGCACAGATGTCTTGCCATGGCACTCACGCTGGCCATCCAGCATCACGATCAAAACAGATTCACACAGATTGCCAAGTCATTGTGGGAGGATGACGTACTTGCCGAGACACTACTCTACGGCCTGGCCAACATTGACAACCTGATCGCCGAGAGCAAGTCACGCATGTGGCTGAGGAATGGCACCTCCCTAGAGTTGCAGATCGTCAACTACACTTCACAAGTCTTCCACCGTCAGTTCACCATCGAGCATGACTTTGCCCTCAAACAGGTAAGTGTTTGGGACACGTGGCTGAGAGAGAGAGAGGCATCACATCACTCATACTCTTTCATTCATACTCAAACAGATAATATGTTGCTCATTGAGGTCTGATCGATTCTTGCGCGTGTACATGAGTCACTTTACAAAGTTGGACAACTTGTTGAAGCAGACGGATATTACTTTGGCACTGGACAACAATGAGATTGGTGTACTTTCAAACTTTTATCGATCGCTCATCACTTTGATATCGGACAGGTCATTGGTCGGCCAACAGACTACATTGGATATCATAAGATACGATGTGATTCATCAGTTGTTCATCAAGAATCGCACGTTCACCAAGCTAGCCCACCTCGTCGGCATTGAGAAGGGCGTTTCGACCAATGCCAAGGACTTGGAGAACGTCCTGAAGCAGGTGGCCACATTCATGCCGCCAACCAAGCTCAGCGAGCAGGGCAAGTTCGCACTCAAACAAGAGTACTACAGCAAGTTCAATAAGTACTATTTTGGTTACTCGACCAAGTACCGCGAGAAGGCCGAAGAGATCGTCCAGCAGCACTACAAGACTAAGGGCGCCGCTGCCAACGAGGAGTTGCGCAGGGTCCCCATCGAGGCGCTCGCGCCACTCAAGCCACAGTTTGCCGAGATAAGCAATATCTTTGTGTCGCCACTATTGTACCGCATCATCTACAACTCGCTCTACCAGTGCGTCGTGCCATCGTTGACTGATGCCACGCCCTTGGACGAGTACGATACGCAGCGTCGTTCAATCGAGAGATCCGACGTTATCGATCACATCATTCACATGATGTTCCTCGCACTCGACTCGCACCCCGATCGCATCGACTACATCAAGCAGCAGTGCTCGAACAAGACCCACAACGAAAGCAACACGTCGATTGTGGACATGCTCATAGCCATCCATGCGGACAGCGCCCGCAAGTACTTCCACCCATCGATTGTACAGCTGCTCAATCGTCTGGAGGAGTCGAAGCAATTGGAGGCCAACAGCTTGCGCGTTTCGGCGTCCGAGCAAGAGGACATTGAGAAGCACAACCGCATGCTGCAGGCCAAGCGCAAGGTGTTGGAGCAGTTCAGCACGCAACAACAGAAGTTCTCGATGCTGTTACAGGACGAGGACATCTCGGACGAGGAGGACGCCGCTGGTGAGGTGATCGCCGACAAGAAGGGCGTGTGCATCCTGTGTCGCGAGGAGAACTACTACAATGACCTCAACAACCCCATTGGATACTTCTGTCTCATGCAGTCGACGCGATTGATGAAGGTGCTGGAGGAGCGCAATAGCCTCGAGCCCGAGTATGGCATCGTGGACAAGACCGAGCAGGAGCTGTTCGCCAAGCGTGTCCGTCTACAGAAGTTTGGTAACTACAAGGGTGAGACGGTACTGCAGCTGTGCGGCCACGCCGTCCATGTGGCGTGCTATAACAAGATGGAGAAGGTCTCTGCTCCAGGCAAGCAGTACGTCGTGTGTCCTCTCTGCCAGTCGTTCTCCAACGCGATCATGCCACCCATACCCAATGGATTCTCAATCTTTGGCGAGCTTAGCCACAGCACACTGTACAAGGACCCATCGTTCAAGGACTCCAAGCTGCACCAGTGCTTCAAGACCTTTGGCGACTCGATGGCCAAGCATCTGTACGGCAACTCGCAGTCGATCATCCGTGTGTTCCAGTCAACGCTGGACAACATTGAGTTCATCTCGCGAAGCAACCAGTGGAGCTTGGAGCAGGCGACCACACAGGCAAGCCTGCAGACATTGAGATCACTGTTGGATGTCATCTTCATCTACATATCCGTGCTCAAGGGTACGCACTACTCTGAGATTGAGTACGGTAAGGAGTCACCATTCAATCAGCTACTCAATCAATTGTTTGTTCCATTGGCCTCGCAGGGACAAATCCAATCACAGACGCACTACATGAGCGCAACTGCAAGTCTGTTTGATCAACACTTCAATGGTGGATCATCGGTCGATTCGACAACTACCACGACCACGACCACGACAACGAGCATGTCAACCTCCATTCCAATGTCAACATCACCAGACAAGCCTGCTGCTTTCAATGACGTTGACACACAGTTCTACGAACAGACAGTGTTCTTGAGGAAGTTGGCCATCTTGGACAAGGTGTTGGGCGTGTCCAGACATCTTCCAGCCGCATGCTTGTTGTCCCCCTCCTATCTCACTGGATTGATCGCACACTTGAACTCAAGCGAGCACCGTCAAAAGAGTGTGCATCATCAGTTCACCTCAAAGCTCGATCTATCAAAGCTGTCTGGCGACATTATCGAGCGCCAGCCGCCACACTTCAGCCTAGCTCGTCTGCCAGAGAACTACGACGATATATTGCGACCCACTTTCAAGTGCAAGAAGTGTGATAGCACTCCAGAGAGAGCAGACCGTGCTATCTGTCTACTCTGCAGCAGGATTGTGTGTATTGGATCTCGTTGTTGTGCTGCACAAAACAACATACCGGAGCTACTCACTCATCCCAAAGTATGTGGCGGCGATGCTTGCATCTTCCTCTTTGTGGAGCACTCCTCGATCATCGTTGTGTACAACACATCCTTTGGCCTTCTTGGCTCACCCTACCTAGACTCTCACGGCGAGGAGGACTCTGGCCTGAGGCGTGGAACACCTTTATTGTAAGTTAGCAGCCTCGCCATATGATGTGACATCCACTGACTAACATCATGTCTACACACACAGCCTCTCAAAGGAAAGGTACCAACTGATCAATAACATCATATTGAAGAGTGATGTATCCAAGTCCATAGAGGGAAAGTCCAGGAATCAAATGAATATGATATTCCAACAGAGAGCCAACAACAATATGTAATGTAATGTTGTAGCCATTCATTGTTTAATGTCACTGGTGTGGCGCAGTTGGCTCCCATCTTAGGCCGATGTGTTTGTAAATACAACATTGCCCTTCTTGACAACATGAGAGATGGGTGGATCGACCATCTCATAGATAATGTGTTCCCAACGCGATGAGTTAATGATGACCATGTCGGCAAACTTTCCAACTTCCAATGATCCATGAGTCTTGGATTTGTTGATTGATGCTAATGGTACATTGAGTGAGTGAGTGGAGGTCATTGATTAATTGAGATACATACCTGCGGCGTTGATTGTGGCGGCCGCAAGTGATTCATTCATGTTCATCTTCATGAGGACACATGCGAGGTTCATGACGAATGGCATGGAGAGACAGTGGGCGTTGGGATTGTAGTCACTGCCAAGAGCAACAGGAACACCAAGCTCGATCATTCTACGTGCAGGTGGACATTCCAATCGCAGAACGTATGCTGTGGTTGGAAGGAGCACGCCAAATGTAGGGACAGCAGCCATGGCCTTCATTCCCTCCTCGCTTACTAGTTCCAGATGGCTGGATGCGCGAGCCTTGAGCTCGCCAGCAAGCTCGCCAGACTTCATGTAGGAGAGCTCGTCGCCGTGGAAGTTGATCGCAAGACCCAGCTGCTGACCGGCCTGTAGGATGCGTTTGGTGTCCTCGTACTCAAAGAAGCCCTTCTCCAAGAAGACATCGATGTTGGCAGGCGAGATCTCGCCAGCGTCTCTCAATCTCTTGAGCTCTGGCAGTTGCTTGCTGACAATGTCCTCTGTGGCCTCGGCGGCAGTCGATCCCTTGGGAACGGCATGGCCACCCAGATAGGTCGAGACGATCTCGATTGGGTGCTGGATGCCAGCCTGGTGCAGCACCTTGAGCATCTTCATCTCTGTGGCGGTCTCCAGACCGTAGCCACTCTTGGCCTCGACCAATGTCGTTCCCTGTCTTATCATGCGGTCCAGACGTGGCTTGAGCAGTTCGAGCAACTCAGCCTCGGATGCATTCCTTGTGTGATTGACTGTGAAGCCGATACCTCCGCCAGCCTTGGCCACCTCCAGATAGGTGGCGCCTGCCAGCTTCATTGCGAATTCATGTACACGATCACCTGCAAACACTGGATGAGTGTGTCCATCCACCAGACCAGGTATAACAGCACGTCCAGTGCAGTCTATAACATTGTCAAACTGATCACCAGCATGTCTCGACACAATCTCCTCCTCAGTTCCAACATCATCAATAACACCATTGTTATCAACAATCAATGATCCATTCTCTATTATCAATACCTAAGTATGTATCATGTTGTGTTGTGTTTGGTTAGCTTCATTCATTCATTCATTCTTTGACATCATCGCGAGTGTCGACACCTACATTGCTCATGTCCTTGCCAGTGACATATTCCTTGTCCTTTGACACGATAACAAGTTGAGCAGCATTCTTGATTCTAAGTCTATATTGTGTCATTGTATGTATCTATGTATTGTATGTATAGGTAATAATGTTCGGAGATTGAATGAAATGAAACAATCTCAAGGTGAAGTTGAATTTGAACTCGGGACACGATCGTTTCACAAAGATCTATTCGTCACTTCTTTGACTATTACATGAAATAGTTAGTAATAATCATAATAGTAACAATATATAGATGTTGAGATGTTGTAGACTATATAATGGAGGCAATTACTCCACTTGTCTACTCCCATCAATATCCTTCTTTCACAGATCATGTATGTGTTGACTATGATGACGAAGACAAAGACGAAGACGACACACTAACAACAAAAGATTGATTGATTGATTAGACACTAGTGACAACAACCAGTTCACGAGTGGATATGATAGGGACTATGAATGGAAGTCATCATTCAAGCAACAACAACCAACATTGGGAGGTTTGAAGAGAAAGAAGAGGAGTGTACTCACTGGTGAAGAGCGCAGTACAGACAAGAATGCCAATATGGACATATTGAACAAGTTTGGTCTATTACATAAGGGTGTCATCAGTACCAGTACCAGTACCAATCCAAGTTCAAACTCGACTGCTCCCTCTACAACATCCACTTCATCTGACAAACAGACAGCCGACACATCATCAGAGTACAGCGATCTTGTTGAGTATCATCCAAGCATGACACGCAAGAGAGTCACCAACAACATCAGCACCAACGAGAGCATCGACGCATCCAATGGTGAAGATATCGCAAAGATCACCAAGCCAAAGAGGACACGCAAGACAAAGAAGACTGAGGCATCAACTGAGACGACTTTAGGTGTTGATGCCGATGTATCAACAACATCGACTACAAAGGTCAAGAGGACAAGAAGGAAGAAAAAAGATGAGGATGCTGAGAGCAAGACAAACGACAAGGATGGAGCGATCACAGTGGAGAGCTTGGAGGAACCTGTTATCAATCCAAAGTTGCTCCAATCACAGGCAAAGAAGAAAGCGGCGGGAAAGAAGAAGTCGTTGGCACAGGTGGACGCGGACGATGTATCGAGCGAGTTTGGACACATTGGCACTGGCATGGTGGAGCATGATATCAATTGGCTGGTGGACAATCAGATGACAGTGATCGATGCTCCCCCAACACTGGACCCATTCATTGATGACTCTGCAAATGCCAGGCGTCCAACCTCCACGCCTAGACTGCCGCGAACAAAGCGTACCCCAGTGGTCTACGACGAGAACATGCTCAAACGATACAAGGATTGGGTATCATATCGCGCTCAACTCTTGGAGAGCGTGCCGGTGCATGTAGATCTGCCCGACCTGCCCCAAGAGTCATTCAATGTTACAACGGCCAATGCACCCCAGTCGCCACTTAATCGACCCTTCCCATGGGACAAGTTCGTTGAGGGATGCAATCGACTCGTGTTCCAAAACGACAAGCTGCGGCTCCTGCAACAGGAGGCGATCAACTCAGTGCTCTATCGTCGAGATACATTCATCAGTTTGCCAACGGGTGGTGGCAAGTCACTTTGTTTCCAACTGCCCGCCCTTATAGACTCTGGCGTCACACTTGTCGTGTCGCCACTGTTGGCTCTGATGTATGATCAAGTGTCCAAGATGCAACAGTTGGGCATCCCAGTGTGCTCACTAAACAGTTCCATCACAGTTGGAGAGAAGAGGAAGATCATCAGTGGTATGTTTGCCCGACTCACGCTCGTTCGCTCTCTTGGCACATGACTAACGCACTCCCAACCTTCAGACCTCCTTGACCCAAATGGGTGTCCATACAAGCTACTCTATGTCACGCCAGAGCGACTGGCAAGCCCTGATGTAAGTCGTTCAATCACTTTAGAATGATCCCATCACTCACTCGCTCATTCAATCAATCACATTAGTTTGCCAAGATCCTGGAACATTTAAACAAGACATCACAACTTAGAAGACTGGTTGTGGACGAAGCACATTGTATATCAGAGTGGGGACATGACTTTAGAAAGGACTACCGCAAGCTGTCAAACTTTAGAACAACATTCCCAGATATACCAATCACTGCATTGACGGCAACGGCCACTCCCAGGGTAGAGACAGACATCAAGGCACAGTTGATAATGAAGAACACGGTCAATGTCCGTGCAAGCTTTGTTCGATCCAATCTCAAGTATGAGGTTCGACGCAAGAGTGCAGACTTCTCCGTCGTGTCCAACGACATCACATCATTCATCAAGAGACGACACGGCCAATCAGCAGGAATAATATATTGTTCGACGACAAGAGAGTGCGAGATGCTTGCCGATCACCTGAAAGACAGTGGACTCAGTGCGGACTTTTACCATGCAGGACTCAACTCTACCAAGCGAGTCAACATCCAACAGAGATGGCTTGAAGGGGACTTCAAGATCGTCTGTACCACCATCGCCTTTGGCATGGGCATTGACAAGTCTGACACTAGATTCGTCATCCATCACTCAGTTCCATCATCAATCGAAGCGTATTACCAACAAACTGGAAGAGCTGTAAGTACTTCAATCATTGGATCACACTCGATCACTCACTCATTCATTCAATCAAATATTACAGGGCAGAGATGGTAGACTGAGTGATTGCCTGCTGTACTACCATCGCAATGATGTCAAGAGGTTGTTGGTGATTGGTTCCAGGTCCATCATGGCATCTACTCCAGACGAATATGAAAAGATAGCGGTGTCAAAGGCAGAGAACTTGGACACGGTATCATCATATTGTGTAAATAGCGTGTGTAGGAGGGTGTCGTTGATGGAGTACTTTGGAGAGAAGGTCAAGGCCTGCCGTACACATTGCGACAATTGTGTGGCGCCAAAGTCAAAGGAACACTTTAGAGACAAGGGTGTTGTGGACGAGGACGACGACACAGATCTCAACGCCAGCATCTACACCTCACGGCACAGCTTTGCCAGCGAGAGGAAGCGACCCAAGCGAGGATCAGCCCGATTCATATCCAACAATGAAGATGAAGACGAGGACGATGATGGCAGTGAGGAGGTCGATTGACCTGATCATGTCATGCTCGATCGATATGATATGATATGTATACATTGACAGGGGAGTCAGTTATGTTTGTATTCCATTTAAAGGTAGTACCTGATGATCCATTCACAGATTGCTGCTGGCTTGTTGGAGCCTTCGATCTCAAAGGTCAACTTGATGATGGCTTGGGCGCCGCCAGACACCTCGGTCAGCTCTTGAAGGTTGAACTTTCCTCTGACGTTGCTGCCAATTGGCACTGGTGACAAGAAGCGAACCTTGTTGAAGCCATAGTTCACACCGTACTTGACGCCCTCGACATTGGGCATCACCTCCTCGGCGAACATTGGTGCCAGTGACAATGTCAAGAAGCCATGAGCGATTGGTCTATGAAATGAATGAATGAGTGAGTAAGTATGATTGGACTGTACATGTGAGCGCGAGTGCATGTTCATGTGCATACCCTCCGAATGGTGACTCGGCAGCAGCACGCTCAGGGTCGACGTGAATCCATTGGAAGTCACCAGTGGCCTCGGCAAAGTCGTTGACTCTGTCTTGGGTGATCTTGAGGTATTGGGTGATACCAATGTCCTTGCCAACGTAGGTCTTCAACTCCTCCAAACCCTTGAGAGAGAGTGTGCTCTTCTGGTTACGTTGAGTCTGTGCGCGAACAACCAACTCATGGAGTGACTTTGCAGCAGTGCTATTGCAATCCAATTGATCTCTATCCGATTCCTTCAAATGTGAAGAGATAACCTTTATTCTTCTAAGCTGTTGCTTCTCCATTATATTATATATATCTATATATATATATATGTATGTATGACTTGAATTGAGATGAATTGAATTGAATGAATGATTGGATATTGTTCAACAAAGTCCACCACACCCACTATCATCAAACACACACTTCACTCGATTAACGCGATACTTTACCAAACTAAGATAGTCTCATCAATATATCTTAAGATCTCCAACCAATATTAATGATCAATATAATGTCGTAAAAGAGATAATTATGAATAAGTAACCTAGGTTTCTTATTAAAGTCATCTAACAAGTTGTTGGAGTGCTAAAGAAAGTAACTAAGGATAAGGAGAATCCTGAATTTATGGGATTCAAGTTATGTGTTTGAATGCGACGTGTTGGAGTTGTGTGTTCACACCACTTCGCAAATTCATTCACTTCATTCACTTCATTCACTACCAACCAATATCCATTGTTGTAATATAAATAGTATAATCATTTGAACACATACATAAATATATATAAAATTAACTTCCTCAAAGTGATAAGATATAGATTGAGAGGATGTCACAACAACAGAAAGATCTGAGTTATGACTCCTTCCAGGAGTTGGTATCACATAATCTAGCTGATGTAGATGTCGATAAGAACATGAAGATATACAGTTACTTGTCAACACTACACAGTCTGGTCAAACAATCTACAGTATATCAATCAGAAGGTGATGATGAGAAGGCATACGTACTACTATTAAGGTTCTGTGTGTATGTATCATTGACATTATCATTCATCTTCATTCATTCATTCATTCAATCACTGACTGACATGCCCCTTTTGGATCGATCAATCAGGTTGACATTGGAGAAACTACCTAAACATCCAGAGTATAGTGATCCAAAGTTTATAAACTCTGTGAACAAACTGAGGAATGATGCAAAGATAAAGGTTGTACAATTGGAGGGCATGAAGGAGGGCTTGACAAAGAGGTACACGAAGCGTACTGAGGCAAGACAGCTGCAGGAACAGAATAGACTGCGTAAGCAACAGCAGATGAGAGATGAGAAGAAGAGGATTGAGATGGAGAACAAGGCAAAGGCAGACCAGGAGCAGGCGCTTCGCAAGGAGCAACTGGAGAGACAGCGACTGGAGCAGCAAAAGAAGCGTCTTGAGGATCAGGACCAGGAGCAGCGCGAGTTCATCATGGCTAGGATGGACACCGAGCGCAAGATTAGGAAGAATCGTTTGGAGCAACAGGCGCTTCAGCTGCGAGCCGAGGCAGAGCTTGAGCTCAGGCGTCAACAGGAGCAAGAGCAGATGGAGACTGAGCAGCGTGAGCTTCTGCACCAGCAGCAGCAACAGAAGCAACAGGAGCTATTGCTACAGCAACAACAACTGCAGCAACAAGAGCAACTACTTCAGAAGCAGCAACAGGATCTGCTAAAACAGGAACAGGAGCAACAGTTGCTTAAGTTGCAGAAAGAGCAACAGCAACAGCAACAGCAGCAACAAGAGCAGGACACTGAAGTGTCCATAACGATGCCAACGACATTGCCAAGTCCACCAGTTGCATCATTGGACACGGAAGAGCTACTCAGCTACATGGCCATCAGTGAGAAGCAGAACACGTCTGCACAACAACAGTTCACACATTCAAATGGTAGCAGTTACCTTGTCGATCCAACATTTGCCACACCTCCACCCCAGCCATCTCTGCCTTCACCTCCATCAATATCCTCTGTACAACAACAAACAACAACATCAACAATATCAACAACCAAGAGAACATCACCTGAGGTCCAGGTTGACGAGAATCATAAGTTTGGTTACTTGTCAATGGATCAATTGCAACAACAACAGTCACAACATCAGCCACCTCCACCATCATACCATCCACAACAACCACAACAACAACAACATCAACCACAGTACAACAATCAATCATATGCCATACCGAACCAGCCTCCTCCTCACCTACAGAGGAATCAACCACCACCAACCTATCTGACAAGACCACCTCAGTACATCCAGCCTGGTGCAGCTTTGCCAGTTCACCAAACACAACCTGTAAATCATATCAATGGCACACCAAACAACACTCAATCATTCCTGGCAATGGCACAGCAGCAAAAGAATCAACAGGTCTACCAACAGCAGCAACAGCCACAGTATGCACAGCATCAGCAACAACAGCCACAATACATGGCGAATCACTATCCTGGCGGCGCACAACCTGTATCACAACAACAACAACAAGTGGCGGCAGCCCAGCAGCCACCAGCTCAGGCAGCTGCACCCAAGCCCAACATCGATTCGCCAGAGGCTTCAAAGAAGTACAATAAGCTACGAAAGGTCATCATTGGAGCCGACCTGTTCAACGACTTTATGAGGAGTGCAGAGCCCAACACAAGTCGCAAGATTGAGACCTGTGGCATCTTGTCGGGCACACTTAGCAACGACGTGTTCAAGGTGACCACTCTCATCATTCCAAAGCAAGAAGGAACTACCGACACTTGTAATACGATCGAGGAGCATGAGCTATTCGAATATCAATTGGAGAATGACTTGTTGACCCTTGGATGGATACATGTAAGTTCATTATGGCAAAGGGGGAATAGGTGGACGGACATATCATTAACATTTAACAATCAAATCGATCATTAGACTCACCCAACTCAAGACTGTTTCCTGTCTGCTGTAGATGTCCACACTCATTGTTCATATCAATACCTGTTACAAGAGGCCATTGCCATTGTGATCAGTCCAATGGCTAAACCAAAGTAAGTTTGGATCATTGAATGGCCCATGCCGTGCAGTGACTAACATGATACCTCACTCAATCATAGCTTTGGCATATTTAGGTTGACGGATCCACCTGGCATGCAGACCGTTCAGAAGTGCAAGCTAAAGTCGTTCCATCCACATCCACCAGTGAATGGTGTGCCGATATACACACGAGTCGACCATGTTGAGATCGATTGGAAGAAGCAATACTCTTGCAAGGTTGTTGACCTGAGGAACAAGAAGTAATGAATGAAACAATCTGTATCTCTCCCTTTTGAAACAAACAATAGACAGACATCATATCTGGTGTCTGGCGAGTGGAATTCATTGATTGACTGATTGGGATTATGATGAAGTTGTTGTTGTTGATGAAGAGGATGTTGGTACATGCAACACATTCTTAAGGATCTCTAACTTCTTCTTCAAGGACTCCTCGTCATTAGCATTCTCCGACTTATTGATGATGAATTTGACAACATCCTGTTGGGCATCGGAGAGGGTCTTTAGAGTATCCTTGTCAGCAATCGATTCGTCTTCTGTTAGAGTTTGAACCAGGGTACCAATGGAACGAGGTGAGACATGTACTAGATTCTTCCTGTACTTGATGTAGAACAGCAATACGATGGCTTGGAACTGATTGCCCATGTCTGGATCATTCTGTGCCTGTGCATAGAGGTCTGCTTGATGTGATTCCAACAATGCTCTATAAAGTTGAGATTGTGTTAGTGATGGATGGAGATGAGCCAACTGATCAGGTGTACATACTTCTCTGACTTCTTATCAAGTGGCTTCAAATGTATTTGTGATTGCTCACATACAGTATCCAGAGTGTCCATGTAGTCCTTGATGCTCTATAGTGTGATGATGTGTGAATGTGTGAGTGAGATTTCGCCAGATCATTCAATCAATCAATCAATGATGAATAAGACATACTGATTTGTTCAATGATTGGAGTAATTTGTCCATGTTCTTTCCAATGGCTGAGGGGAGTGAGGATATGATCGCGGTTCTTTGAGCTGGTGTGTCGCTGGCAGTGTTCTCGAGGAGATGGTAGGAAGCATTGAGTTCGAGGAGGATGTTGGTGAGGTTGGTGCAGACGGTCTTTAGCAGATGCTTGTGCATTGCTGAGTTGTCAGCGTCCAACTCCTCCATTCCCTTCTTGAACAACAATAGATTCTGATACATCGAGTTGAAGGCTGAGGACAACTCCTGCTGCTTGCCCTTTCTCTGCTTGATTGTCTCTGTCTCCAGCTTCTCCTTTGCCTCCTTGACCAATGTCTCCCAGATCTGATTGACACGCGGACGCAGATATTGTGCCAACGATTGGATCAGCTCCACCTCCATGTTCTCATAAGACTTTGTCAATATCTGAATGATCTCTGGCAGATGATCAACTTGCTTTGTCTGTTGCTTCTTTGATGTGGCTGTTGACTGCTTTGGTGATGGGTTATAGTCATCCTCATCATCGCTATCATCTCCCCTCCTTCCTTTCTTGTTGCCACCCTTCTTGCCACCCTTGCCGCTCTGCTTTGTTGGCTTGTCATCCTGCTCCTGTTCCTCTTGTTGCTTTGACTTCTTTCCGCCACTGCCACCGCCACCTCCCTTGCCCTTGCCACTACCAGAGGATGTGAGGTCATCCCTGGACGCCTGCTTCTTGGTGTCTGTCGAGGTGGCAGTCGTTGACTGACTGGTTACAATGCTATCCAAGAGAATGGCCTGCTTCTCAACCTTGGCCTCGATCATCTTCTCCAACAAAGTGAAACAACGATCGACAAATGCTTGACTGACGATGAAGTAATCATTCAATACGATTGCATGTGGACTCTCCTTCACCTTCATCGTTGGACAACTCTCAATCACCATCGCAATGTCCCTGTTTGATAGTGATGATGGTACTAATGACTGTTATGTGGCAGGGGAGTGAGTCAGTAGTCCACGCCAGGCCACCTCATCAACAACAACATACCGAGATATCCATCCAACCAGTGCTGGCAATGATCTCCTCAATGGACGACTCTACATTGTTGACAATGTATTCGTTGATGAAGCATGATGACAATGGCACTCCATTGGTGTAGGTGTTCTTCAAATAGGCCATTGCATCGGGGATGTCCAACTTGGTCAATGTGCTATAAGGTACGTATGAGTTCTGCTTGTAGAAGTTATCAATCCAGAGTGTACGCGCTTGATTAAACACAGTTGGTATATACTCTGTCTGTGTGCCCTTTCCTTGCACCTGTCCATTGATCCTCTTCTCCTGGATCAACTCTGTCAATTGCTCTGATTGATTGATTGATTGATTAGCATTCATCCATCGCTCGATCGACTAATCACATACGTCTAAAGAGTCGCTCATTCATCTGATATTGCTTGCAAAGTGCGGCAATGTTGGTTGGTCTGGAGGGTCATTGGGAGTTAGTGATTGATCGAATGATCACGACGAATGAACAAACAAACATACTTGGTGACAGAGCTGAACAGTCCACGCACGCGTGCCTTGTGTCGATCGACGTGAGCCTGAGTGTAGAGGATGTCATTGTCAAAGACTCCAATGATCAACTTGCCAAGTCGTGTGTTGACAGCCTCGGTCAGGATCTCGCTGTTGAGGTTGAAGCGCAATGACAGGTCGTTGATGTCCAGACGACCCTCCTCCTGCAGTGTCTCGTGAATCTCCTCGACGACCGAGTCGAGGTAGTAGCGAGTCATGATCTCACCATAGTAGAGCTTCATGGAGCGGTCACGCGACACGATGAAGTTGACCTTCTCCTGGATGTAGCTAATGTCGACGTTGAGCAACGACTGCAGGTCGCTGACCACGACACGGCCACCCGATCGCATGATCTCATCCCTAATCTCAAGCTCCAACTGCTTGGGAGTTATAAACTCCTTTCCACTTGTAGTATGAATGATTGTAATCATCTTCAATTCCAACATCTTTGATATGATCTCAATACAATTACGCTCGGACAGTTTCTGAGCACTCTGTTCCTTCTGCACAGAGTACAGTCTCTGTCTCAATACTTCCTGTATATTATATCAGTCAGTCAGTCAGTCTTTCAGTCATTCAATTGATATGGTATTGTTGTTGTTAAACATACCAGTTCATCCATTTTATCTATTATCTCTATCTATCTATTATCTCAATGATTCACAATGTTGATTGAGTTGATATGAAAGTGAACATCATCAAAATGTTTGAAATTGCTTCAAAACCCAAATTTCAACTTCATTTATAACAAGATTCAAACAAAGAGTGAATGAATGAATGAATGAACAGATAATTAGATAACAAAAATGGAGTTACATCAACAATTACAACCTAACAATAATAACAATAACAATAACAATAACAACAACAATAATAATGTTGATAAAGTAAAGAGTTCAATCAAACAATTTGTTGATGCTTCACTCTCAACTGAGCAACGACTTCATTGTCTTCACATTGTAATACAATTGTTGTTCAACAACAACAAAGATAACGTTGATAATGATGATTATGATGATGATGATGATGATGACCAGGACAATGACAACAAACAAGATGCTAAAGTTGATATTATATTGGATGCACTTGCATGGGTATTGTCTGATGGAAAATGCAATACTTTGGCCGAACTTTCAAGACAGAGCAGTGGAGGTAGTAACAGTGGCAATCAAAGAACAATGTGCAGTACAGTTTGGAAGACCAATACATTCATTTATAAATGCCAGGATTGCCAAATGGACGAGTTCTGTGCAATGTGTGTCGACTGCTTTCAAGAGGAGCGACACAAAGGACATCGATATCGCCTCGTTCTCTCTGGACGCGGCTGTTGCGACTGTGGCGATGAATCAGCTTGGAGTCCAAGTGGCATGTGTGATCGACATGGGAGACACACCACGCACGCCCAATCACCAAGGGGCGCCCTACCTTCAATTTGGACATCGGTAATTGAGCTGTTGGTGACGGCCTTCCTTGAGGAGCCCAAGAGGTCGTACATCCTTGTTCTTACATTGATGATGGTCAAGCTGGTCGAAGCACTTGGCGAGTGTGTTGCATTGTGCATTGGACAGCGATGGCACGACTTGGGCGAGGGTCCAACTCACTCATACAAGAAGATTGCCGAGTTGCTGATGTGCACGACGAACATTACCCCACCAGTGGAGCGCTTGGTCGTGTCCCTGTTCGTCTGCACACAGTTCCGCGAGGACTTGGCAATGTACATCGCGAACAACTATCATTCACTGCAGGTGTCGTCCAGGAGCAACAAGCACAGCAACCGCAACCTTACCAGCATATCCCTGAGTCTTCAGCTGTTCTCTGTGGACTCGATCGCGAACAAGATCGTGGCCAGCAATAGCTTGCTCAACATTATAAAATATTTAGTTGAGACGATTGGTGAGGCGGTCAAGCCCGATGGCACGGTGAACATGTCGCACCCCAACCTCAGGAGCCGGCTCTTCCTTCGTCCGCTCATGGATATTGGCTACATCATCCGCAACAAGTCTGGCTTCCAAAGTCTGTGTGAGAGACCCCAGCAACTCTTTGCCCTGTTCAAGATCCTTCAACAGACACAAGAGATGGCCGGCAACACCAAGAGAACCAAGCATCATGTGGAGTATGATGATGGTAAGATTGTGTGAATGAGTGATTGAGCGAGCTGTCGCCTGCACAAACTCACGCTTCACGCCATCCACAGAGTCATGGGTCACAGGTTTTGTGATTGAGGTATACTTGCGCAAGTTCATCGAATCCCCTCTCTACAAGCACTTGGTCCAAGCAAAGTCATATGAGTCATCGTCATCATCATCGTCGTCACTTTCAGTCACGACATCAATCAAAGATCATCTTATACAGCTGTTGGAGACATACTCTAGCCAGAGGATACAATGGAAGACTGGCCTGCGAGGCGAGAATGTACCAGACTTTCGTGTATCAAAGCAGAGCACATCGGTACATCTCCCCTTGCATCGCACTCTCTGTCCATTGCTCTATCATCTCACATTGCGACACAATGTTCAACCCAAGGATGTCCTCGCACTCGTCCCCGATCCTTCCATCCTGCTCGACCCACTCCTGCGCATTAGGGCATTCAACGCACAAGTGCGCAGTGGTTCGTGGGTACGCAACGGCATGACCATCGTCTCAATCGCCCAGAACTACATGCTCTCCTACGCCATCTCATTGAACGACCTCTATCACATGCAGTACCTCATCAGCTGTCTGGCACCAACCCAGTTCTACGCGCAGCTTCTGGACCGCTTCGAGCTCTCAACATGGTTCACACTCGATGGATCGATTCCTGATGAGAGTGGCGCGACACCTGCACGACACGATAGTGGCGACGGAGAAAAGGTCAACTTGATCATCGCCGAGGAGATGACCCACCTCATCATCTCATTGGTGTGCGATCGCACTCGTGTTGGCGACGCCACCGATGAGGAACAGGTGCGACGGCTGATCATACATGTCCTGGCCGCGGGCGGAATGATGCGCCACAGCGAGATATATGATAGACACGCGGAGATTTTCGAGCATTTTGGTGTCTCGCCACAACAGTTTGATGTGGTACTCGGGTCCGTCTCAGTGTTCCATCCCCCGACATCGACTGAGACCGGACGATATGAGTTGCGGCCAGAGTGTTGGAGTGAGTGGTCGCCTCACTACCCTCAGTACAGCAAGTCCGAGGTACAGGCATCAATCGAGCGATATCAACAAGTACGCAATCAATCATTGCGCAATGCCCAGAGTCAACAAGGTGATGCCAATGTGGACTACTCCAAGGATGTACCGGCAATGCCTCAGCTACACACATGCTTCAAGTCATTGGATGACATACTTCACTGTGACCTCCTTCATTCGGTCATCTACTCAATCATATATAACAGTCTGTGCAAGTCCCCTCGCGCATCAGATCAGCTACTGTCCAATGCACTATTCCTAATTCGACGTATACTACATTCAGTTGCGAGCACAACAACCACCACGACAACCTCTGACGCCTTGAAGTCAGCGGTTGTGCCCAAGCTCGAGCAGATGGACTTTGGTTATGATGCACATGACTTCATTCACAATATGTTCATCAATGTCAAGCGAACATCATCATCAAAGAATCCACACTCACTATATGCTCTACTCAGACTGATGGCGCAGAGCAAAGACTTTGTATCACATCAACAATTGATTGAACATGCAATCATTGGACATCCATTGGTGTTGCAACAGCTATCGATTCTTGGTGATGCTGTGCTCCTGCATGGTGTCAAGCGAATGTATGAAGACATTGATGCCACAGCATCCCCATCGACAAAARGACATGGCCAAGAAGAGACAATCGGAGTTGATGCGCAAGTTCCAAGAGCAACAGAGGCAATTCGTTAGTACTAGTGGCGAGCTCATGTTGGAGGACTACGAGGACGAGGAGGACAACGAGGACGCCGCCGTGGGGTCTGGCAAGGAACACCAGGACACCATTGAGTATGGCGCATGTGCAATGTGCAAAGCAGACATGGTTCCAAACAAACGACCATTTGGTTACATTGCCTATGTTCAGAGCAACTCATTGCTGTCACTCATGCCAGGTGCAGCTGGGACCACACCAATCGATCATAGCGATTATGATCAGCCGACTTGTGAGATTCTACGTGATGTCCACAAAGGACAAAGCTCATTCATCACCTTCTGCTCCCATGCCATGCACATTGAATGCCACTCAATTCTCGTTCGCAACACACCTGGTGCCATCACCACAACCACAAAGTTCACATGTCTGGTCTGCAGACGCCTGGCCAACACAATCGTTCCATTCACTCAACAATGTATACTTCCACCGCTGCAGCCAACAAATCAATCATTTGCACAATGGATGAAGAGTGATGTGCTTGGGGGCGACACGACTACGCACCATTCCAACGTGATGCCTGGACCCCCAAATCAACGACTTTTAACAATGTTGACGGCGACTATATCAATGATGGAGTTGAACAATCGTAACAATGACAATGTCAACATCATGGACGCAGTGTCAGGTCATAACATGATCACGCTACAGAATCAGATTAGACACACTGTTGAACAACACAACTCTGAAGAAAAGGCTGGTAGAATGGCCTTTGATTCAATCCTACACGACAGACATGTACTCAAACGCGACATGTTTGGAATGTTCGTCAACCTGTATATTACCAATCATATACTGGCCCAACCAAGAGATATTGGACACCTTGTTAAACTCTGTTTCCACGCCACACTACTTCAATCACTTACATTGCTCAAGAGGTACACTGACCTGTCCACACTTCTCCAAAGCATTGTATCACTCAATGATCTTGATCAAGATGTCAAGTCAATGTGCCTTCCATTCTTGAGGAGAACAGCCATCCTCATGTCTATTGTCCATGGCTCCAAAGACAAATCATTCAAGATGCAGAGCGGCCCATCCACCGATGAGTTCAACTCATTGGTAAACATCCTGCATCTCAATGACACAATGTTGCTTGATCAAGACCTGTTGGAATTAATGTATCATCGTTGGATTGAGACAGAGCCAGCGCCAATACCTGTCCCACTCCGCACACACAGACCATTCGCCTTTGCTTCACTTGGACAAGACTTTCACAAGTTCTACATGGAGACCTCAAGGAAGGCATGTGGCTGGTGCAACAAGATGCCAGTCGGACTACATGCAGCGGTATGCATGCTCTGTGGATGTCTTCTCTGTCATCGATCTGAGCATGTTCTACACAATGTCATGTGTGGCCAAGGCATTGGAGTGATATTTGACTTCCAGAACATCACGGTATGGATACATGCCAACAACGTTCACACCAGAGTATGGGGCACTATCTATCTCGATCAACATGGCGATCAGGACTATGACAAACGAGGTAATCCAATGCATCTGTCCACATCACGTCTCAATCGATTGATGACTGAGTTGCTCAGTCTATCTCTTCAGAACATACAATAACAAACTGCAGTGTTTGATTCGGAATAGAGGGTTGGTTTCAATGGATATGACTAGGGATTCAATTTATACATGATAAATGATTGTTTATATTTTTTTTAGTAAATATATTCCGAAATTATTCATCAATAATAATAATAATTTAAATAAATTAATGTGGTGAGTTGGTTTAATGAACAAAGGTGATGTATTTACAGGTTGATTGGTTGGGTAAATGTTGAATAACTACTTGGTGTACGTGGCTACTGGAAACTCGGACACAGTTCTACTTGCACGATCTATTCTGAGGGCGGCCTGTCGATTGTCAAGATAGTAAGAGTACAATGAATGGAATGGTTTCTCTTGGCTGCATTGGAGGGTGAGTGTATGAAAAGTACCATATGTGCCAAGATAGAGCCATAGTGTGTCGGAACCTGGGACATACTCCATGACCACATCACAGTCCGGTTGAATGGTTGTTGATGCCGATCCAAGTTCAAGTTCGACAATCTTGTTGTTGGCGTCCACGTCAATGACCATACCACTGTCGAGGTGAACACTCTTGATATCGTCGATCTTCATCATTTTGATTGCACAAAGAGATATACCGAGAATGTCAGATCTTGAGTCATAGGTATATCTTGGACTCCTGGAGCAAAAATAATTAGATCGTCTTGATACCAGGCCGTTACAAGTCCGCACTTACCATGGAGAATGTCTTGGAGTCCTGAATGAGTCCATTCCAATTGGTTTGAGGTCAGATTCCTTCCTGCAATAAAGAGGTTAGCTGATGACGAGTTACTTCATTGTATAGATTAGACATCTTACATGGCTGCTCGGGATCCAAGTAAACAGTGATCACTACAACAAGATCTTGCGTTGGACTGTGTCGAGCTATGAACAGTGTCTTGGATTATGATTCGGTATGACTCTAGCTCCTGGGAAAGTATACAGGTCAACAACTTGGAGGTGTGAGATATTGCGTTGATTAAGTCTGCGTAAACTTAGCAGAGTAAAGTACAATGTTCGTGTAAAATGGTATGTGCTCATATTATTAGTTATCAATAGACAGATACAAAACTAAAACACAACTACACCTTCAACTTACCTCTGGTATGTTATCTTTGTCTTATTCACAATCAATCTGAAGAATGACATATTGTGGTGGAATTAGAAGTGACTTCACCCAAATAAATATAATAAATCCAACAGATATAAGAATGCCATCAATCAAACATCACTATCAATCAGACCCGGAGTTCAGGGAGCGACACAGGACTACATCAAAGAAAAGGTCAAGTGTGAGTGTGGTTTTGAAGTGGGTCGCACCAATCACCATCGACACAAGAATCGTTTGGAGATCCATGGCTTGGCTAAGGTGCTTGGTTACCTTGTCTGGATATGCCGTTTTGATGCAGTCGTAGAGGTAGTCGTTGTCTTTGCCATCACAGCCGCCTGCTCTGAGGTTAGGATGAATGATAAATAGTAGAACCCAACCTTTCAATTTAGAGCGCAACGCCGTGGTGCCACTCAAGCTCAAGGACGGTGTTGGGAGGTGAGATGGGGAGGTGTAGCCAGCCAATCAATTGGTAATGTACTTTGACAATTTACATTGGTAATGTATCTATATTGCAATGAGCAATAGGTTATACACCACTCATCTTGGGATGAATAACCATCTGCTCCAGTCAACAACACTTTTGTAGTGCCTGGTTGGCGTAGAACTTTACATCTTTGTCTTGATCATCGTTCTGGAGCTTGGTAAGCAGTGGTCGCACTTTGGACTGTACAAGTGTGCTGTCGATGTAGGGTATGATGCACTCGAATGTCTTGGCCACATTGAATCGGATGTTGGGTACCTTGTCCGAGGCCATCTTTGATAGTAGTGGCACCATTGAGCTGGATATAACATCACTGCCAACCACTGGTGCCAGCACACCTATGGAGAACAACGTGGTCATGCGATACAGGTAGTTGGGATGTGAGTGTAGTGTGAGCACCTTGGGAATGACGCTGGTCTTGGCCCATTCAACGCCAAACACTTCAGTCAACTTTCGCAGATTGTTGGTGGATGCTTCTCGGATTGAGAATACAGGGTCGCCCAGCCAGGTCATGCAAAGGTTGCCAAGCTTCTCGTCAAAGAACTCCACGCCTAATTGTGAAGCCAGAAGTGGTATATAGTCAATGATCGCAAGACGCACCCTCCATTGCTGGTCCTCGGCAAGCTCGACGATGGCAGGCAACAGGGACTGTGAAAGCATCTCGATGCCAATGACCTGGTTGACCGTGTCCAGCTTGGAGATGATATTGAGACGCACATCGGGGAAGTCGTCCTTTAGAAGCTGTAGGAATATGTTTAACAGATGATTGAGTGTGTCTTCTTTGCCCAATATCGGTGCCAGGCCCATGATCGACTGAGCCAAAGCTGCGCGCACATGTTGTGACGGGTCCGTCACCAGGTCTTTCACACAGGGCAGGATGATCTTTGCGCACATATCCTTGGATATGAATGTGGACACTTCGGTCACTCGCTGTGCTGCCTCTGTTCGCACCTCTGATTCAGTGTCCTTTAGCAGTTTGACAAAGCAGCCGAGCAACTCCGACCTGGTGATCTCGGGACCCATCGCCTCGCAAAGTTCCTTGAACAGACGCGCCACCATATATCTAACTCGCCAAGACTTATCATTTGCACTTGATTTAAGTATAGGTAGAATATGATGTATATTCTCCTCAGCTGTCAATACTGATCCAATTGTCGAACAGTTCTCCACACCCAATAGTCTAACAGAGTCCTGTTCATCACCTGCCAAGAATATAAACAATGGTAACATCTCTGTCTTTACCGCTTCCTTCTCAATCAGTTTGGAGAATGTCTTTGATTTGGTCGAGGGCAAGGGCGAGGGTTAGGGCGAGGGTAAGGACGGACTTATGGTGTACTTACACCTAGGTATGTGGCCGCCGATCGTCTAACCATTGGTGTATTATCATGGCACAAAGTACTAAATGTCCTGCATGTGTGGATGGTGAATGAGTTGAGGAATTAGGAATGTGTCCCAGACAAGTGATATAGATGCGGTAGTACTAGTACTCACTTCCTAAGATTCTTCTTCATCTCTGTTGATGACCTGGGATATGCTACATTGAGTAGTCCACATGCAGAGGTGCGTGATGTGAACCATTCCACTTTGGATAGATTGAGTAGTAGTGGCAGGAACACATTGTCAAATGCAGTCTGTGGCAGATCCTGTGCAATCTTACACAATGCCTCCACAGCCTTCTCACGAACGATCACCTCCTCGGCACCAGCCAACATCTGCAACGGTGACAATAAACATGTGGCATGATCATTGCCTCCAACCAACTCTGTCAACATGCACAACTCCTCAGCCAATGCCACCAACACCTCATCCTCATCCTCAAGCACTGAGTCTTTTGTGATTGATCGATGGTATGTTTGTTAGTTGTGATGGATGTGATTGATGGGCATCATTGATCTACCTGACAGACATACCTTGGAGATAGGGAATCAATTCACTCCTGGATCGATCAGGACCCAATGACTTGGCGATTGATTGTAATTTACGTATAGAATTCAAACGTATTTGAATATCATCATTCTTCAACTCCTCGATCAATATCGAAATTGGATGATTGTCATCCGTTTCCATTGCAGAGGCTAGAGTGTTCCATTTGATTGATTGAGTGAGTTGATTGATCAGTGTAATTGAGCCAACCTGGAATATTCATTCCTTACCCATAATATATTATAATTAGTATCTCTCTACAAGACTATCTTGTGTTGTTGATAATTGACTGATTGACTGATTGATTGATTGATTGATTTGATGATCAACTCAACACACCCCCACATCTTTATGAAGATGATCTTGAGCTCGTGGTCACCGATATATCTTGAAGTTTGAAAAGAAATATTAGTGGACCTTATATCACTGGTCAATATATTAAAGTGATATATATCTTCATATTAAAGTTCATGATACGTTTATATATTAATCACAACAAGATATACTTTATGATGTCAACTACTAAATAGAAATGTGATGAGAGACTGAGGTATTCACTTCGAAGTTCATTATAACTATTTTCATTTTATTTTTTCACTCTGCAATCACCCCACAGACGATCAGTGACTCCCAGAGTAGTTCCTACCTCCACACAAACATTATCTCTACTCTAACATACCTTTTTTTAAAGTATATCAATATATATAACATACACACAAGATTAAGATATGTCTAGACTCACTGGATTCTTGTACCAAACACTCTTCAAGAGAAACTCAACTTTCATTGCCACCGCCATCGTTGGTGCCTTTGTCTTTGAGAGCTCAATCCACGGTGTCGTCAACTGCACTTGGGACAGCGTCAACAAGGGTGTACGTACATTCATTGATTGAATACACATGACGATGTCGACATACATTATGATCATCATCAGTATGACTGACCATTCTCAAACAATCAAACGATCAATCAAACAAACAGAAACTCTGGAAGGATGTCTTGGTTGAGCGTCAGTCAAAGGGACTCTCTCAATAAGCATTGTCGCGACATATACACTACACATACAACAAAGACACTGTTACACCTTTTAGATTAGAAATGCACATAGTAGTAGAAGTTGAGGTGGAATATAATGGTGATGATGATGAACGAACAGCAGTAGCAATAGCGACAGCAGCAAGCAGACATACAGAAACATATATATATCCGAAGCATCAACTCCAACAACACATCAATAAATGATCGATCGACTACGAATGGATGATCATCATACATACCATACCATACATACATACTTACTTAATGAGTGAGTGAGGTGAGTGAGTGTGCTCGAGCGAGCATGGAAACAGATGCGGCATCAACTGCAGAAGAGGCAACAACAACAACATTGGGGAATGCGAGTCCTCCAATGAGGTCACACAACTATAGTTGGCAAGCTATTTTTGACTTTAACTTCTACTCTTCAAAGACAATGATCAATCATTGATGAGGACCACGATCGTGGGAATGCATTGCATTGTGACAATGCTTAAAGTTGATGATGATGATGATTGTTGTAGTTGTTGTTGTTGTTGGATGAGCTTCATAATCAATCATATGCAATATTTAAACGGTTCTGGTGTGATTTGAAAGATGTAAAGTTTATTGGATATGAGGTCCCATGACAGGCAGGGCCATCTCCTTCCCTCAAATATAATTTGTGTGTGTGGTGATGTCCATTGATTGACACTACATCCCACTCGTGTAAGACTCTAACTAACACACAAACAATCAACCGAACCACACACACACACACACACACACACAAACCAACATACATCAAACCACACACACTCACTAAACAAAACAACAACAATACCATCAACAAACAACACAAGGTTCAACCGTCAAGCACACCCTTCAACAATATTAATATTGTTTTTTTTTTAATAAAACTAAAGTAAAGGTGTCAGGTTGACTGACTGCTTCCTCTCTCTCTCTCTCTCTTGTCTCTATCTCTCCCTCCTGCCTCACCTGACATACACACACACACCAATCATCTTAACTTCAACATCATTCATTCAATCAATCAATCAAGTCAATCATACTTATCAAACATATACTTGTCATTCATTCATTCATTCCAACATTTGATTGCATCATAATAACAACAACTACTGCTACTACTACTACTGCCACATAATATACCATTACAACATCAATCAATCAATCAATCATATATATATATAGAGTGAGAAGTTAGATAGGGATAGAGATGATGGATAGTTCAACGACCACGACGACTGGGACAGTCAAGCAGATGGGAGAGTTGTCCATCAAGGATAATGATGATATAGAGCAACAACAGCAGGAATACAGCTCTGATGACGATGATGAATGCGATTGCGAGATTGATGAGAATGAGCAGGATATATCGACGTACTCCAAAGAGACGTTGGACGCTGCCATTGCCACAAAGGTCTCCATCGAGCAATATTATACACAGCTATTCAAATCATTGAAAGAGCGTGAAGAGAGGTATGATTATGATTGATCATCACATGACATGATGTGACACTGATTGACTGACTCATTTGTTCAATCAATCAATCAAATATATATTAGACGAGTATTCTTGGAACGAAAGATGGAGGAGCTGAGTCTAAAGGATGAACAGAGATCAATCAAGAGAAGAGAGTTGGATAGGAGAGAGACAGAGTATATCAAGTCGCGTAGAATACGTTTGACGGGACATTCATTCGAGTCGATAAAGATCATTGGACGTGGAGCGTTTGGTGAAGTACGTCTCGTGCGCATGAAGAAGAACAACAAAGTATTCGCAATGAAGAAGCTGGACAAGTCAAAGATGATCGAGAGGCAACAGGTATGTCTGTTTCCATCCATTCATTCATTCATACATCCAACTTCAATGACTGACACATCCCATCCCATCCATCACATCCACAAATGTCTAGACTGTACACGTTAGAAGCGAGAGAGATATCTTAGCCGACAATAACATCAATGGGAACAACCCTTGGATTGTCAGTCTGTATTATTCATTCCAAGTGAGTATCGCCATAACATGGTGACCCGACCGGTCGCCAAGTCCATCCCTCGACGATGGCTCACTCACACACTCAATCAATCATTCAATCAATCAATCAAACATTACATAGGATACCTACTACTTGTATTTGATTATGGAGTATGTTCCAGGAGGCGATATGATGACACAGTTGATAAAGTATGATACATTCACCGAGGATGCCACCAGGTTCTACATTGCCGAAACAGTGCTGGCCCTGCACTCCATCCACCGAATGAACTACATCCATCGAGATATCAAGCCCGACAACTTGTTGATCGATAACAAAGGACATATTAAGGTAATGATCATTCAATCCAATCAATCCAATCATATCCAATCAATCAAGGTCACTAACAACTTTGTCCCGCGATAAATAGGTCAGTGACTTTGGACTGTGCACTGGACTGGAGACAAATAGAGTGCCAACATTGGCAGAGATATATAAGAAGTACCAGGGCGACAATTTGAGCGAGGACGACCAGACTCTGCAAGGTCGCTCGGCAAGGTTCGACTCGTGGAAGAGACAGCGTCGCGTACTGGCCTACTCCAACGTGGGCACTCCCGACTACACAGCGCCCGAAGTGCTGATGCAGAACGGATACAGCGCAGAGTGCGATTGGTGGAGCGTCGGCGTGATCATGTTTGAGATGCTCGTGGGCTACCCACCCTTCTGCTCCGAGACACAGCGCGAGACCTATCACAAGATCATGAACTGGAAGTACACGCTGCCCAAGATCATGGAGGAGGCCAAGGCCGAGGTGTCGCTAAGCGCCGAGGCACAGGACCTGATCGAGCGCTTCCTGACCGACCCTAACCGCCGCATTGGAGCCAACGGCGCCGAGGAGATCCAGGCACATCCATTCTTCCGTGGCGTCAACTGGAAGACGTTGAGAGAGTCGACGCCGCCCATCATCCCCACGGTGACGTCGGCCACCGACACGTCCAACTTTGATCACTATGATGAGGAGCCTGCGCACGTGCCCGCCGAGCCCATCCCCCAGCCACATGCTCAAGAGTCTAAATCCAGGAGGAAGATCAACTCATTTGACATCCCATTCATTGGCTATACATACAGGAACTTTGAGGCGATGAGAGAACAATTTGGAACTATTGGACCACGAGAGACACTCAAGTTCTGACAATAGTCCCCAAACTATTTCCATTATCCCCACGTACCAATCGATCCAACTCCAACACTCCAACTCCAACTACAACTCCAACTCAACCTTTTGGGGGATATATAATGCCCTTCACCTCCACTATATAGTATACCCATCCACATCCACATCAACATCCACATCCTCATACGTCAGTACACAACAAAGTCAATACTACCAACAGCTCAAACAAATAATCTTTTACTCTCTTGATCATCAATCAATCAATGGATGATGGAGAGAGCGGATGGAGTGGCAAGGATTAAGCCACATCCTCCAACACAATAACAACAAACCCTGTATGAATTAATTATATTTACTACCATCAAACAATAAACAAACTCCCAACATCACCTTCATCATCCATCATCCCATCATCATCTTTGATCGATCCAATCAATTTGAAGTTGGCAAACCCATAAATTAAAATGAACTGCCACATAGGCTCACTCCATTCTCAACTTCATTCATTCAAACATTCATTCAACTATTCATTCATTCATTCGTGTTGGTTGTTATATAGATATATTGTATAGTGTATAAATAGTATATATCAATCAATCAATCAATCATTCAATGTCAGACCAACAACAACAACAAGGGGCTCCACCTGTATCCCTTGAGAAATCATCAAGGGAGGAACTTGCAGAGTTTATAAAGAAACAGGCTGTGCATATTAAGAAGTTGGAATCAGTGTATCAGAGATTGAAGAAGGAGAATGGTGATGCCACAGCAAAGATTGCAAATATGGAGGAGGAGGCAGTACATCAGAAACAGATAATGGGCACGATGATCAAGTCGCTCGAGGACAAGGTCAAGACCGCCGTGATGGAGAGGGAGCGCATTGAGGAGGAGCTGCACGCTCGCTTCCAAATCGAGAAGAAGATGTATGTGGAGGAGCGTGCACGTCTACAACAAGCCATCCAACAACATGGTGATATAATGCGCGCGGCTGCCGAGGAGCGTCAGCGAATGATGCAACAGGCCGACACGCAGCGTGAGTCGTTGCAGCGCGAGATCAACGAGCTTCTCAACAAGGTGCAGGACTTGGAGATACAGAACAACACAAGCAGTGTCGACGGCAGCAATGACAACAGCAAGGAGGCCACGGACGATCAGCAACAGGACCGTGGCAGCGACCCATCACACGAACCATCGGACGACCAGCAACAAGATCAGGGCAGTGATCCCACCACCAAGACAACCAGCTCGAACGCTGCACATGTCGAAGAGGTCCAGCAACTCAGATCATCAATATTCCAGCTCCAACAAGAGATTGATCAACTGTGGAGCAATGTCTCAAGTGCCAACGATGAGCGTGATTCATACAAAGCAGAGGTTGAACGATTGCAGCTACAACAACAGCAACTGCAACAACATCAACAACACGAGGAGCCTAAGCAGMSCCTGAACAGAAAGAGAATGAGAGAGAGAGAGAGAATGAGGCGAAWTTTGCAAGAGCAAATACACGAGGCAACAGATTCACTCAAATCAAGCAAGAGAGGAGATCAGTCGTTTGACACAGGAGTTGATAGAGAAGGGAGCAGCCTTCAATGATGTAGGTGAACAGCTACGCACAAGAGACGATGAACTGAGGCGAACAATGGAGGCACTCACAGGCAGAGATAATGAGAAAAAGAGATTGAGTGATGATTTGGCATCTGTACAGGAGTTGCTCAAGACAAAGGATGCACAGTTACAACAGCTACAACAGACAATGGAAGAGACAGAACGAGAAGTTGAGCGGGTGACTGGCGAGCTGGCCAAGCTGGCCCAGACGATCAAGGCTAAGGACGACCAACTGTCGGCGCTCCAGACACAGCAACGCAGCCGCGAGGAGGAGGTCAACACATTGCTGGCGACCAAGGTATCGGCAAGCGAGCACCTGGAGGAGGAAGAGAAGAAGCTGAACGAGAAGGTACTCAAGCTCAAGAACCTGCTGGTGGTCGCACAGAAGCATGTCTCAGAGCAGAAGAAACAGATCGCCGACAAGAACACCGAGACAACTGCGTTGAACGACCGGATCAAGGAGCTGGGCGACACGATCAATGAACTAAGCGCCAAGGTCAAGGAGCTGGAGGTGTGTCGCGACGAGAGCGAGTCCGTGGCCAATGAGTTCCACGAGATGAAACGCAACTATGACTACAACCTGCAAAGGATCAAGATATTGGACAGTCAGCTGGCCAGCACCAATGCCAATCTGAAACAGGCACAGGATGAGTACAATGACTATCGCATCAAGGTTCATCACGCACTAAAGCAGAAGCAGGAGGTGCAGCAGGATCACATGGACGAGATTGATGTCAGTGCCGCTATCGAGGAGGCACTGGCCAAGCAGCAGCAACAGTACGCAGAGGACAAACAGCAACTGGCCGCCAAGGTCGAGGAGTTAACTGGCGAGGTGGCACGATTGACCGATGAGCTGAGCGGGCTCCAGGAGCGAATGGATGGCGAACAAGCCGCACATCAGAAACAGGTTGGCGCACTTCAGAAAGAGAGTCAGGCGCATGTAGATACGATCGAGGACCTGAACACTCAGCTGGCAACACTGCGAGCAGCACCTGCCAACAGCAACAAAGAGGACCAGATTGATTATGAGAAGGGTATGTCACGCAACTGACTTGAGAGAGTCAACCAACACACATGACTGACCCTTGCAACTATGTACATAGAGCTGAGGCAACGCGATGAGAGGATGATTGAGTTGCAGTCACAGTTGAACTTCTTCAAGAGGAATAGTAACTCATTGATGCGAGAGAAGGATAGATTGATTGAGGAGCAAAAGCATTCAATTCAAAGTCTCAAAACAGAGGTGGATAAACTAAGACCTATCAATCTCAATGAAACAGATGATGATCATGCTCACAATGATAACAACCTTGTTGTTGGCAACAATGGAGTCCATGATGGCAATTCAGGAATAAGTGGTGGTGGCGATAGGACATTGGAATCCAATTCATCGACGTCAACTGGTGAGACAAGACAACTTGTCAATCCAGAGGAGTTGGACTCCAAGTTCAGCATCGAACATCTCTTGCCATCATCATCCAATGTACTCCCGCCTCGTGAGGACACATTCTCATCACTGGAACTGCCTCAATCACTACCTCTCGAAGTCGAGAGAATACTAAATGAATATGCAAGAGTATGTCATACAAGCTATGATGATTGGACATGGCACATATTAACTCAATCAATCATTCAGTCCCAGGCATCTCGAGACGAAGAGTTACGCAAGGCCAATGCTCAAGCAAGTCTGTTGAAACAACTGTTGGCAGAGAGTGAGAAGATGGAGCAGAAGCATTTTGAACAGGAGAAGTTACTCAAGGAGGAGATAAGGAAGCTTGAACGTTCCAGTTCCAGAGAGGGATCAAACCTTGAGTATGGACAACAACAACAAGAGCAATCAATGCATTGACACTTGACTGACACCACCTCTTACCTCAATCAATCAATCACATCAAATAGATATGTTAAGAATATATTGGTAAAGTTCTTGGAGAAGGAGGACGAGTCATTGATACCAGTGCTGTCGACTTTGATGCAGTTTACACCAGAGGAGTTGAACAAGGTGATGGATGCCAGGAAGTCCAGCTCACTCTGGAACATCACCTCGTCCTACCTAGGTGCATTCCATTCGAAATAAACTTGTTTGTTTGATTGACATGTTGTAATGTAATGTACAGTAGTGTACAAGTGATTGGTTCATTGAGAGCGATGATCAAAGACTATCTTGCCATTTGATCGTCCATCCATGTAGCATTGGTATCCATCTTTGATGTTGGCCAATGGGAAGACTTGTCCAACGTTGGTCTGCAAGAGGTTGTCCTCAAACATCTTGGTAATCCTTCGAAGTGTGCTGCTTGATGGTACGAACAATGAGTTGCTGGTCTTGATGCTGTCCGCATGCGCCTTCTGTTTTAGATTCTGATCCAGCACTCCCCTGGACAGACCGATCAGCACGCCCTCCTTGTCGCTGTCACGCACCAATGGTCCGTTGAATGAGACGTAGTGACCGCCCGGTCTTAGCCAACTAATACACTTCTCTTGCATTGCCGCACCGCCATCCACGCAGTTGAGTACAACATCAAACTTGTTGTTAACGTCTGGACGAAGAGATGATGATGTGGAGTCGGTGTAATCGATCAGGATGTCGGCGCCAGCCTTTTGTATCTTGTCAAAGTTGTGACGTTGGCAAGTGGCGCCAACGATGCATCCAAGATGTTTCTTGAGTAGGTTCACTGAGAAGAATCCGACGCCTCCATTGGCACCATTGACCAACACTCGCATACCAGAGGTGATGTTGGCAGTGTTGAATATCGCATTCCATGCTGTGAGTGCAGCGAATGGGACACTGGCAGCCTGCGTGTCGGACAGGTTGGCGGGACTCCTAGCAATGTCGCTCTCATTCATCACTACGTACTGGGCATGTGTGCCATTGGAGAATGGCGCGTTGGCCGCCCACACACGGTCGCCAACACGATAGTCCCATACATCGTTGCCGACGTGAACAACCTCGCCTACACAGTCTCTGCCGAGGATCATGGGCATCTGTTGCTCAGGCCGCAGCGATACGATGCTCCTTGCATAGCCCTTGCGCATCTCATTGTCCAGAGGGTTCAAACTTGATGAAAGAACCTTTAACAGGACCTGTGGGCCCTCTGGCATCTGTACCTTTAGATCATTCGCCACCTGTATATTCTCTAGTGACTCGCCGTATTGAGTGAGCAGTGCAGCGCTCATCCTCAGTGTTGGATGAAATGAGCTTCCATTTGGTGCTGTTTGTTTCAAGAGAGTATCAGCATTGTGTTAACTTTACATTCATTCATTCTTTTGATTGCAATGCAATCAATGATCTATGATGTATACCTCTTATGAAGCTCTTGATCAATCCAAATGATGTGTTCAAGTTCATTAAAGAATAGTCTATTAATTATGAGTCGCAGATATCTGTAAACAATCAATCTTGAGGTCTCATGGATGCCACTTTTGTAAATTGGTCAATCAATCACTCTTTTAATTCAAAATTTATGTTTTACTATTCGATCCTTGTTTGAGTTAGTTCCTCTGTCTTGTTGTTGTTTGATATACTTTGGCGTGGGACTAGGAAGATAGACTGGTGCAAGGAAGTAGGAGTTTCCATCTCGTCCAGTGAATGGTACCAGGTAAGGTGTACCATATTTGAAGTCGCCAGGCTCATCCTTGATTTGAAACAATAAGTGGCCGTACTTCAGGTTTGGCACACCAAGGCACCAGACCACGACTTGGTAGTCCATTCGGAGTTTGAGGGAATCATTCAGCTTCTCTGTGGGCTCGATATTCGTAACTGTACCTGCTTGGCACGCAGGAAGTCCAAAACAAGGTTGGAACTGAGGGTCGTTGTCAAAGAACAAACCAGCATGGCAACTGTTGATCAACACTGTCGTGTTGACTCTAGGATTTAGGGGGATGTGCGATTGGATTAATGTACCACCTGTATTTGCGTCGGGTAAATCAAATAGGTAATCACCCTTATTGTTCATTCCATGGCCAATGTAGAAGATGTAGTTGACATCACCATCACTTGGCTGCCATGAATTCAACACGGCAATCACATTGTCGCTGGATGGCGACAGATTGGGAGTTGCTTACTGTTCGATCAACTGAGTGACTCGTGAGGATCAAACATGATGATCGGCTCGCCTACTTTCGTGAACCTGCCTGATCGATATAGTTTGTTGCCGTAGTCGAGCACGACTTCTATCCTGGCGTTAGCGCCGTATCTTGCGAGAGTGTCGCTGTCTTGTGCTATCCTTTCGATCTGTTCTCTGGTGTAGTTGCCATTGACCTTGATCTCAGTCACACCTGTCTTCTTCAGTCTGCCGCCAATGTCTCTGGTTGATCTACTCATTCTATATACTAACTAGAGATAATTAGTTTATATCACTTTGAATCTATTTGTTGGCCATCAACTGCCTGTGGATGTATCAGGGTTCTCGTCCCAATAGTACTCTTTGACATGTTATATCTGTTAGTTAGAGATAAATTGTTTGTTTAATTTGATTAATATTTTTTGAGTTTCCAAAAAGGGACAAGCAGATCACCCTTCACCACATCAGTCTCAGCTTTGGTTCTCACTCATTCATTATTCACAACAACATCAACAACAAATAATAATACAACAACCTCTCATATTCCCCAACTGATAGTGAAATATTCCTCATTCACATTGCTCATCAACTATACCTCTCATCGAACAATGTCCACCTCCCAACCTTCACCACAAGCCACAATCGAAGAGGTTGCCAAGTGGATCGAATCTCTGAAGCTGTCGGATCCCAAAGTGCATGATCTCTTTAGGATTGCCAAGATCGATGGAAGATCATTGCCCCTGCTCACACTAGCCATTCTTCAAAGTCCTCCATTATCACTTGCCCTTGGTGATGCGATGATTGTTGTAGATGCCATCAAGCCCCCAGCTCGTAAGTACAAACAACATCTTGGCAATGTCTTCATTCAATACTAACATACACACTCAAGCCCCTGCTGCCCCTATAGGATCACAAGGAGGCCAAGCTCGTAAGTACAAATGAGAGTGAGTGATGTGTTTGCTTACTATGCTAACTTGTCACTTTTATATTAGACATACCATTCGCACGACAACTCAAACCGAGTGTCCTATCAGAGCAGTCCGATGAAGGCATCACTATTGGATCACGCAATACACTCCCGAGACATAACACAGTGAAGAAGCTGTACGATTATGTTTCGAAACATCACTTGGTCCTCCTTCGTGCCCCACCTTTCTCTGGAAAGACATCAATCACTCAGTTGCTGGAGCAGTTCATCATTGACAATCATGGCGATACATATGTCCGCAGATATTCATTTGTTTGGAGTCAGAAATCAAATGAGGATTTCGAAACATCATGGGAACATTTCGCTGGTACCTCATGGAATGCAATCACTTCTCTTGCCTCAGAACATCCAGTGTTCCTCATCGTTGACGAAACACAACTCACATACACACAGATCAACCAACCACTCCATCAGTTTTGGACAAAGATGAAGGGACTTGTTCAAATCTGGTCCACCCTCCCCAAGCTGTCAATTCTTCTTGTGTCAGCATACTACCAGAGATACATTGACGGACTCTGCACACCAGTCAACATAGTTCACTGTCTTGGCATTGATCACCTTAACTTCTCTGAATCGGAGCTCTCTGAGTTTCTTCAGGAAAAGAGCTTGTCTCGAAAGAGAACGAAGCTCCCATTCACTCCCGAGCTACAATCACTCCTTTGGGAAATGACTAGTGGGCATGTTGGACTTGTCGTCATGGCACTTAAAGGATTGAACAACAGGTTCAAGGACAAGGCAAAGGAGCAGATCATCGATCCTTCCGAGATTCGTCTGTATCTTCACTCCAAACAGTTCTATGACTCTGCAAAGGGTAGCCGAGCCTACCAAAGACCAAATCAATTCTCCAAACAAGAGAACGAGGTGTTATCGTCCATGCTCCTTTCTCTCCAGCGTTCCCAGCTTTTCTCTGCGCCGTTTGGTGTATGTATTCGCAATCCCACAACAAAAATAGGATAAATTGGTTTACACATATGATATACATAGGCTCCTATTCAGAGTTTGGTCAAGAAAGGAGCCATTGTACCTGATATCATCAGTACTCCCATGGATGTGGACACACCAACTTCATCGTCCTCGCTACAAGTGAGCCCCCAGGACCTCATAACCGAGAATGATGAGGATGATGAGGATGAGGATGAGGATGAGGACGATGAGGACGATGAGGATGATTTCATGCACGATGATGCACAAACTTCCACTTTCAAGTTTGTCTGCCCACTTCTTCGAACGCTCTACTACACAGAACTGTTTGGTTCAAAAGTCTCGGAAAGCTATCAACCAACAGATTTTGGAGACTTCATCTACCATTCATTGGTGAGAATGAGATCCTCAATCCTACTTGGGTCTCAACAAGCATTGGAGCACAAATCAGTCGAAACCAAGCGCGACTCTAAACCAAACGAGCAAGTCTGGCAGAACGAGTTCTTCCATGCCGCAACCAAATTGGTTGGGACAAACATCCACATCAGTCCAAACGTTGGCCCATGTTTCAAATCAACCGGATATGTCGATTTTTATATCAACGGAGGAAAGAAGTGGGCAATCGAGCTGCTAAGAGAGGGCGAACCAGCAACATTGGACGAACACATTAACAGATTCCTTCCAGGTGGAAAGTACTACATTATGGTCGACAAAGACATCACTCAGTGGGCGGTCCTCAACTTCACCTCAAAGGACTCACCTATCAGAGATCATTGTTGGCACATCCAGTACAACCAGGACTTCACATCCTTCAGTGTCAAGACACCAATGACAGAGGTTCAACAGTTCAACATTCCTCTCAAAAACTAGTTTCAGCAGCACTTCAGCGATGTCTGCAGGACTGATGGTGATAGGTGACCCCCAACACACTTATGATGGCCTCAAATACTTCCTCTCTCCTGAGCTCTACAAGATGCTTCTTCGTATCTAAAAGTCTATCATGCATCATCCACAAWTGAGTACATGTATTCATTTGCACCAATGTTATTATTATTTTTTTCCTCAAAGYTATTTTAATTAAGAAGTTATGTTGTAATTTCCAAATCCCTATTAATATTATTTTAGTACTTTTCCATTATTTGTATTAACTTAATTAACTAAGTAACTATAAAAATATTWATATAAGTTTTTAATAAGTATTGAAACTTCTGACAGTGAGAAATGAAGTCGCGATAGCGACGCAATGTGAGCGCCAGCGACAAAGCAGCGCCAGCACGAGCCATCCACACACATTGAGGAGGAGTCATATTCTTGGGTCTATGGACCAAAGAGAACAAGACAAATTGTTCTTAATAACATATGATTGATGGATGGCAACAAAGTATGTGTTGTGGCACCTGATCGCCTAGGGTCTGGACGACGGCAGATACAGTCGCCGCCACCTCTGTTGGATATGGGTCGCCTCGCTCAACAGTTCGCATTGGCAGTGAGTGTGCGCTGAATAGGAGGACTGGCTGGGCAGCCTCACCAATTAGATTGAGTCGCTTGGCTTCATTGGCAAAGTGTGTCAAGGCCTGTTGGATCTTTGAGGCAACAGTTGAGACAAAGCCCTCGTGCAATGGCCATCTATCAATGATGGACCAATCAAACTTGGACTCTAGAAAATATATAGTTGGCCTTTGAGAATACACCTTCTGACGGAACTGACGAAGCAGGCACTACCAGAGTACGGAATCCGGTGGTACGGTTACGACCGAGACCCTTTTCGACCGAATACTATCAACCGGTGACTTTGCCAACCGCACCGGAACCGGACCAGATCAAAAAATGGATACCGAAGACAACCGTCAGGTTCCCCCAGACTTGTGGGTGACGTCTCAGGCTCATGCGCATTTATGAGGGGTGAAACCCCCCTACCCCCCCAATATTTCAACCCGCGTCCTTTCAATAATCGTAATTCATCTTGTATCTAGTGATGTATCCTGTATCTGTATCTTGTTGGTTGTTTCTATTAACTCGTTTATTATTTATATAGGGATTACTGGTCTATGATCTGTACTGCACTCATTATCCTGAATCCTAAACACAGTTTGGGTACAAGATATATACAAGATACAAGATCAGGATACTAGATACAGATAAAGGATACAGGATACATGATACAAGAGGAAGAACTTTGTGTCTGTGCAAAAAACCGGTAAGTAGTGGGTAGTGCACCACATGTATCATTACAAATAAATAAGAATGAATGAATGAATGAGAGTGAATGAATAACAATGAATGACAATGACTAAGATTAATGAATGAAAGAATGAGTGATTACAACACCCCAGTACAGTACCCGATCAAAACAACAGATCGAAATCAATTAAAATAAAAATCTAGATATAACCAGGTCAGTGGGTAGGCTAGATACGGAGTCTTAGTCTACCGGATTGGATAAGATCAAACCGGTATTCAATCAAAAAAATTTTCCTCAAACCGTAACCGTACCGACCGGATTCCGTACTCTGGGTATGCCCGTCACATTCCAAGGAAATGCAGGTCTGCTGATGTGGCATCAGTGATGTCGATGGCAAAGTGTACTTTGCTCGCAACTATGATGTGAGAAGTACATCAGTCAATAGCACCCTTCAAATGATCGCTGACATCATTTCCATCACCGCTGGTACCCTCGTTGTCATCTTCACCGGAGCACCCAGTCAAGACTTTGCCATCTCGGACAACCTTGCCTTCGCAATGACCACATGTAGTGCCAAGGTGACTATCAACCCAATCACTTCATCATCGTCATATGCATTGATTGGACCAAAGGGATCACCATCTGGCTCAGTACCCGAGATCCTCTCATACACAGGACCAAAACTTCAAGAGACATTTCAAACCTGTCAAGCCATATGTCCACATCAAGGCTGCATCCAATGCTGTATGTATCCACACACTCATTCACTCGATCAATCAATCCATCAATCTCTAACCTAACCTCCTCAATCAATCAGGTACCAACAGTTACACCAGAACCTTATATCCTCATCAATGGACTACCAGTCTCTGGTACTTTTGGACCTGGATTGAATGTTGTGGCCATCAATCCCACCAACAGCACGGTGATCATGTCAAACAACTATGACACAACTAATGCTGCAACTCAACCTCGACCAAGTATCCATTTCACTTCTGATATCAAAGCCCTGCCCCAAGGCACCATAGTTGCATTGTCAACTCTTGGAGCGGCCGGCACTTACCTGGGCACTGCCCGAGACACCATCACCAACTACCTTGGTTCCAAGTTGATGACGTCCTTCACATCCAATCAATCATACTGTATCATCTCAACTGTTGGTCTCAATCTCACAGGTGATACGAGAGTGATGAGTGAGTGTATTGCATCAGCCAGTTCATACACAGCATGTGACCTTCGATTCCCATTGAAGTCACTCTACACCAACACTGGTCTGACCTTCTGTGTCACCTCTGGACAACAGAGTCGGATCATGGTCAACAATCAATCCGCCCTGCCCACGACCACGAATGGAATCAACCTTGTCACGGTTGATGCTGCCAGTGGAGCCGCCAGCCCATACTACTTCAACACATCTGGATCGGATGCTCAATGCAGGTGTTGTACAACTTCATTCAAGCACTCCCAGTTGGTCAGTTTGTACTGATCTCGGTTCAGCAATCGATGGGAACACCTGCGACACCACAGTCCAATCGTTACCAGATGATGGCTTTGACAATGATTGGTGCATGTCAGTTTGTTTGTGTGGGACCAGAGTCTACCTACTCAGTGATAGGCACTCGTGGTGCATGTCCTGGATCAGCATTCGAATCATTCAATGGCAGGAATATCCAGGTGTGCGTTGGATCATGGGAGCCAGTGACTCCGGCATCCCTGGTGAGCAGCGCACAGAATGGATTGATCGACGATGAAGCACCACTCTTCACCGTGCCTATGTTGACCAACATGTATCAACATCAAACACCAATGGCAATCATACCAAGCAACAAGGCAGTTGGCAACATCTTCAGAGCTGAGCCAGCATACAATTCGACACTTCCCCATCCAGCTGGTAGTGTCACCAAAGCTCTCTTGGTAGGGTTGTCATACTACAACACAGTCGAACAGCCCAATCAGAGCATCGAGTTCCAAATCCAGGAGCATTCTCGAGCATTGGTCCAAGGTGGATATGTCCTGCCACAGAACATCCGAATCCTCACTGAGGACCTAACAGAAGTCTCCAACGATGGAACATATGTCAACGGACCATCATGGTTATGCATCAGGAATCAGATCATCAACTGGCGGAGACAGAGTCTTCTTGAGTGGTGTGCCAATGCTACAGGTCCATCAACATCAATCATCATGTGGCAATGAGTACCATTACCGTTACACTACCGACACCTGCATGTCGTACCCATGGATGACCACCCAACCACGTTGGGTCATTTGGGCATCAGACAGTGGTACTGGAGTGCCATTGTATCAGTTCACTGATCAAGAAGGTGGTGATGGACCGAGCAGATACTTTTTGTCACTGAACAAACATGAACCTGATTGGACATTGATTGGTGTGATTGGTCATGTGTCACCAGTGCAGACCAACAAGTGCAACAATCCAATCCATCGATATAGTTGCAAGTCATTTGTCAACAATGCCAACCTATTTGCATTTGATTCAGAGGCACCTCGCACTCATGATCACGTAAATGAAGTATGGGTGGATAATGGTGTTGTATTCTATGCCATCGATCCTGTCAATCTGGAAAAGGAGCAACCGATTTAATTTCCAAGTGCCAGGATCACATCAATGATGGAGGAGTGGCATGATGATAACTCTAATGGTGCTGGTTCATTCTATACTTCTGATGATGAGACAGAGTCGATTGTAGTTGGAACCGATAATGATACAACTTCGCAACAGGCCAAGATTGATCAACTCCAAAAAGAACTTGATGAGTTGAAGCGATCACTAATGAAGGCAAAGAATCCGATGACATAATAAACCTCCATGTCCAACAAACCAATGTTTCGTTTGAATCGATCGATCAGTTTTTGGAGTCGAAGCAGATAAAGAGATAATAATAAAGACAGATACAGAGACAGAGACAGAGGATGAGCGATCAGGAGAAACAAAAGACACTGTCAGAGACATCGATCACTGAGAATGAGAACATCAACTTATATCCAATCAATACAACAGAGCCAAAGACATTCTGGGAGAAGTATAGTCCTGCTCGCATACCTTGCTTCAAGGACTCTCTCATCTATGGCATAGGTTCAGGAGTCGGTGTTACGTTCTTTACAAGCATATTCACTTCGAGTAACTATCTGTTGATTGATTGATTGATTGGTTGATTGGTTGTTTGGTTGAGGATCACTCACTCACTCACTCACATGTAACATTCATTGATTGAACAGAACCGCCAATGAGAGCGGCAGACTTTGGCGTACTCACATTCTTGTTGGTGTCTGGCTCATATTGGTAAGATCATTGATGTTTCCGTTGTCGTTGATTGTATGAATGAGAGAGATGATGTACTTACTGATTCAACAAACAAACTATCTAATAGGCCAATATGTAATTATAATAAACAGGTACAAGAGAGAAGAGTAAGGATGGTTATGGATGCTCAGATTGCAGAGATGAATAGAAAGACACAAGAATCATTACAGGAGAAGCAACAGAGCAGTAGTAGTAATAACAATAATGATAATAGTAATTAAAGACAACGTAAACGAACCATAACGGCGACATTGATGTCGACGGACGACGACGAATAATGTTAAAGTGCACTTTTGTCACTTGTTAATAGTTTATTGAAGAAGGGTTCGCTGGTGGACTGGCAGACAGACATGGACGACACAGGTGTGTGGCAATATATAGTAGTAGGTTGTATAAATGTATGTACAGTGTTGGCTGGTTGATTGGTATTGACATCTCTATGTGTACAGGAGGACATAGAGGAGATATATTCACAAGGGTTGGTTGGTTGGTTGGTTTGTTGATCGATTGATTGGTTGTCGATGAATGGTATTGCCAAGAAGAGGCAATATGGGGAAACTGGCGTTATATGATCGGTTTGGCTTTGCTAGGAATGGTTGATATGTATGTTTGAGTGCAGTCCATATTGAAGAGTTGTCGCTTGTGAGTTGGTGTGGTGCCAGATGTAGTGGCGGATACGCGACAGAGGCGTTATGATGGAAGGAATCTGTTGAGGTCTGGCAGGAACTTGCTGCTGCCCATGCTCATCTTAGAATAGTCAGATATGTCTCCCATTATTTGTCCACGTCCAAGGTCTGCTAGGGTGTTGTCCACGCTGACCAACACCTGGAGACCGTCGCCATTGGGCACCTTGTCATCCTTCTTCTTGGAGCCCTGTGACTGCTTCTTGCTTGGCGATGACTGTCCCTGATTGACACCATTGGGCACATTGATGATGGATGATGGCGATGGGATTGATGGGGGTGTGCCCGACGACTGAGTGCGCATGGTGTTTGGCATGGTCAGCTCCTTCTGATTGTTCATCAGAGGTGGCAGCGATGGGAATTGCATCTGTTGGTGGAATGGCGGCAGGGTGCCTAGTGGGTTGGGCACGATCTGTGACTGTGATGGTGAGGCCGTGGTCATCATGACCTGGGGTTGCTGTAGGGATGGCGAGGCCTTCTTGGCCTTGCTAGACTTTTTGCTGGACTTGGGCGATGTGGGCACGTCTCCTGGTGGAGTGAACGGCTTCTTGCAGTCTCTACAGTACCAGCGCTTCTTGTCGTGTTTCCAGCAGGCCATGGCGCCGCAGTTGGGGCAGTTGCAGCTGACGGGAGTCACCATGTTGGGGTTCTGTGGCACCGAGGGTGGTGTGTTCTGCGAGCTGTTGGGCTGGGTCTGTTCCCAACCACCAGCCTGAAGCTGGGGCACCTGCGCAGATGGCGATGAGGCGTTGGTATTCTGCTGCTTGGAGATGCCTGGTGTGAAGGCCTTCTTGCACTCCTTGCACCACCATCTTCTCTTGTCGTGTCTCCACGAGGCCGTCTCATTGCAGCGTGTGCACTTGGGCACTGTGTTTGGTGACAAGGGGTCGCTGGACTTCTTGTCCGACGAAGTGGTCGAGTGCTTTCTCTTGACCGACTTGGTTGGTGTGGATGGCGAGGCCGATGTCTGTTGCATGTGTGGATGCACATGGTTCTGCTGCTGTTGCTGCTGGACGTGCTGTGCGGCCGAGTGCTGCAGATAGAGGTATGGGTATTGGATGGCGGGCGAGTAGTGGTGGGTGGCGCCGTGGCCGCCTTGGTGGTGGCCCATCTGGAATTGGTCCACCATGTTGGGCATGTCCATGTAATTTTGCTGGATATCCTGTCCAAAGTTGTGTTGCATCATCGAAGGGTTCGAGGGCAGCAGGAACGAGGGAGTCAGAGTCGTTGGTGGGTTGAATAGAAGTGATGGATTCATAGCTCCGGCACTATTCTGGAAGATCGATGGCAGTGGCAATGTCAATGGAAAGTCCGGGTTCAAATTTGAGTTGGCAGAGCTAGAGGCAGATAACATTGCGATGTTGCAGAAGATATACAATTAGTTTGTTTGTTTGTTTGTTGCTGGCTGGCTGTCTTGTGTTGTTAGGCAGGTGGCTTGCTTGGGGTTGGGGTATATGTCGCGAAGGTGGAAAGTGAAGACAGCTGATTATCCGTTAAGAGTTAAGAATGTACAATATTGATTGATTGTAGGATGGGCTGTCTTTAGGGCGAGGCATTGGAAGTTAGTATGAGCACAGTGTTGGGGAGACTATGGAGTGGTCGATGGAGTGGATATTTGGGGTGGCCCCATGGGGGACCACTTTCGATCAATCAATCAAATAGTGTATGAAAGTGTGAGGGGCGAATGAACATTGGGGGTTTGGTTTGGTCGATGGACATTGTCATCGATCATCGGGAAAGGGTTGGATTGGGTGGGGGTGTGGCAAAAGAAGACCTTACTCTGTCTCAATGTTGGCAACAAGGATACGGTATAGACAGACAGACAGGGGCAAGTAACTTAGGATAACAGTGCAAGTTAAACTTGTTGGTTGTTGTTGGTGTTGTGTGAATGGAAATAGTGATAGTGATAGAGTAGTGATAGAGTATTATTATTCACACAAGAGGGTTGGGTGATTGTGAGAGTGATGGATAGAGTGTGCTGTGTTGATCAACACTACCTTCTCACTCACTTCACACCATACAAGACAATAATAATTAATAATAATAACAATATTCAAACGCAACTTTACAAAGCTGGATGTATGGAAAGATGGATGTATCCGTTGGCCGGGTGAATGATTGTTACGAGGAGTAGTAGTAGTGCTCCACAGCAAGTGGCAATATTCATTGATGAAAATGTGTAGGTGGGGTGGTGCGGTGATGTGTTGTGATGACCACTTACATTTATATATATGTGTGTGTGATTGTGATTGTGTTGCTTGCGTGTGCTGGACTGAACTGGAATGACAGGGAATTGGACTGGGTGATTATATTTGTGTGTTGTGTTGTGTGTGTTTGTATAACACTAATGATTGATTGATTGAGTGAATGATTGAGTGAGTGATGAATGAATGGTCGTGTGTTGTGTGATTGTTTGTTTGTTTGTTGGTGGATATGAGCAACCTCAAGATTGACCGGTAGGTGAGTGATTGAATAACGCGTTTAATGTTGTGTTGATTGATCAGAGAGAGAGATGTGTGATGGTGATGTGGTGTGGATGGGGGGTCAATTGCAAAGGTGTAGAAGGTGGTGTGGTAATTAATGGAGAGTGTGTGTGCTTGGAGTTCATCGCAACTGAGGGGTGTAGTGTGAGTGTGAGTGTGAAGGGGTATACATACATTATATGTTGTTGTATCTGTATTTGTTTGTTTGTTGGTTGTTGTATCTCTTTACAATTTAATTATATGTGTGTGTTGTGTGTTTGTTGTGTGTATGTAGACTAATTATATTGAGTGTGTTATTGGTGGTAGTGGTGTTGAATGTAAATTAAGGCTCACCACATCAACTTCAATTAAACAGCTTGGACTGGGTTACCCCCGAACCATCTTATTTTAATTAAAAGTTTGAACAGCTGTTCATCACGAATAGGGGTATGTGTGTGTGTGGTGTGGGTGATTATGAAAAGACCCTTCCGTTCAATTCAAACACACACATATTCACCTGACAACTGACTGAGCTAAAGGCCATGATCAAATTGCTTTGATCTCGAGGCCTATCTCACGAGAAACATAGCTCCCTACAGGTATCAAACATTCAAAAGTTGAATAAATTGCAGATGTTCGCTGCAACTCTATCGATTGATTGATTGATTGAATGATGGCGCCTGACATGACTGACGAGGCTATTTCGGCCAGCGTCCAATCACCGAGTGTGATTGGATGTTGTAGGTTAAATCAGGTGATGCAGTGACTGCTGATCGACTGGAGGTCTTTATGGATAGCTTTGATCAATGCTTTCTGCCTATCAGATGATCCGATGGATACTTCATGTACATTGTAGTTGTTGTTGTAGATGATTTTGTTATTGATGTTGTTGTTGGAGGTCATCATCAGCTCAATCTCTGTATCAACAACAACAAGATCATAATCATTGGAAACTACCAATAAGAACCAATTTTGACAGGAAATAACTGATCATGTGGCCTATGATCAATATCAAAAGGAGGCGAATCCATTGTCTATCTCGGAACAAGTTAACTTAAAGTCAGCGAAGTTTGATTTGATCATCCAATGGTTCATTGCCATCGGTATTAACTTAAGGAGGTCCACATAGTCATCATACATTATTCAAACATATGATATTTAATACTCTAGGTTATCCAAACTTAATATTATCTATTCTGGTGATGATGTTTGAGCAACTCTATTTCTTTGGAGCTCCTCCAACGTTTAGTGGCTCAGCAATTCTAATGAATTGATCTAATAAGTCTGACCTTGATACAATACCAGTCAACTTGCCTTCATCATTTACAACTGGTATTCCAGTGATACCATAATTGACCATTGTCTTACAAGCTGTCAAAGTAGTATCCTTCTCATTCAATGAATGAAGGAAGTTCTCAGGAGGCAGAACTTCGTCCACTTTATAAAACAAAGGATTGATATTAATAATTGGACATCCACAAAGGTTGAATAATATACATACCCTTCTTTCCTCTTAGGAAATCGAACCATTCTGCCATTGACTTTGTCTCTAGTGGTGACTTGGCGTAGACACGGATGTCTCGGTCGGTGATAATACCCATTAGTTTGTATTGTTCATTGACAACGGGAAGTCTCTTCAAACCATTGTTGACCATAATCTCAAGGACATGTTCTAATGAATCGGTTGGTTTACATCCAATAATATCTTTGGTCATAATATCCTTAAGTAATGGATTGTACTTGTGTTTCTTCTCCTCGGTCATTGAAAAGACATCATCGGTCATGACATGGTCCCTCTCAGACATTTGTTCAGTCTGTTGTGGCTGGTGTTGTTGTTGATGAGATTGTTGTTGTGTTGTTGACATCTTTCTCTCTCTCCTCCAATCTTTCTTTCAATATTTCTTTTTGTTGTTGTTGTATCTCTGTTGTTGTACAGCCAGTTGCTACTTGATATGCTTTATCTCTTAGATTCAATCTATCAGTTTCCAAAATACTCTGGGCAAAAGTCTGGTTATTATTAATATTATTATAATCTTGTCGAGTATCTGTTATTCTATCCCTTTTGAATTTATTATCCATTGAGTGAGGGATATCCGTATTCAATAATATAATGAATGAATGAAAGAGGGAAAGAGTGAATGAAGTTAGACATTACCCATACACAAAGTCAAACACCCCCCTTGTGTGACCAACTAATTAGAACCCACACAAACAACAATGAGAACCAAGACTTTGTCGACTTAATGACGGTGTGGTACCCCAACACTCTTCCAAAGGATAAACAATACCATAAAAGGCAATAGATAGAATATGAATTATCTTTCCATTGATTGAAAGGATGATTGATTAATATTAATCAATACTATGATTTTAATTCTTAGTAATAATAATATTGTTATCTCTTCAGTGTAAGTGGGTAGATGACATGTAGTTATCAAGGCTTATTCAAAAAAAATAAGAATGAAGACTTTACTCTTTGTAAAGGCAGTGGAGTACTTCCTTGTGTCCGTTGCAAAGCCACAGGCTACCAGTTACCAGACGATTATTGGCCCAAGACCAAAGGTAGCATTTGTACGATTTTGTAGTGTAATATTACATGTTTATTGAATGGTCCAAAGGAAGTGAAGACTATTCTACTCTGTCCCCGGCACGATTGGCTTAAACTGGGTCCAGTTAGCTTGAAGGACTTTGGACAATGATTTTCAATATGATGTCCAAACTATGATTGATTGATTGGTTGGTTCACAATACTCCGCCAGAGCAAAAGAAGTGGGACCCTCTTAATAAAGCCGCAACGCAAAAGGTTGATCGAGTGCCGGAAATACAGGTCGGCAGACATGCGATACAGCCAAAGGTAGTGATCATTGAACAAAAGAGGCAGTCTAATGTCAACCACCGAGATTGGCAGCATCTCCAAGAGATTGGGATTGTGTTTGATGAACACTCGACATGGCTTGAATTGGCGTAAAGTCAGCGGGAAAGTATCATATTGCAGCTCATGACTATAGCCAACCAATATCAGATTTTGAAGTGCACTGGGCAGCAGCCCTTTATGCAGACTGAACTCTGACGTGCAGAAGAGCGCAAGGTTCTCGAGCTTCTCGGGCAGAGCACGGATACCGCTGCAGGTCTTAATCTCGAGCCACCTCAAGCGGGATGGTAACGAGGTCAGGTCTGGCGACTCTGCCAGGGGGTTGTGGTTGGTGATGGGATGAGTTCTGATGTTCAGCCGCTCCAGGCATGGGAAGCTGGACGAGGAGATGATGTCCACGTTGTGCCAGCTAAAGTTGTGGATTGTTAACTCAACTAGTGAGATGTGCTGTTCAAAGCTTGGCGGCGGATAGATGACGTCCAGCATCTTAAGGTTTGCATTGTCGATCAATGTGTTGGTGTAGTAGCCGATGGTCAGACTTGTGAGCGAGCTCGGCACGACCAATGACTTGTAGGACTCGTGAGCAGGTATCCTGAGCTCGGTGAGTGCCGGTGGCAACACCCTGTCGAGACTTTGAGAATACTGATCACCAAGGCGAAGTGTTTCAAGTCCAGTGGGCAAGGCGTTTTGTCCTAATGGATGATTCCATGCATCAGGAAGCGAAAGGTACTTCAAGCCAGCCGGCAACATGTTGTCGAGCGTGCCGCTGAACTGGGCATATATTGAGAGCTTGGTGAGCGTGGTAGGAAAGAAGGAGGGCTGGGCAGTCCAGGGTTCGCGACAGGTGATGCGCATGGTCCTGATCGGCATGTCGCGGAGTGGGATCGGGTAGGTCATGTCGACGGTCAAGTCGGTGACACCTCGTCTGGTCAGTTCGTCAAAGAAAGTTCCCATATGAGCCCACTCCGCCTCCAGTATCGAGTCGTCGAATCTGATTGATTCGATTAAAGGTAGCTCTAGTATCTCGTGCTTCCAAGAATGATCGCCCTCGCCACCTACAAAGTTCGCCATATTGTCGATCGGTCAGTTGTAAAGATTAGCACTTCAGCTCCACCACAACTCCATGGAGCCATACCAGTGATGAACGTGCGGTCGTAGCAGGAAGCAATGTATTCGAACTGACCCATAGGTATGCGTGTCGACGAGAAGACACAGATTGTGAACCATTTGCTCTTGAATGACTCGTCGAACACGTGTTTGTAGGAGTTCAATCGAATGACACTCTCCCCATAGTCGGAGGAGGTTGCCAGTGCCCGAGTCTCAAAGCTCATATACTTGTCACGATGTTCAAACCATCTCTTGCATACCAATGATAACATCAGACGATCCATGTTACTGTCCACGAACGATACAATCAGTCGCAACACTGTAATTGGCAAAGACTCCATTATCGATCTTGATTGATTGATTGGTTGATTGATTCTAGCATTATATATCTATGAATTTACTAAAGTATGAACTCATGCCGACTCAACTATTGTAGTGATCATCCATCACCTGGGGAATGAACCATAAATAGAACCCAGAATTTTCTTTGAATATGACTCATTTAATCAAATCAATTATTCAATCAAACAAAATAATGAAGCCCAAACTATTATTATACTTATTTATATATACAAATATATAACAAACAAATAATAAGATGAGTAATAATAATATGGTCGATGGTTTGAGTGCACAAGTGATGAGTGAGAAGTACATTGATGCTATACTAGGTACAATCTATGGCAATGCGCTTGGTGATGCCTATGGATTAGCAACAGAGTTTATGAATCGTCAACAGATACAACAGAAGTATCCTGATCAACAACAACTCATACCCTTCCCAGACTATCTCGCCAATCGTCATAATCACAGATGGGACAAAGGTGATTGGTATGTTAACATCACTCTCTCTATTCATTCATTCCTTGATTGATCAATAACTCACTCATTCAATCAACAAACGTTGTAGGACTGACGACACTGATCAGATGATTGTGTTGATGCAGATGTTGACTGAGAAGGAGGGAGTTGTGGATGTGGTCAATGCTGCAAAGAGATTGCATGGTTGGATTGAGAATGGATTTCCAGAGCTTGGTGATGTCTCTGGAATGGGCTTTGGACAGACTGTGATGGCAGTGACGACACACCCTCAGTTCATGAAGGACCCTATCAAGACTAGTAAAGAGGTGTGGATCAGGATGAACAGATCAATGGCCGCCAATGGAGCAGTGATGCGAACATCAATACTTGGATGCTCATCCACTCATTCAAAGGAGATAGTGCTGAGGAATACGATTAGATGTGCGCAGATCACTCATTATGATCTACGTTGTATAATATCATGTACTACCATCACCTACATCTTGGCTGCACTGATTAGGATGTTCAAAGAAGACCCCGCAACATCAATCACTGACTCGATCATTGAGCAGCTGGTTCTGGAGGCCAAGCAACAGGCAAGGGAACTCGTCGACAGGTTGCTTGAGGGTGACTACAAGGGAGAGGTAACAAGAGAGTTGGTCGATACCCAGCTGCAAGAGTACAACAACTACGTGGACATGAGACAGTTGGACGAGATGCAACTTGATTGCTGCTAAGGTTAGCTTGGGTTCTGCAGGGTTCAACGGGTGTTGTGGGTGGATTCTTCAAATATTTGTTTTGGAATCCAAGGTCCGACCCGTGATGACCCTTTGCAACCTCCAACATAGTAATAGCGACCAATTAATACATATATATAATACAACATCTGATGTCTGAGGAGCTAACCCAGTTAATAGTCACCAGAGTTAAGCAAGCAGGTGTCAAATGCTTCTTCTGCGGTACTGAGTTGGATATCTGGGTCTTGGGCAAACACCTGCCCGTGTGCGCCAAACTGTGTTACAATATCATCATTGATATGTTCCAGACTAAAGAATCACAGGAGGAGACTCACACGTTGAGGCTGCGTATAGAGGAGTTAGAGGGAATCATCAAGTCATTATCGCAACAACAACAACAACAACCACAGCCACAACAACAACAGCCACAACAACAACAGCCACAACAACAACAGCCACAACCAACATCGTTGTCATCAACACTCACGCTTCAGCAAATGAAGACGCCAACCAAACAAGGTGCGGCAGAGAACAATAGAGAGCTGATGAATATCACACATACCAAGAAGTTGATGGATGGAGAGACTAGCAAACAAACCAAGTGCTTCCTGCATTCCAACGTTCGAGACCCAACCAATCCCAACCGGATTATAGTAGAGGCGACTTGCAATTCACCAGAGAACAAGATCGAGAAGAAGATCATTGTCTACTATGGCGACCAAAAAATGATGATGTGCAGTGTTGGACATATTACAAACCATACCAGGTCAATGCCCTATTTGAAGCTTGCTGTACCTGCGATTGGAGAACACGATCCAGAGAAGCCTATCATTGGAGATTCTGTCCAACATTGCCAGAACTGTTCAAAGGGTTGTTCTCGCATCTTGAAGTGTTGCCATCCAGACAGCACGTTTGGCGTCTTTGTATACTTCTGTCGATGGAACTGCCTTGTCGAGTATCTAACCAACAAACGAGAGAAATGGACTCAATGGTGCGAAGCGAACACCGGTATCTCCAGCAGGGCAACGATAGATATCGACGATAATGCGATGTCAACAACTACATCACCACCCATCCCAGCACCCAGCCCAGCAGCACCAAGCCCAGCAATAACCAAACCAGTGTCTAAATCAAAGGCCAAGAAAGCAGCTGCAACACCAACACCAACAACAACAACAACAACAACAACAACAACAAGGAGGAACAATAAGAGGAAGAACAATACCCTTGAAGAAGGTGAAGAATAAATATGCTGCCAGCAAGCTAAGTCCATTAACTGACAAATGCCATACCCTCAACTCTGCACTTACAGATCAATGGTTCAACCAAGATGAAGAGTACACAAGTTACTTCAAGCTCTCCCATAGTCAAGTGTCTCAGCTCTGTGAGAAGCACTCTTTTGAACACAAGGACATGCTCGTCTTCCTCATGAGGTGCCGCCACAACCTTCCCTGGTACATGATGGAGCGTGTGTTCCTATATCAATTGACAATCGCTCAGCTCAGGTACTCATTCACCAAGGTGTTCGATAGATTGAAGTCGTACTGCCATGGGTACTTCCAGGATGTGGTTCACAATGGAGAGCTTCGAGACAATCATGCAGAAATATGGAAAGATGGTATTAAGCACAATGTTCATCTCATTGTGGACGGGTCAGAGCAGAGGATTCAAGTGCCGCCACACAAGACGATCAAGGATCTTGTTTATTCTGGCAAGAAATCAATGTATTCTTTGGCAGTGTTGGTCATTTGCGATATACGTGGCAAGATCGTGTATGTAGGTAAGACAGAGGGAGGCGCCCAGCCTGACGTCTCGCTCTACAAGGATGCTGCACCTAGACTACAGGCTCTGTTCGATGAAGATATTGTCATTCTCGGTGACAAAGGATTCAAAGGAGGTCAGAAGTACTACACCAACACCATCACCCCCAAGATCAAGTCGGCTTCATTGATCGATCATATGGAGTACACAGACAAGATGATCAGAAAACGCACGCTCGATGAGCATCGCCTGCGTCAAGGAAAGGAGGCGACCAAGGTATCTAAGAAGTTGAAGGCATTGGAAGCCAAGGTCACCAAAGAAGGATTCGATGCCGAGCGTATCCTGAGAGAGAAAGATGAGAGCAATCGAATCAAGAAGGTGAGGATCATCATTGAGAATGTCTTTGGAGAGATGAAGAAATGGAACATATTGTCAGACACAATCAGATCACTTGGCGACCTTTCTGACAACATTCAACGACACAACGCACTCTGGACAATTATCGCATATTTGACCAATATGTTCCACTCCTTTGGACGAGACGACGATTTCTTTAAGGTCTAATTTATCATACAACAACAACAACAACCACAACAACAACTACAACAACAACAATAAAAATATAAATATTTAATTAACATCAGATAAGGTTTGAAAGGGTTCCCCTTGCTGTTCCAAGGGTTGTCCAGGGTCGAACCAGCTCGAACCCAAGGATTGAGACCGCTGAAAAATGAATTCTCTGCGTAACCTTGACTATCCCCTGCAGAACCTTAGCAGCAACCAACTGGACAAGTCCGATTCGATTGGCTATACGTACAAGTGCATGGCGAGTGGTGTCTGGGGCCTGCGCTCATCATTGCCATTCCGCGAGACATTGGACCAACTCATCAAACAAGGTGGCGATGCCGATACCAATGGAGCGGTGTGCGGTGCAATGATTGGATGCAAGATTGGCTATTCACAACTGCCAAAGGACATGTTGGATGCGCTTCCCAACAAGAAGTGGCTCGATAACTTAGTCGTCCAGTTCATCAACAAGGTAGTGCTCAATCCCAATCAATCCACAGATCTCGAGCAACAGATACTGAAGGAGGAGGACACGACAAGTCCATCATCATGTATCATTTCCTAATCAGGACAACAGACTTGTCCCATAAATTATATCTTTGTCCCCCACCCCATTCCCTCATTCAAAGTATCTCATTATTTGATTGAGTATGAGTCAGAGTTAGATAGAGATAGAGATATAGAATGAATGACATTGATGCTGAAGTAGTAGCTGCAGCATGCTGTGGCGCAATGGACATGAAGACAGATTGTTTATGTTATGATTGCAAGTTGGTATTATGTAAATCATGTTTGGAAAGAGATCATGTTGGCCACAAGACAGACAATGTGGAGATTATTAGAGAGAGTCTGTCGAATAAGGAGACCAAAGTATTCGAACGAATGGATCTGTGGTGCATGCCAAGATTGAACCATCTGTGGCGCACTCTGAAGCAATGTGTCACGTCACATCAATCGTTGCAGCATACGCACTCGGATCTAACGCAACACTTTGAACATCTGATCAAGGTTATCATCACACAAGAGCACAAGATCAAGACACCCATCACCGATCAGTTGTCACGCGTTCAAACAACCATCAAAGACATCTTGAACGAGATACGAGACATCAATCAAATTGTCAACATGGAGGGTGCCTCCGTGGACGGTGGCCGTGGCGACGACCCCTACGACGACATGTCTGAACTGATCGAATCGATTGCATCATGTGACTCAATCGAGCAGTTCATCAACAGTACACATAAGATTGATGATCAATCATCAGAGAAAGAAGGACTTAGTGATAATGAACTGCTGAATATGATCGCAGCTCATATCAAACACATGCGACTTGTTCGATACGGTGCGGCATCCAGACCTCAAGAGTATCGTGTCGACACTGATGTCGCCAAGCTGGACGGCATAAGGAAACAGATTGAATCATGCTTCAAACTAATAACAACATCATCAAGACGATCCGATGGCGAAGACGCTCAAACAAAATCAAACATTCTGTCGATAAAGGGCAGAGAGTGCTCGATGTACTCATTGGCAACGACCAAGTGGCAATCGATTGGCAATGTGTTTGACCGAACGTTCAGTGGCGTGTACACCTCGGTCGTGCACGCTCGTGGCCATGTCTATGTGTTTGGCGGATTGGACGCACCAACCACCTATTCGCGCTACTCACTCGCAGACCAACTTTGTCAGCACACCACCATCGCCGATGTCAGTGGCGGCCAATCGATTTCTGCGTGCTACGATGGCGACAGACTCATCTACCTCGTGGGAGGCTCGATCAACAACCGATACTTGGATCGCGTGGATGTCTTTGACATTGACACGCAAAGGTTCAGACATGTTGGCCAACTACCGTACGGGCTCACATTCCCTCAGACATACTTCTACAATGACACGATCATTGTAGTATGTGGAGCCATCACAGGTATATTGGAGCATACTGACATACTATCATTCAATATCTACACAAAGACTACTGCGGTGCTCTTCAAGGATGTTCACCGCACCAACTTTGTGACGAGTTGCTTCGATGATGATGACAACATATACGTGTTGTCCAAGACTTCGTTCATGCGCTATACACTCTCCACCAAACAAGTTAGCAAGCTCATGATGGGTCCGACCTATTGCTACTTGTGTCGCATTGAATATGACGACCTGTTTGGAATCGTCTACGTTGGAGGTGGTGGCAACAACTATCGCTACTCTCTCCAAGATGACAAATGGACTCGTATCAATGACAATGATCATATCCAAGATCGTTCATGGTATGGAGGTTGTCTGATCCGTCAATAAAGTAATGATCTTGTAGTCAACAGTAATTTGTGCGAGGGTATATCTGTGCGAGGGTATGTCTGCGGGGGAATGCTGACTTCAAAATTGGAGGGATGTTGGAGAATGAATAGTTAGTTATGTACATGTATTAGTAGAGGATAGAGAGAGATAGGAAGAGATGTCTGATGTAAAGGATATATTGGGCATGTCCCAACCAAAGGAGTCGACTTCATCAACAGTCGACTCTATATTGAAGAAGAAGAATCAAACACCAAAGAGACCAGGTAATGAATGAATGATCGAATCAATGAATGAATGAATGGTATGATATGACTAACATGTTATTATTACTATTAATAGATGGACCTGCTAGAGGTGGTTCAATCATTGAGATATTGCAACAATCATTCTTGAACCTTGAAGGAGAGACATTGTCATTCGCAGCACCAGTCACTACACAAGCAGGTTTGAAGGAGAAGAGAAAGATCAAGGTTGCATGGGAGCCAAGAGGCATACGCAGCAGCGCAAGAAATGACAACCTCGTACTCTATCACTACTCAAAGACGACAGACAAGGTCGAAGGTAGGTAGTCCACTTGGACGAGACAGTAGACTACGACACTCGATCACTTACTCTCCTTTGACAGACTACAAGTACTCTCGATTCAACAAGAAGATGGATGTGTTGGTGTATAATGAAGAAGAGTATGACTTGTATCTGCGAGATCCTAATTGGACACGTGAGGATACTGATCAGTTGCTGGACTTGTGCAAGCGATTCGACACAAGGTTCATCGTTGTATATGATCGCTTTGAGGGCAGTACACCTCGTACTATTGAGGACCTAAAGGAGCGTTACTACAAGGTACAGTCCAAGCTCGTGGAGCTCAGGACTCGACCTGAGGAAGACCCATATCACAATCCTCTAACAAACTATAGTTTCAACAAAGGTATGTCTTTGATGCTGGATGTGTTGAGGATGTACTGCGATACTAACATGTTACTGCAACAGTATACGAGACAGAGAGGAAGGTTCAAGCGGACCGTCTGTTCCATCTGACGCGAGAGCAGGTGGATGAACAAGACAGGCTAGTAGAGAAGTATCAAGGCATTGAGAAACATTTGTTGAAGCATAGCAAGTATGTGTCAGTATGGACACCTCACGTGAGGCCAGGTACTAACCTTGGCTTGCCACTCTCTTTCACTCATACAGGACGACCAAATCCATTTACAAGATGGCCAATCTGGCAATCACCAATGGTCCAATGAAGCATTACAATCAGAATGACGTATCATCTGAATCATCGGTAAGTGCACTGATGGGGAGTGACACTGACGACACATGTTCACAATCTTACTAACTACACTACGATACGTCTGTGCAGACCAAGAAGAAGAAGAAGAAGAATCAGCCAGAGGGAGGAGAGGACAGGTCAGTGGTGTTGAGTAATAGACAGACGCAGAGAGTAGAGTCGACGCTGTATGACCTACACATTGGCATGCCATTCAATAATCAGTTGGCCAAACGACTATATAATGACTTGAAACAGGATATCATCACGCTACTGGATATTCAAAAGTACTACATCGAGAAGAGATACCATTGTGAGATACTCAGGACACAGAAGGAGCACTTGGAGAGGGAGATCGAGGAGATGAACTTGCCCGCCGAGGCTCTGGCCATTCACGTTGACGAGGAGAATGAGCCGGCAGTCGTTGGAACTGGCGGTAGCAGCGTCTCAATGGGCGACAACGAATCGGAGCCAACGCCACAGCAACAAGCAACGCCACATCAGCCACAACCACCTACACTATTCCAAATGTACAGCGGAGGAGTAGACATCTCAGAGTCGTCAGACAATATCTCGCTCTCATCCTCGACGTCCTCGCTCAGGCCCTTGGACGAATCACAATCAACGCCTGGCAGTCACCACAAGTCATCTACAAAGAAGAGGGCACACAAGGGTGGTGAAGACCTTACATCGACAAGCTCCACAGACTTGCACGCTGGATCAATCGAATCACCATCATCCTCCACTACCACTTCCACCTCCTCCACCACCAAGAAGAGGAAGTCCACAAGTGCCAGCAGGAAGAAGCAACACAGCACTACAGACGCCGACGCATCATCGAATGACACTACAATCAATGTGGACATTGGCAATGAAGCCGACAATCAGCCACCACTCAAGAAGTCGAGGGCCAGCGCCGGTGCCTCGCCCACCAAAGAGAAGAAAGAGAAGAAGAAGTCAACCAAGCGATCGAGTAGCAGTGGTGGTAGCAACAACACCAGCAGCGAGAAAGAGAAAGAGAAAAAGAAGAAGAGCAGTAAGGACAGGCTGGCGCAGTCTTTGCCACCTCCTCCATTCGCCATTCCCAAGTGAGCTACTACTAGTAGTTTTATCACATCAACTAAAGTGCGACTTGCTGCTCCCTCATTCACATATTGTCAACTACTCAATTCCAGAGCCAGTCGAATCGATTCTCTTTATTCAATGTTGGGTAACGGGTAAACCTTCTCCAATATACTAGTAAATGAGGAAGATCCAAATACCTCACGGCTGTCTATTTAAACTATGGTCATAACTGGACCAAGTCTTGCCCCAGCATGGCCTTGGCAGTCTCGAGCTTGGCAGCGTTGAGGTCTTTGCAGTAGGCTACGAGCCATCTGGAGACGGCTGCGATATGTTGCTGGACTGTTGATGTGGCGGTGATCTCGTCAAAGAACTTGTAAGCCACTGGGAGTAACTTGTCTGATTTACAATGATTGAGTTTATCCTCTGAGACATCATTGTTGCAGTAGTCGCTCAAGAACTGGGAGAACTTGCCCCTTGTAACACCTTCCTGCTTGGCCTTGATCAATGCTTTGATCACGCCAATCGTGACCACCTCCAATCGCTCGAGGAGGACTGCTGAGAACTTCTTGATTCGCTTGAGCGCCTCCACAGAGCGTGAGTCGCTGTCATCCTCAATCGAGCCGGCAAGCGCGGCAATTGAATCATCAATGTGCCCGCTCAGGACAAGGCCCCAAACGTCCTTCTCGCTCTTGAGGAGGGTGTTCTCCTTCTTGGATTGAAGGTGTAGACGTGCCACGCCCATATACCAATCGCACTTGATCTTGTAATGCTTGCCGCTGTCAAACTTGATGACAAAGCCTTCAATATGTTTGAGTTCGCGAACAACATTGACCAACTGTGTCATGTTGGTGATCTGGGAGAATGATGGATGTTGCTTGATGTCAATGATGCCAATGAATGGTATGTCGTAGTCCAATGCCGATTGCTTCAATCGCTCGTATGGAACATATTCACCAGTTTGAATGTTTCTGATTGAGATCAATCTCAAGTTGTCCTCTGGGTAGTATAGGATGATCTGTTGATTCTTTGAACTGAACTCAAACAATGGAGTGTACCCATTTGATAACCATTCCAATGCAAACTCATTGAATCTATGTTTTTGTCCTGTTGCAGCTGCATCCTCTGATGATGTTGTTGCCGTTGATGTGGCGTAGCATGATGTGACGTATGCATCGACCTTTACTGCAAGATCCGTTGTGGCGCCCTTCTTTGAGCCCCACGACACCGCTCCATTGATCAACAATGGAGTGATCATCGATCCATCAATCTTCTCCATCAATATATAGGGCTCAGACAAGTCTATCTTGTCCTAAGTATGGTTAAGTTAAGGATAGTGTTAGAGCAAGGACAAGTGGTAGGAGTCTGGGATACATACAGCCTTGGTCTCAAGCAACTCGTTGACATTGAAGAACTTGTGGAACTTTCGACTGAGGAGCTTGCCTGTGGCCGCGTCAAAGATGATGCCACGACATTCTCTTCGCACTTTGAGTAGGAATGACTTCTTGGGATCAGTCTCCTTCATTGGATCAGGGAATGAATCATTGCATAGCATGTCATAAGAGAACACTAAAGTACCATCGAATACCTCCTCCCTGAATCCACGTGCATCCCTAATAGCATCTCTACAATCTTCAACAGTCAAGTTATGAGGGAACATTGTTGAATTTCGTTGGGTGTATAACAATGACTCTGCCTCTGCCTCTGCATCTGTTAATGACATTGACAATGTTGCTGCAGCCAATGATGATGTTGTATCCAATTCATCCACTACTACTCCTGTTGTGTTTGTTGTTGATGTTGTAGTTGATGGGACATTGGTGTCCCCAGGTATATCATCCATATTAATGTGTATATATATCTACAAGTAGTAATAGTAGCAATAGTTTAAACAATAAAATGAATGAACAAACGATCTTAATATCTGTCCGATCCTCAGTCCGATCGTGCAAGACCGATAAATTTCCAACTATCCTGGAAAAACATGAGAATTGAGTAAAGAAACAAGTTGGACAAAAGCAAACTCAAGTGTAAATGAATGATATAATGACCAATAATAATGGTTGGACAAATGAAGAACAAATATTGATTGATTGATTGATTGATGGATGTCGATTGTTCATTGAACAGACAGGGAGGATCGTGATCTTATTTAATTGACACTTATCTGTGTCATTGTTACAACAATTCAATTGGTCCAAGTCACTCCACATCCACTATCACCACAACCAGTACACACATTCTTATAAGTGTTTGATTGATTGTTTGATTGAGTGTGTAGTAGAAGTATAAATAGACCCTATGAGGTCCACACAAGTGGTGAACAATCAATCAGTGTGTTGGAATGTGTTTGACAATGTGAATTGATTGACCACTACCACTACACACTTTCCATCATCATCGTGATGAGGAGGATGGAATATATAACATGTTATAACACCTATATCAGAAACCACCTCTTTGATCGACACCCCCCTCACTACTACTGTACATGGTTGTTTAAACAACATCAATCTTAAATGACAATGCCACCAAGTCGATGAGGGGTAGTGAGTGCATTCAAGGCTGGATGGAACACCCACAGAACAACAGAGTGCCAACCATTAAGGTGTTAATCAATGAGGGCATAATCCAAATAACCTTATTAACCAACCCAGCCATCTTGGCAACGGACACTTGTGTACTGTGGGCAAAGTTGATTGATTTGCCTTCCTTCCCTCCCTCCTTTATTCCTTCCATCTCCTTACTCCTCCTTTCATACCCCAATCATTATTATTATTGTTATAATTATTATACTAACTAGACCAAGAATAAGGAAGCAGTTAACTTGGTTTTATTCTATAATTATAACTATCTTTAAAATATTTATTATTTTTATTATTAATTATTAATAATGACATTCAGGATTAACCTGGCTACAACACTGATAGTCCTAGTGTTGGCCTTGACTATCTCGGCAATATATGGACAAGATGGTAAGTACTAATATATATATATATATCTTGATCATATATCTTGATCACTCACCCACTCACTCAATCAATCAAAATTTTAAAGATACAATTGTTATGAAGGTATCAATATTTGATCAACATCCATCAAAGAATTTAAACTTTGAGAGTTGTAGTAAAGGTCTACAAGAGAATATGGTCACCTACAAGCTAGACCAATCACAAATTCCAAGATTGAGTCCACCTTTGGGAGATAATGCCTGTATTTTGGACTTTCAAGCATTTAAATCATTCTTCCAACCAAATGCCACCGTGAACAAGTTCTCCACATATGAGATCAGTCTACATAGGAATGATTCCAGTGGTGGCTACACCTATAACAACCAGGAGTTCTTCCCCATTGATAACCAGGGCTGGGACACCGATCCCAACCTCAAGCGATATACCAACGAGAAGGGTGTCTACCATAACTTCCACTTCTGCATGAAGTTCAGCACATACTTCACCTACGCTGGCAATGAGAGATTCTCATTCACCGGTGATGATGATGTATGGGTATACATCAACAACAAGCTTGCTGTAGACCTTGGTGGAGTACATTCTGCCGAGAGCAAGACCATCGTATTGAAGAATGTTATGCCAGATCTTCAAAGGGTATGTTCATTCAAACCCTCTACCCTTGCCCTCTACCGTTATCCTAACCCTTGCCCTCGACCCTCAACACTCAGACTCAAACATATCCTTTCGACTTCTTCTATTGTGAGAGACATACAAATGCCTCGACTATATACTTTGATACCAACATTGATGTAAAGTGCAAGTTCTATGATTACTGTGATACGTGCAATGGTGATGGATCAAACTGTTGTCAAGGTAGCACCGATTGTGATGACAAAGACCCATGCACGATTGACAAGTGTCCATCGGCATTGACACCAGGCATCAACAAGGACAACTACAAGACCTTCTGTCAACACACCCGTATGAACTGCTCGATCACCAATGATATGTGTAACACCTACACATGCCAAGCCGGAGATGCTTGTGGACTAAAGACACCGGTCAAGTGCCCAGAGCAACACTGCAAGGTACCATCGTGTGACCCCGTCAAGGGCTGTCAATCATTCAACAAGTGCACCTCCTCTGTCTGCACAGACTCTGTCTGTCAGCCTGGCGCTACAGTGGCCGACGACAAATGCATTGAGACACCAAAGAACTGCACTGGACCAGACTTATGTCTTGTCTACTCTTGTGATGCCAGCAAGGGCGGCTGTATCTCCAAGTCCAAGGTATGCACTCCACCCGACGAGTGTACTTCATCTACATGTGTCAACGGCCAATGCGTCAACACTCAGATCCCCGTCGATCAGTGTGCAGCCTGCAAGCCCAAGCCATGCTTTGTCAACCAGTGGCTCAACAGCAACTGTGTCTACTCCAACGATCCAAAGATTGACGACAGCAACCCATGTACTACTGACTTGTGTAACAGCACAACAGGCGAGATCAGCCACGTCCCAGTCTCTTGTGATGGATGCCAGGCCTGCCAACAATCTACTGGCACCTGTGCCGACGACACCACCAAGTGCCAGGACGACGGCAACCTCTGCACAACCAGCCAGTGCACATCTGGCAACTGTACCTACACGATGATCTCCTGTGACGACGGCAATCCCTGCACTGACGACTCATGTGACCCAGTCACTGGTTGCGTACACAAGGACACCTTGTGTCCAGACGAAGGCAACTGCCAGGAGGGATACTGCCAGGCGGGTGTTGGATGTGCCCTGAGGACTCGCAACTGCACCACCGACCAGTTCTGCATCGACTCTATCTGTGACGAGCGTCTGGGCTGCGTCAAGTTTGAGAAGCGCTGCATTGCCAACAACCCCGACTGCCAGATTGGCACTTGCAACAATGTGACTCAGGCATGTGAGTTCCGCGACTACTCGCCACTGCCATTCGGCTGCAACAAGGCCGCAGTCATCTCCACTGGAGTTATTGCCGGTGTAGTTGTGGCTGGTGCTGTTGCCCTAGGACTGATGATCTTTGGTGGCAAGAAGGGCTACGACTACTGGAAGCAGAACAAAGACAACAAGATGTCAGCGTCCAACAGCAATCCAATGTACACTCCCAGTCCCAACAATGCCGAGAACCCACTCTACGATCCTGCCGCCAACAACTAAAGCTATCTTCATAAGTGAGTGTTTGGGTGATTGATTATCCACCAATCTCCAATCAATCAATCAAACTCATAAGATGTTGTATATATATATAATACCTTAACAATATAAATTAAACTTCCGAATCATATAAATATAATCATTTTGGTGATTGACAAGTGGAAATTGCCAAAGTATACCGAGGTGAAGTAGTTAATATTTATTTACAAGATCAAAGGATGATCATTTTTAAGGGCTATACCAACTTAGTAATGTTTAATTAAAGCTATCTGAATCTATGGCTCCTAAAGACCTCACACTGAGTGCATCTGCATCCTCTTCCAAAGTCACCACATGGAGCTATTCTTCCAGAGAATCCACCAAAACCATTATGCATCCTCCTGGCATCGTTACATTGATCACAACGGCAGCCCCTTCCAAAGTCCTTACAGGGGATACCCAAAAGTCCAAGAGTCATCTTTGATTATTAATTACTACTAGTAGTCTTTAGAAAATTAGAAATATTGAATAATTATTATTAATATTATTATTATTAATAGAAAGGTAATTTATGAGATATGGAAGATAAGGATATAAATTGGTTCTTAAATATTAAGATATAATAATGTTTTTGATGATATTAAATAATGTCCAAGATGATCACTTATTTATAGTTTTTATCTTGATTGGAGTTGTAATAGAGATAATCAATTCTAAAAGAATAGGAATCAATCAAGTTCCCAATCCTGGTAATTTTCAAAACCAAAGTGTAAAAGAGAGTTTGCTATCTACAAAAATAGTAATGTATGAGGTGATTGGAATCCAAAAGACATGCACCAAATCACTTCAAACTTAGTGTCAACCAAGTGTCTGATAGACAGATTGGTGTGGTGATTGCTTGGGCCTCTGGGACCACCCTTTCTCCCACTTCTGGGATTTTTGAGAAGTCAGTGTCTCTTCAATCCTTTCAAACGAACTTGTAAATTGATGTTCATCTTCTAGGGTTTACCCTGGGATAAAGTTATATCAACTTATTATTATTATTATTATATCATTCATAATATATTATTCATAATTGGGATTGAAATTTTTGCCTCACTTCATTCAACCTTCAAAGCATCAAACTGATTCATTTTTGAATCCAAAAATAAATAAATAAACTCAACTTGAAACTTTGCATGATCCCACCCTAAATGAATCATTGAGTGGGCTAGTTCAGACCTTGGTCAAACATTCACTACTTTGTCGATCACTCATTAATACAACTACATCTATATAGATACATTATAATGTCAGCAACAGGTGCCCCATCACAAGAGTTTGTCAGACTCAATAATATCCTCGTGGACACTTATGTTAAACATCAGGATGAGATCAAGAAGCTAACGGCATCAATCGATCACATTACAAAGGAGAAACAGTTGTTGACGAGGAAGTATGACTCGTTGTTAAAGTCATCCCAGGATGCTGGTCTGACACTGCCCGAGCCCGAGCCAACTCCAGTCGACGAGGAAGTGGTCGAGGAGCAGACGCCAGTGTCGCAGCCACCCACCGCCACCTCCACCACCAACAACAGTAGCAGCAGTACCGACCCCGCTGATGCCCAAGAGATCGCCGCTGTACTCGACACACTCAAGAAGGAGTTGAAGGAGCGTGATGCCGCACTGGCTGACGCCAACAACAAGTTGGCCATCTCCACTCATGAGATTGATCGTTTGAACTATGACATCAAGAAGATTCAGGAGCAGCAGCAACAGGGCAGTGACAACACGGACACCAACAATGAGATTATTGCCTCGCTCAAACTTAAGGAGGAGCAGTTGGTGCAGCAGAACCAAGGTCTACAGGCTGCCCTGGACGAGCAGAACCAGCTATCACTCAAACTGCGCGAGCAGTTTGTTGGCGAACGCGATACTCTCAACAAGAAGTTGGAGGCCTTCCAGTCAGAGGCGTCAAAGTCCGATCTGCTGCACCAGGAGCTGGAGTTGCTTCACGCACGCATCGAGGAGAAGGAGGAGGAGATAAAGAAACTGGGCCAGACGATCGCCGATCTCGAGACTGAGTGTCGCGAGCTCCAAGACAGGATCCAACAGAACACCAGTGGCTTCAAGGACAAACTGGACGAGCTGCAGCAGTCCAAGCAAGAGGAGCTGCAACAGCTCACACAGCAACTCAATGAGTTGCAGTTGGCCAACAAGGACCTGGCTGACAAGGCTTCCCAGGGCGAGGGTCAAGGCGAGCAGGTCTCCAGCTTGCAGGAACAGGTCACTCAGCTGCAGAGCGAAAACAAGCAGTTGTCGACCAAGATCGACGAGGCTGTGCAGGCTGCCGCACAAGAGCAGGCCGCGTTGGTCACTGGCCTCCAGGAGCAGGTCACTCAGCTACAAAACGAGAACAAGCAGTTGTCGACCAAGGTCGATGAGTCTGTCCAGGCTGCCGCGCAGGAGCAGAGTAAGCTTGGCGAGTTGGAGCATGGAAAAAGCGAGCTCGAGGCAAGACTGGCCACATTGGAACAAGAGAACAGCGAGCTTAAGCAACAAGCTAGCCAAAGTGGACAGCAGCAGACCGATGCGTTGCAGCAGTTGGAGCAGACAAACAATGCACTGGTGGCCAAGCTGGCCGAACAGGGTGGCGAGCAGGTTGCCAAGCTGCAGGAGCTCCAGACCCTGGTGGAAACGGCCACCAAGACTGAGGCTGAGCTGCAGGCTAATATCGTCGCGCTCAATGAGGACAACAACAAGCTGCGCGAGCAATCGGATTTCTTGCTCGAAGAGAACAAGTCGCGTGGCGATGGCATTGCCAAGCTGGAGCAGGACAACAAGGCACTACAGGACAAGTTGAGCGCGCTACAGGGTGCTGAGGGCCAACAACAGGCCGTCGTTGCCAACCTCAATAATCAAGTGAGCCAACTGATGGCCCAGTTGAACGAACAGGATGGTGTCAGGACACGCCAGACTGAAGAGCTGGCCAAGATTGAAGAGGAGAAGGATCATCAACTGCAGCTCGTTGCCAAGCTGCAGGAGAAGCTGAAGGAGTTGCTCGAGAAGCAGGAGCTCCACGAGAAGGAGTCGCAAGACAAGATCACCGCGCTCAAGTCTGAGAATTCATCATTGCAAGCGACCGTCACAAAGCTCGAGTCAGAGCAACAGCAGGCTCAAAATAGCCACGAGGATGTCAAGCACAGCGAAAGCGAGACCATCATCGCGACCAACACTGAGGTCAATGAAGTGGAACAACCCCAAGAGAGCAAGACAGAGACAACCACCAACGAGGAACAGGCAGGCGAGCAGCCAGCCGAGTCTGAGGAAGTGGCCACGTTGGAGGAGGACGAACAGACATTTTAGACCCCTGGCGAACCAAAGGCACATCCAAGCATTTAGCCGAGGTTCCAAGACCCAGAGGTCTACTTACATGTAATAACAAAGAGCGAGAGAGTCATTGAGTGGGTGGGTCATGCTCGCTCACTCAATCTCATATTAGTCTAGTTGGTTTGGTTTGGTAGTTTAGTTTATTTCATTGGATGCAATCAGTAGTAGTTGTGGCGCTGTTAGTGGAAGATAATCAATCTGTTGCCAGATGGCAAGATAAGGATGGAAGTTCAACGGATCCCACACTCCCACGTCCAGTGTTGTAGACGTGTTGATGGGAAGATCACCCACATCCTTAATTGATTGATTCGTTTCAATCATTCATTCATTCATTCATTCTTCAATCATTCATTACTTGTATATATTATAGAGAATAAGATGACTATACCTCCAACTACATTATTCCCCTCTGAACTATTGATTGACAATCAATACTTTAATAATGAGGGCATTCAATTTAGACCATTACAATTGACAGACTATGACAAAGGTAATCAAACATTGTTAATCAACAAGGCTCCTTGTATATGTATGCTTACAAATGTCGACAATGTTTGAGTAGGATTCTCTGAACTGTTGCAACAGTTGACAGAGGCCAAGTTTGATAGAGCCAAGTTTGTTGAACGATTCCTACAGATGAAGAAAGAGAATGATACATACTTTATAGTGGTGGCAGAGGATGTCAACAAGAAGAGAATCATTGCCACTGGTTCAGTTGTAATCGAGAAGAAGTTCATCAGAGGTTGTGCACTATGTGGTCACATTGAAGACATTGTAGTGGACCAAACATATCGTGGAAAGAACCTTGGTCTAAAGTAACTAAACTAAATGTTTGAATGACTCATGTATATGTACATGTATACTAACTCAATCAATCAATCAATCCATAGGATCATTGATCAGTTGAAGCATATTGGATCCCAATTGGGATGTTACAAGCTGATCCTGGACTGTGAAGATAAGAACCAGAAGTTCTATGAGAAGTGTGGATTCGAGAGGAAGCAAGTTATGATGGCATTATATTTGCCACGAGCTAAACTCTAAACTCTAAACTCCAATCAATCAATCAATCAAACAAACACATAACTTAATTATCTGTATCTCTACAACGTGTTTGGACCGAACATCCTTGCATCGTGCATCGGGAGTTGTTTGATCATCATGTCGGAAATTCCGTAGAGTCCTTGACCAGCCCGCAAAAACAAACAACTTGTTGATCTGAACAAACACCAACAACAAGGACAAAACACGCCATTCTGATAAAGACCCAACAAGAAGCCATCTTTGGATCGAAAATTAATTAAAGGAAAGCACGATGCTGATTGCTTTTCACCAACACCATCATTATTTTTTTGCGTAGAGGGGGGAGTGATTGAGGGAGTACAGTGTGGGTGTTTGATCACAATCACCAAATTTGATTTGATTTTATATTATTTTTATGGTGAAGATATTGATCTCTCAATGAGTGAGAGAATAACTGATTACTACTACTTTCCATCTTGCAAAGCTAGAGTGCGTGGATGAATGAATGAATGAGTGAGTGGGAGCGGAATGGATTGATGGATGGTTGTGGCTGAGCCATCATCCTATTCATTCAACACAACATTGGCATCATTGTATTTAATACTTACCCAACAACACGCGCACACTTATTATTATTATATATATATTTATACATATAACATATAACTATATATATACTTATAACATTGTATATTAATTAAACAACCTTGTAATAACAATCAATCAATCAATCAAAGATTTAAACAAACAAAAAAAAATGGTCAAGCCTAATGTATTGATTCTCGGAGGTGTTGGATTCATTGGAAGAAACTTGGTGCAGTTCTTGGTTGAGAAGGCACTGTGCGATCACATTCGTGTCGTTGACAAGGTGTTGCCAACCACTGCTTTCCTCGGAAAGAAGCACGCCGATGCCTTTGCCAAGGTCGAATACATGCAGGGCAACCTCACCAGCCCAGCCTCGATCACCAAATGCTTCACACTCGATGGCGGACGCAAATTCAACTACGTCTTCAACTTGGCCGGCGAGACCAAGTACGGCCAGACCGATGCCGTCTACAACGAGAAGATCTTTGACGTCACCGTCAAGTGTGCCACCGAGGCCGCCAAGGTTGGCGTCGACAAGTTCATCGAGGTCTCCACCGCCCAGGTCTACGAGTCCAAGAAGAAGGCCAGCAAGGAGGGTGACAAGATCGATGCATGGACCCTCATTGCCAAGTACAAGTTCAACGCTGAGAACAAGTTGAAGGAGATCGCTGGGTATGTATTTTGTTGGAGCAAATCAACAACAGCAGACAGGCAGGCAGGGAAACAGGCTCATGATGATTGATTGCGCGCAGTTCTAACAATCGAGATGCGACATCATATGTAACTACAAACAGTTTGAACTACGTTATCCTTCGTCCAGCAGTTGTCTATGGTCCAGGTGACGTCTCTGGAGTCTCACCAAGAATCATCACAGGTGCCGTCTACAAGTTCCTCGACGAGAAGATGGAGTTCCTGTGGGGAGGTGACCTCAAGGTCAACACTGTGCACGTGAACGATGTCTGCAAGGCCATCTGGCACGTTGCCCTCGGTGCTCCAAAGGGCGCCGTCTTCAACCTTGCCGACAAGGGTGACACTGACCAGGCAAAGATTAACAAGTGTCTCGAGAAGGTCTTTGCCATCAAGACCGGATTCCACGGCTCCATCGTCTCCAACCTCGCCCAGCTCAACCTGAAGGCTGTCTGTGAGCAGGCCAACAACAAGCATCTCAAGCCATGGTCCGACCTGTGCAAGCAGAAGGGTATCCTCAACACTCCACTCACCCCATATATCGACCAGGAGCTGTTGTCCAACAACCACTTGGCCGTCGATGGTACTGCCATCGAGGCAACTGGCTTCAAGTATGACTACCCAGAGGTAAGTAGAAGAATTCTGCCGTAACACAGTACACTCATTCATATACTAATAATCATCGTTATCCATTCATTATTACCATGTTTACAGTTGACTGAGGCAGGTATCAGAGAGGAGATCGAGTACTTCCAGGCTCAGAATCTGTTCCCAGCCATCTAAACGCATTCGTTATACGTAATCCCTTAACTTAACATTCTATAAACCCCCTCCTTTTCCTTTGATCCATTGTCTGTCTTGTGTCTTTCCATTACTCTCTCACTCCACCTTTGCTTGGTCAGTTGAGATGTTTGATGCGATTGATCACTAAGTTCAATCGACTTTTGATTGATTGATTCATTCATTCATTCATATGTACTGATATATACAATGTTCTAAACTAAAAGGGTTCCAATCATTCATTCACTCAAAGGAACTGTGGATGGAGAGTTAATAAGCCAGCTGTTGCGCACAGTTGCATGGAGTTGACACATCTTACATTGGCATCCTTGTCTTGAAGAAATCGGTGAAGTGCTGTTACGAAGCGGAAGAAGTTATGAGTGGCGACGTTGTTGAGAAATTGTTCCAGTCCTTTCCTGCGCTCTTCTATGAACTCTGGTTCAAATCTACCCTGTCCAAACAATGATGACAGGTTGTTTCCAGGAAGTGGACACAGTTCACCAAACTTTATAGCCTTGGGCTTCTCTGACAACTTCTGTTTCAAAGTCTCTCTCAAGTTTACAAACTCCTTATATCTTCTCCTCACGGTAAACTCTCTCTCTGAGTACTCTGGGAATGTTGTCTGTCATGTTTGTTAATCATTGTTCATTCCATCATTCTTTCGATTCATTCATTCAGTTCTTTACATTGGTAGTTATCATATATGAAATGTAGTCATCTATACGTATTGGATCGGTCACTATTATGGTAATATACTCTGGTTCTTGGTAGTCTCCTATGACTCTCTTTGACTTTTTCTCTGTATTGTTTGTCTCTGATGTTGGTGCCGACATCTCTGCCTTCAGACTAGTACTACTAGATAATAAAATGTACAACTAACAATTCAATCAACCATTTGATTCTCATGTACTCACTCACTCACTTATAAGTCAATCAATCAACCAATCAATCATTCACACAACACACTAATAATACACGTAAACTCTGATAAGTGAGACAGTTTTCACTTGTCTGTGTGTATCTAATACAAGTGTATGTTCACTCGTTGATTCATTGTTATTATTATACAAGTTAACTTGTATCATTTGGGCCACAACTACTTACTTTCATTGGGCAGTCGGTATTAGAACCGGAATTAAGGGTACATGAAATGGATTGGGATTGGCCAAAGTAATTCGCATCGAGAAATTTAGATATTTATTAATAAATCAAGTAGTACAATTCCAATGTAATGAAATTTGTTTAACGTGTTTGGTTACAACAACAACACCTGCTCCTTTTTCTTCATAGTGTGGGCAATCTCGGGACTTTATCCATTTGAACTGGTGTCGGGCTACACATTGGGATTCATGGTTCAGTAGGGGTACCGAATGAGTCCTGCCCCGCCACCTCCCTTTGAAAAACCGTCAAAAATCGCATCTGTTTAGGCCAAGGTCGTATCTGAAACTGGAAAGTTTGTTTGACTGTTTTCCTAACAGTTGTAATCTTCCATGGATGTCCTAAGCCTTGAGGAGGATAGTGCTACAGGTAGTCGGACTCAACTCATTAAACAATTGTAATTGTAATTATCATTTGAGTATTAGTATTAATATAACAAAATTATAATAGGAATAATAAGTTATTTATGTATGTATTTATTTATATATTTGTATGAATAAGAGTTGATTTGAATTGCCCCATGATCTTGATAATAGAGTTCATACACTCACACACGCCACACAATCAATCACATTCACACACGAAACGACCCTTCACCCATCACCCAATCAAACGTTAGACTGTCACTTGTCAATCTCACCCCATCCTTTACAAATACACAACAACCTTCACTTATCTCCATCACCTGTCAACTCGTCAATCTCTGACTTACAATCCATTCATCCATTCACTCACATCATCCATTCATTCATCCATTCATTCATTCATATCAATAGGCAGAGTCTAAGGGCATAACTTGCAACAACAACAAACAACTAGAAAGACACAACAACAAAGCATTATAGCAACGTCAGCAAACAACTGCGCCCAACCCAACCAACATGGGCTACTATGAATTTGCTGAGATGCTAGAGGCAGCGGCAGGAAATGGCAGCAGTAGTAGCGGCGGAACAGACTCGAACAAGCCCTACACTTGTAAAGATACATTCCCAACAGAGGACGTAGTGCTCGGTATCTTGTTGGGCATTGGTATCTTTATCTCCTTCTTGCCACAGATCCTGGTGCTAATCATCAGGAAGAACATTGAAGGCCTCTCATTGATAAGTTGTTGGTTCAACTATGTCAACTGCATGGGCACATTCCTCAACGTGCTCTTCCTCAACTGGTTCGCCTTTGCCTGTTGTCATGATTACATGGTATAGTATCCTCGTCCGGCGTCCACATCCCCACTGGTCCATCTCCCTAACCAAACACTCCCCTCCCCTCCTCCTTCCAACAGACTGAATGGGTATGCTTCCAGAACCTGATACCAGTATCACAGTTGGGTGTACCATTCGTTACCACTGGTGTAATGTAAGTTGTAGTCAACTACCTTGGCATTGAAGTGAGTGGCAACAACTAACATTACATGGGACTACTCTAGTTTCGCACTTTATGTAATATACCGTCCTATCCTCCCACCGTTCGCCGCTGTAGAGGAGGCTAGAAGACAACAGAAACTTCGTCTAATGGAGCAGACGCAAAAGAATGAGCAAGCGAAGCTCGATGGTGATACATCATCACCAACAACAAACAACGACAACAAGGATCTGCCTTTTGTCGAGCCAGTAACTGCCCCCAGCGAGGTAGACAACAGCAAAGAACAACAAACCACCACTGGCAATGACAATGATGAAGACACCTCATCATCGTCGAGCGATGACAAGAAGAAGGACAAGAAGAAGAAGGTGAAGGGAGAGATCCCGCCAGACAGTTTCTTGCTAAAGGATGGTGATAACAAGATTGAGCGATTCTTCATTCGCATGGACTGGTACAGTGTGCCCTTTTTCTGGGGTAGCATGGCGGCGTCGCTCATCTTCTTCCTAATTGGCCTTGGACTTGTGCTTGGATATGGTGCCAAGTCTGACATTGTTTCCGGCTATGCCTACGCCATGGGTATCATGGCATCAGTTCTAGTGTTCCTTCAATGGTTGCCACAAATATATACAACATGGATATCCGATGTATGTACCATTCATTCAATCATTCAATCATTCTATTGATTACTAACATACATACTTGTAGAAAATTGGAAGCCTCAGTCTTGTATCACTGTGTATCCAGATACCTGGTGCAATACTGATATGTTATAATCAACTTTCACTTGGTCAGTCTTGGACCACTTGGTTCCCCTACCTTGCAACAGCTGTACAGGAGATAGTGTTGCTAGGAATATGTGTATACTATCTAATTAGAGACAGGAAGAAGAGAAAGAGAGAGAAGAAGGAGAAAGAGGAAAGAGATGCCAAGGATTCAGCAGCAGCAGCAGCACCACCTGGTGAAAATTCAAACAGCAACAATGACAATACATCTGGCGCCAATAACAATGACAACAACAACAGCAACAATGACAAGAATGACAACTATAATAGTATAATCAGTGACACAAATATCAATGATAGTGCCAACAACAATAATATTGAACAACAACAACAGCGTCTCCAGGAGTCTGAGAATATCTCCAAACATGAGCAACAACAAGAACCAGAGAGTGATCACAGTGAGAGTGATAGCGATAGCAATGACAATGAAATTGATGAGGGGACAAAGAGCGAGACAGTCGAGTTGGACAAAATGTAATAAGTAATTCATCTCATTCATTCATCTCATTCATTCAGCCAATCATCCGACCATTATTAAATATATATATATATATATAATATAATATATACATGGAAGCGAGTCTGAAGTATCAATATCAACTTCATTCGTCTATCTGTTGTTGTGTGTGTGTGTGAAGGATAAGTTCCGATAAACAGGTGTCAACAGTCCCAAACAATTCCCATTACTAGCAAGAACATCTTTGCATCTAACATTCAATTCCAAATTTGGGGTTAGTTCAAACTAGTTGTAGAGCTAAAGAGATAGAGATACAGATAAAGATAGAGATAAAGAGATACACACAATGTATATATCACTTGTAGTTATAGCTGTTATTATATATTTTGTACTCACAAGAAGTGAGTCCAAACAGATTAAACAAAGGATATTCAATGTAATTTGGTAAGTACTGTATTATATGTTAGAGAGAGGTACAGACTTTACAACAAACAAACAATCTAACAATATATGTTGGATTAGGAATAAACTCGGACCAGTTGTTGATAAGAAGTTATGTGTTCATAAGAGAGAGATGTTCTCGCATGCACATGGAAAGGTATTGGATGTTGGTTCAGGAGTAGGTCCAACTTTTAAGTTCTTGGATGAGGAGAGAGATAAGCCTATTACAGAGGTGGTGGCTATTGAACCGAATCCATTCATGTTGGACCGACTAAAGGAGGCGGCCAGAGATCATCCCTACAAGGTAAAGGTGTTGAACAGCACCATTGCCGAGGCATTGCAGAATGGTGAGCTAAAGAATGGCACATTCGACACGGTCATTTGCAACCTGGTGCTGTGTTCCATACCAAACTACCAAGGCATACTAGTGGAGATCCAGCAACTGTTGAGGCCTGGTGGCAAGCTATTGTTTATCGAGCATATTGTCTCGGAGAACCCTATCGCCAGCACCATTCAGAATGTGCTGAATCCCTTCTGGGGCATGATTGGCGATGGATGCAACCTCACGAGAGAAACCAGCAAGACCATCACTAGGATGAGCGGATGGAAGAGTGTAGACATCTCCATTATACCCGAGGCACACTACATTTCATTGACTCACGTCAAAGGATGTGCTACCAAGGCATAAATTGTAGGCACCAACAACAGTTGTCATTCATTAGTCAGTCAGTCATTCAGTTAGTTATTCATTGATGTTTGGACAACAATATCTTTGTGATCTAAATTGTAGGGAGTGAAGTATGTGATCGTGTGGGTGGTGGGGTGATTAGTCAGATCGACCAACCAAACAGTGTGTGTTTCTGATCATTATTACAACTACGACTAACGTATATATAACACTCACCTTTGTCCTGTTGTTGTTATTTGTATTAGTAACATGTTACTTACTTAACAAATAAACAAACATATCAATGGACAAACCTAGAACAACAACAACAACAACTTCCAGACTTCCAACAACTTCCAGCAAGAAGACGACAACCTCCAAAGGTCCTGTATCAACAACACCAAAGTCATCACCAAAGTCATCACCAACGACAACAACAACAGCAACAAAGAGTCTTAGATCACCTCTCCCAAGGTCCATAACCATCACAGCATCGACCTCCACAAAGCCCAAGCCAAAGACTGCAGTCCCAGCACCAACTACAACATCAACAACTGTTAACGTATCAAATGGAGAGTTGAATGATGAGGAGAATCAGCAAGTGGCGGTGTCATCAGACACATTCGTTGGACAGGCACAGGAGTCTGACACAGTGGCAGAGTCATCGGATATAGACCCAGCAGTCTCATCATTGGAGCTTATCTCATCAGATGAGTCCACTACTTCAACAACAACAATGGATATACCATGCACATCGACAACCACAACTACATCAACTTCTACTACTTCATCTAGTGTGACAAAAGCTAAAGTTGGAGCAGCGGTGACAGTGGCAGCGGCAAAGAAGACAACCTCTGTGGCTGGCACCCCACCAGTGAGTGGATTGAAGAGACCTGCGACATCACCATCATCAGTTGGTATGAGTGCAAAGACGGCCACAACAACAAAGGCTGCGAGTACGGTACCCAAGAAGACTACATCAGTCACCACATCAACTCCAACATTGACTTCAATCAAGAAACCAGCTGCATCCTCAACTTCCACATTAGCCAGTGCTCCAAAGAAGCCTCCCACCACATCGTCCATAAAGAGACCGACTACCACCACCGCAGCTGCCAAGACACCATCCACATCTTCCACAATGAAGACTACTCCAACCTCCACTACTTCCACATCATCACCCAAGGCATCATCATCAAAGGTTGGTGCCAATGTAACAACAACATCACCCACCGTCAAGCCAACTGCTACGACCAAGACCACAACACCTGTATCAACATCATCCAAACTAAAAACACCTGTATCAACATCATCAACTTCCACCACAGCCAAACCAAAGGTAGTGCCCATATCGGCCACAGCTGCCAAAAAGCCAGTCTCGGCGATACCAAAGACCTTGGCAAAACCCGCGGCAGCGTCATCAATGGCTAAACTCTCGCCAGCATTGGCAGCCAAGAGATTGGCTGCGTCCAAGACTACAGCCACCGCAACCACTCCAACTGTCACAGCCAAAGCCACAGCCGCCACAGCCACAGCCAAAGCCAAAGCCACCACATCCACCTCCACATCCATGACATCAAAGGTATCCTCTGCGACCAAGACAAAGACGACGACAACAACGACTACCACAACAACAACGACAACAATGACATCGACTCGATCACCTTTGACAACGCCTTCCAAGTCGTTGCCCAGCACAGTTGCCTCACCAAAGTCGATACTTGGATCACCTGCCGCCGCCCACCAACTCCTTGGCAGCGCAAAGGGATCCGCGCGGCCAGCAGGCCCAGCCAACCGCAAGAAGCCCACTGTCAACCCCGTAAAGAACCTGGCGAGCAAGGGCTCATCAATGCAGACGGCCAGCGCTTCACCCAAGAGGAAAGCGATTGGCGCAACTGGATTCGGACTGCTGGCCTCAATCGACGACTCACAGGGTATCGAGTGGAAGAACAAGAAGTTGAACAGTCGTGGAGACGGCAACATCAAACGATTGATCAAGTTTAGTGGCAGGAAGGCGATTGTTGGCCGATTGGTCGAGTGCGTGGTCACATCCATCCGCGCCAACTGCTGCTACATCCTGGGACTTGGGGCGATCGTATCATTGAGTGGCGTGGAGCCGAGTCTTCCAAGGTCCAGCAGGCCATGGCCCTCGACCTCGCCGGTCGCATTCGTAACAAGGAGCGCAGTTCACGTGCTCAATCATTGGTAATCGATGACAAACGATCATCATCAACCGATCAACCCGCGCTCAACAAAGAGTTTTGGGAGTTGCTCGGAGGGTCCTCGCGACCCAAGGATATCCCGCTTGAGGCTGACGACAAGAAACGCGTCAAGGACATTCTCTACCTACTGGCAAGCAGTAGTAATGGTGCTGCTGGTGGAGGACTGGCAGCCGAACCCATTACCCTGCCCAAGATCGGCCTGACCAAGGGCTGCCTGGAGAGCGCCCACACATACGTTGTTGACTGCGGTACTGAGGTCTACCTGTGGGTTGGCCGCCAGACCGATGATGCCGTGCGCAAGGGCGCCATGGAGTTGGCCGACGCGCTACTTGCTCAGCGCAAGGGCCGCCCCAAGTGGGTGAGCGTCACTCGTGTGGTGGAGGGCGGCGAGACCGAGTTGTTCAAGGAGAAGTTCGCAGACTGGAGCCGGTCGCTGCCCATCTCAATGGCGCCCGTCCCCAAGGGAAGGATCGCCGATGTGAAACAAGAGCACTTTGACGTGGCCAAACTGTTGGCGACACGTGACCTCCCTGAGAGCTTCACAGCAGCCGTCGACGATGCGCGAGGACAGGTGAGAGTGTGGCGCGTCAAGGATCATGGAAAGGAGGCAGTGCCAGCGCACCGCTATGGACACTTTTACTGTGCAGAGAGCTATGTCATACACTACCGCTATCTGGTCAAGATGAAGGAGCACAATCTAATCTACTTCTGGCAGGGCAAGCGATCGACCATCAACGAAAAGGGTGAGTCGGCCCGCCTAGCCGTGGACCTCGACGACGAGTTGGGCAGCATCACAAAGAAGGTAAGTTCATCGGGGTTGCATGGGCGAGTCCTGGACCAAATCACTCACTCACTGGAACTATCCAAATCAATCAATCAAATAATCAATCTCAGGTACGAGTAGTTCAGAACAAGGAGCCAATTCACTTTATGAACATCTTTGGTGGATTCATCATTGTGCATAATGGAGTGGACGATCGTGAAGATGATAGGGACAACAGGGCAATGTGCATGTATCAGGTCAGATCGTGCAATCACTTCAAGGGTCAACATGGATGGCGCGCCATTGAGTTGGACGAGGTCAAAGCCAACAATCCTAAACACCAACGACTGGTTTGTAATTAGGACCAGTCTTGACCGGTGCTACATCTGGCGTGGCCATCACTCTGCCCTCAGTCGAGCCATCAACGACACCAGGATGCAATCAATCGTTCAATCACTCAATCAAGACCACGACCATGACAATGACCAATATGATCTAATATTGTGCAATGAGGGCAATGAGCCAACAAGGTTCTGGAGTGACATTGGATCAAGCATCATGGCGGACGCAGAAGCAAGGACGGCAACATACTTTACAAGACACATGACCAGTGCGCCATGGATGTTCCAGTGCTCATACTCGAGTGGCCTGTTCAAGATTGAACGTGTGTTTGAGTGGGACCAGGAGGACTTGGATAACGAGGACGTCATGATCCTGGATTGTCGTCCAGACATCTATCTTTGGATTGGACGTCAATCAACACAAGAGGAGCGCAAGAGTTCAATGACTGCTGTGTTGGAGTATGACAGTCTGCTTCATTCTTCTCAAGACCATGATGCTGCTGCAGACAACAACAACAACAGTCATCCCAATGTATACCTTGTGGAGAGTGGATCAGAACCAAAGTCATTTATTCAATACTTCCATGGCAGTTGGAGGGTCTCAACCAAGTATTCATCATCGCGTAAGACTTCAACATCATCTGCTACTGTTGATCAAACAGTGATCACTGTATATGAGTACCTTAAAGTGTTGAACAGGACTTACACACTGGAGGAGTTGCAGAACAATCCACCAAGGGCTTTGGATTCGACCAGACTCGAGACATACCTGTCGGACGACGACTTCATGGCGACATTTGGCATGGACAAGGATACATTCGCACAAGAGAAGCTCTGGAAACAGGAGAAGTTGAAGAAGTCGCTTGGACTTTACTGATCAATCAATACATTCACATTCATTCATTGGACCATGGAATCGGATGTCCGTGTTTAGGTAATTCATTCATTCATTCGTTTGTCGTGGGTGTATTGTGATGAGCTGGCCCAACCCAGACCAACACAAGGTGGGTAGTCGGCACACCCACATCAACATCAGGAAGTGGCGGGACAAGACGGGAACATCAACAATTGAAATTTCGTCGTGTGTGATGAACATTAATTTAAATTTTAATCAAATATCTTATGATGTTGTTTGATAGATTGATTGATTGGTGTGAATGAGTGAGCGTTGTGTTGTGATGAGAGTGCCCCTTTGGATTGCTTCCGACTGCCCCAAACGCAATATCACATTGTACACATAGTGTTTCTTGACTTGGTGCAATCTCACAATCACATCAAGGGCTGACATTCATTCGTCTTATTATTCATCATACCTTTCATTCTTAAAGTGATAGTAGTTGTAGTTGTTTGTAGTTGTAGTATAAGTAATTGACACTAACACTACACATCATCATCATTCATTCACACACACTAATCACTCACTCAACCAATCAATCACCCACCACACACACTCTCACCATCATTACTATCTTCAAAGATCTTAATTACATCTATCTTTTATCACTTATACACACTCTCTCTATCTCCTTTTAAGACTACATAATATATTATATATACTATACTAAGAAACAACAACAATGTTGAATGTACTTAAGATCAGTTCACCACTGAATCGCCTCAGATTCAGTCCATTGCTCAGCAACAATACATCAATTGGCGTGGCCTCTGGTCTCCAACAACGCCGCTTCTTCTCACTCGAGTCCCTAAAGACCCAAACCAAGAACCAGAAGCTCATCAACTGGGTTGAGGAGCAGGCCAAGGTCTGCCAACCAGACAACATCTTTGTCTGTGATGGTTCAGAGGAGGAGTACACAAAGTATGTTTGATTGATTGATTGATTGAATGAGTGTGATGCCATCATGGACGCGACTTATCTGACACTCCCCTCCACCTCAACCCTTCAACCCTTCAACTTCAACTTCAACTTTAGGTTCACGAATGAGATGGTCCAGTCTGGAGTGCTGACCAAACTCAACTCTAGCAGACCAAACAGTTTCTTGGCACGCTCGGATCCAAGTGATGTGGCACGTGTCGAGTCGAGAACTTACATTTGCTCGAACCGCAAGGAGGACGCTGGCCCCAACAACAACTGGACCGATCCAAAGGAGATGAAGGCCACGTTGAAGCCACTGTTCACAGGCTCGATGAAAGGCCGTACCATGTACGTCATCCCCTTTAGCATGGGTCCACTCGGCTCGCCCATCTCGCACATTGGTGTGCAGGTGACCGACTCGCCATTCGTCGTGTGCAACATGCGCATCATGACACGCATGGGCGCACCCGTCCTCAAGGCCCTGGGCGACAACGGCCAGTTCGTGCCATGTCTGCACTCAATCGGCTCGCCCCTGGCACCCGGCGCCGTCGACTCCAAGTGGCCATGCAACAGCACCAAGTACATCGTGCACTACCCAGAGGAGCCATCGATCGCCTCGTTCGGCAGTGGCTACGGAGGCAATGCCCTGCTTGGCAAGAAGTGTTTCTCACTGCGTATCGCCTCGGCCATGGCCCGCAAGGACGGCTGGCTCGCCGAGCACATGCTCATCCTCGGTCTGACCAACCCAAAGGGTGAGAAGAAGTACGTGGCCGCTGCCTTCCCCTCGGCCTGTGGCAAGACCAACTTGGCCATGATGCTGCCAACGATCCCCGGCTGGAAGGTCGAGACGATCGGTGACGACATTGCCTGGATGAAGTTTGGCGCCGACGGTCGTCTGTACGCGATCAACCCAGAGAACGGAATGTTTGGCGTTGCGCCCGGTACATCGGCCAGCTCCAACCCCAACGCCCTCGACACTATCAAGCGCAACACCATCTTCACCAACGTCGCCTTGACGCCAGACAACGATGTCTGGTGGGAGGGCCTCGGACCAGCCCCCGACAAGGCTATTGACTGGACTGGACGCGACTGGACACCCGCCACCGGCCGCCCTGCTGCCCATCCCAACTCCCGCTTCACCGCACCAATTTCACAGTGCCCCTCGGTCGACCCAGCCTTTGCTGACCCAAAGGGCGTGCCCATCTCAGCCATCATCTTTGGAGGCCGTCGTGCGTCGACCGTGCCCCTCGTCTACCAAGCCTTCAACTGGAAGCACGGCACTTTCATGGGTGCCTCGACCGCCTCTGAGCTGACCGCTGCCGCTGAGGGCACCGTCGGCCAGCTGCGCCACGACCCATTCGCCATGCTGCCCTTCTGTGGCTACAACATGGGCGACTACTTTGCCCACTGGCTGTCGATGGAGTCGCGCTCCAAGGCCGACAAGCTTCCAAAGATCTTCTACGTCAACTGGTTCCGCAAGAACAAGCAGGGCAAGTTCCTCTGGCCAGGCTTTGGTGAGAACTCTCGCGTGCTCAAGTGGATCTTTGAGCGCTGTGCCGCCAAGGGTGAGGAGGGCGCCGAGGAGACACCAATTGGATACGTGCCCGCCGAGGGTGCCCTGGACCTCAACGGCCTGGACATCTCCAAGGACAGTGTACGCGAGTTGTTCACCATTGAGAAGAGCGCATGGTTGAACGATCTGGCCTCGATGAAGAAGTACTGCGCACAGTTTGGCACTCACCTGCCCTCTGAGATCACCAACCAGATCAAGGAGTTAGAGCAGAGACTGAACCAGAACTAGAGTGATTTATAAAGTGCACCTGGCTTTGTGGCTGGTGTCCTGGCTTCATGCCGTTCCAATCAACATTAATAATATGGTTTTTGATTGATCCATGGAGGACTTATTTTTTTTTAAATTCAGTTTTTTGATCAAAAATAGAACACCACTTGGATCATGATGAGATACTCTAACTCTTTCTTATCATTTATCATCAGTATATATATATATAATTGGACAATAGAATATGCTACCCACTCAAATTTTAAGAATAGTTGCGTCGTATCTTAACATTATTGACATACTATGTTTCCTCTTGACAAGCAGAACAATATTCATGCTACAAAAGAGCATAGCACCATCATTGAAATATCACTTTATACATGCTGTGCACTCGGCAACGCTCACAAGAGCCTCAATACAAGATAGAAAATATAGAACATTTCAGCACTTAACTACTATGGATAAAGATAATCTCATCCTAAATACACAGCCAGACTCACACTTCATAGAAGATTCGACTGATGGACCTCTTCAAGTTGGACACATACTACAATCAGTGACACGAGTGTCATTGGCTCGTTTTGATCGACCTCTCTGTGTTGGACTTATACCACAGTCTGTGACCAAAATATCGTTGGATTTTTTCAACCAGCCTCTACTGGTTGGACATATACCGCAGTCGGTGAAACAGTTATCGCTGCGCTATTTCAATCAACCGCTCCTAGCTGAACATATACCACAATCAGTGACAAAATTGTCAATGGAGCATTTCAATCAACCTCTTCAAGTTGGACACATACCACTGTCAGTGACCAAATTATCAATGTCATATTTTGATCAACCACTTCAATTTGGACACATACCACTGTCAGTGACCAAATTATCAATGTCATATTTTGATTCAAGTTGGACACATACCACAATCAGTGACAAAATTGTCAATGGAGCATTTCAATCAACCTCTTCAAGTTGGACACATACCACTGTCAGTGACCAAATTATCAATTTCATCTTTTGATCAACCACTTCAAGTTGGACACATACCACAATCAGTGACAAAATTATCAATGTGCTATTTCAACCAGCCACTTCAAATTGGGCATATACCTAAATCAGTGACCATATTGTCACTGAGCTTTTTCAATCAACCTCTCCAAGCTGGACATGTACCAGATTCAGTGACACAATTATCATTAGAAGGTTTCGATGAACCTCTCCACACTGGAGATGTGCCACTATCTGTGATACGTCTATCATTGGGACTGCTACTTTCAATTGGTCATATACCACAGTCAGTGACACAATTGACATTCACTAACCTCGGCCAAACTCTTCAAGTTGGATTTATACCACAGTCGGTGACTGAACTAACATTTCACTTATTTGATCAACCTCTTCAAGTTGGACATATACCACCGTCGGTGACCAAACTATCATTACCATTTTTCAATCAACCTCTTCAAGTTGGACATATACCAAAATCGGTGACATACTTATCGTTTGCACGTTTCAGTCAACCTCTCCAAACCGGACACATACCACAACTTCTAACACATTTAACCTTTGGACACTATTTCAATCATCTTCTTACAACTGAATTAATTCCGTCAGTTATATCGCTATCAATCCCAAGCAAACACTTCTCGGCAGCTAATCTGTGTTTGTTTGGTCACAAGTGTCTGAGAGAGCTCACATTTAACCATTATGTTGACAATACCAATCCAAACTCTATATTGTCCAGGGCAGAGACTAGATCATTGTTGTCATCAATTGGCACACTTTCACATTTGATCATACAAATCAAGCCATGGAATGATGTTAATACCAGTTTCAACACAATACTCAAGTGTCTGTCACCACATTTGCAATATTTACTTATGTCAATCCCAACGATCACCATACAGATCCTCTGCCAGAACGAGCTGGACTTTGAAATTCAATGGAGGCTTGTAGACGACGAAACAGCACTTTTTGTACCTATATCGGACGCTGATGAAGAGAAAGTCATTTCGTTTTGGCGGTTCTCGGCAGGGCTTGCAACGAAGGACAAAGGCAGACCAAGGCCACGAGGAACTACAAGGTCAAATTCCAATGCAACAGCTGTCCAATTATCGCACACATCAGAATCTGCTCTGAAAGTGACTGCAGCTGTTGTGCAGGACGCGGCCATGCTTAAAGAATTTCTTAAAAGCAAGACGATAGTCCAGATGTCTAGGATGACAAAGAAACAATTGTGCCACCATCTTACAGTCATGGGCATACCAACAGAAGTTTCGGAGACGCAGCTCACCAACCTCAAACTGGCTATGATTCTCTCAAAGACACTAAAGACCAAGTAATCATTCTGTTCATCTTCCTGTGCATGACCAATCAATCCTTAACTACAACAACAACAACAACAACAATCATTATTATTATTAATTAGGAATAAATATTTAATCCAGAATAATAATGCCTTTATATCTATATTTATCTTTTGGGTGTGATTATGCCAACAAAGCTACATTGTTGCCCAGAAGTCTAAAGGCTATTGATATTTCGACTTGGATTTTATGATCAAAGTATTTAAAGTTAACTGTTGGAAAGGCCATCAACAAAACCGGAAGATACTCTGGCATCAATTCATAAATGATCTCTGAATCGACAAGAATGATCAAATGCTCCAGTGTACTCGAGTTCATTATTGTTATTGCCAATACATTTTGATCCAGAAATGTTTCGTCAAACGAATGTTGACATTGAGGGAGGGAGAGAACTTTGATTTAATGTGATTGGTTGAACCGCTTGCATGCTTTGTACATCTGGCCAGGAAGAAGTTCACAATGGGAGGCTAAAAATAAGAGTCCATGGTTGGCGCAAAACTCTGATCAATCAATGCCCAGGCATCAGGGCAGGGTAAGCGACAACTCTTTTATGTGTATTATTATGGGAGACCAACAACATCACTTAGGCCATGTCATCCATGTCGTCGACAAGGTTCTCTTCATCATCCAGTTCATCATCTTCTTGGAGTTCGAGGTCCTCGCCATCTATGCCTTCGTCGATTTGGTCAGGGTCCAGACCTTTCCTCAACAACTCCAAACGATGCAGACCTGTCAAAGCACCTTCATACGAGCCATTGATCTCCAGCGCTTGATTGAAATGATGAATTGCCTTATCATACACATCCTCCGATCCCATCTCCATGTATATATTAGCCATCTCTGTGTGCATCAAGTCTGTTTCCTGGTTGTCCAACTGTCTCTGTATCCTGTTGATTGGTGAGTGGGATGGTTCCATGATACATGATTGATTGATTGAGTGAGTGAGTAAGAGATTGATTGAAGAATGAGGGCCAGGGTTGACTCGTCCTGGAACTTACAAATCGATGGCATCTTGTGCCTTTCCTTCGACAAGGTTCAACTTGCTCATGGTCAGCACAGAGTCGATACAGAAGGGAGAGAGTACCAGGGCCTCTTGGAGGATCTTTCGTGCTTGGTCTCGCTCTTCGGGCTGGTTGGCCAGCACCATGCCAACCAGCGCCTTGGACTTGGAGTAGTCCGGACTCAGACGATGGATGGCCTTGGCCACGGCAAGTGCCTCGTTCAGTTGGTTGAGGAAGAGGTGGCAGCGCACAAGATCGCGAGCCGTGAGTATGTTCTTGGACAGCGCAAACGCACGCTCAAGTGAAGGCAGCGCTATGCGTGGCTCGTCGATGCTCAGGTATATCTCACCCTTGAGACTGTGTGCCTGAGTGTGTGATTCGTCAATGCTCAGAGCGCGCTCCACGCACTCCACAGCCTTCTCATTGGTCTCCTTGAGATAATAATACATTGCAGCTGATGTCCAACTCTCTGGACTTTGTGGGTAGGCGTTAACCAGTTCGGAGCATACCCTATAATGGGGAGGTTGAGAGGGAGTAGTCAAGTCAATATGGGATTATTCCATGATTGATTGATTGAATACAGAGTTGACATACTTGTTCAACTCTACTGGGAGTTGTCTGCGCTTGAGAATTGAGCAGTAGACATCCATTGAGCCTACATAGAGTGGATCAATAGTGCGTATCTTTTTGAAAGTGTCGGTTGTGTTGACGATTGATGGTTCGTCATTGTAAAGGTAGGCCATTGCCAGTCTCTCCAACAAGTAGAGGTTTCCAGTGAACTTGGCTTCAAGCTTCTTAAGTATGAATAATGATTCTAGAAGTTGATTGGAATTGTTCCAGTCAGTGATCGATTGATCGAGTGATTGAATGACCCATAAATCATACTTTGAGGTTGATTTCGTTTCAACTCGATTGTTGATTGTGCCAGTGCTGGTATCCAGGATGAGTCGATGTTGGTGTTGGGGAAGTTCTGTTTGTTGAGTACTGGTTGTAGTATGGCTTCGGGATCCTCGCCAAGTTCCTTCAATGCATTGATCGCCTCAATACAAAGAGGACACAATCTAAGTGCCTCCTTGTAACATGTGATCGTATCCTTTGTCTTCTCTCTCATTGTCTCCCTATAAAGCTTTGCCAATGTCAAATGTATCGCCAGTGTCCTGTTGGCAATCGGTATAATCTCAAGCTTGCGTTTGATTGAGTGAGTGAGTGAGTGAGTGAGGGATGACACCTCAACGTTAGACGAGCCACTATTAAGTATTTACATGTGATATGGCCAATGGTATCCTCTTGGTCTGGACGTGACAGAGTGCCATCTTGTAGCGCAGTTCGTATTCGGTCGCTCGGAGACTGGCAGTGATTTGTGGCTGTTTGGAAGCGGCTTGGCTAAAGAGTGATGTGTGACTGGATGGACTGATCAACTTGGCCAACATCTCAAACGCCGCCTTATAATACTTGCAGGCGCGAAGGTGTTGGCCCTGATTGAACATTGCGTCTGCAAACATTGTCAATGCCAGTATCATCTGATTAGTGACGGCAGAGCCTGCTGCCGCACCCTTTACCAGCGATGGTGTTGAGATGATAAAGTTGCCCTTTGTTTGTTTGTTTGATTGATTGATTGATTGAGTGATCCAGCTTGTTAGACACGAGCACATACATGACCATCTACATGCCATTGTTGCTTACCAATGTCTCGGCTGACTCATACTGCTTGGCATCCAACAGCATCTTCATGTTGTTCAGCATCAGGTCAATGCTAATATGTGGCAACATGGTTTGGTCGTAGTATCTGTGTCTGTGTGTATCTGTCTATGTCTATGTTATGTATCTATCTGTATTGTATCATTGCACTACTCAATCATTTATTCATACACCCATTCACGAACTCATTCAATCAATCACGTGATTGGTCATGGACAAAAAAGGCGCGAGACTGACCAGATTCACACACCCCAACATGACACTGTTCGATCATGATCATAGCGCTCTTGTACAACTGAAAGGACGACGGATGGAATAATCCCATTCATGCCTTATTATTATTCAATCTCATCGCTAACAGCAAGCCAGCTGTGTGATCCATCCAATGCTCGAGCTAAGGGAGGAACAGACATCCAAACATCCAGCCGTCAGCAAGCAAGCCACGTGCGAGCTCGAACGGAGTGCGTTGAGCCTATATATTCAAAGAGAGACCGTATGATAGTCTCTTGTTCTCTATGACGGCACCCAATGATATCTTTCCAATGTTGGTCTTGAAGTTGAGACGTGCGGCGTGCACCTTGGCCGACGACGTGCTCAGCAGAAGTGTCATGGGCAGGACTCGTTTGCCAACCTTGAGTGAGTAGACGATAGTGGAGCCGATCTCGACACGTGACTCCATACTGTTGGTGTTGAGTGTGAAGCGCGTGGCCAAGTCAATGTCCGTGGGGAATGTGGTGACGAGTGGCGAGTGGAACGACAGGCCGAGGTCGCCCATCACATTGTAGGTGGAGCACACCTGGAAGGGGAAGTTGCGGTACTTGCCCTGGTAGCGCAGGCCGAACGAAGCGCCGCCCGACTTTTGAACGGCCTTGTAGTAGGCCTCAAAGCCTGCGGTGAGTCTCGCGTTGACAGCGTGCATGTGCGACAGGCCAAAGAGGCCATCATTCTTGGTGGTCAGCTTGACCTCGGAGACGTAGCGATCGCCTGTGTAGCACAGCGTGCCAAAGATGACGGGCTGTTGCTTGCCCATCATTGCGCTGACCGTTGAGTTGAGGCTGACCTTGGTGGTGACGTTGGGCAGCGGTGACGTGGTGATCTCGGCCTCCATCTCCTTGTCATTGTCCATCAGCAACACGATCGATGTGCCGTCATTGAGCTGTGTGCTAATCGACTGCTTAAAGTACAGAGGGCTGTAGGCCAATGTGTTGTGAGTTGACAAGCGTTTGGACCATGCTCGCTGAAACGTCAAGTTGAACCCAGGTTCAAACTCATTGACATAGTCTAAGTTGTCTGTGAATGTATGAGCGTAGTAATGTCAATACTTTGTTCATATTAACAAGTAATCATCGTCATCATCATAGATTGAATGAATGAATGAATGAATGAATGAATGAATGAATCATACTTCTTATCAGACGATCGATCTCATGATATGGTCCTGGATTGAGTATGTTTGATGTTGTTGATGAAGAGGTTGATGTTGTAGTTGGTATTGCTGTAGTTGTTGCCATTCTTTTATCTCACTTTAATAATAATGATCAAACAAGTACAAGTATCATCAGCTGACTGACTTACTTTGAGACTTCCCTTCCGTCTTATTAATAATCTTCACTAATGATGATGAACCGAAATTTCCAACTTTGGCAATGACGTGATTGATGGTTAATCACTCTCACTGAACATAACAATAGTTCACTCATCTCGAAGAAAGAGATGTTATTAACCTTATCTTTAAAGTTGTCAATCAATCAATCAATCAATCTTTCATCAGTTAGGTTAATATCCCAAAATAATCAATCTTGTCTAACATTCAATCATTCTTAGTATTAGTTATTATAACATCTATAGATTTGAATTACGCTACCTTGAACAATGAATAAGGAGGGAACAAGAGTTGAAGAAGATTCATCTTTTAGAATGAACTTCAATAATATCTGTATCCAACCAAAATGGGAAAGTGTGGGTCTTGTGATGTTCAACAACACAACAAAACCCTAAATTAAATGGAACTTAATCTGCTCCCACCTTCATCTCACTTATTTTCGTATTAGATACAGATACAGAGATACTTATACATACACACATTATATATATATATATATTATCTTCTATTCTATTTTAATCAATCAACTCAAACAAACAACAACAAACAACAAACAACAAACAAAAATGTCAACTGAACTTGTGATTAAGAAGTTGGACACTCAACCAATTGCAGGACAGAAGCCTGGAACGTCTGGTCTGAGAAAGAAGGTCACAGAGTTCAAGACTGGTTATTATCTTCATAACTTTGTACAGAGCATATTCAATGTGCTCCCACCAAATGAGGTGGCTGGCGCTACCCTGGTTGTCGGAGGTGATGGTCGTTACTTCAACAAGGAGGCCATCCAGATCATCTTTGCAATCGCTGCTGCCAACGGTATCGGTCGTGTACTGGTCGGTCAGAACGGTTTGCTGTCAACTCCCGCCATCTCTGCAGTGGTACGTGCTCGCAAGGCACTTGGTGCCATCATCCTGACAGCAAGCCACAACCCAGGTGGCCCACACGGTGACTTTGGCATCAAGTACAACATTGCCAACGGTGGACCTGCCCCAGAGGCCATCACCAACGCCATCTTTGCTCAGACTGGCAAGATCACATCGATCAACATCGCGGAGAACGTGCATGCCGATCTCACAAAGCTCGGCGTTACCGAGTGGAAGGGCTTCAAGGTGGAGGTGATCGACTCGGTAACTGAGTACGCCAGCCTCTTGCAAACAATCTTTGACTTTGAAGCTATAAAGAAGTTGGTAGCCCGTCCTGACTTTGTCTTCAACTTTGACGCCATGTCTGGTGTGACTGGTGTGTACGCCACACGCATCTTCACCGAGATGTTGGGCGTCAACACGAGCAACTTGATCAACTGTGTGCCATCAGAGGACTTTAACGGTGGTCATCCCGATCCCAACCTCACCTACGCCCCAGAGCTCGTCAGCAAGATGGAGAAGGGACTGTTCGACATGGGCTGCGCTTCCGATGGTGATGGAGACAGGAATATGGTGCTCGGCAAGCGATTCTTTGTCAACCCATCCGATTCAGTGGCAGTCATTGCCAGCAACTTCGCAGCCATCCCCTACTTCAAGGCCGGTCTGAAGGGCCTGGCTAGAAGTATGCCTACCAGTGCCGCTTTGGATCTCGTCGCCAAGAATCTCAAGATCCCATTCTTTGAGGTGCCCACCGGATGGAAGTTCTTTGGCAACCTCATGGACGCCAACACATTGTCAATCTGTGGTGAGGAGAGCTTTGGCACGGGCTCCGATCACATTAGAGAGAAGGATGGTATCTGGGCAGTGATCGCCTGGTTGCAAATCCTCTCACATCACAACACCGATGCCACTAAGCAGTTCGTGTCGCTTGAGAACATCGTGCACCAGCACTGGAAGAAGTATGGAAGGAACTATTACAGCAGATACGACTATGAAGAGGTGGACACCAAGCTCGGCGACGATGTGATGCGCCAGATCTCAGAGGGCATCGCTACACAGAAGCTCGTCGGACAGAAGTTCACCGGCGTCTCTGATGGACAGTCATACGAGATTGCCGCCGTCGACGACTTTGAGTACAAGGACCCCATCGACCTCTCTGTGTCATCTCGTCAAGGTCTTCGTATTCGTTTCACCGATGGATCCAGGATCATCTACAGACTCAGTGGTACCGGCTCAACTGGTGCCACCATCCGTGTCTACTTTGACAAGTACGAGAGCACCAGTGGCAACCTCTTCTCCGAGACTCAAACACATCTCAAGTCTCTCATCCACATTGGCCTCGAACTCTCCAGTCTTCAAAAGATCACTGGAAGAAAGGAGCCAAACGTCATCACATAGATTGACTCGATTGATTGATTGAGTGATGGTCCACTTGCATGTCATGGCAGCCCAACTAAACATAAGCAATTAAACAATGACTACCTTTGTTATAAGTTTAGTTTATTTAAATAAGTATGTATATGAATGATTGTAAGGTAGGATTACTTGGGTATTAGTTGTACATAGTTGGATGGGAAGCGACCAGACACGCCTCGCTCACTCGTTCCAAAGAACCATCCCTCGTCCTCGTACTGGATGGTCAGCTGCTCGCCCTCAAAGATGTCGATCTCGCCCTCGCCATCCGGATGGTATGTATACAAGACCTTGCACTTACTGCCGGCCACGTCCACCTTGCTCTGCGTGGCGGTCTGCTCGATAAAGTTGGACGGGAACATGCCGACCTTGCCATCACCGCCCACCACCGTGCCTTGGTACCACCCGCTCTCATCGCGCTGCAACACCTTGATAAAGTTGTTCGCCTTAAACGAGATCTCATTGTCCTCGCTGGCAGTGTAGTCGTAGAGTGCTCGCACCGTCTCCTCCTGCTGTGATCCATTGCTTGCGGTGGATGATGATGAGCCAGAGGGTGGTGGTGGGTAGGGGACGACCGATGGGGGGCCGCATACGGCCGCTGGAGCCGTTGCCATCACTGGCGCACTGTATGGTTGTTGCAGAGGTTGTTTGGGTAGAGAGTGATCATTGACACCACCAACATGATTGTTGTTGCTGGTGAGGACTGGTGCGCTCCTTGGCTGCGCAGAGGTGTCCAGGGTAGGTTGAGTGGGTGATCCATTGGGACTGCCCATCGCGAATGTAAGGTTGCCATTGGAGCCCTGGTAGGGCTCGTACTGTGTCTCGGATGGCTTATGTGCGCCAGACATCTTCTCCATGATGAACGATTGTATGTCCCTGTCGCGGTCGATGCTCTCGAAGCTTCGTCTGATGTTCTCGTTGGCCGCCATGACCTTGGGCGGCATCTGCTCGGATCCCACGACGACGTCCATCAGCCAGTCCTTTGAGCGATCAATGCGATCCACCTCGAAGCGCTGCAGGTCGTCCAGGATCCTGGGCATCTCATCATGATAGAACTTTTGTTGTTGTTGTTGCAATTGCTTCACGCTGTCCTTATATTCCATGTCGGCCTTGTCTGCTGACTTGGTTGCCGTCTCCAAATTCTTCCTTGCCTTCTGCTCCTTTGCGCCAGGTGGTTGTTTAGCCAACTCCTCATTCGCTTCCTCCTGTTTCTTCTTCAACTTCTCATAGTTCACTTTTGCCTTTGACTCGTTAGACTCTGATGTCTTCAAGTCCTTGCTTAACTTCTCTCCTGCCAATATTAACTGTTTGATCGATCATTCATTCATTCATTCGTTAGTTATGTTGGTCTAAAGATGTTGTGCACATGATAGATAATGATGATGATCGACAAACATACAGCCTTCCTTTGTTTCTTTGACTCTGTTAGATATGCATTGATACTGTTATTGATTAGAGTCTCTATTCTCTGTGAGAACTCTTCATGTTGATTTGCTGCAATCTCCAACTGATCTCTATACACTTGCCATGCATCTCTTAGACTCCTATATTGTATTTTATCGCGCGAGTAAGTTAGTATGTATGAATGAATGAGTGAGTGCACTCTAAAGACATACCCAATCTCCATGTCTGGTGCGTATGTCTTGTCTTTGCATAGTTTGACCATGCTCTTTGCATAGACTGATTCAATCTGTTGCTGCTTGGCCAAGAACTTGCTGACTACATTTGTGAATGCCTTGCCATTGTCCACCTTCTTTACAACACCATCAAACTTGTCCCATAGATCCTCTGAGAATCCCCTTGTCTTTGGTGGTGCACCACCTCCCATTGATGCATTTGGAGAAGTTGTTGAAGTAGTAGATGTTGACATCTTTTGATAATGTCTGTACTACTTATATATATCTGTATCTGTATCTGTATCTCTCTCAAGATTAATGAACAAAAAGGTGGTCAAACATCAAAAAACCATCACCACATCCCCATTATCACAATTATTTGAACACACCTTGTTGGCTCGGAATTGATGACCTTGTGTTTGATTGGGTGTGTTTGATTGAGGGTGTGATCATAACCATAATGTCGTTTGGAAATAATTATTAAGGTGTTGGGACCACAGATCACTAAAATACCTTTTATTTATTGACCATCTTCCTCCAACTCAAAGGTCAAAGAGTGGAAACGTATCTCATTCGGATTAGACCTGGCCAGACATATTGCATGTCTATCATCAATCTGTCGACAACGTATTTGATTAATGATTTTTGGATTTTTGGTTGAATACTGGACAACCTTATCATCTGTGACATCAATTTCATATGTGATGACATTTGGTATTGATGCGACAACAGACTCGACAAACACAGCCAGACGATTGGGTATCTTTCTTGGGTTTGACTTGGGCACAAACACCTTCAATGACAATGTATCAATCTTGGACTTTGATGATGGTACGTTGAAATTGGCACTGGTTGGGTCCATTATCAATACATGTCCAACTGTTTCCGGGATAAACTGAATCTGATTGAGAGTCCAGATGGTAAATTGAGTGAGTCCATTTGGAATGAAGGTCTTGGCGGCTTTGTGTTTGTAGTTTCGAGGCATTTTCAATCTTTTGAGAGAGTTGGGGAGCAATCCAGGTGTCAGAGGTGTGAGGAGGGTATCTTCGAATGTCAAATCGGTGACTAATTGTGGTCGCATCGACTCTGGTTGGAGTTTGAGCCCAGGGTAGCGGGATCGAAGTATGAGTTTTGGAATGATATCAAGTGGATATTCCTTGAAGTAATCCATCAAATATATTGATATCGACTTTAGAGTTGGTTCAATCCAGAACTGTTTACCTCTAAATCTATAACCAAATGATAGTGATTGTAGTTGAAATGGAAGGATTCCATACATGCCAAGTGGTTGGTTGAACTCATATCCAAAGGTCAACGAGGTGATCGAGCTGGGAAGGTAGCCCACGGGGATGGGGTGGTAGAAATTGGTCCCGAATTCCAAATGAGTTAGCGATTCTGGAAGTGAGGGAGTAAATGATTGATGTTTGGACCCAAAAGTCAAGGACTTTAGAGAGTGAGGGAGGACTCCATCTTCCAAATCTTGTTTAACAATAGAACCAAAAACCAATGTTTCCAGTGATTCGGGAAATGTTCCTGGTACTAATGGTTGGTCGAACCAATCGGGAAGATGGAGTGATTGGAGGGACTCAGGAAGTGATCCGAAGGCCAAAAAGTCATTTGGAATGATATCTGGTTGACAGGGAATACGATTTTCTTTCAAGGTGAATGATAGTTTGGTAAGTGATTCAGGGAGGAATCGTTGTTTGATTGGACGATTGATCAAGTGTGGTAATGTCAATGTACGGAGTAAGGGTGGGAGTGCTCCAGGTTGGATGTCAATTGTACACCTCACGCCAAAGTGCAGTTCAGTGATTGATTGGGGTAGTGGACCAATCGTCCGATCAAACGTTTCAATCATCCACTTCTACCTGGACATATCCCCCCTGGAGTGATATCTATTCAATTATACGAGTTCAATAGTCCCCTTCAGGCTGGTCATCTCCCTCTTGAAATCAAAACTCTCTCTTTTTTATCATATAATCAATTACTTGATTATGGACACTTGCCATATTCTTTAACAGCTCTATCTTTGGGATACCATTTCAATCAGTCACTTCTGCTTGGACACTTTCCTCCTGCGATTAGAACTCTAAGCTTTAGCAATAGGCTTAATCAACAGCTTCTTCCTGGACACCTTCCTCACTCTCTTGTGGCTCTCACCTTTGGAAGTGATTTCAAACAACCTCTCCAAGTTGGAGTTGTTCCGGATTCAGTAATGTCTCTTTCTTTTCCTGACAACTACTGTCACTCAATACTTCCATTACCTCCTCGTTTGAGCCTTCTTACACTGAGCATCAGTTCACTTGGACACCTCTCCCAACTCTTTTCTTCAAAATCGCCCCGAATCAGGCAGGCCTTTCATTGGTATTATCATCAATGCAGTGCGCATCGCAAATTGCACTCATCTACAATTCGTGCTTTGGAGGAGATTATAATTGCAACAAAAGCAGCAAAAGAGTAACCTGTAGGCTCATATCAAGCGAACACTTTCTTAAATATTTGGCAACAAACAAACAATGATAAGTTATTTGCTATTCTTCGAACACGTCAACTACCAAAAAGCGAATGGAGTAACGAGGAGAATTAATAGGTCCACTATCCTCTCCAAGAACAATAACAACATCCGCTGCATCCCATCCCCGCCCGTACACAATAATAAACATCCAATCCATCCATATATGCAGTGGTTAAGTTTGTTATTATCATTGTTTGTGTTTGCTGTTGGATCTGTCTGGTAGTACTCACTGGAATGTCCAAAATGATACCTACCACACCATTCCCTTACCCTACCCTTACCCTACCAATGCCACTTTGTCCTCAATTAGCCTCACATCATAATCCAAGGGAGCAACACAAACATTGTAAGATGTTTAATATCTATATGTTCTATCTGTGAGTCGTTTCAGGAAAATAATCTTTACTTGTTGATGGAGATGGATTGGTTGCATTCAGTTATTTTATTTTAATAATATTTTTTTTGGCGGGAATGAAAGACAGACAAGACAATTAATAAGTATGAAAGCTCCACTTTTATTGAGTAATCTATCTATCCAACAATGGCAGCATAGCCATCGAATGCCTTGGAGCTCCAGCACTCCAATGTGCCATTCGCATCACCAACGACCAGTTGGGTATGATCTCTGCTCATGGTCAGTGCTGTCACTGGTGCCTTGGTCTTGTAGGTCTTGACCTTCTTGAGGTCGTAAGCATCCCAGAGTATGATCTTGCCCGACTCCATGCCAGTGATGATGAGATTGGTGACCACTCCCTCGGGTCCAGTCGTGAAGAGCATGCATGTGATGCGATCGTTGATCACCTCTTGTTTGGCAAGGAGGGCACCCTTGGGCGACCAGAGACGAAGAGCAACGACGTCGCCCGTGATCGAGGTCTCGACCGTGGCCATGCAATTGGTCGTTGGAGAGACCTGCACGCATGTCACTGGGTTATCATGGGGAAGGTTCATGATATAGGACAGACGATTGAGATCCCAAACGATGCAGCTGTGATCCTTGGAGCCAGAGATGATCGTGCTGAACTCCTGGCTGACCGTCACACAGAGGATTGAGTTAGTGTGGCCATAGAGCTGGGACCAGAGCGAGAGATTCTCGCCACGCTCCTTTCTCGTCATCAGTGCACCGTCGTTGGTGCATCGCTTCCAGACCTTGACCGTGCCAGATGTGCCACCAGTGACAAACAATCGTCCATTCTTTGAGATGTCGCAACATATAATATCATCGTTGATCACCTCCACCAGCGAGATCACTCTGCCATTGTCAATCGAACATATCCTGAGGTTCTGATCCCAGTGTCCCCATGAGACGTACCTGTTCGTGTCTGGGTAGAAGAGTATCTGGTTTGATTGATTGAGTGATGTTAGTGAATGGGATGGCTCCAGGGAGAGATGATTGAGTTATAACGTACCTTTTGTTGTGAGAGAGGGATGGGAGTGTCGCCAGAGAGTCCAATGAATCCGACGGGATTCCTGATGGTCCACATTGGGAATGGAGATAGCTTGTGTGGGTTGGTGTAGATGGCGTCTTGGAGCACGCGAGTGGCCTTCTTCCAAGTCTTCTTTGGATGTGGCTTGGTGAACAGTTGTTTGGGTGTCTGACCGTAGCTGTGTATCTGAGCGATAGTGGCATCACGTGTGAGCTGATCCTCAATCGTGTCAATGTCCACGGCGCCTTCATAGGTCAGCGGGTAGAACATGTTGTAGGCCTTGACGGCGGCCTCTCCCTGCTGCTTGTAGCCAAACATCAGGTCGATCCAGTGACTGAGATTCTCCGAAACGAACTTGGACTCGAGCGCCTCGCGATGCTTCTTGATAAAGAGGCGCGGGTTGCCTTTGGCCCACGGGGGCAGGACGACGTCGTCCACGCGGATGCCATCCTGCTTGATGCCCATGTTGAACTGGTTGGCGTTGTACAGGAACTCGGAGAGGTAGAAGAACTCGGGGATGAGCTCCTTTACATCACTGCTCGAAATGGACGAGGACAGACGCCATGACTGCAGGATCGAGTGGAAGGCACGGTCTGGCACGTCGAAGCGGCCGCCCTGGAACTCGATGAAGAACGAAGAGAAGGGCTGAAGGCGCACCAGGAAGTGCAGCACCGATCCAATGTTGGAGTAATGCGAGCCGTAGTGATAGGGCGTCTCGTTGGTCTCGCGCAGGTATTCAAACTTCTCGACAAACTTCTTGAGGCGCTGGGGGTCTTGCGCGCCCATTGGTCGGGTGAGGTCGCGGAACGCCTCAGGGTTGTCCAAGTCGAGCTCCTCCGACTCGTAGTCCTTGAGGATGAAGGGGAAGATGGGGTACTGGGTCAGGTCGTTGAATGTGCGACCGGCCAGCGTGTTCAAATGCATTAAGTATTCAAAGTTGGTGATGAGGCCATGCTGCCACTTCTTGGTGATCGACATCTTGAGTATGTTGCCCTGTACTTCTGCCGCGTAGTCGATCCTGTTGGGAAGTGGCTTGGTGAGGATCTGATCGTAGACGGCATCGCGCTCCGTCTGATTGTTGAAGGCGAACAAGTAGGCCTTGTGTGGCACGCCGCTTCCCAAGAATATCTCTATCGCGCTGTTCTTTAGGACATGACGACGCTTATGTATCTCGATAATGTCCTCGTAGGACATTGTAATGTGCTTGCACTTGGACGCTGCCTTCTTTGACTTGTTGCTGTTGCTGGTGCTAGTGATGCCGTTGCTGTGGCCGTGGCTATTGGTGCCGTTGCCGCTGCCAGACTTGGCCATCAACTGCTCGTCCTTGAAGTATATGTTCAGCTCGCCAATGAGTAGCTCGCCATCTCGTTGCGTCGAGGGTGATATGCAAGAGCATGGGAAGCATATGTTGAGCTTCTCGCCAGACTTGAGGTTGTCGAAAGAGTATGACTCGACTGAACTGTGCGAGTTGCTCATTGACCATGGTATCTCGTGACCCGACTCATCATACTTGGTTCGCGTTGTGGTCGTCGTTGTCGTCGTTGATGCTGTCGTTGTCGTGGTGGGAGTCGATGTGATGATAGGCGATGTCAACTCTGAGGGGATTGCGAGATGGGTCTTCTCGGACCTGGGTGTGATACGCTTCATTCTGACTCGAATGCGGTTCACGCCCTCGGTTGGGTCAAGTCGCCATTTGTTCGAGGGCGATACACCCCAGATGGCCATCTCGTGCGTGACCTTCTTGATCAACTCCTTCCACTGTGTGTGGAAGAATTGCTTGGACTCCTTGTTGCGACTCTGGTACTGTAGCGCAGACATCTCAAAGTGTGACTTGAGCTGGACGAGCGCCTCGGTCAATCGCTTGGTGGCTCGCGTGATGTCCTGGTTCTTGGCGATGGTCGACTGCTTGTTCTTCTGTGTCTCCAAGTACTGGAGCATCCACTCCTTCTTCTGTTGATTGTTGCGCTCCTCCCACTTGCGGAACTCGGCCTCGGCGTAGTTGGTCTGGAAGCGGCCGTATATCTCGCGAGGGTCCGTCGTCGCCCAGTTCTGGCAATCAAACACACGCTTCTGTACCTCTGGGCTGGAGCCCTGGTACACCATGCTCCACAACTTGAGTGTGGCCTTGAACAGCGGCGAGTCCTCGCGTCCAGAGTTCAAGAACTTCTGTGTGAGGTGTAGCAGCGAGGGCACAAAGTCGTCGTCCTCGGACAACAGCTTGCTGATGGGTGGGGGCAGCTGCGTGGACTGGCCTCCAGAGTTGCTCTCTACGCCAATCAGAACAGAGACTGTGATGAAGTGGCAGTCGGCAAACTGTGGCGACGTGAGCAGGGTGTACAACAGCTTGCCTAGCATGGTGCGGGCAGAGTATTGATAGTAGAACATGCGGTAGTATTGATAGTACTGAGGTATCTTGTTGGTGGACAGCACTCTGATCAGTGTGCTGATGAATGACTCGTTGCTAAACAAGTTGCCCTCCTGTATCCACTCGGGGATGTATGATTTGGCTACTGCATTCGCACTCTTGGCCTCATTATTGTCAGACTCCTCTGAAGCTTCGTCGTTGGACGATGAGTGGCCCACGGTGGTGTCGCTGTTGGGCTCAGGTGAGTTTGGCGGCTCTACGTCGCTGGTGCTCAGTTTAAGTTGGCCGTGTGATGACGACGACTGCGTGGGTGAGGTGGGCGCCGGGGCGGCGGAGGGGTCAGGCGGGGGGAACTTGTAGACGCCCTTCTTTGTCGAGATGATGTTCTTGTCTTGATAGCAGAGCGTGTTGATGGCCAGCACGCACACCTTCTCGAACGAGGACACGAGGGTCTCGATCGAGTTGAAGTTGTTGTCATTGAAGAATGCCATCACGTCCTGGATGACCTTGCGCTGTAGACAACAAATGTAGTCAAAGTCCATTCGCGTATTGAGGTGTAGCACCACGAGTATATCGCGCAGAGTCGTTTGGCCATCGAGTGAGTTGACTCCATACAACGCGATCTCTTTGAGCAGGGACAGTATCGACTCCTCAGCCTGCCAGTACTCCTCTTTGGTGGTGTCGGGTGTGGATGCTGCTGGCTGCTGCGCCTGCTGCTGGAATCGCGAGAACTGATCTGTCCTCGATGATTGATTGCGTCGCACATAGTTGCTCGACATGATGTCCACGAGACGTTGGATGAGCTCCTGGTCCAGCATGACTTGCTTGATCAGATCGTTTTGAAGGAAGATATTGTGCAGCATCTTGATGACCATGTGCTGTGTGGCTGGCACACTGTTTGTGAGCAGGGTGAGGATGGTCACGACGATGCCCGGGAACACCAGTCGCTCGCCACTTATCTGCGACAAAAAGTACATCTGCATCGATTTGGATCCACTGCTGTGTGACGACTCGATGTTGCTGTTGTTGTTGTAGTGTTTGCCAAACATCACGCCAAACAGCACGCCAAAGATCTCGGGTGTGGGCGGGTAGGTCAGCAGCTGGTGGCCCAGCAGATGGAAGCCCTTCATGCGCTGGAACAGCGCCGAGATTGATGGCACGTGCAAGAAGATTCCAATGATCTTGAGGAAGAGCAGGCGGATGGCCACCGACTCGTTGACCAGCAAGCCAAACGTCGACTCGAGGTTGCATATCGCGTGGAACTCCTCAATCACGGTCACATCCGTCGATTCGTTCAATGTGTTGAACAGCAGAGTCAAGATCGACTCTCTGATCGTGTCAGAGTGCGTGTGAGCGTGAGTTGGCATGGCTGGTACGTGCGAGTGGGTGTGTGTCACGGTCGCCGGGTCGGGAAGTGAATGAGTGATGCTGTTGTTGTTTGATCGCTTCCTGCGTGGATGTTGCTGGTTGGATGATGACTGCTTGACCTTGCTCGTCTCGAGGAGGTAACATATAAGGAGGTGGAGGTCCTCTTTGATCTTGGGCTGCTTGTGAATGATTGAGCGGAGGATCGACATGAGCGTGGGGATGAGCTCAAGTGGCACGTCATCCTCGCGACATATGTTGAGGATCTTCTCAAAGGCGCCGGCCTGGCGGAACTTGAGTATGTTGAAGTTGTGATTGAGGTGCAGGCCTGCCACAAGCTTGTCGAGCGACTCGAACAGCTTCTTCTGGTCGGCCATCGAGCCGCGTCGCCAGATATCCCACTCGAGCAGGAAGTGCTTGAGCGCCAACTCGTTCTGCACGACGCCCTCGATGAAGTGGCTGGAGGTACGGGCGGGCTGCACGCCCACAAATGAGAACATAATGGCCAGCAGCGACTCGTCGAGCACCCACTTCTTCTTGCGAATGAGGTGGCTCACCAGCTTGTAGCCCTGGATCTCGATCATGTCCAGGCTGTTGTGGTGATGGTGTGCGATCACTGATTGAAGCAGCTTGAGACTGGCGCGCTGATACTCCTTCTCGTTGGAGATGGCCATCAGGTAGATGATGACGCTTACTCCTCCAACATCCGCCACCAGGTCCTTTACGCCGCGTTGGCATATCACGCCAAAGGGCAACGGTGTGGGCAGGCCGGTCTGAAGCAGCGACAGGTAGTTGGCTGACAACTGATGGAGATTGTTGGCCTTGACAGGGGGCAGTGCGCCGCCCGTGTAGGCATTGGCGATCGATGACATTACCGAGGCCTGGGTGGTGGCGATCGGTTCGCTGAATGTTGAACCGCGAGTTTGTTGTTGGACGATTGAGTCACGTCTCATGCTGGTGGTTGATGTCATGCCGTTAGACGACATGCTGCTACCCAATCCACTTGTGCTGCTACCGACACTGCCCATGCTGCTGTTGATTGATGAGGTCATTGATCGGGATGGTCCACCATCAGAGTATGTGCCCAAGCCAGTGATACTACTGAAGCTCCTTGACTCGCTACGCTTCAATAACACAGAGTTGTCACCAGACTGTACCAACTGCGCCGATGAATGAGTGATGGCCTCTGATTTGTTCATTATCCTGTGCGACTTTGTGACATAGAGACACTTGGCCGTGAAGATTGAGAAGATCTTCTCGTGTAGACTGAGCAGTGGCGCTGTGGTCGGGTTCTGGAGATGATCGATGAGAAGTGGATGTAGCTTGTTGCTCTTGTCCATATAGGGCTTGACATTCTCCACGGTGTTGAGGTCCACTTTGAGACCGCGAAAGTGATCCGGACCAAGAAGATAGAGATAGAAGATTTCCTTGTCCAGTGGGAGGTCCTCAAAGAAATAGGCGTTGCCAAGGTGCCAGTTGGAGTTGGTGGTGTAGTCGCTGAATGGCTGTGCGGCATTGCTGCCACCAAAGCGCATGTAGAGGCTGACGAGGTTGGAGCGCGGATATGTGATTCCAAACTCACTGCGAAGACAGCCGTTCACATACAGCTTGACTGGCGACTTGTCCATGCGCTGGTTGCCCGTGTGCGTCAAACACACGTGATAGAAGCACTCGGGTTCAAACATGATCTCGGAGAACGTGTGCTGCTCGATCAGGTTGGCGCCGCCCACCACGATGCGGTATGACAGCACGCCTCGATGCAGTACAACCTGCATCTCCATTGTCTTTTGAGGATAGCCAATCAACACGCTCTCGATGCTCAGCAGGTAGATCGGGTCCCTGTTGATCTTGACCACGGGCGACTTGTAGCGGAACCAGAAAGACATGCCAAAGCCCTTGTAGGGTGGCCACAACTTCTCACCCCAAGATGGGAAGTCGATGCATTTGAGCGAGCTCTCTGACAGCTCCGCGTAGTATATCGGTATTATGTCCTTGCCAGTGACCTTTACCAACAAGTTGAGCAAGTCAATAGGGTAGTCCTTGACTCGCAGCAGTTCAAAGTACTTCCTGAATGCCGCCAAGTTGACGCTGTGTCCTGCAGTAGTCTGTATCAAATCGAGTATCAAAGGTCTGTGGGATGGATGTATGAGTGAGTGAGTGAGGGTCCAAGGACAGGCGCGAGAGAGATAGAGAGAGGGATACATACTTGAGTGACTCCTTCTTCTTGATTGATGCGGATAGGGTTTGACTCTTGGTGGAGAGCAGGGGCTTGAAGCTCTCGATAACATCGACTGTTAGAGTGTTGAGTTGCTTCATGTTGGTGAGTGAACACTCGATGAGGAAGATGATCTCCTTGAGGATGTAGCACGATGACTTGGTCTCCATCTTCTCGATGTGCTCTTCGCTGCCACCCATGAGCAAGATGATCAGTTTGATGATCTCGGGATTCTCAATGGTGAGAGAATCGCGACATTGTTGGCAGCATCCATAGCGCTCCTTGGCCAGTGCCAGCGAGCTCTTCTCGGGCAGTTTGGAAGGCAGCTGCTGCTGCGTGCCTAAGCGCACCTCAGTCGCCAGGTCGAGAGAGTTGAACGACGGCTGTGACTGAAGCGCTGGGATCGGGGGACTCTGGCTGCGGTCAAAGTCGTTGGTGTACGAACGGCCACGTCGCGTTGGCGTCAATGAATGCTCAATGCTGCCGCTGTTGTTGGCCATGTGAGATGTCGATGTGAGGCCACTGCTTGTACTGGCGCTGCTGTTTACAGAGAGCAGAGGCGGTGATGATGTAAGGTCGGACGCGGACGAGAAGGCTGGTGATTGCTCGCCACTCGACAGCGGTACTGGTGGTGCTGCCGTAGCAGTTGGGGATGACTTGTCGAAGCTATATACATTGAATGCAGTGGGCGACAGAACACTCTCTGTTGAGAAGAACGATGAGAGTGGCGCGTACACCGAGAGGATGGATCCCTCCTCCAGCGGGTGTTGCTCGCACGATGGCGGCCAGCTGCCCGACACGGCCATGTTGAGCAGACTGTCGCACAGAGATGATGAATACACGCCCTCCATGTAGCCGCAGCCACTGAGCGTGTTGGACAATGTTGAGAACTGGATGTCCTCACGGAAGTACTTCTGGTTGTTGGCGTTGCTCTTCATCACAGCTGACAATGTGTCGATCAGCACCTTGAGGAAGAAGAACACCTCGTTGTTGGTGGACTTGTACTTGAGCAGGTTGTTGCTGCTGTTGTTCTTGCTCTGCACACATCGACTGATGCCATCCAATATCGACACACACCAAGAGAATCCACCGGCTGCAATAAACGAGTTCTTGGCCTCATAGTTGTTGTGGAATATGTAGCACATAGCTGATAATATATCTGTTTGATTGGATTGGATTGAGTGAGTGAGTGAGTGATTGATTGATAGAGCGAGTGATCGATTGATTGAATGGATACTAACTCTTGCGCATTGTTAAGACTCTGGACTCAAGGGTGGTCGATCCACCATTGCTCTGGAGTACTTCTATGAGGTCGCCAATGATCTTGTTCTCTACCCGTAGCACACCAATGGCGATGGTTGAGATGGTTTGGAGAGCGGGTTGGATAAGGTACTCATCGGTGAGCAGACGGTACAATAGCTTGAGTCCTCCAGCCTCGACAAACTGACTCTGTATATCATTGGACGTTGAGAATAGTTGGAGCAACAGTTGTAGTATCGACGACTCGATGCGATACAGGACAAACAACTTGTTGGCGTGTGAGTGGAAGTGACGACCGGGTATCAATTGCAGACAGTATGCCAACTCATCGATGTTCTCGTCAAAGGCGGCGTGGAAGGCAAGTGACTGCGGGTTGTCGACAATGTAGTGCATCAACACGTCGAGGATGCCCGACTCTTGCAGGGTGTCCACGCTGATCTTGGACTTGGCCAGCTGCTGCGTCATGTGCTGGCACACGAGCAGCACGGTGGTGGGCAGGCGACTCTTGAGCAGCTGCACGTACGGCTTGAACTCAGAGTGCTTGATGTGGTTCTTCATGAGCAGCTCGTCCATCATCTCGAGGATCAGTCGTCGGTTGGAGATGTTGAGCATGTCGAACTGAGAGAAGAAGATCTTGAATGGCTCGAGCTGGTGGATGAGGCCACTGCCGCGTCCGCCGCCACTGGCATCGTCGCCAGTCACGTCGAATATCGGCTGGTCCAGGAGGAACAAGAAGAAGATGCCCTTTATACACTTGAGCAACTCTGTCTTCATCTCCTCACTCTTTGTGATCGAGAACACATTGATGAACATGTTGAATACCTTGAGTCCTGTCCTAGATGATATGTTACCATGTTGCTGTTGTTGTTGTTGCTGTTGTTGTTGTTGTGGGGGTTGAACTCGATTGATGTGACTGTGTTGTTGACCATGTTGTCCATGTCCATGTTGTCCATGTCCATGTTGTCCATGTCCATGTCTTTGTTTGGTTGGTGTTATTATAACAGGTTCATCCTTCTTTAGGGAGATGAATAGTAGGTTACAGGCCACGTTGATAATGTCCAGTTTGTTCCTTAGTGTTCCATTGTCGGCAATGTGAATAAAGGCGTTGAGTAGTATCGAGTAGCCACTATTGTTGTCAAAGTCCTCGTGCAACAGAGGTGTCAGTCGCGAGGCACTCTTTATCGAACAAACAATCACCTGTGTAATCTCAATGATAGTCGACGATGATAACTTCCTCTCCTGTCTATCTTGATCGCTCAAAACTGTCAGCAAGCTCTCGATTACTCTCTGAAAGTGATTAGATTGATTGATAGAGTGAGTTAGTGAGCGAGTCGGATGATGATGAAGTTGCAAGTTCGAGAAGGATACTCACCTGACTTCGAAGAACTTTGATCTTATCCATTGATTGGCTGCAGATGGAGGTGATCTGAGCAAAGATACGGACGACCTCGCTGTGGATGATGGTCGCGTAGGACGCGTCGGGATTGAGTTGGTAAAAGATGTTAGTGAGCATGGTGATGTTCTCAGGCTGCTTGATGAACTCGTTGAGGATGGTACGATGCTTGAGAGCATTGCTTAGTATCTTGAGTAGTTGGTAGCACACGTGGACACAGGGTGACAGCTCTGTTGTCGACTTTACAGTCTGCAGATCGAGAATGGCCTGCTCGACAGAGTGGACGGTGTGCGATTGGGCCTGGCGCTGAAGATGCTCGGCCGAGATGTATTGAGAGAGTGATGAGCTGGACGAGTGTGAGGACATCGGACGAATGTCTTGCTCTTGATTGAGTGCGCTGCCGCCTGACACGCCGGCACCCGGTGTGGCGCCGCTGGCCGATGTCAAGTCGCCGACCGTGCCAAACGGCAACTGACTGGTATCCAATAGATTGAATGTTGGCGGCAGGAATGTTATCTGGTTCTTGAGTGGTGATGATGATGGTCGCGTCGACGCTGTCTGTGTTTGCTGCTGTGTGTTGTTGCCGCCATTGCCACCAACGGGCACGCCACTCATGCCAACACCGAGCATGTTTGAATATGGCAATGGCGAGAGATAGAAGTAGCTGTGTATACTGGCAAAGGGTGGAATGGATGTGTTGGCAATGTTGTGTAGATGTGTCTTTGTGGGCGGCATAGACTGTGTGTTGAGCGGTAGTGATAGCAGTCGCGAGAGTATGACCAACAACAGTCGAGTGAAGGTCGCTTGCATGCCATCGGCGGCATGACGCGTCAGTATGTCCAGCGCCTCCAACAAGAGTGGCGCCTCGCCAGCCACCGAGCCTCCACTCAAATAGTGTAACAACTCCAATCCTGGGCTATTTCTCGTTCGTTGTATGTTGTTGTTGTTATTGTTGTTCAGGCCTGTCATCATCATCGCGGACATTGTAGTAGTAGTCGTCGTCGTCGTAGTAGTCGTAGTGGTAGTCGTCAGTGCACTGTTTATCTCTTCGACCAACTGCTTGGTCAATGTTTGTACAATGTCGGTGAGTGAGCAGCCGACGTTGAGTGGTATGAGTTGCTTTGGCGTGTCATGATGTGTGGCAATGAACAACTTTAGAAAGTCAGCCAGTGCAAACAGGGCATCCTGATGTACAACAGTCTGTAAGTATGTATTCCAAAGCTTAGTCACCATAGCATGTTGTTGATATATTTGTTGCTGTTGATGTTGCTGTTGCTGTTGTTGTTGCTGTTGCTGTTGTTGTTGTTGTTGTTGTTGTTGTTGTTGTTGTTGCTGTAACATTTGATGTTGCAACAACTGTTGATGTATCAGTGGTTGTTGTTGCTGTTGCAGTTGCTTCGGATTACGAGGAGACAAAGACATTGTCTTGCTCAAGAAGTCAATGCGTAATATAATATATAAATATAATAGAATAAAAAATAGTATAGATAGATATAAGTTATAATATAATAGAAGAAAGTAAAGTGTTGTTGACAAGAAATGATTGGTTGATTGAATTGAGTGTGTATTAATGGTGTGTGATCAATAAAGTGATTGAAATATCTGCGTCGTTGCATGCGAATTAATTACATTCGGGAATTAACCCTTCCCAGAAGTTTTTTGTTGTCGACAAGACAACTTTTTTTTATTTTTGTAGAATCTTGGTTTGGAAGTATTATACTTCCAACATCAATATTAGATATTGACAAATAGATATCTATGGAGTCAGTCAATCAGATCTGATTCATGAATTGGAGGATAAACTATTATACCTTTCTTCGTAACTTGTCAAGCCATTATTCAGTATTTGAATAAGATTAATTCTTGAATTTGTATTTGTATAGAGTTTTTTTTTTATACAAACTCTAATAATTGGAATATGTATATATATATAATAAAATAATAATAATAAAATAATTTATTTCCACTTATGTTGTTTAGTACCTTGATTGATGGTACTATATATTATTATTATTATTAATTCAATTCAATTCAATTCAATTCATATTTATTATATTATATTGCCGTCATCACTAGTAAATACAGAGAACGTTGTAATTATTACAATCGGCATGTGGGTGATAAATATAAATGAAAGTAAGGATGAGTCAGTAAATATATGATCATAAGTCAGTGGGGATTGAGTAAGGGTGGAACTATCCCTCATACAATAGTCCTACATTCTTGATTTATTATTATTAATACTTTGAGGAAACAAATGAGTGATCAATTAAATTCAGAGGAACGCTCAATACCAGCAAAGATATTTGTAAGTTTTTGCAAATAAAGTAGACCCCAATTTGGGAAACAAGTGGTGATGTTTGTTGGGAGGGAGTTAATGTGTGTTTGCCTGAAGTATTGAATGTTTGATTGATGGGATGATCACTTGATCCCAATCCCGACTTAGATGGGAACCCAATGTTATCCATCAATTCATTCTATTATCCAATGCCACCTATGATCTCTGTAATTCATTTTATTTTTAAAGTGATACCTTTAACCATCCTTCTAAACATGTCTACTATCACATTAAATCAATCACATTAAATCAAATCAAATCAAATCAAATAATAATTATATTATAACAAATAATAATACATACCATATATATAATAATGGATACAACTACAATTGAACTACAACAATCACCAATCAATCAATGGAAGGATTTGACATCAGGTGGTGGTGGATGTACACACGAGAGTTACTTGGCAGAGAGTGGCGACAAAGTTGAGTCGTGGCAAGAGGTCGCAGCCAAGTCTTCAATATTTTTCGCACAGGTTAGGGAGGACCCATTGTTGGACCAAGAGGTCCTCGACCGCTACTTTAGCCAAGACGCCCAGATCAACATGGCCATGATATCCAGTGGCGGCGACACCGCAGCCTACATCCTCAAGGACGCCAGACTGAAGAAGTTGGACCTGGTCGACATCTCGACGCCTCAGCTCTCGCTCACCCGCTTGAAGATCGAGCTGCTCAAGGAGACCACCCAGCGCCGCCTCGAGCTGCTGGGCCACGCCCCGCTGGACGCCGCTGAACGACGCCAAGCCGTGGAGCTGATCTTGTCCCGATTACCGGGGGTAACCATTTCTGACTTTGAAGGAAATGACCTCGGCGCCGGCATCGACCGGACGGGACGCTATGAACAGCTGTTCCACGCGCTAAAGGTTCGTTTGGCGGATGTCTCTGGCAAGGTGGAGGCCCTGTTTGCACTCACCTCGGTCGAGGAGCAGGCCCGCTTCATCGCCCCCGACACCGAGTTTGGTCGCGAGCTCGACGCCGCGTTCGACGACATCCTTCACGTCGACAACTACTTCACGGTGTTTGGCGAGCGCGCCACATCCAACAAGGGTCGCGACTTTTCCAAGCGCTTCCTTCAGAAGTTGCGTAACTTCCTCGCTAATCACCTCGCCTCTAGCTCACCCTTCGTCTCGCAGATCCTCCGCGCAGACTTTTACCGTGGCCGCTACTACGACTGGTACCGCAACCCTCAGCTGGGAGCAGCTGGCCCCGCGGCCGAGCTCGCCTTCCACAAGCAGGGCATGGAGGAGTATTTGATCAATGCGCGCGGCCTTGACGTCGTGCATCTGTCCAACATCACCGATTGGTTCACGCCAGAGGAGTCGCTGAGGGTGCTCCGATTGGCGTACCAGGCGCTCCGGCCCAATGGCGTGGTGTTTGTCCGTCAGATCAACACTCACTTTGATCTAAACTCTGTGCACATTGGGTTTGTATGGGATCAATCCACCTCTGAGGAGTTGATCAGGAATGACAGGAGTTTCTTCTACAAGATAGCATTAGTTGGAAGGAAGGTAGTTGAACCCTCACCTTAACAATCCTCATCCTCCTACCTCGTCATCATCACCAAAGTAGATGTTATTATGAGTAAGTACTGTTTGATTGATTGAAGTGATTGAAGTGATTGGGGGGATTGGTCATTTAGTTGGATTGATTGGTTGGATTGATTGATTGAATGAATGAGTGACAACTCGAACTCATACTTACACTAGCTCCTCTACCCTCTCCCATCCACCTCCACCCCCATGGGACTATCCCTGACCCATACTCATTCCCACTTTAGCCAACTACTCTTCGACTTAATCATCCTCAACCAGTGACACTCTCCATCCCTCCAACAGTCTAGTCTCGACCAAATATATACACTTGCGGCGCCATCTACGGAGTCCAAGGAATGATCCCATTAATACTGTGTCTGTCCCGTTTGTTGTCTCCTTCATTCTTGCACTCTCATCTCTCCTACTCCGATGATCCGAACAATCAATATCTCTATTTGGTGTGCCGAACTTGTAAAGTGGAACAAGGTTTGATTGATTGATTAGTGCGATGTATCTTGATCGATCCAAGCCAATGAGTATGAGTCTGTCTGTCTGTCCGACTTCGGCATTTGGTATTTAAGATCATTGTTATAGTAAGCCCCGCAATGACATGTTTGCATGCCTTCATTGGGAGTGTTGATCACATGAATGACTTTCGGCATCCCAGTGTCGCACCCCACAAACTGAAGACGCTCACAATCAGAAAACAAATTGATGAGTTGCCCCATCCATCACCCTTCGTCCGAACAATGCTAATAGTAGCAAAGTTCGATGTATTTGTGTGTTTGTTAGTGTTCATTCATCATCATTAGTATTTATTTATTCATTCATACACATAATATATACACGTACACATCATAGTAGTGATACACAAAAAGAGAACAGGCAACAGCATTCATTCATTCACTCATTGATTCATTAGCAATCAAACAATCACAATCAATCAATCAATCAATCAATCATTGTAACATTATTTATTAAAGGAACGAACGATTGATTAATACACCGACTGATGCTTGTGCTGAGGCTTGCAACGTCGTAGACTTATATATACTCAGTACACATAACACATAACACAGGAGACAAACAATGTATTACGGTGTTGTTAATATATATAGGAGTAGTAGTAGTAGCATCAATAGTAGTAGTAATAGGATGTTCGACCCAACACCAACAGAATCACCAAGTCCAACACCTATACCAGTTACAGGTGGATTCCATTTTAGTTATATATTGGGTATGACTGATGGCATACTCTTCCTCTGGGCACTCTTTCAATTGATTAGAATATACATTTATCATCGCGAAGGTCACAAGAACCTCATGCCCAAGACAATCTTCCATGCGATCATTGCCCTTGCAATGTTAGGTATGATACAACAACAACAACAACAACAATGAATGAGTGAACGATTGTACTTACGCTAATCAATCAAACATATAGTTAGAAGTATATTCTTCTTTGTACAGCCATCAATACCGAATGACGCATTGATCGTTATAATATGGTATAATATATCAACGATATTGTTGTTCTTGGCATATGGATGTTTGTTGTTGTTCTGGATAGAACTGTACACGCGATTCTCAAAGCCATATATGACATCGAGAGACTTTTGGCGCAAGTGGATGCCCTTCATTGCTGGCTTCAACGCGCTGCTCGTCGCACTGACGGTCACGTGGATCTTGGTGCTGGCGCTGTGGGCCAAATCCAACAAGGACAGACTGAACATCACCGAGCAGATATCGGAAGGTTTTGTCAGCGCGCTGTTCCTGCTGGCCGGCCTCGGCTTCTTCATCTTTGGCTTCCTGCTGTTCTGGTCGTTCAAGCGATTGGGCACGTTTGCAGGCGACACGATGGGCCCCAAAACACCGATGCTGATGAGCCAGCAGTCGAGCGCGCCGCCCGAGGCCATACGCGCGGCTGTTGTCGGAACGGTGTGCACGATATGCTTCTGCATCCGCTCGTCGGTGATGATGTACTCGATCCGCGAGGCTGCCGTCGATCCGAGCGTTGCCACGACGGGCAACTTCCAGTTCACGTGGGGCTTCGAGCTGGTGTACTTCTTTGTCACGGAGATCCTGCCCACGATGATGATGCTCTTTAGAATGCGCAAGATGAAGCGTCGGAAGACCGTGGACATCAACCGCTTCCCGTCCAACCAGGCGGCCATCTTTGTACATAGTTCCAACAACTCGCAATCCTCCGAATCATCCAACCATGACGACTCCTCACACTCCTCGCACGACTCTGAATCACCTCTCGACCAGAGGGAACACTTCTCGACAAACTAACTAAGTTTAAGCTAGCTGATCAAACTACCTAATGTTGATGGATGGATGACTGGCGCGAAAGTCTAATAAACAGTTTGATCGATTGGATTCACATTCACATGGCACATTTATGATGTTGGTTGATTCTCTCCCACTTGATACTCTGAACTGCTCTGGTCAGTTGGGTATAATGTGCGATGTACACATCGACTCGATCGAGAAGTCTGTCGATTTGGTCGATGTTCCTTCTTTCAATCACACCATCCTCCTCGTCACTTTGATCGACCTCCTCGATTGGGATGGGCAGATCGACTTCGATCGAATCAATATAGCTCCTGTACAATTCAGGATTCTCTCGGAGACTGACCAGCTTCAGTACGCCAGTTTGGTGCAGCGATGGATAGAATTGATCGCTCTCAATGTGCTTGACCAGTTGTTTGCCGTGCTTGTCGTCGCCAGGCGCATAGACCAGGCCAACGCCATCGCGATCTAAGCATTCCAGTAGATGAAGATGATAGTAGTCCTCGCCACAGAGCACGTATGATTGTTTCGATGCAAAGTTGCAATGATGCTGTGCCGCCAGCATGCCGCGATGTGTAGTCCACACTCGCTGACCATCAAAGGCAAACTGCTCAATGTCCATATCATGGCGATCCAAGAACATATCATAAAGTGAATCATAGGATACGATGGAGAAGTTGATGTCCAGTTCGGGTCGGCCGTCGCTGCAGCGTGCACTCCGCAGACGAACAGATGTCTGTGTTGTGTTGATGGTCAGGCTACATGTTGAGCTTAGTCGATTGTAGAACTGTTTGATGCGTGACAAGATACCAGAAGAGTCCAATTGACAGAATGATATTGTGATGGGGATGACAGCAGGTGTCTTCCTGCCGTCCCCTTGCGCAGATAGTGCACGGAACACTGTAAAGCCAGATACAACGCAATGGTCCCATTCCAATGATCGTGCCACATCATCGCCCAACAGTTGATTGAACTCAAACATAAATGATGCTCTATCTTTGAATATGCTCGTCTTGACACTCTGAGTCTGTTGTTGACCAAGTCGATTGTTGAATAGTGTCATTAGATCTTGTGTTCCATCTCTTGGAATGTCAATGAGTATTGTCTTATCATGATTGTGTTGTGCATCATAGAGATCAAGAATTGGTTGTTCAAGTCCACGTTTGTTCTCAAGGTATAATGAATCATGATATAGCATTGATCTTATTAGCATTGCCAAAGATACTGTGCATGATGAAGTAGTTGTTGCTTCCACTGCCAATGTCTGTTCTTCTTGTTGTTGTTGTTGATGATGTTGATATAGTTCATATAATACCATGTAACCAAATGGTGTATGTACACATTGTTCTACAACTGATTGCTTCAAGTCATTTGGAAGACATTTGATCCTGTCTAATATCGTCTCTTGACTTTGTGGTTGTTGTTGTTGTTGTTCTCGCTCACATGTACTTCGACATGTATTTATAATTGATGTTATACATAATGATGTAAGTGCAGGTATGAGTTCAGTCATAAGTATCTCTATCTCTTTGATTCTATCTTCCAAGTTTGATGAACAATTAGTCAACAAAACAAGAAGTTTGAAGAATTGAGCTTAAGGATGTGAAACTCAACATTGTTCATTCATTTATCAAACAATCACTCATGGATAGAGATAAAGATAAAGATAGAGATACATTGTTATTCAAGTTGATATTGAATAATAGATGGTTGTCAAATAAGTTGTTTGAACAAGTATATTGGATACATAGATCATCACCATTGTTTAGGAATGGACAAAGAATTGGTTGGAAACAGTTGGTCAATAGTTGGTTGGCAGCAATATGTACTCACTTTCATAACGATATGATTATTAAATTCTTTGACAATGGTGTAGAGTTTGCCAACTATCAAGGTCATCTTAGGATAATACAATATATTCAATCAAACATGCCATTGATCTTTAAAACAATGCCTGCCATCGATGTGATGTCCACACTGGGTCGGCTTGACCTCGTTCTATACCTTCATAACAATGGGGCCATGGCCACCACCAATGCCATGGACTATGCCGGCTCTTTCGAGTTGATCCAATTCCTTCATCACAATCGTACTGAGGGCTGCACAAACAAGGCCATGGACTGGGCCGCCGAGCACAACATGTTGGAGTCAGTCAAGTTCTTACATTACAACAGGACGGAAGGGTGCACCCCTGATGCTATGGACGACGCCGCGCTCAATGGACACTTGGAGATCATCAAGTTCTTGCACGTTAACAGGACCGAGGGATGCACCGCCATTGCCATGAGCTTCGCGTCGCGTAAAGGACATCTTGACATCATAGAGTATCTACATCACAATCGAATAACAGTACAGTTTTATAGTGACACCATGAGTGTCGCAGCACAGATAGGACGTCTGGATATTGTCAAGTTCCTCCATTATAATCGCACTGAGGCCACAAGTGTGTGGTCCATGAACTTGGCTGCGGATAGAGGCCATCTCGACGTCGTGGAGTTCCTGCACACACACCGCAATGAGGGTTGCACGACCAATGCCATTGACGATGCTGCAGGCAATGGACATCTTCAGGTAGTGCGCTTCTTGAACGAGTCGCGCACAGAAGGCTGCACGATCAAGGCAATGAAAGAGGCAAGCCATAATGGACATCTGGATGTAGTACAGTATCTTCACGCGCTGGGCAAGCCGTGCACGAGCGAGGCAATGGACAAGGCTGCCGAGGAAGGACACTTGGAAGTTGTCAAGTTCTTGTCGATCAATCGGACTGAGGGCTGCACACACAAGGCCATAGACTGGGCCGCAAAGAATGGCCATCTCTCAGTTGTAGAGTACCTCCATCGACATCGAACAGAGGGGTTCACAGCAAATGCAATATTAACAGCTGCGGAACATGGACACATGGATGTGGTGCGCTATCTACACGAGCGATGTCAGCCAGTATTGAATGACAATCATTCACCAATGGATTGCGCCGCATATGGAGGACACCTAGCCGTGTTTGAATACCTTCAAGAGCATAAGATTGGAAGGTGCACTGAACAAGCGATGAACTTGGCCGCCCAAAAAGGACATCTAGACATGGTGAAGTACCTGCATCAACATCGCACCGAAGGATGTACCAAGTTGGCGATGGATGATGCGGCCAAGCGTGGCCACTTAGATATTGTGGAGTTCCTGCATAAAAATCGCACAGAGGGATGCACGCCAGAGGCGTTTGACTTTGCCGCCAGGCAAGGATACCTGGATGTTGTGAAAGTTCCTCCACTTCAATCGCACTGAAGGCTGCACTTACAGTGCGATGGACATGGCGGCAGGCATGGGTCAGATGGATATTGTGCAGTTCTTGCATGCCAATCGCACAGAGGGCTGCAGTGAGCGTGCTCTCATATTCGCGGCAGCATATGGACATATTGGCATCGTTCAATTCCTTCTACAAAATCGAACAGAAGGTGACATCAACCATGCATTGGAGTCGGCACAAGAAGAACACAAGGCCATCGTCAGATATCTTGAATCATTGGGGAAGCCAATTGATTGATTAATTGAATGAATGAATGAATGATTGATTGTATGACAATCACTACCAAATATGTACTGGACTCAGGATCTGAGAATCATTTCATAATTCTCAATATCAAAGTCTAATGTCCATGTCGAGATGACACTCCATTATCATCGCCCTTATTCATCTTTATCGATGAAGATAAGAATCATTACATTATTCTCAATCCATCTTATAAATCATACCAGCCACGCATGATCACTGTGAAATGGTGAGCAACTATGAATGCTAAGAATGGTGGTTGCTGTGGGAGTCCAAAGTGTTACGCTTGTTGACGCTCGCGAAACAACACGACCACATTTTATGCCACCAACGATTTTGAAGTTGAACTAATTTAGTACACATGTAGAGATACACATAGAGATAGAGATAGAGATAGAGATGACAGAATCATCACCAGATGGAAGAGGTCACCTACGGCAAATGGATGTGCCAATACCTTTTGAGAAGAAGAGCACTGATCATTGGTTCCGCCAACGTGTGGCCTACAGTGAGGAGGCGATCAATGAAGCTCAGAAAGAGGCTGGACTAGCTTCTAATATATTTAAGGACGTACGAGTCTACTTTGATGGCCACACCGATCAGATATCACTCATTCATTTGAAGAAGTTGGTGCTGAGCCATGGCGGCACGCACAGCCACTTCATCACATCGTCTTGCACGCATATTGTCGGGTCGGCAATGTCGCTGTCCAAGGTGGAGCAGATGGAGCGACGCAAACGATCAAAGAAGCGACTGTCCTTTCAACAAGGCAAGACTGTTGCCGTGCACTACATCCATCCCAACTGGATACTTGACTGTTGTCGGCAGATAAAACGTCTGAGTGAGGACAGCTACTCACTCTTCAAGACTACAACAATGAATGTAAGGCACATGTACATCCATTATGATTGATTGATTGGTTGGTTGGTTGATTGATGAACAACATTGATCGTTGTTGTTAAGATGGACACCTCACTCATTCATTCACTCAATCATTCATTACAGTCGAACGACATCAGGTCATACTTGGTGAGTGGAAGTGGAAATGGAGGTGTAGGCGATGGTGGCGCGAACAGCAAGGACAGCGCTCAACAAGAAAATAAGAATAAGAAGAAGAAGAGACCATTTGGACACGAGGACTACCTTTTAATGAATGAGATATCCGAGTATGACTTGGTATCACATCTTAAGAGGAAAAGAGTCTTTGGCGTCGATGATAATGATGATGATGATGATGATAATGTAAACGAAGATCATTATGATATTGGTGATGATGGACAAGGGCAACAACAACAAGATGACTTTGAGACTATATTCTATCAACCAAAGTACTCCTCTGTGGACTTTATGAAGAAGGAGTGGAGGACTAAAGACGCCGTGGAAGATGGCAACGCTCATGGTAATGATGATAACGACGAGGAACCAATCATGCCAGTGTTGACTCCATTACCAACTCAAGTGAAGAGGTTACCAAGAGGACAATCCAAAGGACTCTGATTGACAAACTTCAAACTTCAAAAAAGACGAATGTGATCATCACCCCCCACATTCTCACTTCACAATGATTCAGATGATCGTTCATTCTATCATTCATTCATCCATTCAATCAATCAATCACATAATTATTTACATATATATAATATATAAGATATGATGTCAATAAAGAATGTTGTTGTAGTCATGGCGACACTGATGTGTTGCTACTGCATCAGCATGATAGAGGCATCGAAACAGTTCGATGCATATAGGATGCTACAGTTTAACGGTGCAGCAAACTCTGCAATCGCTCGCTTCGGCCCACAGAGATCGACTCTGAACGCTCCATCAATAGGCTACCTCGCCTCACTACCACTCTCAGCCTACAGCCAGGCCACCGTGGTCATTGCCGACGCAGAGTTCACAATCGACACACTCAAGGCCTTGCTCGACGCCGATGTCTCTGGTGTCGTCGTACTACTCAGCAACAGCGCATCATCAAAGTCAGCATCATCATCATCACGATCGATTGGAGATATGGAGACTGTGGCTGCACTCGACATCAAGGTGCCCGTGTACTTTGTACGCAGCGAAGACTTTGACGCGAGCTACTTGGACGGCGACTACCGCCTCGTCGTGGCCGGACCCACACAGACTCCGATCACTCAGACAGCGGTGACCAACCTCGCTGGTATCGTCCGTGGTCAGGCCACCGAGCACAGCTTTGCCGTGCCCACCATCCTGGTCGTGGCTCACTACGACTCGTTTGGCGCGATCCCCGCACTGACCGGCACCTATGGCAACGAGGGCGCCAGCGGCGTCGTCGCCCTGCTCGAGCTTTCGCGCTTCTTCTCCAAGCTCTACGCCAACGCCAAGAACCAGGGCCACCATAACGTGCTCTTCCTGCTGGCCGGCGGCTCAGCCTCCAACTTTGAGGGCACTCAGCGCTGGCTCGAGCAACAGCCAGCCATCGTCACGGACGCCATCGAGTACGTCCTGTGTCTGGACTCGATCGGCCAAGCCGGCTCGGACCTGTTCCTGCACGTGTCGCGTCCTCCCAAGGACAACGCCACGCGCCAACTCTATGGCGAGTTCACTGCCGCCGCCACATCGTTTGGCGCTGAGCTCCACGTCGTCCAGAAGAAGATCAACATCTCCAACCCCTACGTCTACTGGGAGCACGAGGTGTTCTCGCGCAAGAAGATCTCTGCAGTCACCGTGTCGCAGCGTCCCACAGCCACACAGCAGCAGCAGCAGCCGGTCGTTGTCGCGGAGGCGCCCGTCGACATCGCCACACTCAAGAGAAACATCAAGATTGTCGCCAAGGCGTTGATCTCGCACATCTATCACAACGAGCGAATTAGCAGCGGCATCATGTCCGGTGTCTTTGACGTCAACGACAGTTTCCTGCAGTCCTGGATCGACTCGCTTCAGGCGACAACGCGCATGCATCCATTCTTTGATGCCTTAGTACCAACAAACAACAACGCTGGAGGCGAGATTGGATTGGTGCAAGGATTGGAGCGCGTCATGAAAAACTACTTGAGCGAGGTGACAAGAGACACTGTCAAGCTGGAAGCTGGCAACACCAACACGTACTATCAGCCTGCGCATGTTCAAATGTCATTCTTCCACGTCAAGCCATTCACTTTCGATCTGTTGGTGCTTGGCGCCACCGTCCTCTATCTCCTCGCCATCTACGTCGTCATCAGAGGTCCAAGTGAGGCCTTCAAAGAGGTGATGAGCTTTGTATCGCCACTGACCAAGTCCAAGTCGAAATAAACTATATCCGTCAATCAATCAATTCGATTTACAAGGCCATGGCCATGCCAGGCCATCAATATTATTAAAGTTGTTATTGTCATTTGATCGCTCGCTGATGCTGATGTTATGTAGTCTCATAAATCTTTCGCAGACTCTCTGTTGATGATGGGATGAAGGTGATGGGACACTTGCCATGCTGTTGGACAAAGCCAAAGATGCAAGGGTAGCAAAAGACAAAGCCACTGCCACAGATCGTTGGGTTGGTGCGCTCCTTGAGGCACAGGGGACACAGGGACTTGTCGGCCGGGATGGCCAGACCGTCGGGTGCACGCTTGGGGATGGAGGGTGGAGGTGGCACGGGCAACGACGGTGTTGACTGTCTGTTCTCGCTGTACCACCACTCCAGTGACTTGAACAAGAACACAGACGCTGGCAATATGAACTTGGAGTAGTCCAGTATCGAGTCGAGCACCTTTACAACTGGTGTGAACACGTATGGCCAGTTCCTCACGTAAGCAATGCGCTCATTCCTTCTTGCAGAGACGGCATTGGCATGATTTTCCTGTGAAGGTAAGGAAGGGAGAGTTAGTGATCTGAATGCCATCCAAGCAAGGGTGGGGGCAGCGCCATGACCATGACACCTACTATATCTTGATGTGTAAGACGCTTCAGGACGATGCGCTGGAAGTGAAGGAATGGTGTGTAAAAGTCGGTGTACTCGTAGAGGTAGAGAAGTTGATAGATGAAGAATGACGCCTCGTAAGTGGCGCTGATGACTGGGTAGACCTTGAGGAACAGTTTGCGAAGTGTTTTGATGAATGGATGCTGTGACGCCTCATTGTCTAGCAGACCCAATGTGTTGATGGGGTCTGACTCACGCTTGTACAGCTCGTCCAGCTTTGCTTTGAGGTAGGGCAAGAAGACCAAGAAGAGAATAGACATGCGTTTGTCACGCATAGTGATTGGTTTGGACTCTTTGTCCTTGGGAGCCTTTGACATTATCGAGAGTAGCGATTGTTTGTTCAACTGCTTGACAGTGTTCTCGTTGCTCCTCGGTGCAGATGCAGTCGACTGCTCTGACAATGCAGCCTTGCTCGGATCCCATAAACGCAAAAGTAAAGGATCACCTGTCTTTGATACCTTTATTGATCTCTTCAAATTATAGAAGTTCTCTGAGAATGATGCCTCTGTGATTGATTGTTGTGAATGATTGAATGAATGAGCATTTGAATGAATGAATGAGTGAGCATATGATTGAACATACCATAGTACTTTAGATAATGATACTCTAGCAATAATAACAATGAATAGAAGAACTCATCGTGATACTTGACAATGACACTTAGTCTAGGATTCCTTTGTGATAAGACAGTGAATATGTATTTCAATGCAGGTTTGAATGATGGCATCATCTGATGCTGTGCAAACATCTCAAAGAATGAAGGTCTGTTTGGATCACCATTGTTAAAGTTGAACAGGAACATCCTTTCCTGTTATCTTTTTCTTATCTGTATCTGTATCTGTATCAGTTGTTTGTGGTCAAATGAATGAATGAAAGGGGCTGTTGTGTTATTATTGAGAACTTCTGTTTTTAAGCAAGGGACACGAGTACAGATGTGTAGACAGCCTATTCTTAAAATTCCAAAGAGAATTAGATTATTGGGAAAAGACTTGGTCCAAGTTCAGCTGTTTTCCATCGAAATTTGCAAAGTTGGATAAGATGTATGGATTGCGACGAGCCATCTCCAACAACGAAACCTTGTCTAGGTTTGGGATGAGTGGGTACATCAAAGCCAAGAGTAAATAACTCAACCAAAAGTGAAGTTGAATCAACCCAACAGATATTACATCTTCATCATCATTGAACATTGTGTAAATAGCATTATTATTTATATTTATATTTAGAAATAGAACAGCAACAACAGACAGACGAGCACATAGAGTGTTGGTAATCAATCAATCATCCTAAACAACAACACAACAACAACACACACATGGATTAGAATGATGTGTGTGTTTAGTACTTGTATCTGTGCGTGGTTGGGGTGTGTTGTGTTTGGCGTGATACGACGACGTTCATTCAATATGCGCCAGGTGTGATATCATCTGAATACCATCCAACAACATGTTGTTGCTTAAGCATATATATCCTCATCCATTCCATCCATCCATCCATCCAACCTATCATCATCCATCTATCTATCTCTATCTATCTATCACTATTGTACTTTAACAACAACAACAACAACAACATCTAGACGACAACAGAAATCAAATCAAACAAGAGTGCACAAGTTTGAATGAAGGACGATCAACCACAGATAATATATTGATCACACATACTCCGGTAGCAGCTTCCATCATCATCACAATCTGATGTATGTGAATTTGTTGTTGTGTTGCGATGATTGATTTATCCTCTACACATCTGTCCAACCAACCAATCAATCAATCAATCAATCTTCAGTTTGGTACCACAAGTGTTGTTTATTGATGATAGAGTGCTCGCGCGCTCGTTTAGACCTCTCATCTAATGTTATATATATATTGCTTCTCATTTTGACACCAACATAACCTGTCATCTATCCGTTCCATACGTCCTTCCGTCCGTCCGTCTGTCCATCTCAATCATCCATCCACATTTTTCATTCTATCATCTTTATTCATTCTTTCTTTCTACTTTGTTGTTGTAATAGTATTTAGTAGTTAGTTATTGAGTAAGATAATCAATCAATCAATCAATCAACTCCAGTTCCAGCTCCATCAATCCATCCATCTATCCAACCATTAATGATTACCACACTGTTGTTCGAACAACAACAACAACGCACCATCCATAATCAAAAGTCGACTTTTGGCTGAATGGAGACGAGATGCATCCAAAGTCACCACCGATCACATCATCCAATAAACACCCACCTTCCATTCTCTCTCTCTCACGTACATCCGCTCACAACACAACCAAACAAACCAAACAAAACACCAAAACAGCATCTTTCGACATTTTTGACAATTTAGCTCCTCTCTCTCTCAAGTCACAGGCATGCAGTCAGGCACAGACGGTTCCTCCTCATTCTTTCCATTCACATCATCTTCTCAGCCAACGGCTGAAACAAATCATGCTTTCACTTTAATATTGGTTGTCAGTCATACTATTATAATTACATTACACCAACAACTTGTATAATCTATTTCCACACTCTAAAGGTGTCATTGTTGTTGTTGGTGTTATTGTAGTGTAGTAGTAGTAGTCATAGTAATAGTAGTTGTTGTTACTCCTATCTATCACAATACACACTCAATCAATCATTCAATCAATCAATCATTCAATCAATCAATCATTCACATACAAGGTCTTGATATCAACAGTTATATTAATTTATACCCTTGACTACCTCCCTTATCAACTCGCGTCCTACTCTCTTGGTCAATCAAACAAACAGATACAATCAAACAGTTATATATAACAACGATAAGATAGACAACAGACGAATAGAAAGATAAGGATATAACTTTGATAGTGAGGAATATATATAGGAGAGGGAATAGCGTCGCAACAACGTAGTATTCGTCCTAGTAGTAGTAGTCGTTAGTAGTAGTATTAGTAGTAGTAATAGTAGTAGTATCAAAGATGCTCTCAACAAGAAACTCTGTTGTAGTGACCAATGATGTACAAAGAAAGCTAGCCAACAGGTATGCCCACCCCATTCATTCGAACAATCAATCAATCAATCAATTGTGTCTAATCCTCCTCATCTATCTACTACTAAACAATCAATCAGTACTCTACCTTCAATGGTTGAGTCGGGAGAGATTGATACTAGTCTACTGTTGAAGCATTCAACGTCCTCCTCCTCGTATACCAATAAGAACTCCAGCACAGCCGGCTCCTCCTCGTCGTTTAGAAAGCGATCGAGAAGTCGAAGCCGTAGCAGGAGTCGTGAGGGACGAGGCGCGCTCAGGAGCTCGGTGGGCGGCTCAAGCAGCACAACCACCAGGCGACCATACTATGCCGGCAGAAGCAGGAGCAGAAGTAGAAGCAGAAGCTACAGTCGCAGCAGGAGTCGAAGTGGCCACTGGAGTAGGAGTAGGAGTAGAAGCCCCTCTCCACTTCTTCGAGGAGGCCGTTATAATAATAATAATAATAATGTTGGTACGAATAGTAGGGCCACCAAGGGTGGCAACAACAACATCAACAACAATCAATACAGTAGATATAACAACAACAACAACAACAACAACTCGCGCAGCGGAAGGGATCGCCGAAGAAGCCCAAGCAGAAGCCGCAGCCGAAGCGGAAGCGTCAGACGCGCCGGCAATGGCTACTACTCGAGACGCATGAGAAGTGGCTCGAGCAGCACAAGCCGAAGCAGAAGCAGGTCTCTTGTGAGGAGCATGAGTATCAGCCGAAGCCGAAGCAGATCTCCAAGGAGGTCGTCACGTGCCACCTCCTCCTACTACAACAGCAGGAGCAGTCGTAGTCGCAGTCGCAGCTACAGTCCACGCAAGAGGTCGAGACCAACCATCTCGTCGTCCACATCGTCAAAGACGTCAACTCAATCACCTGCAATCACCTCAAGTAACACTCTTGTCGATGCTATCGAGAAGAAAGCATCACAAGTTCAATCATCATCATCATCATCCATTCAACAGCAACCCCAACAACAACAACAACCAGTTGGCAGACATCACACAACACCAACGTCTGACAACAGCACACCTGAGAATGTCTCACCCAACGAGCCATCCTCTCCATCATCCTCCAATCAACGCCTTTCAATCTACAACAACAATCACACCAACACCGTACTACCTCACATCATCAACAGTTTACAATCAATCAATAACAACAACAACAATAACAACAGCAATAGTAACAAACAACAACCATCACAGCACCAACAACATCATACATCAACATCTACATCAAGTTCACTTTCACCGGCCTCAACAACATCAGCATCGGCATCAGCATCAGCATCGATCAACAACGCCAAAGACATCACTGCCAGCGTCGCACCGGTGCCAATCAATGTAAAACAAACGCCATCACCACCAATGTCCTCGCCCCTCTATTCTCCGCCATTGGACAGGCGCGAAGAAGTCACATTCCTTGACAAGATCAGAATGGAGGCTACAACATCATCAACATGTAATTCATCAACATCAACATCAACATCAACATCGACATCTTCATCATCTGCCAATGGCCATGCCACGGCTTCAAACAATACCACTACCAAGCATCCAAGGTATACGATTCTGCACACAGACCCAATCGACACTAGAGGCATGAACAAGTTCAAGGCTCTACTGTGTGGCGATGGTTGGATCCTAAAGAATCACGAGTCCAAGATGCCAGCGCTGCACTGGGAATACCAGGATCAGCCGCCTCCCACCGACCCCCGACCCAACCGTGACTACATCAACGTTCGATACATATTCGACTGATTGCACTGCATATATGCATGCACATTCAACGAACGACATATTGATCGACACTTGTCCTATCCTACCCTATCCTGTCCTGTCCTGTTTCGTTCAGTCCAGCCAGCCCATGTCCTCTGCTGTCGTTGGTCCAAGGAAGGAGTACAACCAGACGTACTGACTCTTTTATTAGAGATCATACCAATGAGAGATAATATATATACTACTTTGATCAATAAAGGAATACATAATTAATCAAACAATGACATTCACGAATCGGCAAGTCATTCAACAGTATCAAGTCTTGGTCAATTTGGCGACATTGTGGACGAACAAACACAAGTGTGTAGTGTTGGTGACAACATCGTCTATTGGTATCTTTGCAGTATTGGATACTTCTACTCACAAGGCACACCATTTCGAGTTCGTAATAATCATTGATACCGAGCATGCTTGACAACAACAACAGAAGACTCCGAACCCAAGGATGGTCCAAGCAAGCACACCTTTCTTTGGAAAAGATCAGGCAGTGACTGGCACACGCACACTTGGTAGGCAACACTCTCTCGCACACATGTTTGCCTGCCTTTCTTTGCCTTGTTTCTCTAATTTATGTATCCCAGCAAGCCCAAGCTTATTGTGTGGACCAACACCCGGCATCCTTCTCGTTTGTGAATGAATGAATGAATGAGTGGAGGGGAGAGGTCATCTCAAAGCCATCTCCCTCGCAGTATTAATTAAATTCTGTTGATGTGGACCTCTCTCCCTCCCTTCATCCAATCTATCTATTCTATCTAACAACCAAACGAGCCTTCACACCATCCCGGCTCTCTCTAACCTAACTCATCATCACACGTTCCCATAACCACCACCACATCTATCCTTCAATCCACATCAATCCCAAGAGGTGCACTGTCTCCCTTCACATTTGATCAGGTGCCTCCCTCCCAAGCACTCGCATTTACACGACCAACCAACCTAGGTTCAATCACATATACCATCCTTTGGTATAACATACAGATACAGATAATAGGTACACATAATCAATCATATTCACACTCAACACACCCATCACATCACATACACACCACACTCAATCATATCTGTGATATCATCACTCGACCATTACCAATCAATCGACAAAGTGTGTGGGCCTTTACCAAAAGAAGGCACATAACAGTTCATGTAATTGGATTACCGTCAACACTGTATGTGTGTCCTCATTGATCGATCAACCAACATCACAAGTAAGTCGATCCACTAACAATCAATCAATCAATCAATCAATTAGTTGGCTCATCATCTAAATATTATAAAATGACCATTCATCATCAACAGCAACAACAGATGAGAGGAGGAATGGCTTTGGAGAAGTCCAGAGTCATGCTCTATGTTAAGATACCAGAGTTGAGTTCAACCAAAAAGATACTGTTCGATCAGGTCGAGTCTATCATTGATGCCATCAATCTCATCAATGAGAAACTGCCACCCAACAGTCTGGAAAGGCCACACGAGTTCAACATCTACATTCCATCCAAAGGTAGATGGTGTGTTACCGACACTCCATTCACCAAGTATCAATTCAAAGACAATGTATGTGCATCATTTAATCACTTTTTCACTCACTCAATCACACTATGGAATCATTCCACAACAATCATCACTTAATCACATGTCCATGTCCTATCACTCAATCATACTCTGGAACAGCTCCAGGAGCCACTCAATCATTTGTCCATTCCATGTCTTCAATCACACTCCGGAACCATTCCAATCAATCAATCACTCACTCACTTATTCCAATCAATCAAATGTAGCAAGAGATTGAGTATAAAAGAGACACCAGAAGTGGCGTCTCTCATCTTCTAAGTTCAGTTGGACAAAGGTTTAAACAAAGTAGAACCGTCCAAATATACATGCCAGAGATCATACCTTTGGGCATGAGTCATAGCCATAGCAATAGCCATATCATCATCGCGGCTATACAAGATGCCGCGATTACCGAATCACTGCCGACCGCAAATAATAGCGTGTCCGCAGGCCAAACCATATCACCTTCCACTCCGACCACACCATCGCCACTGCGCAACTCGTCGGACAACAACACATTTGCCTACCCCTACCCACCCTCGTCAGGCACACCCAGCTCTCTGCCGCGCTCGTCCAATGCCATTAACATATCGATGGGTGCTCGCTCGGGCTCGGCCCACAAGGATGTTCCACGTCTCAACTTGACGCCACTGTCTGGCTCGTACGGCGGCAGCAGCCAGGCTACAATGTCGTCGTCGCCAGGACGCTCTGGTCATCTTGGCACATTCGATCCAAAGAAGTTTTTCAACTTGTTTGGCATCAGTGCTCCACGCTCAACATCGTCTTCGTCTCCGCGCAAGACATCGCCAACGTCCACTCACACATCGACCACGCCTCGCAACATTGGCACGGTATGTCGAAGCACCGCCGACAGGATCAGCGTGGACAGCATCGACTTTGACGATCAAACCACCGTCAAGGATGTCCTTCACAAGATCTACCAGCGATGGTATGGCCACTTGGATCGCGAGTTGTTGGACGACTATAATCTGCTTCTCTGTGGCCCCGGCGGGGACGTCTGGCTGTCCGAGCGCTCTCGCACCCTCGCCGACTACTCAGTGCACCACATGTCCGAACTGCGCTTCGCCCGCCAGCACCAGCGCCTCAAGGTCACGTTCTTGAACCGCGAGGTGTTGCTGGCGTTCAGTCCCACCGACACCATCGCACAGATCACACAGCAGTTCAAAGCCAACTACCTGCCCAACTTGATACGCACACACCGTCCGAGTGCGTCGTCGGGCACGCTCAGCAAGCTGTTGCGCCAATATCAGCAGCCCGCCACACTTGAGCAGCTGGTCAACGAGCAGGCCACACTCAGTGCCATGTTTGCCCAGTCGCATCCCCATCTGACGCGCCAGCAACGCTCGTTCTCAGACTCGCCCACACAGGCACCGCTCTCATTCTCGCGACACAGCAACCCGCTCAACTCGACCGAGCACGCCATCGACACTATCAAGCGCAAGAACACGCTGGTCTCGACGGCCAACCCGTTGGAATCGCTGACCGTCGCGCCCGACAGCCTGGCGTCGGAGCTGGCCGAGTTCCGCGATTTCCGTCTGCACCTATGTATAAAGCACCCCAACCCCAACATCCAGTCGCGATACGATCTGCTGCTAGAGGACGATCGCACACTCGAATCCTTCCACTTTTGGAACAACGTCAAGTTGCACTTCAAGCAGCACAACGCCAGCAGCATGCACACCAACCCACTGCGCTACGTTGCGCCCCACCAACCATGCCAACAGCCCTTCTACCTCACAGTCGAGTCTCCAGGTGACCAACTTAGCGCCTCCTACATGATGGAGGTTGAGGCCACAAGTCGAGTATCCGACGTCCTCTCCAGTTACTCCAAGCTTCTAATATCCAACCCAAACATCAAGTTAAGTATGTATCGCGCGGGCATCGAGGTGGAACCAATACGACCCATAAACTAACTCTTCCATCACAATCAATCAATCAATCAATCGAATAACAGATGACTGTTTGGACGAGTATGGCTTGTATATCGACACGACTGAGGAGGGCAAGGAGGGCATTGAGTATGGACAGTCAGTGCTGTTGGACTCGAATAGGACATTGGCGAGCTACCCCATCGAGCAGTTGGATAAGTTGTTGTTCAAGAGGACGAACAACTGTCTTGGTATCGACCCTTCCACAATAATGGATTACAAACTGGACGCCAGTTGCAGCCTCAAAGTGCCATCAGAACTGGTGCAGCTCAAACAGAAACTTAGACACCTCAATGGTTTCAAAGAGGAGGGTGTCTTCAAGATGGCAGCGTCCGAAGCATCCATGCAGGCAGTGTCCAACGCGCTGTCTTGCAATGAGTTGTTGTCCACTATTATTGATGTGCACCCTTCATCATCGTCGTCATCATCTAGTATCAAGGGATTTGGACAAGGTGAGGACATCGATGTACATGCCGTGGCCAACTACATCAAGCGATGGTACCTTCGTCTGCCCACACGAGTGCTGGCTGGCGTCGACGAGGAGCAACTTCGCGAGGCCGCCACCAATGAGGATGCGGCCGTGCAGATGATGAAGTCTCTACAAGAGCCCTACTCCACACTCCTCCAATGGCTGTCCAACCTTCTGTCCGAGGTGTCGTATTGCGCCGCAACCAACAGGATGAATGCCAAGAGTCTGGCAGTGGCGATGTCACACATCCTTCTCCCCTCCTCAAATTCGACCAGCTACCATCAAGATGGAGCCAACGAATCTTCTTCATCACTTGCAGGTGGCATGGCAAATGATTCAGACGTCCATGGACACGGACATGGACATGGACATCATCAACAACAGATACAACAACAGTATGCCAATGTGATACTCCAACATCTCATCACACATTCACTCAAAGAGCAAGGATACATAGCACATTCAGGATCATCCTTCTCCATCTCCTTCATGACCAGTAGTCACAGTTCAGTATCACCCACGACCTCATCACTCATTTCTGGATCGCCATCAATCAATGATCTTATTGATTGATTGATTGATTGATTGATTGATTGATCCAGTTATCCAGGCAGCCAGACATTCCATTTTTTCCCTCCTCCCATCCTCTTCTCTCATCTCTACAACATGAGCAATAACATGCTTCTGATTCTTTGTACACACCAGTGATGAGTGATATGGTAATGAGAACTATTATATCTGTTTCATTTCTTTGATGAATAATAATAATTCTTTTTTGTATTTTCTTTTTTTTTTTGTCGATTTGGCCTCCGATCATTTCTTCCATTAGCAATGGACTCTCACATTTAATTGCCAGAACCTGGGCAAAAACAATAGATCGTGGCTTTTCACTCCTGTTAACATATTCTAAGGTCAACAATAACTCTTCAAGTTCTCTTTCAAAATATGCCCAGGAGATAATAGAGCTTCAAAGAATTCTAGAAGAACGTTACACGAAGAATTTGATTTGTTTCAATTTCTAATCTCTCATCAGAAAAGTTTCCTTCAAGCCAAGCCTGTGGCTACGGTATTTTACAAACCGGAGTACAAATTGCAAACAAGGAATAATGGACAACTCCCTCAACATCCCCTCTATTGAGTCACAGTTCGAGTTCGAACATTTGGAAACTGTAGAGAAAGCTGCGGCCAATGGTCATATCGCTCTCATTGAACACTTCATTCGGACCAGGCCACAGTATGTCATAGAGACTGCCGGATATCATGCAGCAAGAGCCGGACAGATGAAGGTGCTCAAGTACCTGCACGCCTTGAACCAAGTTGGCACGACCATGCTCTTCGATGAGTACACGATGGGTCATGCAGCATCCAACGGTCAGTTGGAGGCCGTTCTCTTCCTGCATCACTGTCGCACTGAAGGCTGCACCAAGGGTGCAATGGATATGGCGGCAGCAAACGGCCACCTGGCAGTGGTGGAGTTCCTTCACGCGAATCGCACCGAGGGATGCTCAGCCGACGCCATGGCCTTTGCCGCGCGAGACGGTCGCGTGGACATTATCAAGTTCCTCTACAAAAACCGCACCGAAGGCTGCGTACTTCGGTCATTGGCCTTCTGGAGCGAGGGCTCCGGTCAGGCTCAGGCTGCGATGGTCTTTCTCTATGAACTACAATGCCGAGAACAATGCCCACTATGTCATAACAGCAAAGACATGTTGCTCTACCGCGGCTTCGTCGAAGAGGTGCACGATCTAGAGCTCAGGCAAGAGAAATCCGATTATTAATATTAGCTATCCAGCCAACCTTCTATCAAATATAAGTCCCAATGGCTGCCAGGAAGCCAACCCTCTGTGTGTGGATGACTCAATTGGCCGCTGGCTTCGCTGGCATTCCGGAGCTGGCGCTCCTTCATTTTTCAGTCCCCCTTATAGTTTTATATACTTTAAGTTTATTAAAAAAGGTATCTGTATCAATAATGTAGAATTGTAGTAGAAATAGAGACTTTAAGTTCAAAATATTAGAAATACTTTTATCCAAATTAAAGAAGGTCGTTTTCCTAATTCTACTACAATTCTACTTTCAGTATCTGTCACCGCCATAGCAGTAAGCACGTTGGAAAAAGAGTATCTGTCTAATCAATGAAGAATTGTAGTAGAAATAGAGTTTAGAAGTTCAAAATAATAGAATTTAATTAATCCTAATTAACGAGGGTCATTTTTGTAATTCTACTATTATTCTACTTTCGATACCTGTTAGCACTGTAGCAGTTTGCACGCCCAAGAGAGTTACCAGGAGAGTTGTTTCAGCACGCCCGAGAGAGTTACCAGGAGTGTACTCAGCACGTTGGTCAGCACGTACTTCTGATTGTTCACACTCGTTTGTTCACCACGAGTTCACCAAACGTTGACCCATTGTTCACCACTCTCCGCCCAAATCAATCACAATCACCTTTAAAGGCAATGATTTCCGGTCACTCTTCAATGATCCTTTTATGGTTGGTGTATTCATCAGCTATGTCTATTGGAGCCATCAGATAGCATCATTTGCATATTGTACTCATTCCCTCTCAGTAGAATGTGCTTTAGTTTCATAGTGAATATCATCAACAGCATTCTCTGGAACCTGTTTGGTTTTAGACTCATTTGCACGGAGGAGCGTATGTGTGAACAATTATAAAACAACAGGTACAATGACTGACATTGATGATCAACAAGACTCTCTTCACATCTATGTACACTTCGCTGGAAGTGTCCTTGACAATCCTTCAAGAGCATTGGTCCTCAACTTCTTTGACCACTACGAAGAGATGACCATCAATCAGTTCCATCACCATGGAGAGGACTTGACACCAACCAACCCGGCTGCCCTCGTTCTCCAAGGAGCTCAAGAAGGTGCTACCAACGCTCGACACTTTCACTACTCCTCAGCCGAGGTCTGCAACCTTGTTGTGCGCTACCTCAAGAGGCACCGTAAGTCTAACAGTAACAAACTGCTCACAGGTATGATACTAACATTCCTTCAAGAGTTTGCACCAGGTGTTCAGCTCAATCATGACGATGTTCTGTTCCAATACAGGTCGAGGCACCAGACTCAATTCGACCCAGTCACATTCATTTGAACAACTCCCATTGTTCAGATCGTCTTGTACATAGGAATAATAAATGCAAGGCACCTGCTCCAGGAGGGCCTATAAGACTAGAAACATCATAAATATATCTCTAACAGATATAACATGTCATTATTCAAAGAGTACTATTGGGACGAGAACTCAGAGTTCAGAGAGCGTCACAAAGCATACATCAAACAAAAGGTAAGATGCGAATGCGGCTTCGAAGTTGGTCGCACCAATCTCAATCGACACAAGCAAGGCTACATCCACAAGCAGTTGATGGCCAACAAATAGGTTCAAAGTGATATAAATTAACATCTCAGTGTTAATATATAGAATGAGCAGATCAACAAGAGACATTGGCGACAGACTCAAGAAGACGGGCGTGACAGAGATCAAGATGACCGGCAACTACAGCAGAGCAGACATCGAACGAATCGCGCAGCGAGACAGCAACACGCACCCATCCCAGAGCCTGACACATTTAAATCGTTCTACATCTACGTACATGAAGCAAAATGCAAGGCAGGAGGCTGCGACGGCGAATGGAACAACTGCCTCTATCACTGCCTCCACGATGCCTACCCAGACCAGGTGACTGAGCACTAGGGCAAGCCATCACAGCTCAAGAAGGACCTAAAGCTCGATGTCGATCAGAAGGTCTCGATCAAGCGGATCCCAGAACTCGAGGACAGACTCAACATCAGAATCAACGTCAAAGGTGATCACTGCTACGCCTCCACTTCGAGGGCAACCAGAGAGGTCAACCTAATACTAACAAATGGTCATTACAAGCTCGACAAGGAGGGCACCTATGCAGGCAAGGGCATCAGATACACGCGATACAACGAGAGGGACGTTTACATCAAGCCAATCGTCTTCAAGTATCTCAAGGGCGAACAGGTCCAGCTCTACGACTATGGCGAGCACACGACAATCAGCCTGGAGCAGTTCATCAACAAGAAAAGGCGCAAGTACCAAGACAAGTGCGAGTACATCCGTATCCTCTCAGGCATGACCCTGGAGGAGACATTGGACTCGTTCAAGGCTGACGCCGACATGCTCAAGGAACACACTAACGGCGTCATCGACATGTACACAACAGGGCAGAACATCAACAAGGCAGCGATCAAGCTGTTCCTTTCGTACAACAAGACGGTCAAGCCAGAGCCCATCGGTCAGATGGAGGGAGAGTGGATCAAGAAGTCAGCTTATGGCCCATTGATGATGGCAATTCAACATGTAGGAGCTCTCTACAAGTATGACGTCGCTAGGATGTATGCATCCATCTTGAGGAGTGGCGGCTTCATGATACCAATCAAGTGTGGCGATTTCCAACATCTGACCGACGAGGAGCTCAGCGCCATGAAATCAATCCCGTTTGGTATCTATCGTGCCACCATTGTTGGCACTCATGGCGCCTTCAAGCACAACAAGAGCAACTACTACACTCACTACGACCTCATCTTTGCCAAGGAGCTAGGACTGACATTCAACCTGAAGACCGGCAAGAAGGCCAATGCGCTCATCTACGACAGCAGCTGCAGGAAGTTTTGCTCCGACCTGTTTGGCAAGTACATCGATCAGGTTCTCGGCTGGATAGATGCGTGTGAGCCCAAATCTAGATTAGAAGAGCTCTGCAAGTGTCTCTACCAACGTCTATGGGGCGCTCTCTCCAAGCGCAACAAGACCAAGCAGTGCGCAAACATGGAGTGCGATGCAGAGGTGATAGAAACCAGCGATGGACAGAGAACGATCAAGCACGTCGAAATCCCATTCCCTCGCATCATGCCATTCATCATCTCCCGTGGTCGCAAGATGATCGGAACGATAATAAAGGACGACATTGACTGCATCAAGCGCGTGCACACCGATGGATTCGTCTCGACAAAGCCTTGGACAGAGAAGACAGGCAAGAAGTCACTTGATTATCCCAAGTTGGGCAAGGAGTGTGGCGACCTACGATACGAGGGCTACTGCCCGAACGCCTACGTCAAGAACATGACCAAGCCTGTTGGATCGTTCGCCATTGGAGTATGGCAATCAGAAGGCTGTTAATATAATCTCTACTTCCATCAATATGGACGTACAGACTACCGTCGACAGGAGTGGCAGCAACACCAACAAGTCTTACATGCAACAGTACTACGAGGAGTACAAAGAGGAGATCAAGGCCTACAACACAGAGAGAATACCCTGCGAGGTCTGCGGCAAGTTAATCTGGCGGCACTTGATGAGGAAGCACGAGAGGAGGATGCATTTAGTTGAATAACATTTATTCTAGAGCTTAAAGCCGTCTGCTGCAGCAGACTCAATGTCTGGTATCCTTGTGCTGATAATAGACGATCCCATCCACTTCTGTATTTGCTGGAAGTAGGAGCCAATGCAGTCTGTCTCTTGCGATATGTGATCGTAATCAGGATGCTCCTCATGCATAACTATGCTCAATAGTTTGGCATTGTGATAATAGTCTTGGAAACATGCCCAATATTGACGAAACAATCCTAAAGTGATTGCAACACAACGAGGCTCTTGGGGTGGTAGAATAGGTAAGTTTGCTCGAAAGATGATTGTTCCTTTGAGGTCTACTAGTTCGTCTGGAATGGCTAAAAAGATACCATTTGGGTGAACACAAATCATTCACCCAACTCGTTGGCCGATGTGATCATTACAACTTGTAGTAATCCATACCAACATTCATTTAACATCGGGCAATAGATACATATAAATACTCATGCACCATCACAACATATCTGCATCAATATCTTATCATCATGGTACTTAACCTTACTACGGCTGAAATAGACCAGAAGATCTCGTGCGAGTTGAAGACCGCGTCTAATAGGAGCATCATCAAGTTCCTTGGGAAATTGGAACCCGAGGCCAAGAAGGTTGCGCTGAAGGCTCTTACCGAGGACAAGGGCATCATCACTCCGCCAAAGGGCAAGACCAAGGCCATCAAGAAGAAGGTATGTAATCCATTCGATTGTTATAGCTCATCATCTAACATTTATAAACAGGATGATGCAGGTGCCATCTATGCCATGTACGAAGGATGGAAGGGGCAGCTTGAGGGCATTATCGATTACATCGAGACGGGCACAGACAAGGAGAAGAAAGAAGCGTTCGTGATGAACATGCCGGATATGATCATCGCTCCCATCAGATATGATGACAACCAAGTTGGATGACATTGGCAACCAGGCCGAGAAGGCGTTCACAGCACTCTACAAGTTCAACATCTTCTCTCTTTGGCAATACTTCCGCCTCGGCCAGATTCTCTATGTCCTCAAGATGGCTGTCAAGAAACACAATGGCGATCACAAGCTCATTGACTTTTTCGGCTACGTCAAGGCGAGGGGCTTCCATCAATCATCATCCACGATCGACAATTACATCAAGTTCTATTTATTCGTGTCTCGCTCTCCCAACATCCTGTACTTGGACAACGTACTGTTCTCTGACATCATCAAGCACGCGGAGCAGTTGAAGGAGTTGTTCAACGTTCACGCCAGCATTTGGAAGAAGAACCTCAAACAACTTATCAAATTGACCTACCAGAACAAGAGGAGGGATCTCGTAGAACATTACAACACATCGGATATCGTGGCCATGGAGGACATCCAGGACGATCCTGCCAATGGTGCGGATGAGCAAGAGGAGGAGGCGCCAGAGCCTGGCGTGGAGGAACACTTCAAAGACGACAAAGACGGCATGGACACCAACAATGACCAGGACAACTGAACCAATCACTCACCAATCACCAGCAACCAACCCTCAATGCAAGGTCATCATAATAAATGCCCTATGGACACTTATTATCAACACCAACCCTACAGATAACCAAACTTCTTGTATCTCTCCTTCATCTCTCTAGCCTTCTTCTCCTCTTTCCTGACATCACTGTATCCAGTCGCCTCTTTAAATGGTACCCCGCGATAACGATTGATCAACCATTTCATGGCATGCAATCCACAGGTATCAGTGTTGACAGCTTGATCGATCACTCAATAGAGTAATAACGAAATAATTGCAATATCAGACTCAATAGTTACTTATGACCTTGTACCACTACTCAGAGTATTGATTGTTTTATTGATTGATTGATTGGAATCGACGTAAGTTAGGAATTACCGATGGACTTCGGTGACATCATTTCAACCAACATTATTCTTTCATTGTGATCATATCACATTATTCATCTCACTCACTTGTGAGCTCATCATTCGACTAATCTTGTTGTCATTCAGTCAGTCAGTCAGTCAGTTTGGCTGGCTGTCAGGAATACACGGATTATTATTATTATTGTTCTTGTTGTTGGGATCAAAGAATGGATTGTCACATTCAATAACCCCACTACAAACCATGTTGATCTAACCAGTCGATAACACACGCCCGTTCCTGGCACCAACACACAATCAATCAATCATGATAGTCTCCACATCCAACACAAACAACACAGCTTGTAAATCTTTCATCCCTACATCCTTCCATATCAATATAATTCATATCCATATCCAGATTAGAAATGGATGTCCAAGATGTCCAATTAGATGAACCCACGTCATGTGATTAGATGGGAATGTAAGAAAGGCACATACTACATCTTATCTTATTATTCAAAGTCTGATTGTAATACTCTCCACTCTTTATCTAATATTATTACCTATTAGTTCAATGAATTATTATAGTTATATTGGACGATGATCCGTCTTCATCATGATCAATCAATCAACTATTTAAACATCACAATTCCATCATTATAATCATCAAATCAATCAATTAAATCAAATCAATCAAACAAATAATAATTAAAAATGACTATCCTCAGTAAGTATATTTGATAAAGACAAAGATAAACCTTACAAAACAATCCACTAATGTACCAAACCAAATATAAATAGAGACCATCTCTTCCCTCTCCTTCAACGCCACCTCGATGACCAACGGATCAGTGTCAGCTAGTGGAATGACCTCGTTCGGCCAGTCATCTAACCATGTGTCTGGAATTGTTGGAACTGTGGGAAGCAACCTCAACCCAGCTGTTGAGGGTGCCTTGGCCTCCACCAAGGCTGTAGCAGGCACAGTCATTGCTACTCTTGATGGTGTCGCCTCTTCCATTGGTCTCTAAACATCTTTCCAACAACATCAACATCCCTCAATGTAGAAGTACCAGTACCATCAATATATTCACCAAATCACATGTGACAATATCATCATCATTAGTATAATAAACCATATCTTCATGCATGAACTGTAGTAATACAGTTCGTCCAACACCAATCTATTAATTGATCAATAATTGTATTTATTTCCAAACTTTCGAAACTACATGTTGTCCAATGTTTGCGCGATAGATGAATGGGGGCCCACCCTTTTTACTCCTCCCTACAACCTCTCTAATTCATTCATTCATTCAACATTGTACATACATATAAATATAAATATATATATATATAATCACAAACTAATATTAATTGTAATAGTAATATAAATATTAATAATAATAATAATATAACAATGCCTTCTCTATCAGATCAGGAGAAGAATCAGCTTAGTGTAGTGATTGGTACATCTTGTGATGTTTATTCATCTACTGTGGCAAGGTTGTACGAAGGAAAGCAGGGAATGTGGGAGTACACAGGTGTAGTAGGTGCAGTATCAGTCGTAACACATCGTATCGAGAAGACTAGTTACATCAAGATCATCGATATCAAATCTGCACCTCGTATTATATTCGAACAGGAGCTTTACGATAACTTTGAATTCACCAAGGCACGCGACTTCTTCTACACCTTTGAGGGAGATACCACCGTCTACGGACTGTCATTCACCGATGTCAACGAGGCTTCCGACTTCCAATCTAACCTCAACCGTGCCAAGACTGCCAACAGCGCACGTCCACAATCAATGGCTATGCCAGCCGCCGCCGCTGCTCAACCTGCAAGTATGTTCGTTCAGTGAACGGTCTCACAAATGTTGAAGAATGATTAACAATCAATATATTCAAACAGAGGCAACTCCAGCACCAGCACCAAAGAAGGAGGAGAAGGAGAAGAAGAAGAAGAAGGGATTCTTCTCGTCAATGTTTGGCGGTGGCGACGAAGAGCCAGAGAACTTTGAGATCTCGACACCATCATCGTTTAGACATGAGAGTCACATTGGTTGGGATGCATCACAGGGATTCGAGATTCGTAACATTCCTCCCGATTGGCGTAAGCTGTTCCAGTCGGCAGGTATCACCAAGAAGGAGTTGAAGAATGCCGAGACCGCTCAGTTCATCGTCAACATCATCGGTGAGAACTTGGCCGCTGGTGGCGGTGCACCACCAATGTCAGGTGGTAGAGCGCCACCTCCTCCACCTCCACCAACATCAAGCAAGGGCACTCCTCCACCTCCTCCACCCCCATCACACAAGGGTACCGCTCCTCCTCCACCACCTCCTCCCCCTGTGTCTGGCGGACCTCCTCCTCCTCCACCTCCTCCCTCGCACAAGGGCGCTCCACCTCCTCCACCCCCTCATACGTCTGGTGGACCTCCACCTCCACCCCCTCCTACATCCAATGGTGGCGGTGGCAACGGCGGTGGCGGTGGCCGTGCCGATCTCCTGTCTGCCATTCGTGGTGGTGCCTCCTTGAAGAAGGTCGATCACAGTGAGCCATTGCCAGACATCCAAAAGCTTGATGACGCTGGCAACAGATCATTGGTTGACACTTTGGCATTGGCCATGATGCAGCGTAGAGGCAACATGAGAGAAGACGATCAAGATGAAGATGATGATGACTCTGGTTGGTCCGACTCTGAGTAAGCTCTCCATTTGGACTTGCTCCCTCCCTCTCTCTATCTCTCTCTATTGTACAACAGACATCCAATCCACAATCCAATCATCCAATCAAACAATCAATAACAGACATTACATTACATTTACAGGCGTGAATATCTTTGGAGGGGAGTTATGTACATTATACTGTTTATGATATGATATATCTAGTCGCTTAGTTGTGAGGTATGGTACCATAGTTGATTGGGTTGGCATTGTCCTCTTCTTGACTTCCAAAGTCTTGTTGATGAACAGCCTGACTGATCATGATCAAAGCCGTTCGCCTTGACATGATCTCCAACAGGAAGCATAGTTGTGGTAGCTCGAGCAGCACGTAGTAGAGCAGGTCAAAGTACCATGCGTTGAATCGTGCCGGGTTGAAGGGTGTCAGTGCGACGAGCACCGAACGTATTAAGAACGATAATGTACAGTACATAAACACAATGATCAGGCTCAGTCGCAGCTTGGCCATCTTGTTTGTTTGCTTCTTGTATGGATTCTTCTTGCTCTTGAGGTACTCCATGTCCTCATACTTTGGTGCAAACTGTATCTCCTTGTAATATGATCGATATTGATGGAACCTTTTGATGTTGAATTGATTGGATTGGATTGATTGATTGATTGTCCAGGATGGATGGAAGAGGATGGGAAGGGGAGGAGAGGGGAGGGAAGGATGATCCAAATGAGTGTCCATGTGATGATGGCCAGCCAATGAGGTAGGGAAGGATGTGAATTGATTAGTACTACACATCATTGAGATTGGATGCATAATGTATACTTACAGGAAGCTCATGAGTATGATTGATGCACCAAAGTAAATGGATGATGCATAGAGTTGTAGTAGGAGTCCAGCTGAGGAATCAGTTGGATTCACAACGAATCTATGAGCATGTTGTAACTCCAACTCTACAAGATAGAGTACGATCACAGTCACATACATAAATACATTTCCAATTAGAATAGCCTTCATAATAACACTTGTATTGGCCTTCATCTTTGTTGGTAAGTATACCTGCATACTAATTATAAGTCTGTTTTCACATTGATTGATCGTTTGATTCAGTGTTAGTGGATTGATTGGATTGAGTGACTGGAATGATTCCAGGGTTGAGTGATTGAATGAACTTACCCAAAGAACAATGATATTGAATAGACAGTAAAGTATAGGAATGATGGAAGTATCTTGAGTATGGCAAGTATTTGATTCTCCACTGGCGATAGATAGACCTGATCCTCCATTGCAAATGGTAACAGAGCGAATGAGAATGCTCTCATCAATGATGCAAACACCATGCTCAAGAAGAATATCCTGGCAACATATATGGCTGTATCAATAATGTGTTTATGTTAGTTAGCTAATCCAGGCCATTTTCATTGTCCTGTCCATGCCATTGTACTCACCTCTCTTTCTTGTCCTTATCAACTGTACTATTGAGGCTATTGCCAATGCTAGATACAAGGTGGACAACACCCAATGTGATATATCATATGGCTTATTTATCCATTGTCCATCACGCACATCAACACTCGATGATGATGGTGATGATGAAGTGTTGTCGTAGTTGTTGTTGTTGTTATCGACTGGCAACATTCAAGTCTCTAGTCTAGGTATTTGATTACTATCTATTATCTGTACAGATAATCAAGATGGATTGATGACCAATTGGTTGTTTAAGTGATCGATCACTACTACTGCACGTTGGGGTTGAGTGAGCTTAGGAACTCGGAAGAAGGAAACAAACAATTGCTTGTTGTGGAGCATTGTCAAAAACATTTAATAATTAATTAATTCTTTTTACGCCTCAAAAGCTCAAAGCAACACCGCTAAAAAACTTAGGAGTCCAGGATGGTCCTAGTGGGGTGTACCAATAGCCCCTGAACCCATCAAAACAATGCATCCACCTATTCGATTTTTGATGTTGGTCTGGCTGTTGTTTTGACTCAATCTTGGTGGACCACTAGGTACAATTCCAAAGTGATCCGGGTCATGAACCAGACAGCCAGTCTGAAATGAACTTGGGAAAGTCCGATGACGGACCATGATTACATCCGAAGTTAGCAGTTGTAGGATGGTTCAAAGAATTTGATCTTCACACCTTTCTGATTGACTGACAACTGATAAGCTGCCTGCTGATTGATTGATTGATTAGTTGATCGCTTCTTCTTCTACATCTTCTTTGGCCTTGTCCAAGAGGCAGGTGATATGACATTGACATCATGTTTCTAGATCAAAGTGCAATCTCACGTTTGCAAGGATGTATGACTTTAGCGCGAACATGTCGAACCATCGGACATCACGTGAACGAGTTATTAAGTGACCTATGATGACTTGATTGATCTGTGCATTAAATATCGACTTGCATTCGACTGGATCAATTGAACAAAAGTAGCCAACAAGTTGAATGTTTCCATTGTCATCTTGGTTTGGGATAACACAAATTTGTTTTGTTTGTTCTGTTGAGGTTTTGGATTAAGATCAAAGAACACTAATATATTAATAAATTTCAATCTAGGAATAGTTCCAGTCATTATAATATTACAATAAATTCAATGAATCACAAATATCCAAACAAAAACACTTTTCAAAAAAAAAAGGAGGGAAACCTTAGATTGTTGAACGAACATTTCACTTCATCATGAATAAACAGTACATTATTAATGTAGGAGCAATCAAGTCAAATACAGATACATAAGTATAAGTATAAGTGGTAGGAGTGTAATCAATCAATAATGAGTCTAAAGAGAAGTAGAGTTGAGTATGAATCAGCTGCTGATGAGGGAGCAGGCAGCAGCAGCACGATCTGTCAAAGGGAGACTAAGAATATAAAGAGTGATACAGAGGCTATATCAGGTAGGTATATATACTTCGAAGGAAGAGAGAAGTATATTAATGTCACTCATCACTCATTCATTCATTCATTCATTAAAGAGAGGACACTGCGACTGATGAAAAAGAGTAACAGCAATGTCAACGCCACTCCCGCCAACGTCATTGTCAACGGTAACAGCAATAGTATAGCCAACAACAACAACAACAACAAGAATAATAATGTAAATAATAATAATGTAAAGAATAATAATAGTAATAATAATAATAGTAATAAGAAAGATGTTGAGATGTTGGTTGAGAATATAGAGTTCTCTGATCACTTTAAGAATGGAAAGAAGGGCAACTGTAGAGTGTGCTCGGGCAACTCAACAACAGTGTGCCAATGTCCATCGTGCAGTCACAATCTATGCTCGAGATGTGCTCGTCGCTGCAACACCTGCTCAGATGTCTTTTGTCGTCTATGTTGCATTACAAAGTATGTGTTGGATGCTTGGTGATGATGTGAGTGATGTTGACGCGACCATATTGACTAATCTTCTAAAGGGACTCCCATCATCATCATCATCTCGATCAATGTTGCTCACTTGCTCAATGTTGCGATATTCATTCATACTCTGACTGTGACTCTGATTCCGACTCTGACTCTGACTCTGACTTTGACAATTGCCATGAACATTGTTGACTTGTTGTTTGGATATACATAGCTACGATCAATCTCATGATGTGGACAATTGCATCGACTGCCACTTGTCCAGGTAATCAATCAATCGATCAATCAATCGACCAAACATCATCAAATCTTCATTGGCATGGTGATGCCCAAATCCAATCAATCAATCAAGCTCAATCAAATATAGTCAAGTAATGGTTTATTCGATCAGACGACGACAATTGTATCATCACTATTAGACTTGATTGCTATTACTATATATATATGTTCCAAATGAAGATCATCATGTGGCCCATGCTATAGGTCCTTCTTGCCATCATGCTCAGCAGCGGCAGTTGCAGCAGCGGCGGCATCGGCAGCAGCCTTCTCATGCTCCTCATCGTGGATATGCTCATAGTTCTCTGTGTTGATGTCGTTCAAGCCAAGCTCCTCATTCATCTCAAAGGTTCTATCGTAGTCCTCCGAGTCCAAGTTGGGATCGGGGTCTGGCGCGTAGAGACTCTGGATGTAGCTGTTGGAGATGGGATCGTCGATGATCATGGTGAACTTCTCCTCGCCACTGACGAAGCGGTCGAGACCCGACATGATCTCGTTGTAGCGCGCACGTGTCTTGACGTCGGCGCTGTCGCCACGGAAGAATGGGTTCTTCTCGAGCTCGTCGCGGATCGTGGTGAGCAGACCCTCGATGGTCGTGAACCTGCCACCAAGCGATCCGTGAGTGATCTCAATGTCCAACTCGGGGATGATGGCGTTGGCCGTCTCGGACTTGAGAACGTCGCGAGACAAGTCGTCGACAGACTCGACGCGAAGCGTGAGCTTGCGGCCCCTTGGCTCGATGGCGCCACCAGGTTTGATCTCGTTGGTCTTGAAGCCGCACTCCTCGCAGTTGAATGCCATGAGCACAACGTTCTTGAAGTAGGGGATGTCTGTGACGACCATGTTGATCTTGCCCAAGTGTCCACAGTGAGTGCATGAGTTTGGCAGTGAAAGGATCTCACGATCCTCCAATGGTTTGCTGAGTTGTTCAGTGGCGGATGCCGATGTCGATGTCGAAGTCTCTGGGACACCGCTGATGCCCAACATAGCGTTCTGCTCATCAGTCCTAGTGTACTTGGAGATGCTCATGTTTGGATCGTTCTTTGGTGCCAATGGGTTCTCGACGTACGAGTTGCCCGAAGGGTCGTCAATGACCAATGTGAAAGGTTGCTCGACCAACATCAAGTCAGTGAGCTTTGCAATGAATGCAACAATGCTGTCTGCTGTCTGATTATCTCCGTCCTCCTAAAGTGATTCATTAATTCGTTAGTGAGCGAACAAGATTGATTGAGTATGATCGCGATGATGTTTGCTTCTCCCTCCTTACTCTCTTGATCTTGGCGGCTTGGTTCAAACCTTCGATCGATCCTCTGAGGAATCCTTCGATAGTGTTGAGGCTGCCCCTCTGAGTGGAGGCAGGGATCTCAAAGTCCAACACTGGGATGGTGATCGATGCAGTGTCCATCTTTACAATCTGTCTGTTCATGTCCTAATGGTAGTAGTAGTGCTCATCATTAGTATGAATGATCAATTAATCAATCAGTGTAAGTTACACAAACAAGTATATACCTCGTATGATTGAAGAGTGAGCTCGATGTGAACACCCTTGTCAGCGATTGAACCACCGGACTGCACCTCTGAGCTCTTGAATCCACACTCGGGACACTCAAAGGCCAGCAGGATGATCTCACGGAAGAATGGTATCTTGGTGAGCAGTATCTTTGTTAGACCATGCTCGTTATGACAGTTCATACAAAGACTCTCAATCTCCTCTACAGTTGCAGTGCTCGACAAGTCCTTGAACTCCTCAGGTTGTGGTACACTATCATTCTTTGTTGAAGTTGTTGAAGTTATTTGTTGTTTTCTCAGTCATTATGAATGTATCTGTATTATTATTATTATCTCTGTATTGTTATTACTGTAATGAATTCAAACATACATATTAATAAGATCTCTGAACTGACATTGGAATATAAAAGGACGAAAAGAATGCGAAAACGAAGAAAGTTTGGATAACACCCACACCAAAGCTGGTCCATTGCTTTAACTCAAGGAGTTCAGGTGAACTTGCGACCAGACTTCTCAGTCTATGAATGACTCCCGACTTTGCCAACATGATGGTCTGGGTGAATGGAACAATCAATAATTCCAAGTTACTTACTTTAAGAGGTAATGAAATGTCGTCACAGTGCCATGCCCTGACCCAAAATCAATACTATTAATGGAAGTCTACTTTTAGAGTTTGTTGTCAGTTGTTTTGTTTGACATTCTTGATCTGAAAAAGAGATCAAGAAGAATGGTTTGGCGGTTTGAGTGCAAACAAGTTTAAAGTGCCAGGTGAACCTGGACCAGACGACTTGGACGAGTGACCAAACATTGATATTTATTATTGTTATATAAATACAAAGACTATTCAGGAAATTAATTAATTATAAGAGGTAATGTAACTAGAATCAACAAGATCAGGTCCACTCGTTTATTCAATTTTGAGGATGACCGACTGACCATCTTCATCAAACACGAAAAGGTCAGTCGGTATGACACCAATAATAGGTGCACATGTAACCATTTGTTCATTGTATATGTTGTTTGATGGAGGTTGGGCAAGATTTATCTTCTCCCACTCGCTAAAGCTCCACCCATCCATCGGGTGAATAAAAACATACAAACTTTCGATCGATCTAGAAGAAACGAACTGATCGACTTGGTCATACACACTCGAATTCTACCTCATCAATTTATTATTATTAATTAATATCAATATATATATATCAAAAACAACTTATACAAATACAAATACACCAACACATATATTTATACAAGTACACCATCAAATAGAGTGATCAGTCGACCCACCCAACATTCATTTGATCAATCACACACACACACACAAACACAAGGGGGTTCATCATTAACCCATCCACTCATCTTATCTCAAGATACTCTCTCTCTCTCTCTCTCACACACGTGATCACGAAGGGAGACCATCACCAACAACCCAACAACAACAAGTACTGATATAAGTGCTAATACTCCCACCTCCTCAGTCAGTTCAGAACTACCACCATCAATCAACTTTTAAGTAGTAGAGCAGCAGCAGCAGCAAAGCAGAAGTGAGTTAGTGACTCTAAATAACTCAGGCAGACAGGCTGTCGACCCTACATATTCAATTACTCTCTCTCTCTCAGTAGGTATATATTTATAATTATACTAGTTGTGTTGTTGGCTTGGCTTGGATTGGCTTATTGTTGGGCATTCAGACATACACATACATACATACATACAGAGACAGACAACAGCATTGATTGATTGATTGATGAGAGAGCGAGGCTTGACATCTAAACAAACCCAACACACTCACATTCACTCACACACACATTCACAATCCAAACACGAATTACTCATAACTCAATCCTGTCCCTTTCCAATCACTCGCAGACAAAGACACCCATCCATCCATCCCCCTACCCTATCGCATCCTTAATCTCTCTTTGTTATATTGTTCCCCAACATCTTATTCATTACCCAATATTATCAACATAATCAACAACAACAACAACAACAACAACTATAGTTGTTACCAAAGCATTAGCGCAGGCAGTCTGGAGGCAAGAGCACTACTTTATAGTTGATTGATTGATTGTTGATTGAATGAGTGAGTGAGGAGTGAGGGAGGAGGGGAGCAAATGAATGAGAGCATGACAACCAACTAATCAATCAAACAAACAATCAAGGCATCATAGTGTAGACAGGCCATTAATTCAACGACGGACTACATTGATACACAAATACATTGGGAATCATTCAATCAAACAACATTGTAACAGATACATCTTAAGAGGAGGATACAGATAGAGATACAGACAGAAGATACAGACAGATACATACAGATACAGACAGATATGAAACCAATAACAAATAAGTTGTTGGAACAGGGATTGAGTAAAGATGGCAAGATAGTGCGAATAGAGAATACAAAGATTAAGCAGGCAGTGTGTCCCGCGTTCATTCGTTCTCTTCAGCCACTGCAGGCATTGAACGCGTTGGTCATCAAGAACTGTCGACTCAAAGTGCTGCCGCCCGACATATCGGAGCTCGTATGGCTGCGTCGTCTGGTGGTCGACGACAACAAGCTGACAGAGGTGCCGAACCTCGAGCGAATGGACGCGCTCGAGGAGCTGGTGCTGAGCGGCAACGAGGTGACGCGCTTCCAGGTGTCCATCACAAAGCTGCCGTCGCTGCGCCTGCTCGACCTCTCGTACAATCAGCTGGGCACGATCCCCGTGCGTCTATTCAGCATGCGCAACCTCACCGAGCTCCGGCTCGACTCTAATCAGTTCAGCAACTTCCCTGCGCATCTCTGCGAGCTCGAATCGCTGACGTCGCTGTCGTTCGCAGACAATCAACTACGCGCATTATCCGAGTCGATTGGCAACATCAAGTCGCTGACGCGACTGGTGGTGGCGGGCAACGCGCTGGAGCACCTGCCCGCCGAACTGGCACAGCTGACGCGCCTCACCTATCTCGACGTGTCCAGCAACAACATCAAGCAGCTGCCATCTGGCATTGGCGCGCTCACACAACTTCAGCACCTGTACGTGCAGCACAACAAGCTGCGCGCGCTACCCGACGAGATCAGCTGCTGCCGCGAGCTGGTGGCCATGCGCCTCAATAACAATCAGCTGACGTACCTGCCTACGGCCATCGGGCAGCTCAAGCAGCTGGGCGAGCTGTACGCACACGAGAACAAGCTGATGACGTTGCCCACCGAGATCGAGGGCTGCAAAGCGCTGAGGAAGCTGTTCCTCGAGTTCAACAAACTCACCCTACTGCCTCGCCAGCTCGACCAGCTGCCGCAGCTCAACCTTTTGACGCTCCACGACAATGCGCTGGCTGAGCTGCCAGAGTTCCTGCACCTGGACTTCTTGCAGCACATCGTGCGACTGACAATGCACAACAATATGTTCTTTGACACGATCGTCTCGGACATCCAGCAGCAGGTCGGCGCGCCCCCTCCACACGACGCACTCCATGTACTATACCAACACTTTAATCAATTGGCGGGCAGCACCAACTCGATGGGCAACTCGTTTGACTCGATCAAGTCGTCGGGGGAGCACGAGGACAAGCTATCCCCTCTACCCTCGTCCGGTTCGCACTTTCTCACCGTCAATGGCTCCTCGCCACTCTCCTCGCCAGTCAAATCTGGCAAGAAGGGCGTAATGTCCAGCGGCGCAAAGCCGCCACTCCATCTCAATGGCATCAACAACGTCAACAACAGGGCATCTCCGACGACCGTGCTCAACAACTCAAAGGACTATTCGTCCGAGGATGACAGCGACAGCGACCCCGTGGGCTCGCTGCATTCAAACAGGCGACTCTCAATATCACCGCGCACCAGCGTCAGTCTGTCCAGCTCGATGGACCAGACTTCCTCGCTGGCAATGCTGGCCTCCACCCCCGCTGGCTCATCTTACCTGCAGCAAACGCAACCGGCACAGAGCAATGCGTCCACCGGCCTCAATCTCGTGCAGATGATAAGGCCTCGTCGTGGCAGCAGTAGCAGTAGCATCAGTTTCTTGACCAATCCAGATGGCACCAGCTCGCCCACGTCGCAACAGGGCTCGCCAATGATGGGCACGCCACCCAACCTCAACCTGACGCGGTCCTCCTCGTCGTTGCTCAGTCTACTCAATAGACGTCGTTCGTTGGGCCACTCATCACCACCTCCCTCGCCACAGTACCGCAACTTCCAGACACTGTTTGAAGCATTACTCGACGAGTTGGACTACTCCAAGCAGCGCAGATACGACCTGATCAACCTGACCACAGAGGACAAGTGGACATTCCTTCAGAGGCTCAAGCCAGACTGCACAACAACCTTGGTCAGCAATGGCGTCTACCAGTCTGCGCCACTGAGTAGCTCGGCCAATGAGCTAAAGACATTGTTGTCGTCGCCTCCAAAGTTGAATGGATCGCAACAATCAATGTCGTCGTCGTCGGGATACACTGCCGCCACACCGAGGACTCTCAAGACGCCAAAGAGTCCGAGAGTATACGCCAAGGTGTTGTCCACACATCAGCTACAAACATTGGACGACGTGATCAAACTGCGACAACATCTCTCCGAGCGATCCATCTCATGGGTGATCAACTTCTCCGAGAGTGCTGGTATCGTTGCCCTCATCAACCTCATTCAATCAGTGTTGTCCAAGGAAAGGTATGATCAATCATTCATTCAACCAAATAATCAAACAATGATCACTAACATCGCTTACTTGTAGCAAATCTGATGAGGACCACTCGATTATCAATGAATGCCTGTCGTGTATGAAGGTTTTGATTGAGTTGGACATGCAGGCGATATTGTTGACAGATGCAGCCGACTCGATCGTGCCACTGATCATCTTACCTAACCTCTCGGTGAAGCGCGTGACTTTCGAGGTGTTGGATATGTTCTGCAGGAACTTTACGATTGGCCCAGCCATCACACTGGCCGCCATCCGCCAATTTGCCAAGCGCAGCGATATGACGATGCAAAAGGCACTCGACCTCGTGATGACCCCGCTCAAGGGCGAGTTTGCAGCTGACCTCAAGGTCAACTGCATGTCGCTCATCAATCATCTGATCCGCGGCTGCAAGGAGCTGGCCGCGAGGAATGCTGTGCGCCAGGAGTTTGTGCACGGCGGCATCCAACATACAATCAAATCACTGCGCATCGATGGCGAGGGCAACGAAACCTCGTCGTGGAAGAGACTCGAGAACGAGATGTGTCAGTTCGAGCTGCAGCTGGCCGAGGATGAGAGCGCAACAACGACCGCACTAGGTCGCTCTCCAAGTTGGTCGATCGGAGGAGGCGGTGATGTTGGCGGTGACGAGTCATCGTCGAGCGCAACACAGCAACAACTGATTCAGCAGCAAATAATGGCGACACAAATGGAGCAACGTCTGCCCGTGATGATATCCTGCAGTCCTGATGAGGGCTCAGCGCCACTGCCCGTTGGTGAGGTTCTGGTCACGGTGACCAAGAGCTCGCAAGCTGGCGATGTGGTGCGCACGATCCTCAACACCAACCCAAATCTGAGGGAGTATGGCGAGTGGGGACTGTTTGTCCGCGATGCATCCAACAACAGCGCACCTGGAACCTTTGTCAAGGACGACGATTGTGTTTCCGAGGTGGCGGCCCGTGCCGCCCTGGCAAGCCCAGAGTACTCGTTGAAGATGGTGCCATGGCGAGTGCGCGTGTGCCTTGATCGCGTCAAGGACATGGGCGTCTCTGGCGATGCAGTGTTTGTTGGTGCGACAATCATTGTCGAGGAGCCAATGGACCCGTCGTTGACCTGCGCCGGTATGGTCGATCACCTTGTCAAGCGATACCTTCCCAACGTTGGCGATCAGTACTGTCTGGACAGCGATGACTTTGGACTCTATCTGGACAGCTTTGGATTTGGTACGGGAGGTTACTGGCTCGAGCCACTGGAGAAGCTGCAGGTGAACCGCGAGGTGCTCAGAGACCCCAAGTGCGCAGTCGCCCTGCGTCTGCGACCCAAGCATGTCAAGCTAAAGTTTGCCGACGACTCGTTCGAGCAGCTGCGTCTGGACCTGATGCTGCCCACCGAGAAGATCTTTAGCGAGATCTCTGAGAAGGTCGTGGATCCATCAAACAGCATCAACTTGGCCAACTATGGAATCTTTGTCGATCGCCAGGACAGTCTGGACTCATCGGCCAATGGCCACGACAAGAAGAAGATCGAGTGGATTCAGCCCGGACTGCCACTCTACCACTATCGCATCAGCAATCGTGTGTGTCTTCGCTTCGCCGTGCGACCATCCAGCGTCACACTCATGATCGACGCGTCGCTGTTCCCATCATCAACATCCACAGGCGCTCCCAACTCTACCAATCAGACATCCACAACCTCCACCACTCAGACATCAGAGACCCACCCTGCAGTGGACATCGTGTCCAAGGCAACTGCCTCAAACATTGACGTTGTGGCCAGTCTGATGCAGACCGTTGCCCAACCCATTGAGACTGTTAGCGTTTCGGTGCAGATCCCCCTGCATCTGCCACTGCAAGAGTCCCTGGACACGGAGGAGAGTTGGCTCGAGTGCAACATCGATCAGGCAAAATGCCGCTTCCACATCGACTCGTTCGACGGCCCCGTCATCAACCAACATCAGCCGCTCAACAGCCAGTACTTCACTCAGTCCAAGCGCATCTTTGTCGAGCTGGCCGACGAGGCGAACCTGGCCATGCCCGACGACGTCCTTCACAACGCGACCAACATTTGGGAGGAGGTGAGTGACCGCACCACGGTCATCTACGACGTCGACCAGGTGACGTTCAAGATCACCAACATCATTCGTGCGGCCACACTCAACAAGCTGGTGGAGATGTCTACGACCAACATTGACAATGATCGCGACACCATGAACATCCTGCTCATGACCTATATGTCGTTCACGACATCCGACATGCTTCTCGAGAAGCTGATTGAGCGCTACAACGTGCCCGGTCGCATCGATGACAAGACCAAGAACGTCATACAGCTGCACGTCATTGTGTTTATCAAGAACTGGTTGGAGCAGCAGACACCACAGGCAGCCAGCGGCGGTGGCCTGGAGGAGCGATTCTTGGAGCGAATCAATCAGTTTATTGAGCGACTCAAGTCTGACGGCTACTCAAACATGGTGCCACAGCTCAAGCGTCTGGTGGACACTGGAATCAAGGAGAAGCGTGCCTACGCCATGCCCGAGGTTGCGCGCATCAACACATCACTGCGGACCATCCCTTCGATCACGACGCTCCTGGACGATGAGATGTTTGTCGCACAGCAGCTAACATTGCGCGAGTTTGAGACGTTCAAGCGCATCCAACCAATCGAGTTTATGAACCAAGCATGGAACAGACCCAAACTGCAGTACAAGGCCATCAACCTACTCAAGATGATCGATCGCTTCAATCGCATGTCCAACACCATCTCCACGTCCATCCTGGCGCAGCCCAAGTTGAAGCATCGTGTGCGCCTGCTGAGCAACTACATCAAGATTGCGCTGCATCTGCGCGAGCTGAACAACTTCCACCTGCTCACGGCATTCCTGTCGGGCATTCGCAACAGCTCGGTACTGCGTCTGCGACTGACATGGAGCAAGATATCCAAGAAACACAAGCAGTCACTGGAGGACATGGAGAAGATGATGTCGATGGAGGGTTCGTTCAAGACGTTCCGCAGCATGATCAAGGAGCTGATTCCACCCTGCATACCATACCTTGGTGTGTACCTGAAGGATCTGACCTTCATTGAGGATGGCAACAATGATCGCATGGATGGCGGACTGATCAATTGGGCCAAGAAGAAGTTGGTCTACAACATCATATCGATTATACAAGGCTGCCAGGACATACCCTATGACTTTGGACCATCATCCACCAAGGGAGAGATAGTATTGGCCGCATTCGATTCGTTGCCAAGTGCCAACGATGAGGTGCTCTATCAAATGTCTTTACAGATTGAGCCAAAGACAAACTCATAATATCGTTGGTTGGTTGATCACTTCACAACCCTATACACATTTATATATCTCGAATATCTCTTTAACTTGTACATATATATAATATATATACATAAATATACTATACCTATTTATAACAACAACAAACAAATATGTAATAATATACATACATATATTCAAATCACTTCCAATTCACAAGTTCAATAAACAAACATTTCCAGTTTGACTGGAAATATTGGGAATAATAAATATAATTGAATGATTATGGATCTAACCATTTATTTATTCTTTGTACATGTATATATTACTTTTAATATTATTAACTAATTTGATTACAGAACATTGACCTTGAATGATGGCTTCAAAGCTTGCTTTCGGTTGATTGTGATTGTTAACACTCCATCTTCTTGCTTGGCATTGATTGTCGAGAGATCCAAATCCTTGGACAGTTGGAAGGTCTCGTGGAACTTGGCAGCCTGGTTGGTCTTGGTGACCATTGAGTTGTTCTGTTTCTTGAGCTTGTCATTGGATGGTGTTGGGGTGGCTGTTCTCTTTGATGGTACTGGTGATCCAGTTGAGTTTACATAATCAATCTCCTCATCCTCGATCTCCTCAAAGTATGCGGTCTCCTCCTTTGGCACTGTTGGCTCCTTCCTAACGCCAGCCACACTTAGGTTGAGATTGTTTACATATATCTCAATGTCCTCTCTCTTGAAACCTGGCAACTCTAATCTAATAATAACAGCAGATAGACCCTTCTCCTTGATATCGATGACTGGCTTGAACTCTTGCTGCTTCAACATCTTCTGTCTCTCCTCTTCTTGGCGCAACTCCTCTTTAATCTTTTGCTCATGCTGCAACTGTTGTTGTCTCTGCAACTCCTGCTGCTGTAACCTCTTCTTTAGTTGCTCTTGTTGGAGTATTTGTTGTTGTCTAAGCCTCTGTTGCTCACGCTGTTGCTGTTGCTTCTGTTGTCTGAGCTGCTCGGCATAATACTCTCTCTGTCTCAACTCCTCCTCTTCCTCCTCCATCTGTTGTTGTCTAAGTTGTTGTTGATATCTTTGTTGTTGTAGTTCACGTTGATGTAACTGTTGTTGTTGTGGTTGGGAACCATAGAATAGTTCCTCGAATGGTGAACCACCACCATAATAATGTCTCGAGTTACCCGAAGCTGGATGTCCTCTAGCTTGAGTTGAACGTCTTGGTTGTTGATATGATTGTGGATAGAAGAAGTCCATTATTATTAATTATGATTGATTGATTATGTATTTGTATAATATTCGTATATTATTTGTATCTTTATCTTTGTTGATTGATTGTTTGAAGAATATCATATAGTCCAATTGGACATTAAATAATGTTGGTTGTGTGTCACTTGAAGAAGTCAAGACTACGTCCCCGTAGGCATTCCACCAGTCTTCCAAGATTGGTAGTCGAGAAGCAATGACATTCATCTTGAAAAACGGGTGAAATCTTGAATAGAACCACCAAGGAAATCTATTCGAAATTTCATCAAGATTTAATAACCTTAAGGTGCATGCATGTTACTGTGCTCACTTCCTTTCATTCAATCACTGACTTACTCACTCAATCAATCAATCAAATATAAATGTTATAAGCAATATTATCTGAATGTGCTTCATATTGATGTATGTTCGTGTCACGCACGTCTGGACAAACTTTAATTAAAACAAAATAAACACATCACGAGGATTCAATATGTATCACAGTTTGGTCCACTAATTCATCATTCTTTTCACCAGACAGACAAACAATACATGAGTCAATAGAGGATGATCACCACTTTACCTGTTTACATATTAAGAAACATACTTTTGCATCTTGATAGCATTGATACTATGTTTTCTCCTGGTAAACAGAAATATATTCTTTCAACAGCAGAGTATAGTCCCATCATTGAAGCACTATTACGCCACATCCTCAAATGATAATAACCTGAGATCATTTGAGCACTTGACAACAAACCCTTCCCCCTGTCAACGGCTATTGGAGACACACTTTACAATAGAGGACCCACCTTCACCTCATCCCCACCATCTAGTTCAGATTCCCTCAATTCCTTCGTCTGTCACAAATTTGCGCGTATCTATCCTCACCCGCAGCATCTCCTTCAAGGCGGTGTTCCACCATCGGTGACACAATTATTATTGGTCCATTTGAACCAATCACTTCAAGCTGCTGGACAAATACCACAGTCAGTGACACAACTATCTTTGACTTATTTCAATCAACTACTTCAACCTGGACATATACCACAGTCAGTGACACACCTGTCATTGACTTATTTCAATCAACCACTTCAACCTCGACACATACCACACTCAGTGACACACCTGTCATTACAACATTTCAATCAGCCACTTCAAGTTGGACACATTCCACTGTCAGTGACACACCTGTCATTACAACATTTCAATCAACCACTTCAAGCTGGACACATTCCACAGTGGTGACACTACTATCTTTGACTTATTTCAATCAACCGCTTCAAGCTGGACATGTACCGCAGTCAGTGGCACACAACTATCTTTGACTTTTTTCGATCAACCACTTCAAGCTGGACACATACCACAGTCAGTGACACACCTGTCATTACAACATTTCAATCAACCACTTCAAGTTGGGCATATACCACAATCTGTAATGCCACAGACGCCTCAGCACGATCACAATTGTCCACAAACCAAGACGTCAAAGAGCATCGTCCTTTTTGGAGTTCAATAGTGACTCCCTCACGAAGTTGAGGAGACTTTCACATATCATTGTCCAAATCAAATCAGATTACAAACCAAGCAAAATCAGTCAAGTTGCCCTGTCTCTCTTTTGCGCTTGCTCAAATCGACACCAACAATAACTCTTCAATTCTTTTCTGGCATACGCTTTGATTTTGAGACCATTTGGAGGCTTCTTGATGCTAAAACGGCGCTATTTGTGACAGTAACTAAGGCACAAGGCGATGGAATCATTTCATTTTGGAGGTTCCCAACAACAACTTCGTGGTCAACCAATGATGAATGTAGCTCGAAGTAGCACTCACGTAGATGTTTGCTGCAGAAGGCAGGGTGTGACAGGTATGGCTCATTGGCAACAAAGTTCAAGGCAGACGATGCCAAATATATCAGTGATTATTTTCAAAGTCCATGGACACAACTTTGTATATTTAATTATGTTCATAATTGATTCTGAGTTGATTATTGATTGATCGACCATGAATTAATCATTGGTCGGTGATTCGAAAGTTGTGTGAGAGTGGGTGAAGTGAAGGCAAGTGAGAGTATGTATGAGAGTGAACGGACAAGCTGTTTGTGTGGGTTGGGTGCAAAATGAAAAGTGAGTGTTTAACTTGGTTGAGCGAACTGACGGGTTCTCTTGTGCATTTTCATACTTTCTTTCACTCACTCCAATCAATCAATCAAATATTCAATGTTATAAGAGTATCCTTGAGCAGAAACATTTAAGTTGATGTGATGGACAATCTTAGACTTTTGCTTCACAACTTCGTTATACAGACTCTATAAACTCATACAAATGATTTTCGAGTGACTCTTGCAATACAAGGGCTTACACTTACCCTGTATATACATTGTCAACAACATCAAATAACCAACCAAATTACCATTTATATATAAACTTATATAAAGTAGAGAGGTGTGTTAACAAGGAAGAAAGGAAGGAATGAAGCAAACTTGAAAGTAAAAGTGATTGAGTATAGTTCCGGGAACTCAAGTATGTAAGTGAGTGAACGTTGATTATTATAAATAATACTAACTATAACACAATCAAGTCAAATCATCGCATTCTTTAGTACTAAACAATTGTATAATAATGCCTCCATTCTTTGTATTTAAAATATTGGAGAAAGCTTTGGACATTCCAGTCAAGATATGTCAAGGAGAGAATGTTTTCCAAACAGTTGCTAACTCTGCTAATGGAATCATATCCGAGACTGTGAATGCAGTTGTCGCCCCTGTCAGTTTAATCACCGAACCTGTTCCTTTCCTACACAATGCAGTTGAAGCAACAAAGTCCGTCGTAGTGTCTGTTGCTGAGGCTCCAGTCAACATTGCACACGCTGCAGTGTCTGTTCCAGTGACGCTGGTGGAGAGTGTTGCCAATGGAGACAACGTGCTCACATCACTTGGTCAATGTGCTCTTAGTGTCCCGATGGCAGCATGTGTTGAAACAATCAAGATTGGCAAGTGTGCTGTTGAGGAGACCATCTCAATTGCAACTGGGCAGGCCAGCGAGCGAGTGAGGAGTGGAGAGTACGAGTTTGGCGCCCGTGTGTTTATGTATGCCGACGAACCTGGAATCAAGAGTGCCATTTGGAAAGGTGCATATTTGGCGGCTCCCATGTCTAGGTTCACTCATGTGATAGGATTCAAGGATTGGCCATCAGCATTCGAACAGCTCACCAAGATTGCAAACAAACAGAAACTCTCAGAGGTTCAAATCTCATGCCATGGTTGTCCAGGAGGAGTGTTTGTTGACGATATCTGCTTGAGTCAATACGAATGCCAAACCTTGCCAAGCTTCCAGGAGTTCATGGCGTCAGATCCCTTCCTCCATAATGGCACTGGTTTGATCTGGTTCAGATCATGCAAAACATTCAACAAAGTGCAAGGCAGGCTATTTGCCAAATTTATCAGTGATTGTTTCAAAGTTAGAGTTGCTGGACATACTGTAGAGATCCCTAATCCGAGTCCCTTTGTACACGCAGGATTCCAATTGTTGCATCCAAACCAAACACCAGAGTGGGAAGACGAATCAGGTGATTGCTTCCCAACGACCACCTTTAGTCCATCACAGTTGGAGCCAATATATATTCCCTAGGGAGTGTGTGTTCATGAATGCTCATCCAAGGTTGCTGTCTGGGTGAATGGATTAGTATCCTTGTTGGTAAATAAATAGTAATAATTGGTTGTTGTTTTTTTGATAAAGAATTAATTCTGAATAACTACAACATCATATTGATTAATATTAAATAAATTGTGTTGTAATAGATTTTTTTGGAACAACCCCTCAAGTGATCATTATTATTTATTCTCATTTATTTACTGATTCTTAGTCTGGAAATTACATTGATTAAATTGTGATTGAAACCATAATTATAAATAAATACTTTAAACTCTGTTCATATAAGTGTATAAGATAATTAATACAAACAAGGCCTTCTTACAGCAAACAAATGCATTACATTTCGACGGGAGTCTGAAAAGACATCTGATGGATACAATCTGGAGACCTGTTCAATTGTATTTTTATTTAATCAATCTACAAATATGTCTTTTAATATCTACCTATTATATCTTTGACAATAATGTTCATTCTAACAATCTTCAAGGTCATCAGCACCCTGAGAGGACCTTCTTCACGCAACGCCCTCTTCAGGTTCTTCTCTCATACTCTCCGGATCAATCATATGAGAGCAGACGCCGACTGCACTCTCTGTGGCAACTCCTGCACAGACCAACCCTACAATCACTTCTTCTTTGACTGCAGCAAAGTGGCGACCCAAGAAGCCATGCGCCCAGCCTTAGACTAGGTGAAGCAACGCTCTGGTATCAACGTCAGAGAATGGAACATCAAAGCACTGGACATCTCCACGAAGTCTCGTCGCCCCAACCTTCCATTCATCCACCTCATGGCAATCATCGTCAACTACCTCTGGCACTACATCGCCAACCACCTCTTTGGCAACAAGGAGGCCCCGTTGGCCAAGCTCAGCTTGGTGTGCATCACATCCTTCAAGTCCCTCCTCCGCCAGGAGTGGCGCTCCCTCATGTCCACGCTCACGAGTCACATCTTGGCCGGACGACCAGTCAACATCAAGAATGAGATGGCCGAGTTCACTACCAAGTGGCACCTCAGCACTCGCAACAGCGACATCCGTCTTCCGCCTCTGCCGCCAACTATCAACAAATACTTGGTGGCCGAATTCAGCGGCCTACAGTAGAAAAGAAAAGAAAGAAAAAAATCAAGAAAATTCAAAATCGACTAACTTATATATATTATCCCGCCTCTTCAATGACGCCAATTTATTTGCAACTTCCACTCTAGTCAAAAAAAAAAAAAAAAAAAATCATTCAAAATAGAATCTTGATCTCTACAAATAAAAAATCTGATTTTTGGCAACAACCATGTCTTTGCGAGTTTTGTGTGGACACTATTCGCGCAAAGACATCTTAACTGATTGGGTCAATCAATCAGATATATAATATAATAGTATAAGATAGATAGATAGATATCTAGGTCACTCAAACAAAGAGAAGGATTGCAACAACAACAACAACAACAACACCACCAGTAACTCAATAATGCTGTAAATCTAGTCAATCAATCAATCAAACAAACAAACAAAGTATATCAAACTAAATGGATACCAATCAACAACAGAGATACTCAAAGAACTACTTGGATGATGGTTTCACAATACATGTAAGATTGATTGTATCCAACTGGGTGATTGACTGACTGACTGACTGACTGACTGACTGACTGACTGACTGACTGGACTTACATGTTTGATTAGATCGATCTAGATGATACAAGATGTAGACTATCATTTCAGAGCTCGGCAACAGTCGATCATGTAAAGCATGAGATATTCAAACATCATAAAGATACACATCTACGAGGAGGCAGCCATCAAGACTTCTTCTTGGCACTGAATAACAAGGTATGTGTACCAATCCACTTCATACTTGGAGCTCAACTGACCCTCTCTTTCTCTTCTCTCACTTTCCAGTCGGACCTACTACAGATAGAGTTTGTCAAGTTCGTCTTTGCTCATGAGGACATTCAAAAGTCACTGTTGACGAAGCAAGATGCCTCAATAGAGGTCTTCCTTGTGCCAAAGCCCAAGGAGTATGTCTGCATAATCAATCACTCATTCAACAATCAATCGATCGATCACTAACTCACTCACTCTATCAATCAATCAATCARGGATCAAGGCAAGGAATCGCAGAGCAGAGGTCATAAAGAAACAACTCAACTCAATCAGTTCGGCCATTGTTAGGCCGAGGAACAGCAAGCAGGGGGCAGGAGGCAAGGCAAAGTCGACACCATCGTCAGTGCCATCATCACCATCTTCTCAACAGTCATCACCAGGTGGTCTGGCGATGGACAACAATTCACTCTCGCGCTCAGTCTCAAAGGATGAGATGTTGCTATCGCTGGGCTCATCCAACGATTCAGTGTCGACTGCCACCTCATCTTCGTCCGTTGTTGATGGTGTGATCACACCAATGATCAACAACAACCACACCAGCGAATCTACTTCACGCGACACCTCTACAACAGTGAGGATGGCACCTCACCGCGCCTTTGATATCAAGCGATCAACGTTTGGAATGGTCACAGATACTGCTCTATCGATGCAGGACGATGATGATGAGGCCACGCCAGAGGCTCTGCCCTCGCCTAACCAAACGGGACCGAGGAACTATGGTGACAACCTATCACCGCGCGGATCAAGAGTGCTACGTGCCCGCATCGATGAGTATGAGTCGGCGGAGCAAATGCGACAGACGCTACAGCAGCAACTCGTTCAGATCGAGGAGGAGGAGCTCAAGTACCTTTCACAGGCATCTGACCTCAATGGCGACTCGCTTGGCTTCTCCACGGACGACCTCGAGCCAGAGATCATCTCTGGCTCACCTGAAAACCAGCCCTCCTCCAAGAGCAATAACAAGTCACTCTTACGAGATGTAATATTAGAATCATCAACAACATCACCAACACAAACAACGGCCGTCGCGACGACATCAACATCACCATCATCATCGAACATTACTTCCTCGAATGAGGCCGACGCAGTTGGACAACAACAACAATATCATTGGACCAACGACCTGACATTGAAACAACCGATAATCAATCATTACGGAGACATGTCCAGGATGTTCCCAGTGCATCTCTCCATATCACGCGACTGTTCAATCATTGCTGGTTGTCCAGTCGTCGCCACATCCAACGAATTCAAAAGCCAGGTCATCTCCCAACTCGAGACCATTGTGGCCGCACTTAAGGTCGGCACTCTGGCACTGGGCCAATCATCATCACCCATTCCCATCACAAGCAACTCTGTAATACTCAATCATGTAAACACAATGGCGATGGCCAACACCATACCACCACTGCTCATTCTGAAGCCTGGCATCCAAGAGCTACTGCTCAACAACATGTCTGGACCCGAGTCCAGCTCCAATGATGCCAGTCCTCCCAACGCACTCAATGGCAGCAGCAGCAACAACATGATGACCAAATCAATCATGGTGCCAACGACATTATCAAATCACGTCAACGCGAAACAAGCGCTCACCAGTTCTGGCGGCGCGATGAAGTTCACCAAGTCGCCCAACAGGAACGCGATCAACAACAAACCATTGTCCTCCTCGGGTGGCTCGCCAGGCGCTGGCGCCAACAACCCACTACGCAATCAACTCAACTTTACTCATCGCACGGCCAACTTCTCGTTGGGCGAGCAACGCGACCAGAATGTCAAGGCGCTGATGCAGCGCCGCAAACTGACGCAGATCCAGATCGGCTCGCTACTGGGCAAGCCGTTGTGCTGGAGCAACGGGGAGAACGAGATCAAGGACTTCCGCACAAAGATGGAGACCATATTCAACTTCAACGAGATAGACCTGCGCGACCGCGTCAAGATTACGCTGGCATCGATCACCACCTGCAGTGGTGCCGACCCGCTGCTACCTTCCTCCTTCCACATACGATTCTACCTGCCGCCCGACAACCACTCTACCACCATCAGTGTCAACGGCATTGACCTGATCAGTGAGATCATTGAGCGAGTGATCGCCAAGCATCACACGACAAAGATGCTTCAGGATCAGAAGCCGTCGGACTTTGTCATTAGGATCACGGGCACCAGCGATCACGTGCTCAAGGACTGCCAGGTTATGGATCTGGATGTCGTGCGCAATCGATTGCAGCGCAAGAAGGACATCAAGTTCAGTCTGGTGCATCGATCGTCCATCCCCGACTGCTACATCGATGGCCACAGCGAGCCGATCTGCCACCTGCCCATTGCGCCCCGAGCACCAGTCCCCTTCAAAAAGGGCGCAAGTGGATCGTCGACCAATATTACATTTGGAAACGCGCGTGCTGGCAACTTCAACAACAACAACAACAACAACATCAACAAACAACAACAACAACAACATCAACAGGTACAGCGCTCAATCTTCCTCAGCGAGATCAATCGTCCGTTTGAGATCAGGATCGTTTGTTTGGAGAACTTGAACAACAGCCTGTTCGCTCAACTAATGCCCTGAGGCAGCCACCAGCGACATCAAGTTGACGATCAGCGTGGGACTGTTCCATGGCGAGGAACTGCTAGCACCACAGCTCGAGACCTTTGTCAAGCCACTCGCCAACCCACTGTGGTGCGAATGGCTGCGATCCACCATGCTACTGTGTGACGCACCCCGCGCCACCACCCTCCGCTTTACCATGTTTGCGCAGTCTACCGAGAAGCAGCAGCGCACCAGTGTCGGCTGGGTCGACCTGCAACTGATCGACTTTAATGGACATCTGCAGAGCGGGGTGATTAGTCTGATACTTTGGCCTGGCGATCGCACAGCAACTTGCGATTACACGCAGCTGTGCCCATCGCTGGTCATTGAGCTGACGCAGTTCCCCTTCCCCGTGCTGTTCCCACGCCCTCTGCTCATGGAGAAGACCGAGATCAAGGACTACACAGAGGCACGCAAGCAGGATGAGGACAACCTGCAACAACTCATCAACAAGGACCCATTGTACTTGTTGTCACCACAGGACAAGAAGTTCATTTGGACGTACAGGATGCATCTTTCCAAGTTCCCCAGCTCACTTCCCAAGGTCCTTCAATCACTACATTGGAACAACCCGCAAGAGGTTAAGGAAGCGCACAGGTTACTATCTATATGGACCCCACTATCGCCTACCGAGGCACTAGAGCTGCTCGATGTCAAGTATGCAGACGAACTGGTGCGAGAGTACGCGGTGAATTGCCTGCGCTCACTGGGCGACCATGAGCTCGCTTTGTTCTTGCTGCAGCTTGTACAATCACTCAAACATGAGCCATACCACGACTCGGCCCTGGCGAGATTCCTCATCCAACGTGCTCTAAACAATCGATCAGTGATTGGACATCCGTTCTTTTGGCATCTCGAAGCCGAGATGCACAACACTCGAATCTCTGATCGTTACTCATTGCTGCTCGAGACGTACCTGCGTGGCTGTGGTGACCAGCGCCACGAGTTTGTCAAGCAGATGGAGATCGTCACGAGACTGCAGTCAATTGCCAAGATCATCAAGGAGGCTCCAGCCAACAAACGTCGACAACTCCTTCAGGACGAGCTGAACAATGTGAGCTGGCCCAACACATTCCATTTGCCCACCTCGCCCAACACCCAAGCCTGTGGCATCATTGTGAGTGAATGTCGATGGCTCGACTCATTCACCACGCCACTACTGCTCGTCTTCCAGAACGTGGACCCCATTGGCGACCCCATCAGCGTCATCTACAAACAGGGAGACGACCTGCGCCAGGACATCCTGACGCTGCACATGATATCACTGATGGACAACCTGTGGAAGCGTGATGGACTCGATCTCCACCTGTCGATATACAGTGTGGCGGCAACAGGCGATGGCAGTGGCTTCATCGAGGTCGTGCCCGACTCGGACACCGTGGCCAACATCCAGAAGGCGGCGGGTGGTGTCACGGCGGCATTCACCAAGACACCACTGGCCAACTGGCTGCGCGAACGCAACACCTCAGACGCCGAGTTTGAGTATGCCGTTCAGAACTTTACACATTCACTAGCGGGCTACAGTGTGGCCACCTACACTCTTGGCATCAGTGATCGACACAACGATAACCTAATGGTTACAAACTCTGGACATCTATTCCGTAAGTCTCACTCCATGGCCATCTCTATTCACTCAATCATACTAACCTCTGTGATCATTTTAATTAGACATTGACTTTGCGCACTTCTTGGGCAATATCATGAAGTTCCATGGATACAAGAGAGAGAAGGCACCATTTGTGTTGACGCCAGAGTTTGCACATGTGATGGGTGGAGAGAAGAGCAGTTCATTCAAGTGGTTCACAGATCTATGTTGTCTATCCTACAACATCATAAGGAAGCAACGTAATCTATTTATTGTACTATTTAACCTTGTAAGTATATCTCTAATTGGATTGGACAAGATACATCAACTCACTTACTCACTCATTCAATCAATCAAATCAGATGTTATCAACTGGTATACCTGAATTATCGACAAGAAGTGATATTGATTACCTTAGAGATGCATTTTTGATGGACCTAGGTGATGAAGAGGCCAAGCAATCATTCGCCAGACTCATCCAGAAGAGTCTAAAGACAAAGACTACACAGGTCATGTTTGCCATGCACATATTGGCACATCCAGACAAGGGTGATAACACGTAACACTATATATAATACATACTATCATTCATTATGATTATTATCTCTATTTTAATTGATAAAGAACTGTTTAAACAGATTCATTGAATGATTTTCCTTGACCGCTCTGCTCCAGGAAGAGGTCAAGGAAGTAAGTGAAATGGATTTCAAACACTTTTTTTTTTAAATGATCATTGAGATAATAAGTTGTAAGATAGATATTGATAGAATGGATAAACTACCAGTCAATATTATAAAGAATATTTTTGATTGGTTACCTGATACAAATATCGGAACAATGGACCAAATGTCATTGGGTCTAACTTGCAAGCGATTGTTCATCTTACTAAGCAACTTAATATCATTCAACTTGTTGTTGAAGAGATTACCACGCCATAACAATAACAAGAAGAAGATATTGGAGTCTTTGGTGATACCATCATTAAAGACATTTAGGTTTGATGATTCGTTCAATCAATCCATACCATCTGATGGTTGCATGCATCAGTCTTTCAATAAGCTCAAGTTTGGGAAACAATTCAACATGGCCATCAAACCTGCGTCACTGCCAGAATTAGTCGATCTTGAATTCGGACATTACTTCAACAAATCTCTTGAATGGCAGCCATCAACAATCACATCACCCATGTCGTCGTCGTTTGGGAAACCCAAACCAGTCCCAACACCATCACTCCCACAATCAATCACCAGGTTAAAGTTTGGATGGGAATTCAACAAGCCAGTCATCTCTATCACAACTGGATGTTCATTACTCCCTCGATCACTCATTGAATTGTACTTTGGCTACCATTTTGAACAGACACTACCCGCCAACTCACTACCCTTATCACTAGAGGTTCTCAAATTCGAATATTGGTACAATCAACCATGCATGGCTGCTGTGTCCCAGCTGCGATCACTCAGAGTACTTCACTTTTCGGCCTCACATCTCTTGAAGGCATTCTCAATACGCCTTAGATATGAGGAGGAGGATCGATCACTCACATTCCCTGACTCCCTCACAGACTTGTTAATCTCGACAACTGATTTTAAAGGTCTGATTCTGCCTTCTTTCATTCAATCATTGATCTTGGCAGGCCTCAAGTCAGACATTGTACCTGGAATCATTCCAACTACACTCACATCACTCAAACTGAACGAGTTTAACAATAAGATCGAAGCACACTCGTTGCCCAATGGCCTTAAGAACCTTGACGTTGGACATCGCTTCAATCAAGTTCTGGACAAAGGCTCGCTGCCCAAGTCAATCACCAAACTCTCACTTGGCATTTCGTTTAAACAACAATGTATTGATCAACATCATCTGGATATCTTGCCAGCGTCACTTGTCCATCTTGAATTCCTTCTTCAACATAAACATCTCGAGAACGTCATCATGTTGGAGGAGATAGAGTCACCACTACCCGCCTCGCTCACAAGTTTGATTCTTTCTTCATTCAACTCACCGATTCGTCCAGGTCTGCTGCCATCCAACCTCAAGTCACTCAACTTGGGACCTTATTTCAATCACCCAATCTTACCCGGGTCATTGCCCGAAGCCCTAACCTCAATCACATTGGGCAATAGATTCGATCGACCAATCAAACTAGGAGTACTCCCAAACTCACTTAAAAGACTTCTGTTTGGCAATTCGTTCAATCATATGCTGACAGTCGATGTGTTTCCCAACTCCCTTGAGAGTCTATTCTTTGGCCTCAACTTTGATAAACTAATCAAGCCAGGTGTATTACCCCAAGGTATCACATCACTGCACTTTGGATACTACTTTGGAACCCAACTTGTAACATCGTATGATGTCCTCCCATCATCGCTAACTACCTTGGATATATGTCAATACTTGGACAATGCTAAGCTGCCCGAGTCAATCACCAAGCTTGTGATCAGGAGGTCGTTCAAGCATCAGTTACACGGACACCTGCCCAATCTCACTCATCTCACATTGCCATCATTAGATGATTACCTAATGTCCAACATTAATACCAGATTACAATTGGAAGTGGTGGACCTCAGGGGTGATGAAATACCATTGAAGAGGTTGAAGAAGGATGGAATCAAAATGAGTAGACCTCCAGTATCTATATATATCAATATCATTGGTAGAGAATCAGAGGCAACAAATGACCTTATTAAGATAGTGGCCAACTCTTTACCAAATGTTGTCAACATTAACTTTAGCTACAATGCACACTATATAATCATTCGTAGGATTGACAAAAGATTAGGTCTAGTAATGAGGATGCTATGGGATACAAATATAATATATATTATTGAGCTATGATGATCAAGTGGTGGATTATCAATAAACCATACTGGAATCAAACATGATTTATTGAATGTTATTGTTTGTTTAGTGCCAAAGATAGTGCTTTTGCCAGATTAAGTTTGGTCATTGGAGTGTTAATCATGGAATAGAACAGGAATAAACATCACCATTCTAGTTGTTGTGTAAGAATTGTAACTTGGTTATTAGGTGAAGTTCCAATCTTGATTGATTGACGAAAGACGAACTGTGGTCGGTGTGTGTGCTGTTCCGATGAACACAGATTCACACTTCATAGTTAAGTCAATGACTAGCTTGACACCATTGATACATACTACACTTATACATTATATATAATATAGATACTAAGTATGGATATTAAGGACAACAACAACAATAAGATTGTGGATGTAGTCTCCTCCACAACATCAACTTCAACAAACAATGTTGACTCTGTTGAAGCCGACACAGTCACTCAATCATCATCATCATCGGAGAATCAATCAAACATAGACAACAACAATAACAACTTAAGTCAAAATGAACAAGTACAAGAACAAGTGCAAGAACAAATACAAGATGAACAAGTACAAGAACAAGTTCAAGAACCAGAAGTACAAGAAGAAGTAGACTCAGTGTTGGAGACGGCAACAGACCCTTATTTGTATTTGTTAAAGGATGATGAGACCATGAAGAAACATTGGTATTATCTTGATCCAAAGGATGTTGAACAGGGTCCTTATACAGACAATAGAATGCTCTATTGGTATTATACTAAATTGGTTCAGAGGACTTTGAAGGTCAGACGCAGCAATGAGTACAAGTATCAACCGATTGGCACACATCCATTGCTCATGCTACTCATACAAGATGATACAACAGACAAACCACTTGAACCAATACCAACTCTAAGGTCTCCACCACCAATATCAATATCAACTTCATCATCATCTTCGTCATCTGCATCATCATCATTATCATCTACAGTTCGTTATCATCCTTATGAACAACAACAACAACATTCTCAACCACAACAACAACAACAAGTTGATTATGCACAATATTTGGTCAGTGGTACATTCAACAAGAGGACAGGAAGGTTAGATAGTAGTGGCAAGGGAGGTGGCTGGGGTCCAAGCGATGAACGACAGATGGCTCACTACTTTAATCTCAATGAATATCAAGAGCAGATGAACAGGCTGAGGCAACAACAAGAGTCCTCATCGTCATCGTCATGGCGCAACAATAGTACTGGAGGTACTGGAAAGTACAGGAAGTAATTAGAGTGAGAGAGTGACCGCCATAATAATAACTTATCATCGGGGGAGTCGACTTCCCTGCGGTCCAACAACAAGTACTGATAGGACCTATCAATCGGAGGTGCCATATGATTCAATGTGTAATGTAATAATTAATTAAATGATAAACTCAATCACCTCGCAGTCTTATCCTTTCCTGGACGGATCCACCCATCACCTGTGTCCTGAACACCAAAGACATCAACTGGCGAATGGATATTTTGATTGATTGGTTTGATTGATTGGGGGGAGACTATCCAGGAGTGTGGACTTGTCGTTTTGGTGCAAGTCGGCACCCGTGTTGCTGGATGAGTGTGTTTGGATAGAGACCACTCCCCCCATCTACATCTTTGTCTATTTGTTTGTTTGTGTTCATTCATTGATACATGTAGAGAGAGATAGAAGGAAAGGTAGATAGAGTAATCAATCAATCAATCAGTCAATCAATCAATCATCTTATATCATTCACATGTGATAAAGCAGTGCAGATGACTAATGTCCCATCAACATCTCAACGGTGTAACATCACCGTAACTTCAAGAAAGAATACCATCACAACAACAATACATTCTTATTCAACAACATATATATTATTATTATTACTCATAACTATATTACTATTATTACCAACAACAACAAATGCCTCAATAGTAACAGCAACATCAAGAGTGCCAACAGCAGCAACAGCAGCAACAGCCAAGATCAATATTATAAATGATCACAATGATTATAAAGATAGTAGTAGTAGTAGTAGTAGTACAAGAAGAAGACTACGAACAACAGCAACAACAATAACTGATACACCAGAACCAACAACAACACCAACTACACCAACTGAGACACCAGTACCACCCTCACCAACACCAAGAACAGACTGTTTGCCATGTCTGTCGGGCAGTTTCTACAACAATGATACATTGGATACGAGCTGCACGGGCTGCTCAGACGGCTTCTGTGGCAATCCAGCATCATGTTTGCTCTGTCCACTGGGCACATTCACCGCGGAGAACGCGTCTACTACGTGCCAGATCTGTGCGGCGGGCTACATTGCCGCGGCCATGGGTCTGTCCGAGTGCAAGCCGTGCCCGCAGGGTACGACCAGCGACGACTCACACACAGTCTGCCAGAACTGCCCGCCCGGCACCGCCTCCTACCAAGAGGGCGACATCTGTCAAAAGTGTCCGGCAGGCTTCTACAGCGGCGCGCGCGCCGAGTTCTGTAATGAGTGCTCGCCTGGCACGTACAACGCGCTGCTTGGTCAGGCCAAGTGCACGGACTGTGGACCGGGCCGCTTCAACTCGCAGAGCGGCCAAAAGTCCCAGTCGGCGTGTCGGCCCTGTCCCAGCGGGAAGTACTGCCCGGACGAGGCTACACAGATCCCCGTTGACTGCCCGTCCAACAACTACTGTCCGGCCGAGTCGGCCAATCCCACTGGCTGTCCATCGATGTTCCAGGCCGGGCCCAACTCATCGCGTTGCTCGCCCAACTCCTACTTCTACATCATCATTGTCAGTGTGTCGCTGATCGTCCTCGTCGCATTTGGCATCGTGTGGAAATACAGACAGATCAAGAGCAATCAGCAGATCAAGATGACGAATGAAGTGACCATGTTGATACCCAGACCAATGGATGGTTTGGAGTATGGAGGCTTCTAAATAGGTTTGTTATGTTGCCGGCAGCAACATACTTACATCCCAACTCAACTCCAACAACAACAGCAACCACAACAATTACAATGTGTACATATAAACTTCGATCGACAAAACATTAAATGAGGTACTATCGTCCTCTCCACTTAATGTTCCTTCCTCCCCATCCCTATGTCCTATCCAATGATCATTGTTTGAATGGGTTTATTCAATCGTTGGCTGGGCTTGTAGCCCGATCGCTCGCTATTACAGTGCATCGCGCGTCATATTATCGCATTCATTCATATATTATAACATTCGATTCTATTTATCTGTCTGTTGTCTGTTGTCTATATATACACAAGCAGGCAAGCAAGTCTTTCATTCATTCTCTCTCTGTGTGTGCAACCTATCTCGGTCGCGTGTGATTGTGATTGGCTCAGTTGAACTTTCTCAGATTGGATAGCTCATCGAGTATAGCTTGTAGAGAGTCATCGTCGAAACGCTTCAAACTGGTGATTAGACTCTTGGCCTCATCAGAGTGTTCTGGACAGAGGTTGGCAAGACTTGCAATCTCAAACTCCTCCAATCCCTGCTTCGACAATGTTGATCTAACCTGTTTGATCGATGTCTTGTTCTTATATCTACTGAATCGCTCTGCATATGCCAGTGTCTTGTGGAATGATCTAATAATGTTTCATAGTGATTGATCGATTGATTGATTGATTGAGTGAGTGAGTTGAACATGTCGTCATCATCAACATCATCAATGAATGTACCACTTACTGAGGGAACTCTGCGCCTCCTTCATTCTCAGCAGACTCCTTTCTGAACTCTAGTAGCATAGACACCTCTGAGTTCAACAAGAACTTTGCATTGGCCAAATCTGTTGTTGTCAAGTGACAAGTATGTTCAGTCAGTCATTCATTCATTACATCAGAGCTGCATTCATAGCATCTTCGTGCTGTCCATCGTTGATGATGATATACCTTTTGGGAATCTCAACACTGATAGGTCTTCCTCTTCTTGAACAACACCTCTTCTTATTGAGTGATCAGCCATATTATTATTAATATATATATATATAAATATAATTGATTGATTCGATGAAGGTCACGATGCGAATGAAGTTATTCATGTGTGTTTTAGTTACTTTTATCACTTTTCAACCAAAGTTCACGATTTTGTGATGTCAACTTCCCTCAGCTCTCCATTTTGCAAACTCATTTAATACTTTCAACTTGAAGGATGTTGTACTACTTACATTCCTTACTTGATTAATTTCATTCAATCTTCTTTCACTCTTTATTTATTCAAACAAATAATATAAATATATAAGATAAATAATATTGATAAAATAGAAGAGATAAATAATACTAATAGTTATGATGAAGATGATATGTTAAATCGAGTACTTAGTAGAGCATTACAAGTTATAACATTAAGTGGAGAGAGAGTATTTATGTCTCTATATAACTATATAGTTTTACCAATAGAAGCATCTAAGGAGAAAATCCTATTGCGATACAAAGAATATTCTTCATATAATATGGACAAAGCTGGATTATTAATCAGAAATGATCAAATCTTCAACACTCTACTCAATCCAAGATTGAGATATATGTATGATAACAATTTGATGAGAAATGGAATCATACCATCCCCTTATTCATTGTTTACGAAGCTGATGGCCATTCCCCTCTTCTTGATCAACGACACTTTTGAGATGGCCGCCTTGAGACTACAAGTCCGTGACTCTATCTTCTTGACCAAGGCACAAATTGTGTTCTGTGCTCAGGATTTGAGCATCAGCTGCTATATCAAGAACATTGGTGACACTGGAGTAATCTCTCTCATCAGATCAATGATCGATGGGTACATCGAAGTACCTTTGTTTGACAATGTGTTCCAGAGCATCGTCAAGAAATGTGCTTTATCGACCTTGCTACTCACACCGTTCAAGATTGACTTGGTCGCAGACGTCACCAACTTTGGCAAATCAAATGGAGGAGCATTCGTCTTTGATCAAATCAGTGTACAAACTCTAATAATGAGCATGGTTCCCGAGTTTGTTTACCAACTTAAGGTCACTTTCGTTAATCGATCCTTTGGTGTGTGGATAACTCACCGCCGCTGGCTTCGCAACATTMCGGAGCTGGCGCTCCTTCATTTCAAACTTCCAATTTCTCCTCCTTATAGTTTTATATACTTCAAAAGAGGATGAATAGAATAATAGAATAGAATTACTAAAATTAATTTTTTATAACAATAATTAATAATACTAAAAAATTGAATAGTTTTAAAATATCTCTCTATTATTCTACTGGTTAAAAGAGGATGAATAGAATAATAGAATAGAATGACTAAAATTATTATTTTTTTAACAATAAATAATAATTCAAATATTTTAGAATAGTTTTAAAAAACCTCTCTATTATTCTATTCGAGATTCCAGGAGAGAATCGTTTGAGTTTGTCCTTCGCACGCCCAAGAATAGATCAGAACGCACACTCATCATGCAGGTCAGCACGTACTTCGGAAATTTCACACTGTTCACTGATTGTTCACCACCTGTTCACCAAGAGTTCACCGAGTGTGTGTTGGTAGGTGGGGTGAGAGTGTGAGTGGGTTTCCAGGTTGATTGGAAATAATGAAAAAGATATAAATAATTTTATCTTTGGATAGTTATAGAATGACGAACCAGAACGTGTCCAACGTGATCAAAGCAATGCAAAAGCAACTAGCCAAACTAGTGGAGCAACAGAATATTAATGAATTTTCAGATCTTGAAGCACTCACTCAGAAATACAAGAAGGATGCTCCACATCTATTTGGAAGCTCAAGTGAACCTTTTGATAAACAAGTACTAATTGATTGTATCAAGAACAATAATATTAATTTGATAATCAAATATACATATACCTATTTTGCCAAAGTTTCAGGTGAGACAATTGTTATTATGTGGCGCCCCACTCCCCAAGAGCAATGTAAAGTGATCAAGTATGTTGACATCATGAAGAAATACTTTACAAAGAATCTATCAACAAAGATAGGCAAGGTTAAATTCAATCTTAAAGATTGGTTCTTTGATGAGGACTCAGTAGAGTTCCACACAACCAATGATATTAATAAGCAATGGTTTATTCTAAACGTAAGTTGAATTACATAAACTTGGCCAGTAGACCAAAATATGAAGATAGAGAATCATTTGATAAAAAGATGGAAAACTCAGAATATCGCCAAAAAATGAATGATTCCATTGACATGTTTTGGGATCATGTGTTTATTGTCCTCTGTTGTCGAAATAAGGAACAATATGTATATGTTCGTAACAGGATCATCAATGCAGTCAAAGGAAATAAAAATACGGCTGCTCTTTACCTAAAGTCTATTTTGGAAGGTGTAGGTAAAGGACAAGTCGCCAATTTTCTTCTTGAGAATGTATTTGGTCGAAGATCAATTCGGTACACAGACACTTCCATTCTAAAGACTGGAGGATTTAATGATCAATTAGGAGGAAAATCATTAATAGTATTCGATGAGTTGCCAGTTACAGGAAATGCTCAATGGAATGACATATCTGATTCTATGAAAGGGTATGTCACTGAACCAACGATGATTATAAGACAAAAACATAGAGATGATATTCAGGTGAAGAATTATCTAAATATTATTATCACAACCAATAACAATGCAATAAAAATCAATCCTGGAAAACAAAGGAGATATGCGATTCTTGATGTATCCAAGGAGTTGCTTGGTAACACAGCTTACCACAAAAAATATGCAGCAATGGTTAGGAACAATGCCGTTCGTGAAGCATTTTATTGGTGGTGCCAAGACTACAAGAAGGATACTTTTGAGTTTGATTGTACAAAATTACCTCAATCAGCACTGGAGGAGGGTATGACAATTGATCATATGCCAATGATCATCAAGTTCATTAAAGATAAATATGTATTAACAAATGCCAAGTTTGATAGGATCAAGGTTGTTAACCTTCTATCTGAGTTCAAGGAACATCATCGTTATGACAGATCACTTCCTAAAGATGAAGACACTAGAAGTTTATTGGCAAATTATGATTTTAAAATAGGAACCTATGGCAATGGAGGTTGCTTACATTTAATGATGAACTATGAGGAGCTACTTGAACTTTATAAATCAAAGAAGCTTATTAGTGATTTGGATGAATTTCAAAATGATATTGATGAGTCTCTATTGGACTTCAGTACTGATAATCAGCTGGAGCAGAAATTAATAGAACAAAATAAACGTTTAATTGAAAGGAACAAGATGTTGTCTGAGAAGTTAGCAATTAAGGAGATGATCTTCAAGGGGATCAACCAAATTAGAATATGGAATGAATTAGAAAGTGAATCTGAAGACGAACCTTGCAGGTCAGATACAAAATTATCACGACCAATACCAATGTTTGGCGATTCAGACGACGAGGGCGAATATCTTCCACAATGTCCCGATAACGGACCAAAGACCAAGGTGTCAGATGATGATTATCAATCACATATGAAGGACATTGCCTCCAAATACAAGTAATTAATGTTGACTCTATCAACAATAATTGCTCAAATATCATGTCTCATCTTAGGAGCTGGTTTCCGCTTCTCACTAGCCAACCCATTCCATCTCTTGGCCTTTGGAGGTTCATTATCACTATCAATTTCAATCACCTCTTTGGGCTCATCCACATCAACGATATCCTTGCCTCTCACAACACTCAATGGTGGCTTAACCTCTTCCTTGTGCACAACTTGCAACAGGTTCTTGGTATAATATATTTTGCTGCCTTCCACCTTGTACAAAGGTGGATATCCTGGAATCAATAACAACCTCTCAATGGTCTTGATCTCTGGATTCCACTTGATGTCTCCAGAACGGAATGTACCAAACACCTTCTTCCTTGTAGCATAATCAATTGGCTCTTCCAATTTGACCCTAACCTTGGTTCCCTCGTCCAGTACATCACAAGAGTCTCCAGTACAGACTACTCAGTTCGACTCTGGCTTCTTTTTCTTCGGGTCCACCTTGAACCTCTCATTCATAGCCTTTATAACCTTTGGCAAGTCCTCAACCCAGTGCTTACTCGTCTCACCAGTCAACATCTCCTGAGCAGTCATCCTCTTCATCAAAACTGTTCCCAATGTTTTGTTCCTCGCCTCAACCATTGCTTGCATCCTGTGTCTCCCTGGAACTCCATACCTTAGAAACACTCCCTTGTCTTTGAAATATTTCTTGGTCTCTCCCTCAAACTCACCACCTGGGTCCGTCTGTATCTGTTTGGGCATCACCAATATTCCTCTCTTGTAAATTGTCTCGAATGCCTGCTTGACAGCTGCACTTGATATATTCTTCAATGGTTCGGCATCAGTTAATCGATTACCCAAATCAACAACAACCAACGCATACTTGAATCCATCATCATCAGGTAAGAACAATAAATCAGCTTGTTGTTTCAGTCCAGTTTCAAATACTTGATAGTGAGGCATATTCAATCCCTTGTCCTTCTTTGGTTGCAAGTACAACTTGTACAACTCTTGCTTGTCTAAGTAATCCTTGTTAACAGGCTTTAATCCAAATGTTTTATAATACTCGTCACTCATATATATGTCATACATCGATTTGTTTAATGATTATGAGTCACCAGATATTACAACCCTCGATAATCTAATCATAACAGATCAACTCAACATTGAGTCCAATACCAATCAAATAACTTTTGGTGTTGAGGATCAAATCGCTCTTAATGTCCAGACAGATAATCAATCAGTAATCAATCTTCCAACTCATGCTCCAAGTGCCAATATTATCATATCAGAGACTGATCAAATAATTAATGGAGTCAAGACTTTTACAGAAGGTGTTGTCCTCGGAAATGGTTATTTTCCTTTAAAGAATTATGAGTTGCATAGATCAAATTTCAATTGGGGATATGGAAATGTTGTTGCTAGCGGTAGTGCCATCATGCAAAGGATTGGTAATCTTATTTCAATTACATACACTGGTATTACATTTCCAACAACAACTGCCAATGATTTTATTAGGTCAGAACCATTCATACCATTTGAACTATGGGGAAAGACAACTATCCCTGGATTTTATCAAATTGATGTTCCTATCCCATCAAGGATGCTATGTCAGAATGGACAAATAATTATCACTGCCCAGAATGGATCATCAATCCAAACAAATGATGATGTTCTTGTTGTATATCCGACCACTGTTTCTTATGTTTTGGATTAATGAAAGTATGATGCATTTTTCGATGAAGAACACAAAAAAAYGCCMCAGCCATAAATTAATGAGCCCAATGGACCTAATAATTTATTTCTTTCTCTTTCCACCTGTCTTGGCCTTTCGTTTACGTCCACCATCGATGCCATAACTCGTACCTCCTGACTGTCGTCTTCTTCGTGGTTTGCCATACCCCATTGCCTCTGCTGCATTGCCGATGGCTCCGCTGAATGGAACACCTGCAACATCCAATGCCTTGGCTGCTCGACTAATAAATTTATGCTCTTTAATTGCATTTTGAGCCTTCTTAATCCAATCAAAGAATCCATCACCATGCATTCCAGGATGGTATCCAAAAGGCAATGGTTGTCCTCCAAGGCTAGTGTGTCTAGGGTGATGAAAATCATTAATCATTCCTCCATGCAGATGCCCACTTCCATAGGCATCAATCAGAGCTGCTCTTCGATGAGCTACTGGTACTGCGTACATTCTATATATTATTTGGTAACATAACGTTTATTAAAGTCCATCCTATAATCCTGTCCACCTCGAGAGATGTAAAAGAAATGATACGTTTCATCAGTAGCAATTTGATACATCATTATGAAATCCCTCTGTGGAACGGTAATTGATAATTCTTCATAAATTGTATCGAGCGTACTCTCATTGATGTTCTTGAACAACAAAACATAATCTAGGTTTCCACAACGAATGGATTTTGAAGTGTCCTTCCAAGATTGTGTACTGATGATGATCTTGGAACTGAAATGCCTTTGAATCTTCAACAATTTTGGTATTGAAGGATCTTTCAATTCGCTTGACAAGTCATCAAAGATAATTATGTACTCTGGAGCTACAAACTTTGGTTTCAGTGGTTCTGTTGAAGGGGGCAATTGGTACGGCCCTATCAAAGGAGCAGTTTTAATCATGGGAATTTTCGGGTCTCTCAATGGCATTAATCCAGGCTCTCTCTTAACCTCTACTGGTTTCTGAAGAGATGCAATAAATTGTTCCAAAACATTAACCTTACCATCTTTGATACTTACAAAAGTCTCGTACTGAATGCCTCTCTTGGTCATGTCATTCTGTATTTCAATCCAAGCAGCATCATTATTTACAGTTGCACAAAAGATTACAACCTTGGTATTCTCCCCAGAGCACTCATCAATAATCTTCTTGATTGTGACTGTCTTGCCACTATTCTTTGCGGCGCAGATCAATATGTTGGCATTGACCTGATTGAACAACTTGGAACCCTTAATGTTCTTTGGTTGCTTCGGTAGTTTGATTGGTTCCACCTCAACATTATTTATGGTTTCTAGCTTGATCATCTATACTACTAGTCCATACTTGACAAACTCTATTGCAAAGGTTGCTGTTACATCTGCTCTCATCCTCACTCCATTCTGATTGACGCATTCAAATAAATAATTGCCCTGGATCCTCTTCTCACTCTTGTTGAGATACAAATAGTTGGGGCTCTGGAAACATACTTGCTCGGTTGAACAGAATAAAATATTGTCGGGGATCAAATCTGTCCTAATAACTGCTATGTTTCCATTCCCCTCAGCATTGTAGGTAACTGAAAAGGACTTGAGTATGATGGCATCTGGAACGAAATCAATGATGATTGGTACGTACACCTTGTTCCCATTGGGTGGAGGGTCCTCACCGCCATTGCCTTGGAACACTGCATTGACAAATATTGTCTTTACTATCTTTGATTTGGAGTAGCCCATATATATTAGTTAATGGATATTAAATAATATATTTACACAAGTGCCAGTCCATTTGGGGTGATGACCAACTTACGCTTGCAAACTATTGTAGTATTGTGGGTCAAGTTTGTGGCCTCGCTGAGGAATGCATTAAAGTCCCACTTCTGTTCACCAAGGTTCAAGTCGATGCCAGTGATCATGTTGTCTTTGTTAAAGTTCGAAGTTCCATCACCAAACTCCTCAATCCAACACCAGTTCCTACGACTGACTCTTGGATTAAGAATGCTCGAGTCTTTGAGTATCCATCTTAGAGCAAGATAATCATCATATTGACCTGGATAATAATCATACTGCATCAACCTATTATTATTGAGATTTGTGTAGAAATGATCAAGATGAGTACGAGCAATACCATTGCTGTAAATTGCAGTATTGATAGTGGCAGCAGTTACAAATAGACTGTGATAAATTCTCTCCAATGTCATACCATTTTGTCTATTAATACGAAGTATTACCTATAAGAGAAGTAATATTGTTGTAACAATATGGAATCATCAACGAGAAACCATCTGGACTAACAATCCTTGATTGTAGTTCATTGACAATTGCCAAGTTCTTCTCGACAGCGAGATATATTGCCATGTCTGTAATATTGAATGTGCCATTCGCAGGTGCTGGAATGGCTGCTGCACCTTGAGTTGGGTCAGGTGATGATATCATCAATGTTGATGGCGAATTTGCCGGCTTAGCAGGAGGAGGATTAGCAGAGAAAGCAATGTTTGACAATTCAGACCAAACGAATCTAATAAGTAATGTCTCGTTCAACATAATGTCCTTGTCAACGCAAAGGATCCACTCGTACATTTCACTGAATGGGATGGTAACATTGAGGAGCAATTGAGCATTGGCGGCATCACCAGCAGCAAAGTATTTGGTCTCGACATAAGGCACAATAGCCTCCTCACCACTGTTGGGGTTGAATACAAATCCAGGATCATATGACCTTGGTAACTTGGAACTCAGACATGGGATCATCGATTGCTCCTCACCTTGAACAAATGTATTGAATGTATTCTCTGTCTCGACCAATGGTTTGTTTCTCGCTGTCACCATCTTGGAGTGCAAATGGAAGTTGGTGTGGTCCATCAAATACAAACCACCTCTTGTGTACACTTGCACCTGTCTGAAGAATGGACAAAAGTCGGCAAATACCATCTGAGACTTGTCGGCAATACCTGGGATCGTAAAGTTGAACCTAAAGTGTGATCTGGACAAGTTGAATGCTTTGGACGGTGGAATCTCAAAGACTGTATCATTGCCACCAGAGTAAACTGTTGTTGATGTTGTACCCGATTGAGGGTATAACCTTGTGTACTCATACTCTGGCTCTGCAACGAGCAAAGGTGTGTAATCGAGTTCTTTGGAAACTTTGTGCTCCATCTATATTATATTGTAACGATCGATTATATTTCCTCTCCAACTTGGATGCTCTCGTGATCCTTCACAAGCAAGAGCTCGATGTATCCTCGTATCAGCTGAAAGATGTCGTTGTGCTTGTACAGTATCAGCGTCAAGTTCATGTCCACACCATTGAGAAAGATCTCAACTCCATCCTTGTCAGTCAAATAGATGTAGAATGTCTTCTTTGTCTTGGACACTAGCTGCTTAGAGTAAGCCTCTAGGTTATGGTTAGTCCAGTTGACATACGCAAAGTCGGACACTCCAGCAGTACATACCTCTTGAAGCACATCATCTGATCCATTGCTGCACAGGTCTGAATGAATGTAAAGGATGTTCTCAATCTGCAAGTCGATAACATTGGTGCTTGTCAACTGACCATCTTCAAAGTAGTTGATACTATCCTGATTGAAACCTAAATGATGGAACAGGTCAGCGTCATTGAATATGAATGATACTTGCGTCTTGCCACTTGAACAAATGAATGTATACTTACCTGTGTTTGGTTGCTTTGATGTTGGCCATGTGATTGAGTATGTCAACTGGTTGGGTGATTGTTGATTTAATCACCCTCTCTCAATGAGAATGTGTTTCTGTTCTTGGGCACAGTCTAGAATGACTTGGGAATGCAAGCCTGCAACAGAGCCACTTGATCGAACTCATCGTGTTCGTATCACTCGATGTTGTATCTAAAATTAGAGATAGTGCCCGACAACCTGTTCAGCGAATTGACATAAAAGATCCTCTTATGGGTAATCAAACTCATTTTATGATTTAAATATATATAATGCCAATAAAAAAAGGATATGCTGGATCAGCTGCCAACCTAGCCAAGTGGAGAGAGGAACAGAGAGCATTGAAAGAGAGTGCTTATGTGTTGTATGACTCTGATGATGATGGAGATAATGGCGATGGCGATCAACAACCACCAGCCTCTATCGAGGTAGCCAAACCAATAGTTATCGAGCCAGGGAAGCCCAAGCCTGTCAGAGTGACCAAGCCTCGTGTCAACAAGAGTGATGTGATGGAGAAGAAGCTTGAAGAGTTGATGCAGAGGTTCACAAACTGGGAGAGCAATCAGCAGAAGCCCAAGGAGACTGTTCCAGCGCCAATCGTCACACAACCCACTGCTCCAATCCCAATCGTTCAACAAATAGTACGACCTCTCCAATCAGACATACTCAAGCACCGCCTATTGACTAAATTCTAGCTTGCTCTTCCGTAAATTCTAACGATCATATATATGTATAATGGTTAGACATCAAGTCCATCTAGAGATCAACGAGACCAAGGGCAAGAAGCTCAGAGTAAAGATAAAGAAGATCAGACCAGCGCGACTTCGACGTGACAAGAAGGGTAGGTACATCAGGAGGAAGCAGAGGAAGGTGTATATCAACTCTCGCAAGTCAGACTTGGAGTTGATCAAGAAGCTTATGGAAAAGGCATCCAACGCCAAGCACGTTCTCACACCGTCAAGTTCATCATCATACATCACTCCAACAGAGGGATCATACATCAGATCAATCCAGGATGCCAACTACAGGGAAGCGCTGATGAAGAATGCGAGAGACTTGGAACAACAGACTAGAGCAAAGGTCGATGCGATCATCAAGGACGCGGCTGTACATGCACTACCAGCACCTGATCAACTATTAATCGACGCAGCAATACCAGCGGCTGCCCATGAGATTGGAGAACACGGCATCAATGAAGGTGACCATGTTGTGCACGTGTTCAAGGAGGTGTCGCCGCCACCATCAGATGATGAGGAAGAGGAAGAAGAGGACGATGGTAATGATCTGGGCAACAACCTTGACAGACTGCACGGCCAACAGACCTCAACTCATGGACTACTACAACAGGCTCACTCTGACATCATGGACATCAAGCAATCACTCAACAAGCGATTCCAACAGGACATGGAGAAGCTCGAGATTGAAGCGCAAGTGGAGCAGAAGAGATACGAACTGGAGATGAAGAAGCTAGCAGATCACCGTGAACGCGAACAGAACAGCGCGATGTCCAAAATCAACAAGCTGTTATCAGAGAGAAGGTCAATCAGCAAGCAGGAGCCACGCGACACAGACAAGATTGAACACATAGATGGAGAGATTGATCACATTAGGCACCAAATGGACGATGGAGATGTCAAGCGGATGTTGGACCAAGCCGTCAATGAACAGCGATTGGAGCAAGCGATGGAGCGAGCAGAGAGAGAGAAGCAGAAGACGGTCGAGCACATAAAAGCTGTGGAGGTCATGGCCGCTGCCGCTGCTCCCAGGCAGCCCAAGCCCTCGTTGCTTAAGAAGCCCGTACCCTCCATCATGCCCAAGGTAAAGACAGAGCCACAACCAGAGCAGACGTCTCCTTACAGCTCCCCTCCCCATCCTCCAGCCACTTCGACAACATCAACAACCACAACGACACCTACCAATCCTCCAACAACATCCACGACGTCTACTACTACCACAACAACAACTAACAAGAGACTATCCGTCCCAGCATCTAGTGTCAAGGCATTGAGAGACGTACCAGCAGCTCTAACTCCCAAGATCGAACCAATGATTCAGAAGTACATTGACGGGGACTTGCAAGGTTCACAAGCACTCTTCTATAAACTTGGCTTGGAGTTGCGACCTGCTGCAATGGATCCAAATGAGAAGCGAGACCTCCAGAAAGAACTTAAAGACCAAACAATTCACGCCAAGCGAGTACAGGACATGGCATCGATGCAACATGTCGTAGAGACGATTGCACCTCAAGTATCAGATCTCGTCACGCGCTACTGGAACAACGCCATCAGTTGGAAGGACTTTGGAACACTATTAAAGAAGGAGCTCAAGTACGAGAAGAACAAGGCCACGTTGGCGGATGCTATTATTAATGAGGCACACCAGATCAAGAAGGGTAGTGGCAAGGTTGAGGACGGTGGATTGTACGACTATGAGATCGAGCAGTTGATGCAGCCGTATCACAAGGATGGGTTTGATGGTGTCATTGCGAGTGATCAACTTGATGAGCTCAAGCCCAAGCAGCGCATGTCATTCATCTTGAACCTGGACAAGAGCAATCAGCCGGGCAGTCACTGGGTCGCATGTAACATTGATGCCAAGGGTGACAAGGCGATTGAGTACTACGACTCGTTTGGCGATGATCCCAGCACTGACTTTATGAGAAGGATGAAGCAGTTGGTGGAAGAGATCGACCCAGACGTGTATCTCAAGTTTAAAGTCAACAGGGTGATTGACCAGGCGACCAACAGCCACACGTGCGGGTATCATGCCATGCGCTTCTTGTTGAATCGTTATCGAGGAGTACCATTCAAAGAGGCGACTGGCTACAGTGATGTGAGAAGGGAAGAGAAGCGAGCGCGAGCGATGGAACAGAGATACAAGAAATTCGGTTACTTATAATTGTAGACTACTACAGCTATGAGTAAGTGTGAGAGACAGAGAGAGTGTGTGTGTGTGTATGTGTGTGTGTGTGTGTGTTCACCAACTGTTCACCAACTGTTCACCAACTGTTCACCGAGTGTTCACCTTAAAGATACAGATCCCACTGCCTAATTTAGAACAGTCAATCAGCTATGAGAGATCGCTCTCATATGTTTATGACCAAATAAATACCCCTCTTGGAGCGTAGGATCAAGCCATTCTACAACAATGACTGTCTCTACAAACGGTATGGAAGTATGATGTAATTATAGCTTTATAGTTACCTTGTACTTATCTTCCCACTTTAGATACTTCTGAGTTCCGATGCTCACGTCCCAAGTGCAAGTCCTATGCCATGCGTGGTCAACCTCTATGCGAGGAGCACTTTGATCTTAAGTGTTCTCGCCCAGCCTGCAAGAGGGATGTCAACAAGCCAGGAGACGAGCTGTGTCAGATCTGTCAAGATACGAAAGACACTCGCAAGAGGGAACGTGATATTATCAACGAAGCCAATGCGGCAGAGAGGGAAGAGGTCAAGAGATTGAAGTCTGCAGCCCGAGTGGAGACGAGAATCTTACGAGATGCTGCCAAGATAGCAATTGAGAAAGAAGAGGCTATCATGCAGCGTCAGACTCAGAGGAATATGCGCCAACGGATCCAGTCTGTCTATTCTCCTCCTATGCAGGCGCATCAACAATCTACCCGCTTCACTGAGATGCCGCCGTCTCCATCATCAGTACTGTCAATGGCAATGGACAACCATCTTCGCCTTGTCTCTCCGGCCAAACCTACTCTATCTGTCACCGCTGCACAGGCCAGCCGCTTCACTGAGCAACCGTCACCATCTCCATCGATGGCCAGCCTCGCCAACTATGATCTTGTCCTACCATCGAGACCGCTTCCAACTGCAAAGAAGGAGGACGTGCCTACATTGGAGGACGATGATGGACAGTACAACTTGTATGAAACCTTCATGCAAGATCCTCGCACTCCCAACACCTCCAACTAGGCTGTGGAGTGCCATTGCTTGTATTTATAGGTCCATGGATCTGGATCATGGCTGGAGGCAAGGAGAGTAACCTCTCCAGCCATTAGCTTACTCCCGATATATATAAACACTTGTAGTTATTGATGCATCCTCCAGTGTTGCCTCATCATATGTCGGGAAATACACTTGCCACAAGCATCGCATGGTATCCTCTCAGTATTGTAGGCCTTGATCTCCTCTTTGTACTCCTCGTAGTATTGTTGCATGTATGACTTGTTGGTGTTGTTGCCACTCTTGTCGATGGTATTCTTTACGTCCATAATGATGGAAGTAGAGATTATAATGTTGATCCTGGGCCATATTTCTTGTAAATGGCGAACAGCTCGGCAATCATATTGTTCAGTTTATCCTTGTATTGATCTTTCTCCTTTACCAACTGTACTCGTTGCCGATGAATATCTTCCTGGGCACACTTATACCAGCTCTTCAATTGTCTCAATGCCCTGCTGAGTCTTTTTTGTCAAGATACCGGAACATTGAAGGGTCAGTATCTTCATCATCGTCATAGTCAGAATGGTCGTCGGGATCATCGACTGACAGGTTGTCACTGTCTGAATCATTGTATTTAGACATTACTGCTTTGATATCCTGTTCACGCTGCTTTAGAATACTATCAGTGATTGAATTTATCTTGTTGGTTAACTCTCCCTGGCTATTGATAAACAATTCCGTGCTGTCCTCCATTATATCAAATTGGTCACATTATATTTGCAACCATGGTCTCGTCACAAACATCACCGGCCCTGATCTGAGAGGTTTGATCATACTGTAGTAGTTATTGTCTTGTCTGCACTCCATCCTCGATTTCAGGACATCTCTCTCATTAGCAGCAGAGTAGTACATCTTCTTCCAGTCAACAAGCTCCTCATAGGTCCTGTAAAATAAGGACTTCAACACTGGATCCTCCATGATGTTCCTTGCTGCCTCTGATGGTGACTCTACTTTATTCCTGTCCAAGAACCTGCTGAACTCCTCCATTATATCCTATCCAACATTATTTAATAATGAACGTTCCCTCGACCTTGCTCATGTTCTTGACGATGGCGTCGGGGCAGTAGCCCTCATATCGCAGGTCGCCACACTCCTTGCCCAACTTGGGATAATCCAATGACTTCTTGCCAGCCTTGACAGTCCAGGGCTTGGTCGAGACGAATCCATCGGTGTGCACACGTTTGATGTTGGCAATGTCATCCTTTATTATCGTTCCAATCATCTTGCGACCACGAGATATGATGAATGGCATGATGCGAGCGAATGGCGTGTCGAACATATCGGTGTTGCATGCTGATTTGATCATCGCGCCACCATTGGATGTTGGAGTGATGCGATCGATTGAGTAGTCCTCGTCGACGTTGACATCGATGTGTTTGATCGTTCTCTGTCCATCGCTGGTGGCTATCACCTCTTCCTCGCACTCCATGTTGACGCACTGCTTGGTCTTGTTGCGCTTGGAGAGAGCGCCCCTGAGACGTTGATAGAGACACTTGCAAAGCTCCTCTCATCTAGATTTGGGCTCGCATGCGTCTATCCAGCCGAGCACCTGATCGATGAACTTGCCAAACATATCGCAGCCAAACTTCCTGCAGCTGCTGTCGTAGATGAGCGCATTGGCCTTGCTGCCAGTCTTGAGGTTGAATGTCAGTCCTAGCTCCTTGGCAAAGATGAGGTCGTAGTGAGTGTAGTAGTCGTTCTTGTTGATCTTGAATGCGCCGTGCTTGCCGTTGATCGTGGCGCGATAGATACCGAATGGGATTGATTTCATTGCGCTGAGCTCCTCGTCGGTCAGATGTTGAAACTCGCCGCACTTGATTGGGATCATGAAGCCACTGCTCCTCAAGATGGAGGCATACATCCTAGCGACGTCATATTTGTAGAGAGCACCTATATGTTGAATTGCAATCATCAATGGGCCATAGGCTGACTTCTTTATCCACTCTCCCTCCATCTGACCGATGGGCTCTGGTTTGACAGTCTTGTTGTACGAGAGGAACAGCTTGATCGCAGCCTTGTTGATGTTCTGTCCTGTTGTGTACATGTCGATGATGCCGTTAGTGTGTTCCTTGAGCATGTCGGCGTCGGCCTTGAACGAGTCCAATGTCTCCTCGAGCGTGTTGCCCGAGAGGATACGGATGTACTCGCATTTGTCTTGGTACTTGCGTCTCTTCTTGTTGATGAACTGCTCCAGACTGATGGTTGTGTACTCGTCGTCATCGTAGAGCTGGACCCGATCGCCCTTGAGATACTTGAATACGATTGGCTTGATGTAGACGTCTCGCTCGTTGTGTCGAGTGTATCTGATGCCCTTGCCTGCATTGGTGCCCTCCTTGTCTAGTTTGTAATGACCATTTGTTAGTATTAGGTTGACCTCTCTGGTTGCCCTTGATGCCGAGGCATAGCAATGATCACCTTTGACATTGATTCTGATGTTGAGCCTGTCCTCGAGTTCTGGGATCCGCTTGATCGAGACCTTCTGATCGACATCGAGGTTGAGGAACTTCTTGAGTCGTGATGGCTTGCCAAAGTGCTCTGTTACCTGCTCGGGATAGGCATCGTGGAGGCAGTGGTAGAGGCAGTTATTCCATTCGCATCGCAGCCACCTGCCTTGCCCTTTGCTGATGGACGTAAAGAACGCTTTGATGTGTCAGCTCTGGGATGGGTGCGC